GCTAATTCTCCCCTGGTCTCCTCGCTGGCCCAAATAGGACTAATTTAGCCAGCTAGCCCTGGTGATCGTCTAATGTTTATTGGATGGATTTCCCCCCTAAATTGGTTTTTGAATTCTGAATTTATTGTTATCCATGTTTTATGCTGTTTTTTTGTTGCATCAATTAAGTGTTTTAAATTTGTTGTTAGCCACCCTGAGCCCAGTTTTCTGAACCAGGAAGGGCGGGGTATAAATAAAAAATTATTATTATTATTATTCCTGCTCTCCTGGAATTGAGAGACCTTTCTCCGAGGTGGGGAGAGAGAGAGAGACCCGCTACACTTGGTGGGACCCTCCCTCTTCCAGGGTGGGGCGGTAGCCCACTTGTGGCCGCATCTGACCAGCGGGAGGGAGGCGAGAGGATTACTCAGGCGCTGAGTAAGAAGCCATGCGCGGAGGGGGCTGAGCATCTGTCGCTCAGCCTGCGTGTGGGGGAAAGAGGGTCTAATTTAATTAGCGTGTAATAAAATGTCAGAGAACAGGAATCCAAACGTGGCGGTGGAATCGGAGGCTCTGTGATGCTGGGGAGGAACGTGCGATGGGGCTTGGTCCTTGGGCCCAGAGGAGGAGGAAGGAGGGAAGAGGAGCTCGGAGGTTGAGGGTCGGCATGTGCGGGAGCCTGCAGTGGCCGTAGACTGACTCCTGGAGCAGCAGGTGTCCTCTGCATAGAATCCGAGAGTCAGAAGGGACCCCGAGGGTCATCTAGTCCAACCCCCTGAAAATCCAGGAATCCCAGCCGAAGCATCCAGCTCTGCTTAGAAACCTCCAAGGAAGGAGAGTCCACCTTCTTACGAGGGAGACCTTTCCACAGTCAAACAGCTCTGACCCTCAGAAAGTTCTTCCTGGCGTTTAGTCAAAATATTCTTTCTAGCCATCTGAATCCATTGGTTCAGGGTCTTCCTCCTCCCCACCTCCAACCCCTTTCCCTGTCTCTGGGAAGCAGCTGTCCCCTGGGCCTGCTTTTATGGCCTTCCTACTGGGGCATCATGTTGGGCACTTTGAGAACCAGGTGCTGGGCTATTTATTTATGTACAGTGGTACCTCGGGTTACATATGCTTCGGGTTACAGACGCTTCAGGTTACAGACTCCGCTAACCCAGAAATTGTACCTCCAGTTAAGAACTTTGCTTCAGGATGAGAACAGAAATTGTGCTCCGGCAGCAGCAGGAGGCCCCATTAGCTAAAGTGGTGCTTCAGGTTAAGAACAGTTTCAGGTTAAGAACGGACCTCCAGAACGAATTACCGTAAGTTCTTAACCCGAGGTACCACTGTACAGTGGTACCTCAGGATGCGAACAGGATCCGTTCCAGAGCCCTGTTCCCATCCTGAAGCGAACGCAACCCGCGACTGCACATCTGTGCGTGTCGCAATTCGCCCTTTCCACTCATGACGTCATTTTGACCGTCTGCGCATGCGCGAGTAACGCGCTCCATCACTACCGGGTCACTGCAGAGCGCAACCTGAAAGCGCTCCACCTGAAGCGTATTCAACCTGAGGTATGACTGTACTGCATTTAATGCCCCACCTTCCCCCCCCTACAAGGAGCTCAAAGTGGCCAACACGTTTTCCCATCCCTATTCCTTTAATCCCCATGACAACGACCCTGCAGGGTAGGTCATGTTGAGAGGCAGTGGCCAGTCCAACCCAGTGAGCTTCAAGGTTGAGGGGAGAATTTGAACCTTGGCTCTTCAGAGCACATCCTTTTTCCCGAAGAATCCTGGGAACTGTAGCTTGTTAAAAGGTTCCAGGAATCATAGTCGCGTGATGGGCAAAGTACAGCTCCCAGGATATTTTCCGTGCTTTCAAGGGCTGGTGTGCCTTCGCAGGCAGGAGCAGGCAGGGCAGGGCAGCGGGGAGCCATGGCAAAAGTCCCCCAGGGAGAACCGCCTGGCTCTGTGGTGCACGGCAGCAGCAGGCGCTGGGCCAATCCTGGCTCTCCGGAGGGAACCCCACGGGGCAGGACCGGCCACCCCCCTCCTCTCTCTCTGGTTTCCCAAGGGGGTTGAGAAAATAAATAATCTCTGATCAACTTGCGGGCCCTTTTTAAAGGAAAGGTTTCAAAGAGATCCGGATTAATTTCGTTCTTGTTTTAAAAAGGCAGAGAGGAGGCAGGTCAGAGGTTTGCCAAATCCAGAGCGGTGTGGAGAAAGAGAGAAGATGCGACTCCCTTATTCTGCAAAGGTCAGGCGAAGCTCGGAAGGTGCTGGGAACCCCCTGGAGGAACGGACAGCAAGAGGGAATCTCAGGGACTAGAAAGGCAGCCAAGGAAGGGTTTCAACCCAATCTCTTCCCCCATCCCTGCTATGACCCACACCTTTGGGGTTTGTGGGGTTGGAAGGCCCAGCACAGCAGCCTCTCACTGTCACACCACCTGCCATTTTTGGAACATGCAATATTTATTTGTAATCTTTTGTTGGAAGCTGCCCAGAGTGCCTGGGGAAACTCAGCCAGATGGGCGGGGTATTAATAATAAATTATTATTATTATTACAGTGGACACTTGGGTTGTGAACGTGATCCATGCAGGATGCACGTTCGTGGCACGTCGGCACATGCACGGGTTGCGATCCGGTGCTTCTGCGCATGCGCAAAGTGTGATTTAGCACTTCTGCGCATTTGCGACCGCCGAAACCCGGAAGTAACCCATTCCGGTACTTCCGGGTTTCGGCAGGTCTGTAACCTGAAAAAAACGCAACCTGAAGTGTCTGTAACCCGAGATATGAGTGTAATATTATTGTTCTTATTTATTATTGTTGTTGTTGTTATACCCCCCCCCCAATGGGACCTTCCCACCTTCACAGTTGGGGAGATTTCCTCTTGCTGTCCGTTCCTCCAAGGTGTTCCCGGAATCTTCCAGGCTCTGCCTGACCTATGCAGAAAAAGGGAGTCTCATTTCTTATTGCATTTCTAGCCCGTCTTTTTCTCCAAGGAGCTCAAGGTGGCATACAAAGTTCTCTGCTTCCTCGTTGAATCCCCACACCAGCCTTGTGAGGCAGGCGAGGCTGAGTGGCAGTGACGGGCCCAAGGTCACACGCGGTGAGTGGGGGATTTGAACCCAGGTCTCTCCCAGGTGCCTAGTCCTCATTTAATTCCCACAACCACCCTGTGAGGGAGGTTAGCCTGAGAGGCAGCAGCTCTAGCTCTCTAGCATGCCTGAAACCAGTGCCACTCTTTGCACCTGTCATACGACGCCTGGCAGTTTTGCTGCTCACCTGTGTGGTTCTTTGTGAGCATCAGAGAGCGGGGAGATCCTGGAGGTCCAGCGTGGGGGGAGCCCGGTCTGTCAAGTAGCAAGGCAGGATGCATCTCCAACCAAGTTCCTCAAGGGCACCCGTGAATCCTTCAGTTTTTCAGGACAGACAAGGCTCTTTGTGAGGTGAGGAAGGAGGGCTTTTTCAGAGGCACCAAGTCTCTGAAAGCCAGCTGCTGGAAATCGCAGGAGGGGAGAGTTGCTGTCGCACTCAGGACTCGCTCGCGGGCCTTCCTTCGGGGCATCTGGGTGGCCACAGTGGGAACAGGAGGCTGGACTAGATGAGCCCCCTTGAGCCTGATCCAACAGGCTCTTTTTATATGGAAGTCTACTGCGATAGCAGAACCTCCATGCCCAGGGACAGTCTACATCTGAATAGCGGACAATGAGGAACAACTGGAGAGTTGATGTTGTGCTCGTTTCCTGCTTGCGGGCTTCTCTTTGGGGCATCTAAGAACAGGATGCTGGACCACATGGGCCCCCTTTGGCCTGATCCCGCCCCAGGCTCTTCTGATGTCTTCTGTTCTTAAGTTTGTCCTGGGCTCAGAGGACTGATGAAGGGGTGGTGGGCTTGGATTGGTTTTCTCAGGTGAAATAAATAGACTTCCATGTTCAGGGCAGATAAAAGAAAGGACTTCTTCATGTAGTGCATAGTGAATCTATGGAACTCACTTCCACAGGAAGTGGCTCCAACCACCTAGGCGGCTTTAAAAGAGGGACAGACAAATTCATGGAGACTACAGGAAGCTACTGGAGGCTGTGCTCTGACTCCATGGAGGAAAGGATGGAAGCGAGAGGGAGCCGTGTCAGCCTTGGGGGCCTGTCAGCATGCCTACGCTGGTCCAGGGGCTGATGGGGGCCCACTTTGCCACTGGCTGCTCTCTGGGTGGCAATTTTTCAGAGGGGCCCCCAAGGTCCAGCACCCCCAAAACACTGCACTGATCTGTCCAGCTACCTGTTTACCCCCAGATGAAATGCACACAGTTCGTATATGGCATGGATAAATACAGATTTGCAGGTCTGTGCGTGCAAATTTATCATCTTACGGGACAGGGAAATAAATCATGCATTTCGAATCGTGCATCAAAGTCGTGAAATGGGCTACAAATGCAGTTAAATGGAGCAGGGAGGCATTTGGTTTCAGGCCAGCCCTGTGGCATTCTATACTGATGCATATAGTACTGGCCCTGAAAAGTGGAGGCAGTGCTTTGGGGCATGTACAGAGTGCCTTTCACATCAGTGGCACACACAGCCTTGACAGGGGCCGGCAGAAGTGTGGCGGGGTCGTCTCCCTTGACTCTTTGCAACTGAGGCCAGCGAATGGTATTTTTGTGGCAAAACACCCTCGATTTCCTGAAAAAGGTTCCGGAGCTTAAGACGGCCTATTTCGAAATTTCGCCCTCTGATTTTGCAGCTCCGCTCACCCGCGAAGCGTGAAGACGCTGCGCCTGCTGTTTCTGTGCACTCTGCACGCGCTCAAGGGCACCCTCGTCGCCTTTTCTCGCTGCCTTCTGATCTACGATGTCATAAATGCTAATAGTATTAATGAGGAGCCACGGGAAACAGGTGCTGGGGCCGGCTGAGCCCCGGCACCCACACGAAAGGGCTCCCTGCAGCCCCGCAAACTGGGCTTCGGGCTGGGCGCTGCCTTTCTTCGCTGCCCATCGATGCGCTCGGGGGCGGCTCGCTCCTGCCTGGCTCGCGCGACCGGCGCTCCACTGGCGCTGCCTTTCTGGACTCCACGTGGGTTTTGCAGCCATGGCGGATCCAGGAGGAGCGAGGGAGGCGAAAGGTCCCACTCCGGTTCCGGCGCCAGGTGACTTCGGAGTCGCTCCGGAGCGGGCACGCGCAGGAGGCGTGGAGAGGGGGCTCTGCCGTTATTTATTGTTCTTATTTGCTGTTGCTGTTATGTTCTATCTGCCTCCCCCTTCACAAAAATATGGAGGTGGCAATATGTGGGGCTTTTTTCCCTGCGTGGTCCTTGCAGGAGGGATTCGGGTTCTGCCGTGGGGGAGGAGAAGAGCCACCTGTAGACCCCCCCTTGGCCCGAGGTAGTCTACCCCTGAATATCAGCTGTTGAGCGGAAGGAAGAGGGACAGGGCCGTGGGCACCCCCCCCCCCGTGAGACCTTTGTGATCGGCCGCTGTGGGGAGGAGGTGGATGCTGACTTTGATAGGCCTCTGACCTGATCCAGCAGGGTGCTGAGATCCGTCTCAGCCTCGCTGCAGATTTCATCTAATTTAAATTGTAAAGCTGGAAGGAACACTTTAGAGCAGGGATGGCCAAACTTGGCCCTCTAGCTGTTTTGGAACTACAACTCCCATCATCCATAGCTAACAGGACCAGTGGTCAGGAGTGATGGGAATTGTAGTCCCAAAAGAGCTGGAGGGGCCAAGTTTGGCCATCCCTGCTCTAGAGGGCTGGACTCACAGCTGAGAGGAACCAGCTTGGCTGTGGTGCTTCCTGAGGGTTCTCTCAGGCTGACCTTCCATGCAGGGTTGCTGTGAGGACAATATGGGGAGACAAGAAAAAGAGAGAGGGAGATTACGCTTGTGCATGCTACTTCCTGCTTCTCAAATTAAAAGCGTTGCTGGTCTCCAATTGCCTTGCAGGGTGAGGCCCTCAAAATCTCCTTGCGGCATCCGGCTCCCAGATGCAATGCTTTTGAATCCCAGTTGCTGGAAACCACTGGAAGGAGAAGGGCTCTGGTGCGCAAGTCCTGCTTGCAGGTTTCCCATTGGCCGCTGGGAGACAGGAGGCTGGACTAGGTGGGCCCCCTTGGGCCTGATCCACCAGGGCTCTTCTTACACCCTGTTGTTGTGGACTGAGCCTGGGACCTTCTGCATGCAAAGCACACACATCCGCAGTGAGCTGCGGCTAGTCCCCTAAAAATAAAGCAAGGTTCCAGTCCTCATTGTTCTGATTGAAAAAAGGAAGGTCAGAAGCTGCCTTCTCCTGAGTCAGGCCATTGGCCCCTCGAGTTCAGCATCGTATGTTGATTGGCAGTGACTCTCCAAGAGCCTTGAGATGCTATTGGGGATTGAACCTTCTGCATGCCAAGCAGCTGCTCTTCCAGAGAACCACGCCCTTCCGCCTCGGCCCCCGCAATGTGTGCTCCTCTTCTGGTTCTCTTGCCTCTCCCTGGTGAGTAGGCAAGACCTCCGGTGATTCATTTTCGCTCTGCTCCTTCCTACAGTAGCCACCGCCTATTGGGGTTGTTTTTGGGGGGAGCAGGGAGGCACATTCACGCAGGAGCATAAATAGCCCCCCTCAAACTACTTTCTGTCACCTCTCCACACCCCCCATCCCAAATAACTCTTTGCCAAGTTGTGTTCTCTGAGAACTCTTGTCGCTTTGCGGATTCACAGGATGGCGTTTGTGTTAAAAAGAGGGGGCGTCTTTTGGGGGGGAAGAATAGAAGAATAGCAGATCGCCCTTTCTGACGTTGGCATTCAGCTGAAGCAATCGATGCCCACCAGCCCTTTCTGGGCAGCTCCATCTACACACACCCTGCCACCGTGGGAGGGTGCCAAGCACCCTGCTAAAAGGTGACTCAGATTTCACCCTACGTCCCCAACTGGCACACTTGCCTCATCTGCCCAAAATACTGGCATGGGGTGTGTGTGTGTGTGTGTGTGTGTGTTCAGGAGGGAAGATCTCTGCTCCCTGTCCTAGGGGAGCCCCCATCTTGAGAGGGAGAGTGAGGATGCCCCCCACCCGTGCTTTCTCTTAATCTTTCATTTCCCCCTAAACTTGCCAGAGTTTCTCCCTCCTGGATCTTATTGACTAAATTTGCCCCTTCCCTTGAAAGGTGGAGGGGACGCGGGTGGCGCTGTGGGTTAAACCACAGAGCCTAGGTCTTGCCGATCAGAAGGTCGGTGGTTCGAATCCCCGCAACAGGGTGAGCTCCCGTTGCTCGGTCCCTACTCTTGCCAACCTAGCAGTTCGAAAGCACGTCAAAGTGCAAGTAGATAAATAGGTACCGCTCTGGCGGGAAGGTAAACGGTGTTTCCGTGCGCTGCTCTGGTTCGCCAGAAGCGGCTTCATCATGCTGGCCACATGACCTGGAAGCTGTACGCCGGTTCCCTCGGCCAGTAAAGCGAGATGAGCGCCACAACCCCAGAGTCGTCCGCGACTGGACCTAATGGTCAGGGGTCCCTTAACCTTTACCTTGGAAGATGGAAAGTGGCGGGTTCTCCTTCCTTGGAGGTTTTTCGCGTGGTGTGGTTTTTTGTGGTCAGTGTGGTGTAGTGGTTAAGAGCGGTAGTCTCGTAATCTGGGGAACCAGGTTCGTGTCTCCTCTCCTCCAGATGCAGCTGCTGGGTGACCTTGGGCTAGTCTCACTTCTCTGAAGTCTCTCAGCCCCACTCACCTCACAGAGTGTTTGTTGTGGCGGAGGAAGGGAAAGGAGAATGTTAGCCGCTTTGAGACTCCTTAAAGGGAGTGAAAGGCGGGATATCAAATCCAAACTCCTCTTCTTCCTCTTCTTCTTCTTCTTCTTCTTCTTCTTCTTATTCTTCAACAGAGGTTGGATTGGCATCTGTCAAGGATTCTTTCGCTGTGATTCCTGCATTGCTGGGGGTGGGACTATATGACTCTCAGGTGTCCCTTACAACTTTACAGTTCTCTTTTGTGATGGAATATAATGGCTCTCTGGCCTGGTGGGTTAAAGGAACCTACAGGTTCAGGGCAGTGCTAGAAATCAGCCCAGAGCCAGGCGCATTTTGAGGCTGGCGCAGGTCCAGTTGTGCCCACGTGGAGATCTCTGGATTTTTCGGTTGGCGACTGAGAGAAGGATCTGGAAGATTTTCCTTGAAGCTTGGATTTGTTTTATTTCATGTTTTAATGTGTCATAAACCCCTCTGAGATTTGTTCTTTAAACTGTATAGAAATGAAAATAATAATGATGATAATGATAATCATAGAAACTCCATCGCAAAAAAGAAAAGGAAAAAATGGTGCCTAGAAATTCTATTGTGGCGACTGCAGCCTAGGTTTAAGGTTCCCTTTGGCGACTAGATTACAGTGGTGCCTTGGTTTAAGAACAGCCCTGTTTACGAACTATTTGGTATACGTACTCCGCAAAACCGGAAATAGTGTCCTGGTTTGCGAACTTTACCTCAGTCTAAGAACAGAAGCTGAACGGTGGAAGGGCACTGGCGACGGGAGACCTCATTAGGGAAAGTGCGCCTCGCTTTAAGAACGGTTTCAGTTTAAGAACGGACTTCCAGAACGGATTAAGTTCGTAAACCAAGGTACCACTGTATATATTTGGGTTTCTAGTGCTGCTTCAGGGCCTGTCAGCCTCTGAATACCAGCATAGAAGGAACAATTGCGTAAAGGATTTATTACAGTCAAGCAGAATACAGTGGTACATCTGGCTATGTACTTAATTCGTTCCAGAGGTCTGTTATTAACCTGAAACTGTTCTTAACCTGAAGCACCACTTTAGCTAATGGGGCCTCCCGCTGCTGCCGCGCCGCCGCCACGCGATTTCTGTTCTCATCCTGAAGCAAGGTTCTTAACCTGAGGTACTATTTCTGGGTTAGCAGAGTCTGTAACCTGAAGCGTATGTAACCTCAAGCGTATTTAACCCGAAGTACCACTGTACAATTTTTCTTAGATGAACTAAATAAAAACCCACGAATAATGGCTGGGGTTGAGGAGATTGCTGCCTCTCTGCCCTGCCTGATGTCCCTTGACCTGATCGAGAAGAGCTGCTCTGGCCTCTGGCTGCCCACCTGGGCTCTTGCTCTCAACCCTGGAACGCATGAAGCGGGCAGGAGACCTCTAACCATGTGCAGAGTGCCTTTCCCTCACTTCCACCCAGCCTGAGGGGAGGAGGCAAAGAAGCCGTGGTGGTTCCTCAATCCCGACCCAGCTGCTGATTCTCCCCTCCTCCTCCTGCAGCCCGCCGAGGCCCCCGCCGGGTGGCTCACCAGATCCCCCAGGAGATCCTCTCAGACCCTGAGCTCCAGGCAGCCATGGCATCCCTCCCCAGCAACTACAACTTTGAGGTCCACAAGACGGTGTGGCGGATCCGGCAGGCCGGGGCAAAGCGGGGTGAGTGTCTTGGCCGGGGGGGGGGAGATGGCAAGACTATGGAGTTGGAAGGGGACCCCCAAGGGTCATCTAGAACAACCCCCTGCAGTTGTCTCCTGCTCTCCTTCCTTGGCTGAGCTCAGGGCTCCCGTCTGATTTGGGCCACTGGAGAGGTTTGGGCCCAGGAGACCCCCACCCTGGTGAAGCAGGAGGCAGGGAGCCTGGGGTGGGCGGAGCCAGAGTCAATGATGGGCGGAGCCAACTCAGGCAGTTAAAGCACCACGATGCTGCTTTAAACACTTGCGGCTCCCCCCAGAGGCTTCTGGGAGCTGTAGTTTAGTTCGGGGTGCTGAGAGGTGTTGGAAGACCCCTCTGTCCTATCAGAGCTACAATTCCCACATCCCCCTGCACAAGGAACTCGGGAATTGCAGCTCTCTGGGGGCGTCTCCTAACAACTCGCGGCACCCTTGACAAACTACAGCTCCCAGGATTCTTTGGAGGAAACCGGGGCTTTCTACTCCGCCCCCCAGGCCACATGGACACCAGAAAATTCTGATGTTGCTTTTAAGGCAGCCACGGCTTCCCCCAGGGAGTTCTGGGAGCTGTAGTTTGCTCAGGGTGCCGTGTTGTTCAGAGACCTTGCTCAGAACTACGGATCCCAGGGTTCCCTGTTGAACCACTCTGGGCGTAGGAGCTCTGGGAGGGGCACACAAGGAGACGGAGAGGAGAGCTGGCAGCCGGATTCAGTATGTGAAGGGGGAAGGTCGGACTGGATGGGACCCCCCTGGCCTGATCCTGCAGCCAGGCTCTTGATGCTCTCACATTCCCACAGCTGTGCAGCCTGCATCCTCGTGGGGAAGCCCTGTTTCGGGGGGGGGGCAGGGTGGCAGACCTTGGCTTGTGTGTGCGGTGGCTGCCCGGGGAGAGGGGCTGGCACAGCGGCTGCTGACTGGTGCCATCCGTGCCAAGGCGAGCCGGCTGCGTGCAGCTGTTGCCCGAGCAAGAGTCACGTCGGCCCGATGATCAGCCTCCGCGTCAGGGTGATAATGGGATCGGACAAGGCAGCGTCAGCTGCCGAGGGGCCTGGGAGCTTTCCCAGGCGGAGCCAGGCCTCTGCTTGCGCGGCTGGGGGGGGCGGAGTGGGGAGGGGCCTCTGGAGGGCAGCTAGCCAGGCGCGCCCCACGTTGGGAGAGATGGGGAGCGGGGATGGGAGGTTAAGGGCAGACAAAAGGAAGGGCTTCTTCCCGCAGCGCACGGTTAATCTGTGGAACTCGCCCCCGCAGGAGGCAGCAAGGGCCACCAACTTGAAAGAGGATTGGGCAGATTCATGGAGGAGGAGAGGTCTGTTGTGGTGGCAGAACCTCCATGCCCAGGGACAGTCTACCTCTGAATAACAGAGGCTCCGCTCAGGTCTTCTTTGTGGGCTTCCCTTTGGGCCATCTGCTTGACCACTGTGAGAAGAGGATGCCGGACGAGATGGCCCCTCTTGGGCCTGATCCAGCTGCCTGTGAATGAATGGAAAATCCAGATGAAGTTTATTAATTCTATTGCATTTGTATCCCAACTTTTTCTCCCATGGAGCTCAAGGTGGCCTACGTACTTCTGCCCGTTTCATCCTCACAGCAACCCGGTTGAGAGGCAGTGAGCTTCATGGCCAAGAGGGTATTTGAACCCTGGTCTTTTCTGGGTTCTAGCCCAGTACTCTAACCACTCGGCCACGCTGCCTTGGGTTGAAAGGTCTTGTCCAGCTGGAGTAGCCCCTTGACTTCCTGGGTCCTCTTCCCACCTTAGCAGCAGCTGGGCCAGTTTCAGCCACCGGCATTCCAGATGCAGCCATCCCATAATGTTTCGTGCAAGGACCCTGCAAAGGGAGTGTTCCTGGGTTGGGCTCAAGGCATGCCCAGAGGTTGTTCCACCTCACCCCGGTGTGCCGTGATGGGTCTGGGGGAGAAGGGGCACTGCCTCCTCTCTGGTTGCTCAGAAGCCCCCTTCCAGTCTTCTGCGCAGGGGTGTGAGGTGAGAATTTGGAAATGTGGAGGTCCAAGGGCCCCAGCTTGAGAATATTTTTATCCTGCTGTTCTGTCAGAAAAAGGCCCACGGAACTGCTTTGAAATCGCACATGCAAAAGATAGCCGCTGTCCCTTCGGGGTTGCAATATGAGAAGACGCAGCACAAAAGGAAAATGGAGGAGGAGGGAGGAGGAAATGAGCTTTCTGTGACATGTGTCCCTTCCTTCTTTCTCTCAGTGGCGCTGCAGATGCCCGAAGGCCTCCTCATGTTCGCCTGCACCCTGGCAGACATCATTGAGAGGTGAGTAGGGGAGAGAGAGGTCAAACGTGGACTGGCCCCTGGCGGGGATTGAGAGCAGGGCGGAGGGCGAATGGGTGGGCTGGGCCCTGAGAGGGTGCGCTTGGCGTGAGTGGGAGGGGGCAAGAATAATGCATCCTGGTATAAATGGCTTGCTCAGAGTAAGGAGGGCTGAAACCGCAGAGAGCCGGGGCTGCCAGTCAGTGCAGACAGCACTGAGCCTCAATCTAGTTGAGTAGAAAGCGTCTTCCTCTGCTGCTGCTTAGACCAGCCCTTTCTGCAGAGCCGCGAGGGACTAGAAATGTCCTTTTTAGGGGAAGGCCCCGGAAAGTTGCTGCCAGCCAGTGCAGGCCGTACTGAGCTAGATGAGCCAGTGGCCCGACTGCAGGTGTCAGGTCCCTTCCTACGGGTGGCCACTTCTGCGCCTGGCCTGGCTGGTTTGAGGATCTGCCCCTGTTTGCAGAGCCTCAGGGCATCCTAGACTCATTTGCAGGGCAGCCAATTTTTTTAAAATTTCATTTGAAAATGCAGCCCTTCTTCCTTTATTGGGTGGCCTTGTGAGCTGGAGGGGGTTGTCTGGAGGGGCCCCCGCGTCCAGACCAGGGAGCGGGACTCTGGCCAGGCTGCCACCCCCTTCCAAGGTGCCACAAGGTGTGGCCTGCGACTCCCTTTTCGGGACTGATGTGGTAACTTTCTGTCGTGGCGCAGTTACCTTGTCTTACTCCCAGAGCAAACCTGGCTTGAATAAAGTGTCCAGTTAAAAAGGAACGTAGTGAAAACTGCCTTCTGCTGAGTCAGGCCGTTTGCCCATCTAGCGCAGTATTGTCCGCACGGACCGGTAGCCACGGCTCTCCAGGATTGAACCTTCAGGAGCTTGGCTTGCAAGGCTGGGGCTCTGCCACTGGACCACCCTATCAGTACTCTAGTCCTCCTTATTCGAAGCGAGGGGCTGGCTTGACCAGGAATGGAGGAGGCTGAGGTGGTCATTGTCCCATCTTGCTCAGTGCTGTCTGCACTGGCTGGCAGCAGCTCTTTGGGGTTTGGGGGGCGGGAGAGTCGCTGTTGCCTCCATGACCTGCTCAGGGGGGTCCCTTAGGGGCCCTGTGAGGACAGGAGGGTAGACTAGATGGTCCCTCTTTGGCCCAATGCAGTGGCTGGTCTTGTTTTAAGGAGGGGGGCAGGTCCCTTTTCCTTTCCTGCCGTAGCTGTAGCCAGTTCCCGGCTGGTGTGCTGCTGGCCCTTTAAGGGAGCTGGCCTCCCTCCCAGCATGGGGCCGCTTTCATGTCTCCGACTTCAAAGGCAGCTGATTATGGCGATCCTTTTATCTGAATGAAACCTGAAGCATGACTTTCCCTGGCAGCAGCTGCCTCTGATACTTGGTGCTGCAGGCAGAGGAGGAGGAGGAGGAGGAGGGGAAAAAGAGGAGGAGGGGGCTGGGGGCCCACATTGCAGGGCCAAATTGCCCCAACCCGGGGGTTCCTCTCTTGCAAATGCCACTGGTCCTGTTCTTTCCCTCCTCCTAGAAGTGAGGCCTTATCTGCAGCCAAGTGCCTTGGTGGAACCTCCAGCTTTAAAGGCACGCTACCACCCAGGCGCCGGGGACCAGGAAGGGGAGACGGGCACATCCACCCCCAGGATCCCCTTCTTGTGGTCGCCAGGCCTCTTGCTCTCAGCCAGCCTTGCAAAGGAGCCTTTGTTGCCCTGGTGCCCCTTGGGCGTTCTGGACTGCAGTTCCCTCCATCACGGCTGCAGGAGCGCTGGGGGCTGATGGGAGTTGCAGTTTGGAACATCTGGATGGGACAACCTGGTTGCTCTGCGTGGCTTCCGTTGGTCTGGATGCAAAAACCACAGGGCGCCTGCCAGGTTTTGCCCGCATGTTTCCCTTGACCCAACCTTTCTGTTTCCCAGAGATTGCAAATGGTCCTTTTAAACGCCTCTCATTGCTGCTCTTAAATGAGGGGAAAATCCAAACCGGCAAGACACAAACCTCTGTTCTCTTCCCCGCCTCCCTCTTGAGACCATCGGAAGAACCTGGCAGCAGGATCAGGCCCCAGATGGGGCCCCATCGAGTCCAGCCTCCTGTTCCCCCTCCCCGTGGCCAACCAGATGCCCACAAGCAGGGGCACCAGATCCCCCTCCCCTCCCCAAAGCATCCCTGGCCTTTGGCGGCAGAGCAGAGCCATCGTCCCGGCTAGTAGCCATTCCTAGCTCCCTCCTCCAGCCTGCTTTCCAAGGCAAGCCTGCCCTGAAAAGCCTTTCTGGGAGTGGCGTGGGGAGAACGTCCATCTGTGGGGCTGGGAGCGGACGGACGTAGCCGTTCTGCCAAAGCAGCGTCCAGACCTGGCCTCGGATCCGCCTGGCTTCCTGCGGTGATTGCCATGCGAGGGAGCATCCTGGCGGCCGCATTTTCTCTCTACTGTATCTCTCACCCCCCCTCCCCAAATCCCCTCCTGGGCTCTTGTGCCGCTCCTGCCTTTCATATGAAACCTCTCTTCCAGAGATTACTCTGAGTGAAATATTCAGGAGGCCATAAAGGGGGGGGGGAGGACGTGTGGGTGCGTGGAAGGAGGGGGGTGATCATGGTGAGGTGGGTGCCGCCCACTCAGATCTTCTCAGCTCGGCAGAGCCGCCCACCTTGCTGAGTGAGTGCCGGCGGAGGCTGGGGGGCGATTCCTCCCAGCCCGTCAATCTGACACAGCCCAAACCCAACACAGGATTCGAACGTGGTGCTTCCTTTGGGGCGGGTACTCGATGTCTCTTTCCTGGGTATGTTGCCCTTGGAACCGACTGCTTGTCTGCTGGGGAGGGCGGGCGAGAGTTCAGAGTGCGCCAGGCCAACTCGCCAGGAACGGCGCAGCGTGCGCAAGTCTCCGGACTTGGCAGAGATCTTGGGCATGAAAGGAGCCTCTCTGGCAGAAACTTTAAAGCCCTCTCTCCCCACTCGCAGAACAAGCCAGGACGGGGAGATAAGGAGGATCAAAGGAGGCCCAGACGCGCATCTCGCATGCCAAGGTGCCCACGGAGTTGGCATGGGGGGGGCTGGGAGCCGTTCTCACCTCTCCGTCCCTCCGTAAGACGTGTGCTGGATCAGTCCAGCAGCCCATTGAGTCCAGCCGTCTTGATCTCACAGGGGCCAAATACCCCTCGGAGAACAGGAATCGAGATAGACTGCCCCCGAACTGGGAGGTTTCATAATCAGAAGAGTCTCCTGTCTTCACAGTGAGCAACTCTCTGGCAGGAACTGAGCTCTTCGGAGACTTCCTGAGCTGGACTGGATGAGCCCTGGGGGTCCCTTCCAACTGCAGAATTCTGCAATTCCAAGAAGCAGCAAGGGACTCGCCCTCTAGGCGGTCGCAGAAGGGCAACTGCTGGCCAAAGCTGTGGGATCGGAGGCCGGTTTGACCACCTCCCCGGGGCTGATGGCACAGCAGCCGTGCTTCTCCCTTCCTTCGCTCCCCCTCCTCACGAGGAAACAAAGGGGCAGGGAGAAGCGCATGCAAATGCCCTCCTGCTGGATTTGCATGGATCTCAGGCGGGGCTGCAGAGTTTGGCTTCCCAGGCGGCCCAGCCAGGGCGCTGCTGCTGCTGCTGCTGCGTCTTGAAGGCGGCTGCTATTTTCGGCTTTCCAAATTCGCAGCCTTCTCGCAGGTGGAGTCTGGCACCTGCATGGCCGAGCCGCCAAATCTCTCTCCCGCTTTGTCTATCAGCCCCCCCCCAATACATGACACCCCCCCAGTTGCTGCCTGAGCTGAAAGACCTCTCCTTGCCCCCCGCCCCAGCAGATCACACACCTCTCCCTGCAATTGATTATCATCATCAGTTGCATTTATATCCCGCCGTTTCCCCCACCGTGGCAGGCAGGGTTCTTCCCAGCAAACCTGGTCCCCCCAACAACCCTGCCAGGTAGGTCAGGCTGAGCGGGGCCAGGTGAGCTTCACGAAGGCTGAGCAGGGGGGATTTGACGCCTCCCAGGGGTTAGTCCTCATTGGATCCCCACCACAGCCCCAAACGCGGCACTTCTGCCCCCCCCTTTGCTGCTGCCGCTGCCTGCCTTTCGCCCTGGGAAGGAAGGCAGAAAGGAAGGAGGGAGGCTGTTAGCAGAATAGTGCCCTGCGGCCTTCTCCAATCAGAGTTAATGATCTGTTTATCGTGTGACATTTTGACGGGAGAAGAACCGGTGGAGCTGAACTGCGAGGCGTCCGCTCCGTAGGGGCGGCGGGAGCACTGGCAGCTGCAGCCGCCGCCAACGGGGGAGTCCCTGGCCTGCCGGGTGCTGCCTGCCCTGGCGGGTGCAGGGGGGTGGCAGCCAGGTTCTTGCAGGGGCAGGAGGATCAGGGCCTCCGCGCCCTCGCGTGCAGCCTTGGTGCATCCAGCTGGCTTCCTTCCCCTGCTGCGCCCAGATAATCGCAGATTTTGTGCTGGGTGAAGGGGGAGAGGGGCTTCAGCAGAGCAGCTGGCCGCAGCTGGATTGGACCAAGGTGGGGCCCACCAGATCCCGCCCTGGCCAGCCAGATGCCCCAGTGGGAAGCCATCAGCAGGACCTGGGAGCCCTCTCCTCCTTCCTCCTCCTCCATGGATTTTTCTAATTAGCTTTTCGAGCCATCTAGGTGGGTGGACATCCGGTGGGAGGGAGTTCCACAAGTTATCCGTGTGCTGCGTGAAGAAGCCCCTCTGTGGCCGACCAGATGACCCCAAAGGGAACCCATGGCAAGCAGGACCTGAGAGCAGCAGCCTCCTCCCACTCTTGTTCTCCCGCATGCTAAGGTAGACTGGCTCTGGCCATGGAGGTTCTGTTTAGGAATCCTTAGCGACTAAAAGCTCTGCCGGTCCCCCTCGGCCACCAGTGTTCCCACAAGCAGTGTGGGATTGCCTCCAATGACCATTTTAGTCCCTTAAAACTCTCCCTGCGACTTCACGCCCCGTCTCTGCCGCTGCCTTGTTGCCACGTTTCCTCAGCCTCGGTTTTCCCCGTCTGTGGAATGGGAAGACCAGTCGTCATGCAGGAGAGTGCAGAGGTGGGGAACCTCCTGCCCCACAGCGTCAGCCCCTCCAACTGGTCGGCTCCTGCTGCCAGTGAGCAGTATGATTGTCCTACTCTGTCCAGGGGAGCGAGATCTCCTGCAGGCCGCAGTCCCTGCTCTAGCCGGAGCAAGGATGCGCTTTCCCGTCCTGGGTGGGGCTGCCCCCTTTCTGGTGCCGTGGGGCTGGCTGTGGGTGTGGGTGTTCTGCCTGCCTCCCCTGCTTCTCTCTCCCTCCTGCATCTTCTGCCTCGGAGAAGCGCAGCCTCATTTTTTGATGAGCGCCTAATCCCCTGAATTGCAAACAGCTTTCCCCAATTGAGGAGGTGGATTAGCACACTCCAGTTTAATCATGTTGACATCTCCGGAGTGGCCTGGCTGCTGGGGCAGCGGAGGGAGGGGGGCAGCCTGCCAGGGGTCTTCCAGCTGGCGGAGGGAGAGGGTGGGGTTGCCTCCCCTACAGGGGTGGTGTGGGGTGGCTGCGGAGGTGCCTTTGATCATCCTGCCACGGGTCCAGCTTCTCCTCCTCCCAACTTGCAGCTCCAGTGGCCTCTTCCTTAAAAAATCCTAGAATCGTCGAGTTGGACAGGACCCCCAAAGGTCATGTAGTCTGACCCCCTGCAATGGAGGAGTCACAATACATCCGGATCTTTGCTGCCCTTGCAAGAAGCCCCTAGAAAGGAAGTTGGGACTCGTGGGCATTCGGCGAAACTGACCGTTGGAAGATTCGGGATAGATCAAAAGGCTTCTTCACGCAGCACAGAGTTAACCTGTGGAACTCACTCCCACAGGAGACACAATGATGGCTGCCAAGCTGGATGGCTGTGAAAGGGGATTGGGCAAACTCATGAAGGAGGAGATGCCTATCGATGGGCGACTAGCCAGGATGGCGACGCTCTGCCTGTGTGGCCGGAAACCATTAATGCCGAAACCGCAGGAGGAGAAGGAGCTTGTGTTTTGCATTTGGGGCATCTGATTGGCCACTGTCAGAATACTGGGCCGGATGGGCCATGGACTCTTCTGGTGGTGTTAAGATGTGCCTGTTCCCATTTCCCGTCTGGGAAAACTGAGGCTAGAAGATGGCGACTGGCTTGATTCATCCGGGTCTTCTCCGGTCCAGCGGTGCACCTGCTGCTGTTCCCCAGCAGCACCTGGCTGGGCCCCAAAGCTGGGAAGTGGGGCAGAGCACCTCCCTCTTTCCTCAGCCACCTCCTCTCCTCTCTTGCAGGTTCACAGAGGCCGAGGCCGTGGTGATGGGCGATGTGACCTACGGGGCCTGCTGCGTGGACGACTTCACCGCCCGGGCGCTGGGAGCCGACTTCCTGGTCCACTACGGCCACAGCTGCCTGGGTACGAAGGAGGCAAGGGCCGGGCCTGGGCCAGTCTCTCCGCCCGGGAATTAGAGGTCTAGTCTTGGTGTGGCAGTTGAAGAGTGGCAGACTGGGGAAACTGGGGGTTCACATCTCCACTTGGCCTTGTACAGTCATACCTTGGGTTGCGAACGTGATCCGTGCGGGAGGCATGTTTGCAACCCGCAGCGTTCACAACCCACGGCGCACGTGCGTGACGCGATTTGGCGTTTCTGCGCATGCGCGTGACATTTTGTGTTCCTGCGCATGTGCGAGCGCCAAAACCCGGAAGTAACCTGTTCTGGTACTTCCGGGTTTGGCGTGGTCCGCAACCCGAAAATGTGCAACCTGCAATGTTCGTAACCCGAGGTATGACTGTAGTTTGCAGGGTAGGTCACGTTGGGTGGGCCTCCTCCCTTCCTCCCTTCCTTCCTTCCTTCCTTCCTTCCTTCCTTCCTTCCTTCCATCCATCCTTTTTGCCTGGCCTTCCTCGCAGGGTTGCAGTGAGGACAAACCCGGGATTGGTGGGCAGGAGGTCCTTGGGCGCCCCCTTGAGCTCTTTGGAGGAAAGGCAGCCTTTGAACATAAAGGGAACTCTGGAGTCTGGGGCAGAATTATTTCTGCCCTGTCTGCATCCTTTCCTCTCCTGTTTTTCCTTTTGTTTCACAGCGTCCTTGATTTCGGGAGCTTCTGGGGATGGGCTGTGGCCCCGCTTTGCCCCATGGAGAGTATTTTGGGGTTGGGCGGGGGGCTTTGCTGCACTGGAGGAGGAAGAGGAGGAAGGCTTGGCTGGGTGGGGGAGGGGAGGCCAGGAAACCCGAAAAGAGGGCTGGCTGCTGCCGCTGCCTTGCATCTCCCTAGGCGGAAACGGTTCTCTGGATGCTGTTGCTATGGCAACTGCAGCGCTGCTGTCCCAGATGCTGCTAACTTTGAAGTCCGCCCAGGATGGAATCCGGCTCAAAATAACAGGGAAAGGAAAGGAAAGGGGGAGGGAGAGAGAGATAGAAAAGGAAAAAAGGGGCCATGTTAGCTTTTAAGGTGGATCTGCAGAATTATCGCCCCGGAGGGAGGGGGTGGAGCTTCCCTGAGCCTTCATCCTCTCTCCTCCCTCTGGCCCAGCTCTCTGATTTTTTTTGGCATTGTTGCTAGGGCTGTTGCTGGGCGTGTGCGTGTGCGTGTGGGGTCACAGTGATGGAGTGGGGGGTGGGAGATCATTGGAGGGGTGGGGAGAAGCGGGTGGATGAGGAGGAGGCTGTAAGACCCCCCTGGCACAGGCGGATTGGAAGTGGGGAGGAATCTCTCTTACCTATTTTATTCCCGCTTTTCCTGGCTTCTCTCCCCCCCATCGCAGCCCTCTGCCACCTTTCCAGGTCAGGGACGGCCTTCGCAGAAGGAGGAGCAGTCTGTATTCTGCACACACACACACCTCCCTCTCTGTCCTCCCCCCCCCCCCACGATTTTCAGTGCGCCAAGAGGACCAGGGCAAGCTGGTGGGGGGGGGGGGTTGCATTATGCAGGGACACCCCACCCTTGCCAAGTGGTACACCTAAAGGGCAGCCTGAGTCCCTTGGGGGCTTCTCACAGTTAGCAGGCAGGGTAGTGGGATTGGGGGGGCTGGCAATGCAGCCCCTCCCCCTTCCCTGAGCTAGTGGCCCTAGAGCGCCAGCACCGCAGGGGTGTTGCGGGCAGGCAGACGTGCGGCAGCCAAGTTCCGAGTTCTGTTTAGGAGAGGTTTAATTGACGCCACATGCCGTCCGTCTCTCCTTCCCTCTCTCTCTCTCTGCCAGTGAGATTGAAAAGCCATCCAAAGCGAAGCACCCAAACCGCTGCTCGGAAAAGCCTCCTTGGCGAATTGCAGAGTTGGAAGGGATCCCCCAGAGGTCATCTAGCCCAACCCCCTGCAATGCAGGAAGTGCAGATAAAGAATACATGGCAGGTGGAGGCGCAGCTTTGGCATGGCTTGCGTCTCTGTGCTTAAATTTTTGAGTAGGCTCCCGTTCCTTTGGCTAAGACAGGGGGCCAGGAGGGACAACCCCCCCCCAAAAAAATGGTTCTAGGGGATTTTGCACGTGGAGACAGTGGAGCGGACTCCCTCAGGAGGTGGTGGTTTCTCAGCCTCCTCAGAGGGCAGGCAATTCTGTCATGTTGGGAGGGATGCTGAAGTCGCACCCGCTGCAAGGACAGGGGTGGAAATGGCTTTCCGTCGCAGAACAGCCACTCATGCAGAGGTGCGATGGGAGGTGCTCCTTCTGGAATGAAATCCCTTTGTGCAGTGCGCAGTTTGGGGAGGAGAATCCGTCTCTTCTTGGAAGGTGTGGAACACCCAGTTCCTTGAGTCGTGGGGAGTCCCTTCTCTTGGCAATCTGGTGTCTTTATGCCAGCGTTTCCCTGGCATCCATTAAATGCATTAAGGACTCACGGAATCATAGAATTGTAGAGATTGAAGGGATCCCAAGGGTCCAGCCCCCTGCAACACAGGAATCGCAGCCAGCAATTCATTCTTTATTATTATGCTTTTCTGCTTTGTGTTTCGACCTGCAAAGGGGCCAGAGTCAGCGTCTGTGTGGATGTGCTCTTTGCAGCGGTGGCTGGGTAGCCAGAGCTACTTTCCTGCTCTGCTTGGCTCTCCCTGCACCCCACGTAATAATAACAAGAATAATAATAATAATAATAATAATAATAATAATAATAATAATTTATTATTTGTACCCCGCTCATCTGGCTGGGTTTCCCCAGCCACTCTGGGCAGCTTCCATAGAGACCAAAAATACACTAAAATGTCACACATTAAAAACTTCCCTGAACAGGGCTGCCTTAAGATGTCTTCTGAATGTCAGGTAGTTGTTGTTCTCTTTGATATCTGGTGGGAGGAAGTTCCACAGGGCGGGCGCCACCACCGAGAAGGCCCTCTGCCTGGTTCCCTGTAGCTTCGCTTCTCACAATGAGGGAACCGCCAGAAGGCCCTCGGCGCTGGACCTCAGCATCCGGGCAGAACGATGGGGGTGGAGACGCTCCTACATGGGCTAGAAACCTGATGGAGGTTGTTGTCTTTTTCATTTTGCTGGGACAGAAGGGAAGCCACACTTTCCCACTTTCTTCATCCAGCGTTTGAGCATGTTGCGATTGTGGCAGTGTGGGATCTCCCCACCTTGGGTTGGCGGGGTTTGCTGCTGAGTAAGAAAATTTATCTTAATGGGGTGAGACCTGAAATCTATTGGATGGAGGATCAGCGTGCTTCTCTCCCTGGTGCCCCCCCCCAAAAAAACACGCCCTGTCATTTTCTCTACCCTCTCCCTCCAGTTCCCATCGACTCCACGCAGGGAGTGAAGATGCTCTATGTCTTTGTAGACATCAAGATTGACACGGCACACTTTGTGGAGACCCTGCGCTTCAACTTCCCCGCGGGGGCCGCGCTGGCCCTCGTCAGCACCGTCCAGTTCGTCTCGGCGCTGCAGGTAAGAATAGGGAAAGAAATCACAATATTGTGTGCGCTGGGAGTCTTGCGTGCATATCCTTCTTCAGACAGCGTATTGTTAAACTGTGGAACTCTCCTCTGCAGGAGCCACTGGTGGCTTTAAAGGTGGGCTGCTCTTTATTCATGGAGGAGAGTGAGCATGTCCGTGGCTTCTAGCCACCAGGGCTAGGCTGTGTCAGCGCTGTGGGAGGGAGGATGTCCCCAAACACCAGATACAGTGGTACCTTAGGTTACATACGCTTCAGGTTACATATGCTTCAGGTTACAGACTCCGCTAACCCAGAAATCGTGCTTCAGGTTAAGAACTTTGCTTCAGGATGAGAACAGAAGTCGTGTGGCGGCGGCGCAGCAGCAGCAGCAGGAGGCCCCATTAGCTAAAGTGGTGCTTCAGGTTAAGAACAGTTGCAGCTTAAGAACGGACCTCCGGAACGAATTAAGTACTTAACCCGAGGTACCACTGTACTGGGAATCACAAGGGCAAGAGGGTTGCTGCTGCGCCCCTGCTTGGGGGCTTCACATTGAGGAAAGGAAGACGGACTAGATCATGGGTAGGCAAACTAAGGCCCGGGGGCTGGATCCGGCCCAATCGCCTTCTAAATCCGGCCCACGGACGGTCCAGGAATCAGCATGTTTTTACATGAGTAGAATGTGTGCTTTTATTTAAAATGCATCTCTGGGTTATTTGTGGGGCATAGGAATTCGTTCATTCTCCCCCCCCCCCCCACAAGGTCTGAGGGACAGTGGACCGGCCCAATGCAGAAAAAGTTTCCTGATCCCTGAACTAGATCGTAGAATCATAGAATGGTACCCAAAAGTCATCTAGTCCAACCCGCTGCAATGCAGGAATCTTTGCTAAAGCATCCCTGACAGATGGCCATCCAATCTCTGCTTTAAAACCTTCAAGGAAGCAGAGGCCACCATCTCCCGAGGGAGACCGTCCCACTCGTGAGCGGCTCTGACTGCCAGAAAGTTCTTCCTGATGTTGAGTCGGATTCTCCTTTCTTGTGATTTGAATCCATTGGTTCAGGTCCTCCCTCATAGAGCGGCAGGAACCAGCCTTGCTCCATCTCCCTTCCGATATTTGAAGATGGCTCTGTGTCTCACCTGCCTTGCATGGTGCTGGAATTTCAGGGTACAGGGGGGCCGCCTATGCTTTGTGGAGACCCTGAAGAGCCACACCAGGGAAGCCTTTTCCCCAGTGTTACGGAAAAAACTAGGTGCAAGGCTGCTCAGTCCCCCAGCTGGTCGGGCAGAGCCCGCGGGTCCCTGCGGAATAAAGGAAGGAGTCCAGCCAACCGGAGCCAATAGCTGTAGACCAAAGTTTATTGTGCAATAGGTTCAAAGAGGAAATTTGAACCCCGAGGATGGGGTGACAAAGACTTTTAAAACTTTCCCACCATATCCCAGAATACAGTTCGTACAGCATCATTGCTACATCACTGACATGTCACAAAAGGGGAGGGGTAGGCAGGGGTTATACTAGTTCAACCTTGGCAAACAGGTCCAGACAAGTCCTTGGTTCAAAATTAGCATTAGCAGACATGTCAGGGCAAGACCCAGGTATGAGATTAGCATAGGCAAACACCTCTGAAGTCCCACCACCCAAAGTACAATAGAACTTCCTTTGCATGTCTGGACCCCTGGCAAGTTTGGTGATGGGATTAGGCTTTCCTTGGCCCACAGTTAGCTCAGCAATTGTCACCTCTGGGCACTTCCTGGGGTAGGAGGTGTGTATACATGTCCCCTCTTGGGGAGGTGGAAGGGAAAAGAGTCATTTTTTAAAAGGGCAAAATAGTGTTGAAATGGAGGGAACTGGCAAAGGACTTGATTTTATATGATTGTTAAAGCTAGGTAACTTCCCTGAGCTGTCAAGTCGAAAGGAGACATTTATGCATAATATTTGTAAGATTGAACAACTTTAAAGATGTGGGGGCCCCCCCTGTAATTTCCGTGACACCCCCCTTGGAGGTTTTTAACCAGAAGCTGGACGGCCACCTGCCAGGGATACTTCAGCTGCGATTCCTTCATTGCAGGGGGCTGGACTGGATGACCACGGGGGGTTCCCATCCAACTACATTCATATGATTCTCCTCCCTGCTTTCTCCGAAACCCGTTTTTTAACTGGCTGGATCAGCGAGCTCTCTAACATCCCGGGATGACTGTCTGAGCTCCTGTCTGCCGCTTGTCTCACCACATCCCTGTTTGGCAGCCACTCTGTTACTGTCACCCAAGACAGCCCGAGCGAGCGTCACAAAGCGGGTGGCAGGCAGGGAGGGGTCCCAGCAGGGCCTGCAAAGCGCCTGGGTGGGCAGAGATGGATGGGCGCCGGGCGCCGGAGCCGTCTGAACATGGCAGCATTGGAGCGTTAAGGAGGCAGACGCAGCGCCTGCCCTTTTAATTGATGCTCTGCCAAACCCCACGTGGCCCAGCCCGGTTCCCAGGGGTGACGTTTTGGGTTTTATTTTTTGGGGGGGAGCCCTCGTCACACAACGTGACAGTCGTATGCCCAGCTCCCATCCAGGGTGGTGCTGAGCCTCCAGAGCACGTCTCTTTCTCGGTCAGGAAGATGGCCGTGGATCCAGCTTTGGGGAACTGGAGCTCTCCAAAGTAATTTTAGGATTTTTCACGTCTTTGGGGTGTGTGTGTGCTCCTGGTCAAGTCCCTTTTCTTTTGATTTTTATAATGTATATAAAACGGAGAGAACAGTTAGGGCAACAGACAAAATTGGAATAATGGAAAATAAAACATGTGTACAGTTGGAGGCGGGTTAAAATGAGGAAGTCCAAGTAAAGAATGCCAGCATTTATCTGATGATGCAGTTTGGTTCCAGATTTGGCAGCCTTGGAATGAGGGCCGCCTTCAAAAGGATCATATAAAAGGTGCCGGGAAGCTCTAGTCCTCGTCAAAATCCATTATGTCCTCCATTATTGCTCTGTTCCAAAACTGGTGGTACCAAGCTCCCAGTGTCAGATTTTGGGCTGTTTTCTGTTGAGTCACAAGCAACTATTTGAGCTGCCAAGATAATAATTTAAGGTTTCTTTCTTTGACAATATCTCTGCGTTGATAGGTGGTTTGGTGTGTTGATTTTATATTTTGAAACTCCTTAAGTTGGGGTGTAGATGTAATGACACCGGTGAGAACAACCGTTATTAATCTCAGCCCCTGTGTTTCTGTGTCCTCCTTCCTCCCTCCCCCTTGACAGGCTGCCCGGCAGGCGCTCCAAGCCGACTACTCCATCTGCACCCCGCAGTGCAAGCCTCTCTCGCCCGGGGAGCTGCTGGGGTGCACAGCCCCCCGCCTGGCCCAGGCCACGGACGCCATCGTGTGAGTAGGACCCCTCGCGTGGGCACTGCTTGGGATCGGGGCTCTTGGCTAGATAGATGTGTTGGGACACAGTGGACATGGGTGCCTGCGGGGCTGAAGTAAAATCACTGGAGGGTTGCAGCGCCTGCTGCGGCTCTAGAGGCCGATGCAGGAGAGACATGTTTCGTTGCATCTGGGCCAGAGGAAGATGCATGTATCTATGGTTTGGCAAGATCAGCGGTATCACGGACCACGTTTTACAGACTGCAATAATGCTCAGCAAAAAGTCACACATAAATGCAAAAAGTCAGCCTTGAGCTGTGTCTCCGTTATGCAGGTGAGCCTAGCCGTATCTGGGTCCTCAAAGGGTCCTATTCCTCCGTCCCTTTTCCGGTCAGTCGTACCTTGGAAGTCGAATGGAATCCGTTCCGAAAGTCCGTTCAACTTCCAAAATATTTGGAAACCAAAGCGCGGCTTCTGATTGGATTCAGGAAGCCCCTGCACCCAATCGGAAGCCCCATCGGACGTTCGGCTTCCAAAAATAGTTTGCAAACTGGAACAGTCACTTCCGAGTTTGCGGCGTTTGGGAGCTAAAATGTTCGAGAACTAAGCTGTTCAAAAACCAAGTTATGACCGTGTAGGCAAGTGAGTTTTGCCGGTTGTCTGCTGACCAAAAACCTCGCACGGGTTCTTTTCCTTTTGAGACTCAGACGTTACAGGCTATTTTCTGGACAATGGCCAAGTTCCACGCAGTTTCCGTGCCGTAATTCAAGAGATCAATCTTGCGGGTTCTTCCGTTTTTGTGCTATGGAGTTTCTCGCAGGACCCAGAAATCATGTGGGATAGTTCATCTGGGGGAATTGATCTGGGTTAACCTCCCGCAGCATCCGTAATGGGATCGGGGGCTCAGGTTTCCTGCCCTGACTCAACTCCGAGCTGAAGGGACAAAAGAAAAGGGGCCCTCTGAGCAGACGCAGAGTGCCTTGCCCTTGCCCTTTGGGTTGGGAGCTTCAGGAATGCTGCTTCACAAAGCTTGGCTGGTGGCGGTAATGTCCTATGGGTGGGGGCCGGGGAAGGTCCCAGGGGCCAGGTATCAGTAGGGTGGAGGGGGGCATATTTGCAAGCCCCATGCCCAGAGACTGGTGCCTCTCGGCCTGCAGAACCCCACAGAACCCCCGTGTGACCTCTGGAAATCTTGACGGAAGTTTTTGAGAAGTTCTGGCTGCTTCTGCCATGCACCTTTTGGTCCTGGATCAACTCCTGTTTGTGGGAGGCCTGGGTGGGACTTTGCCCCCCAGAAGTGGGGCCAGAGAGAGATAGAGTGGGGGGGGGGGAGAGAACTTGGCACTTTGGGGGAAGACAGACGACTCTGGGCCTGATGCAGCAACCCCATTAATTTTCTTTAAGGACAGCGAATTAGCCGGCCCCTGCCTCCCGCACACCTAATTATGAGAGGTAATGGAAATGCTTAATGCGCTGTGAACGGCGCAGCAGGGAGACAGAGGGAAATAAATAACGCCCCCCCACTCTGGGAGGAGAGGGGGTGGCCAGGGAGGGGAGGGGGCTTTTCTGGCCAGCCCCCCAACCAAAATGATGGAGGGTTTTTTGCCGCCACCGTGGCCAACCTTCCCCAGTTTCCCCTCCTCCCAGGGGAGCTGGATACGTCTGGGATAGTCCTGTTCACAAGCACAGCCAGGTTGGGGCCGCCTTCCTAGGAGTTCAGAGACTTACAGAATTGTGGGATTGGAAGGGACCCCCCAAGGTCCTCTAGTCCAGCCCCCTGAAAGCTGAACTCTGCTGCTCCCGATGGGGACCAGCGACTAGATTGCCTCGTGAGTCAGGGCAGGCTGGGACTCCAGCAGCAGCAAGAGGAGATGCGGAGGCAGAGGAGGCTGCCCACTGTACCCCTGTGTGATGCACAGTTCTGTCCTGGTGGCTGCCTTCCACCAACAGGCAGAGGGTTGCCTCTAAGTATCGGGCGCCATTAGGCTTCCTGCTCTTGATGCTGGCACCACAGGGCAGGCCTGTCCTCCGGGGAGGTTCCCCGTTGTGTCTCTGCCCTGGCCAAGTGCAGAGCAGCATCCGAGGGGCATCTTTGAGGAGGAGAGGTGCTTCGGGGTCTTATAAGACACCCTGAGACTCTGGGGGGCAAAAGGGGGTCTCTGTTTGACATCTGTTGGGTGGGGCTGGGAATGACCCCTCCCCAAATCCCTGGAGAGAGGCTGCCAGACCAGACGCAGTGGTCTGGATCCATCCAGCGACGCTCCTGAGCGTCCCTCCAAATTTAATTAAATTTGGCAGCAACGAAGGCCCACGTCAACTATTAGAACACCGGTGCGGAGTCTCCGGCGTTGATGGATGGCGCTCACCAAAGCGGGACCTCGTACCGCCAACGGCCACTTGGAGGGTTACGTCTCAGGATCTGGAGAGCGATGAGTAGCTCTGGCTCCTTCTGGACCCCACAGTGTGCCAAAGCCTCTGTTTCTTCTGGTCGGAGGGCTCACCTTTTGCCCCCCAGGGGCCAAATTCCGTGGTGCGCAGTTTCCTGGGGGCCGCCTGCTTTTGTCAGGTGGGGTGACGGAGGCGACACTTGGCTGTAGACTACAACTCCCATCAGGCCCTGCCAGCATGGATTACCTTGCTCTGTGTCTGATGGGAAGCACCCCCTGTCCTGGCAGTGGCTGATGGGAGTTGTAGTCCCGCCAGGAGGGCGCCATGTTGGTGTTTCCTCAGGGGGTCCATTTTTGCAAAGGGTCAGTCGTGCAGAATTTAACGTTCGTGGCGACCTCTCGGGACGGTTTATCGGCTGACAGGGTGGAAGTTCTTTAACTCCGTCCCCGGGTCGGATGGGAAAAGGATTTTTCTGTCTCATGTCACGTTTGTAAAATGTATTTTATGTATTATTTGGTTTTTATCTCGCCTCGTCTCCAAGGAAATCAAGGTTCTCCCCTTTCCTTGTTTTATCCTCTCGACAACCCTGTGAGGTAGACCAGGCTGAGAGACAGCCGCAGGCCCTGCAGTCAGCCACCGAAATGTTGCTTTTGAGCCGGGCCCTTGAGCCCAGGGGTGGCTAATCTGTGGCCCTCTAGATTCCCTTCAGCTCCCAGCTCCCTTCCTTTCTCACCCGTTGCCCCACAGGCTAGGGGGCCAGTTGGAGCAGGGGCGTTCAGCAATATCTGGAGAGTGACAGCTCAGCCCCCCTCTGGCTGCCTGCTGTGCCACACTGCAGTTTCCTGAGAGAAGAGCAGCACCCAGTGGCCATGAGTTCCGCAGATCCATCCCTTCCCTTTCGCAGACCTTCCACCTGCTTTTGACTCCTCACCCTCCGAGGCTTTGGAGGGCTTCTCCCTCGTTCCGCAAATGGGGGTTCAGAGGGGCGACAGACCCTCCTCGCCCCGGCCCCCTCCTCTGCCCTGGGTGCTGCTGCCGCGACCGGCTCAGGCTCAGTAATTATTTTGCCCGTCTCTTGGGCGGACGCTTTCAAAGAAAGCAGGCAAATTAGCTTTGATCCTCCGAAATGTCATTCCACAATTAAAGGCAAAAATCTAGTCAGGTTTTCTGTCCGGATTCATTTTCCGACCCCTCACTCCATTAGGGCAGCCAAACGAAAGAGTTTGAGATGTAATTGCTGACTCGGAATCTGATTACAACGGGAAGCGAAGACGTCTCCCTCGCTAAGGACCCGTCCTGGCTCTCCCAGGGGCGCTCTTGCTGGGGACGGGGGTGCTGGGTGCGGGTCCTGGGGAGGAAATGGGGCAGAGAATCTGGCACAGCGCTGTCTGCACTGACTGGCAGCATAGGCTCTCCGGGGTTTCGAGGTGGGTTCTCTGCCAGGCCTACCTGGCGATGCCAGTGGGAGATGTCAAACCGGGAACCTTCTGCCTGCTGAGCTGTGTCCCTTTTCTTAAAGAAAAGAACCCAAGAATCTAGTCCTCATGGTCCCAAATAAAGGCGTGATTTAAGCAGGGACAAAAGAAGCTGCCATAATTGTGCACAGCCAGCTCCATCACCTGCACTGACCGGCAGCATTCGCTGGCCCCTGGGGGAGCAGGATGCTGGGCTGGATTGGACCCGTTTTGGCTGTTCTGGTTTGTTCTTATGGAACCTCCAGGTGCAGAGGCAGTCTATCTCAATTCCAAGGTGCTATGGGGCGTTGGCTGGGACGCGGGTGGCGCTGTGGGTAAAACCTCAGCGCCTAGGGCTTGCCGATCGCGTGGTCGGCGGTTTGAATCCCCGCGGCGGGGTGAGCTCCCGTCTTCGGTCCCAGCTCCTGCCCACCTAGCAGTTCGAAAGCACCCTTAAGTGCAAGTAGATAAATAAGTACCGCTTTATAGCAGGAAGGTAAACGGTGTTTCCGTGTGCTGCACTGGTGCTGGCTCACCGGAGCAGCTTCGTCACGCTGGCCACGTGACCCAGAAGTGTCTTCGGACAGCACTGGCCCCCGGCCTCTTAAGTGAGATGGGCGCGCAACCCTAGAGTCGGACACGACTGGCCCGTACGGGCAGGGGTACCTTTACCTTTATGGGGCGTTGGACCCCTGTGAGAACAGGACACTGGACCAGATGGGCCCCCTTTGGCCTGATCTTTCAGAACTCCACCTCCCACCATCCCTAACCATTGGTCCTCCTGACTGTGAGGAGTTGAAATCCACCACCATCTTGGAGGTGGGGTCCATGTGTGTTTTCGACAGGCTGCCCCTCCCTGCTTTATATAAAAAGTCAAAAGTCCATTCTGGAGAGTAAAAGGGTCTTGCTTCATTGGCGCGAAATGGTACCTCCACGTTCAGAAGAAGTCTACCCACCTGTGTCCCCCGTTGCCTTTGGAAATAACGTTTTGCTGGCAAAACAAACAGGACGCAGTAACAAAGAGCCAGATTGTGTTTACGTGTTTATACTAAAGTTCCTTGCTTGCCTTAAAAAAAAAAAAAAGATATGTTTTTGCACAACGAAAACATCAAGGTGTAATAGCAAACGGAAAAGCACGATCCATTTTTAAAAATGAAAATGCAGCGTTAGCAGGAGCAGCGAGAGAGTCTGGAGGAAAGCAGCCTGAGCGGCACGGAGGGGGGCCTCTTGAGAAAGCCAGATTGGTCCAAGCGAGTCTCCTTTTGGAAGATTCGAGACAGATAAGAGAAAGTCCTTTTTTTGCACAGCGCAGTTAAACTGTGGAACTCCCTGCCACAGGAGGCTGTGAGGACCACCACCTTGGATGGCTTTGAAAGAGGATTGGATGGAGGCAGAAAGAGCTCTGGAGGGCTCCCTACCAGAATGGCTCTGCTCAGAAATGCTTCTGGATCCCAGTTACTGGAAACCACACGAGGGAACAGGGCTCTTGGGTTCCAATCCTGCTTGGGAGTTTTGCATTGGGGCATCTGGGTGGCATGTGAGAACAGGATGCCGGACTAGATGGGCCACTGTCCTTACTTTCCTTCAGAACAAATGGGGGACCCTTTTCGTGGCTGGAGACAGTGGGTACCCAGAGGGGCTTGTTTTCAGACCCCCCTCCCTTCTTGGGGGTCTGGGGCAGAAGGCGGCCTGGGGGCCCTTCTTGCCATTGGCTCTGTGGTGCTCTGGGAACCGCCCCCCCCCTTTGACTGGCCGCCACCAAGTCAGACCATTGGGCCACCTAAACAGAGAGTGCGGCATTCTAGTCCTCACGATTCTAAAGAAAGGGTTTGCTTCAGGAGGAAGCTCCCTCACGCAGAGGCTGGCAGCGACTCCCCAGGGTTTTAGGCAGGGTCTTCCCAGCCCTGCCTGGAGATGCCCTTGGCAGTTGGACCCAGGACTCTTCTGCATGCCAAGCAGGCCCTCCTCCGCTGAGCCGCAGCCCTTCCTTACCTTTCCTTTCCGTTCCAGTTACCTGGGAGACGGCCGTTTCCACCTGGAGTCCATCATGATCGCCAACCCAGGGATTCCTGCCTACAGGTATTGGAGGGGGGACAGGGGGTGGGGGTCCAGGGAGGGGCTGGGGAGGGAGGTGTGGCCTGGAGATAGGAGGTGTGGCTAGGGAGGAGGCGTGGTTTGGAGACAGGTGTGGCTAGGGAGGAGGCGTGGCCTGGAGATAGGAGGTGTGGCTTGGAGATAGGAGGTGCGGCTAGGGAGGAGGCATGGCCTGGAGATAGGAGGTGTGGCTTGGGAGGAGGCGTGGCCTGGAGATAGGAGGTGTGGCTAGGGAGGAGGCGTGGCCTGGAGATAGGTGTGGCTAGGGAGGAGGCGTGGTCTGGAGATTGGTGTGGCATGGGAGGAGGCGTGACCTATAGAGGGTGTGGCTAGGGAGGAGGCGTGGCCTACAGAGGGTGTGGCAAAGGAGGGAGGTGTTACTTGGAGATAGAAGGCATGCCTAGGGAGGAGGCGCGGCCTGGGAAAAGCAACTTGGGGGCCAAAAAGGCCTTGAGGGCCACATTCATCCCAGCCGTGTGGTTCTCCACTTCTGAAAAAGTGCCTTCCTTGTTACGGAAACTTTAATTTCCAGGGGGCTTTAGGAGCAGACGTTGGGCTGGCCTGATTAGGAGGTGCTCAGCCCAGAGGACCACATTCTCAGCCTCCACCATCCTGGAGCGCTCTGGCCTACAACTCCCATCAGTCCCCGCCAGGCACGTCATAGACCAAAACCCCCAGTCCTGTGCGCCCCACCCTTCACCCTCTTCAACCCTGGGCCCCCCAACACCTGCTGCCTGCTCCCACCACAGCCCCTCGCCATCCGCTCTCCTTAGGACCCCAACGCAGCCCCTCCATGCAGGCTGATTTCCCGCTAAACGGGCGGAACAATCTTGTTAAAGGCCAGCGTGGGAATTCAAGGTTGGGCTGAGCAGGAAGGACAGCAAACAGTGATTACCAGAAGGCAAACAGGAAGGCAAACGTCCACCTTCTGCTGGGGAAGAGGGAGTTTGCGCGTGGGAAGAGAACCTTCCTTCTGCTAAGAACAGAAAAAGAGCCGACTGAATCAGGCCAGTGGCCCACCTGGGACAGCAAGTAGATGCCCCAAAGGGAAACCCGCAAGCAGGATTCGCACACAAGAGCAATTCTCCCCCTCCTGTGGTTTCCAGAAACTGGTCTCCAGAAGAGGGCAGAGCAGAGCAAGCCTGGCTAGTAGCCCTCTCCTTCTCCCTGAATTTGTCCACGCCTCTTTTTAAGCAGTCCAGGTTGGTGGCAATCACGTACCTCTAGTGGAAGGGAGTTCCACAGTTTAACAAAGTTCTTCCTTATACCTGACCAACACTCAGCTTCATTGGACATGCACAAGTTACGGCGTTAGGAGAGCGGGGAGAGAATAATTTTATAAAACCTTCTGTCACGCTGCCTCTAACTCACCTTTCCCCCATACTAAAAAGTCCCCAAAATTCTACAGCCGAGTCTCTCCATCCTCAGGGCCATTTGGCTGGCCCTACTCAGAACCTTTTCCAAATCCACGATATCCTTTTTGAGTTGTGGTGACTGGAACTGTGCGGGTTTCCCGAAGGAGGTCACTTCTTCCACAGTCCAGCGCAGGGGTCGGATCCTGCTTGCAGCAAAGTCGGCCTGCGTGTGTGCGCTTGGCTCCCTGTTTCCTTTCTGCTTTCTGTGCTCCTGCCTCCTCTGCTGTAGGCAGCAAGGCCGGTTGCTGCGACTTCTGGCTAGTAGCCATGGGCCACCCTCTCCTCCTACGTAAGAGCCTAAAGGATCGGGCCCGTGGCTCATCCCGTCCTTCCTCCTGCCCTTGCAGCTAGCCATCCTGGCCAGTAGCCATGGGCAACCCTCTCCCTACTCCCCCCAGCAGGAAAGGCCTGATTTCCGCAGGCGGCCACGCTCCACTGTGCTCTCTCTCCCCATCGCCAGTTCCCTGGAAAACGGGTGATTTGTTACCCGGCTTGGCAGAGGGAATTTTAATCAAGCTGCGCCTGGGCTGGGCCCCCTCTCTGCCCCATAAAGCTGCCGTCCCCCCCTGCCTGCCGCTAACAAACGACCTGCTCAGGAATTCAGATTTGGGCGGTGGGCAGGCCGGGTCCCAGCAGAGCGGCGGATATTTCATCGCTTCTGAGCAGGGCTCATCATCGCCTCGTTTTATGGCCCCTCTCTGCCTCCAGAAGAAGGGCTGTCGGGAGGGGGGGGCGTAATGGGAGACCCACGTTTCTGGAGGTGCTTGTCAAAATGTTTAGATTTCAGATGGGAGAGGGGTAAACTTTAGAGGGTGCTCTGGTGGGCGGCGGAAGACGGGGGGGGGTGTGCTGCCCCCCAACACACAATCCCCTACCTGGTGCAGCCCCATCCCTTTAGTACAACTGCCTCCCATTCCAAAGATGTGATAAAAGCTGGAGGGATGTGCTGCTATTATTATTAATAATAATATTAATATGCCACCTTTGTTTTCCAAGAACCTCGTGGTTCTCCTCCTCCCATTTCAACCTCACTACAACCTCACTATTGTTGTTAGCCGCTCTGAGCCCGGCTTTGGCTTGGGAGGGTGGAATATAAATTATTATTATTATTATTATTATTATTATTATTATTACAACCCTGCAAGGGAGGCTAGGTTAAGAGATGGTGACTGGCCCAAGGTCACCCTGTGGGGATTTCAACCCTATTCTCCCAGGTCCTGGTCCAGCGCTCTAACCATGGTGCCGCGCTGCCTTTTAGAGCATGTGCAGAGCCCAAAGGACGTCAGAAGAGCCCTGCAGTGTTGGGCCAAAGGGGACTTAGCAGAGACACAGCAAAAGGCAGCTTTCTCTTGAAGCAGCCCCTTTAATCATGAGGACTAGCGTTTTGGCTCTTCTGTTTTTTGAAGGGAAAGGGCCCTGGGCTTTGCCCGCAGAGCTTTGCCCGCAGAGCAAGTCCCAGGGGCATCTTCCAATGGGAGAAACCTCTTGAAGAGCTGCTGCTGCTGCCAGTCAGTGTGGGCAGCCCTGAGCCAGCCAGCCCCTAAGGCCTGACTCCGCATCAGGCAGCTTTAGGTGTGCATGGAGGACGCCACGTTCTGCGCTTGGCCCCTGTGGGAAGCGCATGGGTGGGGGTGCCGTCGGTGGGAGGTGCTGCCTGCCTGAGTTCAGGGCCTGCGTCTTTCCTTTCTCCCTCGGTGGGGGTCCCTCCCCACCAGCCTCTGACCCCTCCCCTGCCCCCCTCTCTGCAGGTACGACCCCTACAGCAAGGTCTTCTCTGAGGAGCACTACGGCCACGAGCGCATGCAGAAGACGCGGAAGGAAGCCGTCCGGGAGGCGTCTCGCGCCGGAAAGTGGGGCCTCATCCTGGGGACGTTGGGGCGCCAGGGGTCCCCGGCCATCCTGGAAGTGAGTTGCTCCCTGCCTTGTCCCTCCTCTGGCGGTGGAGGGGGAGGATTCCAGCCTGGGGGGGGTAATGGGCAGGGCCAGGAGCAAACATGGGCGGAGCAATGCGTCTGGATTTCTCCCTTGGGTGCAGCAGGCTGGTTCCTGCATTCGCTGCTTCTCCCCTCTCCGCCCAGGGAAACTGAGACAGGACCTGAGTTCGAGGAGACGGCGCAGCCAGGCAGAGCCGCCCAGGGAGGCTGCAAAACTTCCAATATGTTGTGGTTCTCATGTATGGTTTTATCCTTTTATAAACCACTTTGACGTGGGTTTTATTTTTATTTTACTTTTGTATGATAGAGCAGTATGTCAATACTTTTAGGAATAAAATGAGCTGTGGAACTCCCTGCTGACTGGGGTGCGTCTGGTGCCTTCATTGTCCAGCTTTTGGAGAATGTCGAAGGTGCCCCTCTTTGCTCTGGCTTTTGACACACAAGGTGTATATTTTTAGGGCCCACCTGTTTTCTGCCATTGTAAGTTGTTTTAAAAGGGACGCAGGTGGCGCTGTGGGTTAAATCACTGAGCCTAGGACTTGCCGATCAGAAGGTCAGTGGTTCGAATCCCCGTGACGGGGTGAGCTCCCATTGCTCGGTCCCTGCTCCTGCCAACCTAGCAGTTCTAAAGCGCGTCAAAGTGCAAGTAGATAAATAGGTACCACTCTGGCGGGAAGGTAAATGGCGTTTCCGTGTGCTGCTCTAGTTCGCCAGAAGCGGCTTAGTCCTGCTGGCCACATGACCCGGAAGCTGTACGCCGGCTCCCTCGGCCAATAAAGTGAGATGAGCGCTGCAACCCCAGAGTCGGCCACGACTGGACCTAATGGTCAGGGGTCCTTTTACCTTTTAAAGTTGTTTTAAAGTGTAGTTTCAGGCTTGTTGTTAATGCTGCCACCTGCCCTGGTATCTTAGGGTGGAGGGCAAGGAATAAATCAACAGAACCATAGAACCATCGTGTGCGAAGGAGCCCTCCAGCGACAGAGATCAAGTCCTGTCCTCCCCCAGCCTCCATTCCCCCCTGGCCAGCTCCTGTCCTCATACAGAGTTCTTATTACATTCTTAGCTGGGGGGGGGCAGAGGGCAGGTGTCAGAGGCTGTGATGCTTCTGAATGCCATGGTAAAGGCAGGAAGCTGGACTAGACAGACAGGTCCAATCGGAGGCCTGCTGTGATAGCAGAACCTCCACACCCAGGGGCAGTCTACCTCTGTGTACCAAGCAATGGGGAACAAACAGTGGAGAGTTGCTCAAGTGCTCAGGTCCCTTTGGGGTGCCTGGTTGGCCACGGTCAGGGCGCTGGACTCAGGGGGCCCTTTCAGGAGGGCCGTTAACCGGATCCTTCAGCTAAAATAAGCCGCTTCGCGACGATGGTAAATAAGTGGTGTATATAAAATACAGTCTTACCTCAGCTCCCGAACACCTTGGGAGCCTAATGTTCCGACTCCCAAACAATCGAAAACTGGAAGTGACTGTTCCGGTTTGCGAACTATTTTTGGAACCCGAACGTTTGACACAGGTTCCGCTGCTTCCGATTGGCTGCAGGAGCTTCCAATCGGAAGCCGCGCTTTGGAAGTCGAACATTTCAGATGCCAAACGGACTTCCGAAACAGATTCTGTTTGACTTCCAAGGTACGACTGTAAAGGAAAAGCATGCTGGAATAGAAAGTTTTTCCGCAAAGAGAGAAGGAGCCTGGCGGACCTTCCTTGCAGGGGAGACATGTTTGGTGCCACCACCATTAAGGCTCCGTCTCGGGTCCCAACCTCTCTTCTCTCCGTGCCCCCCCCCTTGTCTGCAGCACTTGGAGTCCACCCTCCGGTCCTTGGGGTGCCCTTACATCCGCCTCCTGCTCTCGGAGATTTTCCCTGGCAAACTGCAGCTGTTCCCCGATGTTGAGGCGTGAGTATCAATGGGAGCCGTGGGTCAGAAGACACCCCCCTTCCTCTCCCCTCTTTGGCGTTCTTGGTTCTGCTCTCCCTCTTCGTTTAATCCCCATAACAACCCTGTGAGGGTGAGAGAGGCAGCAACTGGCCCCCAAGGACACCCGGTGAGCTTGATGGCTAAGTGGAAGGATTCGAACCCTGGTCTCTCCCAGGTCTTGTCTGACACTCTGACCCCTGCACCACATTGGGACACCTGAGGCCTCCTCTTCCCCCATTTCATTGTTTGTTGGGGCATTTAAGCCGCCCTGCCCAGAACCGTGGTGGCAGGACCCTGGCATGGGGCAAGCTTCTTTTCTGTTTTTAAAAGCAAAGCCAAGGTTCTAGTCCACCAGGTAAGCAAAGATTTGTTCACTTATTTATTTCATTAAAAAAATCCAAATCCTGCTTGACTGTAAAATAAACCCCCAAAAACCTCAGAAAGGAATAAAACAATGAAATTTTCAGTTAAAAAACAAACAAACAGGCACTTGCCTTTTCTGAAATACCGTATTTTTTGCACCATAACACTCACTTTTTTCCTCCTAAAAAGTAAGGGGAAATGTCTGTGCGTGTTATGGAGGGAATGCCTACGGGTGGCATGCCTACGGATTTTCCTCCTCTAAAAACTACGTGCGTGTTATGGTCGGGTGCGTGTTATAGCGCGAAAAATACGGTAATTAAAAGATGTAATCTTGCCTTTCCAATAACATGAACTCCATACGCAATGGAGCAAAATGCAGAGCACGCATTAAATAAAACATATCGGAAATCCCAGCAGCAAATGAACCCAAAGCAGGCTTGGAACAGGCAAATCTTTGCTGGGCCTTTCGTCCTCCCAGCAGCCCTGTGAGGTAGGAGAAGCTGAGAGACTCTGGCTGGCCTAAGGTCTCGCCTTCCTAGCTGGGTGGATTTGGCCTATTTGGGACCTTTTCTTCCTGGGGATTGAGCCTGGGTCCTTCTGCATGCCAAGCAGGCGCCCTGCCCTGTTGCCCTACAGCCCCTCTTCCTCTTCCTTCCTGCAGGTGGGTCCAGGTGGCTTGTCCCAGGCTCTCCATCGACTGGGGGGAGGCCTTCGGAAGACCTCTCCTCACGCCCTACGAGGTAAGCCAACGACAGCATCCGCCTTCCTCCTAATCCAAGGTGGCTGGACTCCCGCCTCCCATCATTCCCTGGGCCTTGAACCCGCAGCCCAAACCACAACAGGATTCAGTACGTTTCCGAGCACAATTCAAAGTGTTGGTGCTGACCTTGAAAGCCCTAAACGGCCTCAGTCCAGTATACCTGAAGGAGCGTCTCCACCCCCATCGTTCTGCCCGGACACTGAGGTCCAGCGCCGAGGGCCTTCTGGCTGTTCCCTCCCTGCGAGAAGCCAAGTTACAGGGAACTAGGCAGAGGGCCTTCTTGGTAGTGGCGCCCGCCCTGTGGAACTCCCTCCCACCAGATACAACTACCAGACTTTTAGAAGACATCTGAAGGCAGCCCTGTTTAGGGAAGCTTTTAATGTTTGGTGCATTACAGTATTTTAATAGTTTGTTGGAAGCTGCCCAGAGTGGCTGGGGAAACCCAGCCAGATGGGCGGAGTATAAATAAATTATTATTATTATTATTATTAACCCCCTCCATTCAGGGAAGGTTCTGGAGCCACCAGGATCTTGACCCCGCCCTCCCTTGTCCTCTTTTATTCCCCCCTCTTTTCAGGCCGCCGTGGCTCTGCAACAGGTTCAGTGGCAAGAGACCTACCCCATGGATTTCTACGCCAGCCAGTCGCTGGGGCCTTGGACGGTGAACCACAGCAGCAGCCGCCAGCCGCAGAGGGGGAGCCAGGAGAAGGAGGTGAGGGGCGTGGCAGCCCCTGGGGGGCTTTGCATGCGGACGAGGAGTGGGGCAGGGGTTCCTCCTGGGCAGCTTCCTGGGCACAGGAGCCCTTGCACTCTGGCACTTCTGTTTCATAGAGTTGGAAGGGACCTCAAAGGGTCCTCTATTCCAGCCCCGTGCATTGCAGGAAGTGGGGCTTTTGAAGGCCTCCCGATTCTCATCATTTGATCTGACTGGGGATCTGTATTCTGCTTTTCCAGCAGCAAATGTTGAGCGAGAAGCAACAGCATTAGTTAGAAGGGGAAAAAAAGGCATTGCGATCTCTATAATATCAAACGCAGCAGCATATAAATAAATAAAGCAAACAGCAACGGACTCATCAAAACAATTGATGCAATTCAGTCAATTCATAGTAATTCACAGTAATAACCAGCGGCAAAGTGCTTTCGTGCGCCTTTCGAAACTGCAATCCCTGGCGGGGAAGCGTTTCTGCTCGGAGGGCCGCATTCCCTTGCAGAGCATCCTGAGGGCCGCACGCCAGTGGTGGGCGGGGCAAGAAGCAAAAGTGGGGGGGGGCAGCAAAAAGCCCTCTTTATCCTTGGACAGGAGCCGGCTGTTTTCTCTGCCCTCAGGCTCTCCTCCCGCAGGCTAGGCGAGAGGCATGGGGCACCTTTGCAGCTGGGCCAGACCACTGGAGGAGGGTGCAGCCTGGGGGGGGGGACTTTGGGGGCCAGAGAGAGAGGTGTGGGGGCCACGTAAGGTTCCCCACCCCTTACAAGAGCAGGAGGTCAGCATTATTCACTTTATCCCCCAAATTTCAGGGGGGAGCAGGGCTTGAATGGAGACCCAAAGAGCTCATAGCATTTGAACTGGGACTTCCTGGTTCACAGCTCAGGGTTGGATCCCCCCCAATTTCTGTATTGTAGTTCAGTCTCCAAGCACTGTCTGCTCTGGCTGGCAGCCACTCTCCACGCTCTTGAGGGGAAGGCTCGGTCAGTGGCAAAGAGCACCTGCTTTGAGTGCAGAAGGTCCCAGGTTCAGTCCCCACTTGCAGGGAGGGCTGGAAGAAACACTCCCTGCCTGAAACCCTGCAGGTCTGCTGCCAGTCAGTGTAGGCAACACTGGGCTAGATGGACCATGGCAGACAGTAGCCATCTCACCAGTAGCCCTGCCCTTTCTGTTTGTCTATCAAGATCCCTCTCTTTCCCTTAGGGTGACGCCTGTGGCTTCTTAACTGGGACACACAGGCCTCAGGTCCCTTGTCCTGCTTGCTGGGTTGAACCTGCAGAAGGAAGCTCCATTTTCCCAGGTTCTCGCACTCGGCTCTCTGCGCTTCACTTGCAGGGTGGCATCTCCCCCTAGCGGCCAGTCAGGGTGGGGGGCCTCTCACTTTGGGTGAACTGTTTTCCATATGGTGGGAGTTGCATTAGTGCAGCGAAGGCGCAGCCAGAGAGAGGACCTAGGAATCCTAGATCCTCAGGGTTCTTGGATCAGTTTTTTCTATTCCATTCGCCTTCCCTGCTAACACAGATCTGGCTTCTACCATGACAGTTTCATGTGCAATGGACAATTTAAGCAGAGGTTTGATGGCCCCCAGTCAGGAGTTCTTTGGCTGTGATCCCTGCATTGCAGGGGGGTTATTTTATATATTATTAGGTTTATAAGATCTCAGGGCGGCTCAGAAGTGTTGGACTAGATGAGATTGGGATCACATCCAACTCTACTATGCTTTGATTCTGTTATTCTGTTTAATAGCTAGCAACCTCATTCCTGAAGCTGCTCAGGAAGTCTAAGAACACCCCATCCCACAAAATCAGTGCAGTCTTGCAAAACCAGTGGCTAAATTGCGAGAGATCCGGTCCCCCATCTTGGATCAAAATGTGTTGAATTGCATTTATATGCCGCCACCTCCTCCCAAGGAGCTCATGGTGATGTGTAAACAGTTCTGCCCTCCTTGTATACTCCCCACCACAACGCTGCCAGGCCGGCTTGGCTGAGAGGCAGCGACCAGCCCCCAAAGTCAGTGAGTGTCATGGCCGAGGGAAGGGATTAGGGACCCTGGGGTCTCCCAGGTCTTAGTCTGATGGTGTCCGATGGTATCCAAACACAGACGAAAGGCTGATCCTGTGTCTTGGGAAGCACCATGCAAAATTTGGTTATGATGATCTTAATAAAATAATAATAATAATAAAATTTTATTTATATCCCATCCTCCCCAGCCAAAGCCGGGCTCAGAGCGCCTAACAACAGTAAAAATAACACAGTTTACATAAAAAATAATTGATTAATTGAAATACATTCTAAAATCCATTCATTCTAAAATCAATTCTATGGGCTAGAGTTCTATGAGGATTACAGAAGGATGTGCCCTGGCCGAAGGCCTGGTGGAACAGCTATGTCTCGCAGGCCTTGCAGAAAGATGTCAAGTCCCGCAGGGCCCTAGTCTCTTGTGACAGAGCGTTCCATCTTGAATGGAGTATCCAGATACATACCAGAAAAATAGCTTTCCAAAATGTATGCTGGATCTAGCAGTACAGTGGTACCTCGGTTTATGAACTTAATCTGTTCCACAAGTCCGTTCTTAAACCAAAGTCGTTCTTAAACCGAGGTGCACTTTTCCTAATGAGGCCTCCCGCCGTCGGTGCCCTTCCACCGGTCGGATTCCGTTCGTAGACTGAGGTAAAGTTTGCTAACCGGAACACTACCGGTTTTGCAGAGTTCTTATACCGAATAGTTCGTAAACAGGGCTGTTCTTAAACTGAGGTACCACTGTACTTAAAGGTAAAGGTAAAGGGACCCCTGACCGTTAGGTCCAGTCGTGACCGACTCTGGGGTTGCGGCGCTCATCTCGCTTTATTGGCCGAGGGAGCCAGCGTTTGTCCGCATACAGCTTCCAGGTCATGTGGCCAGCAGGACTAAGCTGCTTCTGGTGAACCAGAGCAGCACACGGAAACGCCGTTTACCTTCCCGCCGGAGCGGTACCTATTTATCTACTTGAACTTTGTGCTTTCGAACTGCTAGGTTGGCAGAAGCTGGGACCGAACAACGGGAGCTCACCCCGGAACGGGGATTTGAACCGCCGACCTTCTGATCGGCAAGTCCTAGGCTCTGTGGTTTAACCCACAGCGCCACCCGCGTCCCGCACCACTGTACTTAATAGTCAGTAAAAGAGACCTTCCTGAGTTCCTATTGAAATCAACCCTGAGGACTGGAACCTTGCACTTCTTTTTAGAGAGACTCTGTACTCTCTGACAAGGCAGCTTCCAGTGTTCCTGTTTAGACCCGCCCTCAGCTCAAAACCATGAGGGCTGGGACCTTGCCATGCCCCCTTCAGCTTCTCAGGCATTGCCCAATTCTTGCAGGTGATCCCGGCCAAGGCCACGCTCCAGCCCGAGAAGAAAGCCTGTGGGCGCTGCGACTGCCGAGAGGAGGAGAAGGAGAAGGAGAAGGAGAAGGAGGAGGAGGAGGAGGAGGAGAAGAAGGAGAAGGAAGAGGTGCCAGTGCCCAGCCCTCAGCCTTGAGGCTCTGTGCCAGACCTGGGGGGTTAAGGTGGGTCCTGGGACCACACTGAGCTGTCGGGCACAGAACCGGCTTGGCAGCACCCCTGAGGAACAGCAGGGCTGGCACTCCGGGGCACAAACACCAGCCAAGCCCAGAGGATGCACGTCCAAGGGGGCAAGCGGCCGTTGCTGCCCAGCAGTGTGGGGGCCAAAGTCTAGCCCAGTGGCTCCCCAAATGGGTGGGACTAACTCCTGGGGGGCGGTGGGATCACCTACGGGTGATAAGAGGAAGGGGGCAGCAGGGGGCGCTGGAGGAAGGCCCCTCTGAGCTCATGCGCCGCTGTTTTACGATTGACCAGACTAGAAGCTCGAGTGAAACTTTTTCCTCGCTTCGTTTTTAAAGGTTTACTGCTCTTACCACTTTTGAAGCTGTTTTCCTTTGGGGACGTTTCTTTGCCTTTACAATTCTGCGTCATCCCAAGATGGCCAATTATTGGTAATAGCTATCGGTTTTCTAATAAACTGGTTACCGTACGTCTGTAGTAGGTGAAGGTTTGTGCCTGTTTGGCGAGTACAAACCATACGCTATAAATTTCCTTCTCCCTTATGTTTTCCATCATTAGAATGTGTAAAATAGTTTTCATGCGTTTCTCCTGGAAGACAGCACTTTATACTTGGTAATCATTAAAAATGTTTCCAAATATACATATATTTCTATTTTTCATGCAATATTCTTTGATGCACATTCTTTTTTCAGCTCCATGATTAGAGGGGAGCATATATTTATTTTTGCCTATGTTTATTTTTTTGAAATAAATGCACAATAAATCATTGCCGTTTTCATTTTGTTATCTTCTGTAGTGGGTCATGCAAACTGCTATTGTTTATACGATAGGGCAGGGGGCACTGGGGTGAGTTTATGGAACCAAGGTGCTAGCGACCCCCAAACATTTGAGAAACCCTGGTTTATCCCCAAACTTCCAGCTCTGGAGCCCTTTCACTAAGAAATGGAGGGCGTGTTTCATCTATCTCTACTTACTGTCAATCCATGTTTACGACAATATTTTATTCTCTTCTTGTTTGCACTGCTTTAAATGTGTATTCCATCCTTGACCTTCCTTTGTAATGTTTTATTTTGACGTCTTTTAAGATAATATTTCGGTTTCCCGTTAATTATGTTGTTTTAAATGTATGTTCTATATATGATTTTCTTCTGTCAAGTTTTATTTTGGAATGTTCTGTTTGGTTTTTTAATGCAGGTTGAGAACGTTTTCTTAGAATTATGAAGCGGTATAGAAATGAAATGAGTCATAAAAATTATCCAGGAACATGTCTTGGGAGAAACTGCTGGGGTGGGACGCTCGCGTTGCAGGAATTTAGGTTGGGGGGGTTGCCCCTCCAGCAGATATCACGTACATGCAGCCCACTACCAAAATCAGCACAATCACTTTTGTAACTTTGTGATTTGTCCCCACAAAACACTTCATCACAGTTTCTTCCTATCTATTCAAAGGGCCTTTGCGGCAGGACACCAAATGTAATAATTCACTGATAAATGCATCTGTGTACTGGCTCACTGGGGAAACTTCAGAAATTCATATACACATGTGAGCTCAGCTACTCAGCAGCCCCTCTGCCTGAGTGATAATCCCTGGCATCCTGATATCTGAGTGCCAGACAGGTAGCCATTCCAGAAATAACAAACCCAGATGAAGACAAAAGGGTGGGATGAACTTGGCTGGGAAACAGGGAAATGTGAATATCTTTTTTGTTACACTTGATGGGTGTTTGGTGGAAGGCAAGGGGAACCATGGGGCAGGGTCCAGGATGCTCAGATTGCTGCCACCAGACCTCCCCTTTCATGATGTAACCGTGATGTATGAGTGATGTAGTTTGGGGGGGTGTAACATGGGGATTAGCAGCTAATAAAAGTTTGGGTTCTCTTTTGTTCGGGGCTTCCATCTTCTTCCACCTGGTGGCAGGTGGGAGTCCTGTCACGACAGTCTTCAATGAAGACCAAGCCTCCTGGCTGCTGTTTTGCTCTGGTCTTCCTGGCTGGTGTCCTTGTTTTTTGTCCAAGGGAGCCCTCAGATTTCTCCGTTAACACTTGTAATGTTTCCACTACCCTTGAGAAGGGGGAAGGTCCCCAAACGCCTCGCTGTGGGTGCAAGAGGAGAGCCAGGCCCCTCTGCTATGCAGCCTGTTTGGGACAGGAGTCCCTCTTTACAAAATACACTCAAAAATGCAGTCAAAACTGAAAAGCGGCTGCTGCACAGTGGAGAGAGTTTGTTCCATCATCATCTTTTTATTATTTGTATCCCACCCATCTGCCTGAGTTGCTCCAGCCACTCTGGGCAGCTTACAACATATATAAAAACATAATAAAACATTAAAGGTTGTATAGTTATTCATTTCTTTGGTTCAGGGGTCACATCTCCATACTCTCCAAGCTTTCTCCGATGAAGATAAGGGCACCCTAGGGAAAAGAAGGACACTCTGGGATCAAATCAGAAACCAGGGTGACTTCTGTAAATCCGGGGCTGTCCCTGGAAAATAGGGACACTTGGGAGGGTCTGAAAATGCCACAAAAAAGGCTGCTCAGTTGCCCAAATCTGTACTGGGTCTCCCAGCTGCCTTAATGTGAAATTAATTTCCGTTCCCCTAAATTTGAGATCTGCCTTAGAAATCCCAAAGTGAATAAGTAGCTTAAGGCTGCCATCCTAAACATGCACATTTACCTGGGAGCAAGTCCAGTAGGGCTTACTTGTGAGTAAGCATTCACTGTTAGTGTTTATAGGCAAGGCAGTGGAGGGAAAGGGTCCTCCGTGTGAGATTTAAAAAGACCACGGCAGGATTGCTCTCTTTATTTTTGCACAGAAAGAGGAGGTTGGGGCAGGCGATGAATTTAAGGCCACTGGTTTTTTGCTTGGGAATCCTACCCGCCTCTGATGTCCTACCTTGCAGGGCTGCCGTGAGCCTCCTCTCGCTTGCCCTTTCCTCCCCTAGCAGACGCAGGGGGAAGCAGGCAATAGCTTCGCCTTGGCAGGCATCTTAAGTGTTACGCGCAGAGATGGAATCAGACCTGAGAGCCAGATTTCCATGAGCGAGCCCGGAATTCACCTCTCCAGACCCCGACTAGAGTTCACTCTACTCTTTGCTTAGCTCTACGGTACGAGAAGGGCATTTCCGGCCTCCTAACCATAGACGCTGCAAAGAGGAGCGTTGCTTCCGGCTTCCCTCGTTCTACTTCCCACCTGGCGCAGATACCCGGATGAAGCATGTCCGCCCGCGGGGGCGGCAGGTTGCGGCTGCTCTGTCTCCATGGATACCGGCAGAGCGCGGACATCTTCCGCGCGCGAACCGGGTCCCTGCGCAAGGCCCTGCGCGGGCGCGCGGAGCTCCTGTACGTGGACGCGCCCCATTCGGTGGACGCGCCTCTCCCGTCAGGTGAGGGGGCGGGGCCTTCCCTGACGTCACTCCAGGAGGGCCCTGCCATTGGCTAGGCTGATTGGGTGTCGAGTGTTCCTCTGAGCGTGTGCAGAGTGCGATCCCCCCCCTCAAAAAGCCTCTTCCGCCTCCCAGAGGGGCAACTAATCAGGAGAAAGTCTCGTTAATCCATTTTGTGAATTATTTTTTTAAAAAAGAAATCTGCCGGGCCAGCAGCCCCGCGGTCTCCCAGAGAGGACTGGGCCAGTTGGTGGCGGGTGAGAGGGCTGTCGAGGACGGGCTCCGAGGGGCCAACGTGGCTCCAGGAGGGGAGGGTGGCTCTGGGGCTCGGATCCCGTTTGCTGGGGGGCATCGGCCACCGTGAGCAGAGGAGGCTGGGCAGGATGGGCCCCTCTTGGGCCGGACCCTGCAGCCTCTTCGGATGTCCTCCTGACCTGCCAGGAAGGAGACCTTGGAATTTCCCAAACAGGCTTTCTCCAGCAGTTTTTGGACTACATCTCCCATCCCCCCTAGCTAGCGGGACCAATGCTCAGGGCTGATGGGAATTGTAGTCCCCAAACAGCTGGAGACCCAAGTTTGGGAAACCCTGCTCTAGTTGAATGAAGGTGTTGCATGTGGTGTGCAGCAGCTGCTGCCCCCCCCCCGGTCCTGCTGCTTTGTGGGCTTCCCTTGGGGGCATCTGGTTGGCCACTGTGGCAACAGGAGGCTGCGCTAGATGCTCCCCCCTTGGCCTAATCCAGCTGCTGTAGGGCTCTTCTTCGGTTTCTCCATCTGTTCTCAGCCACAGATCCCGCAATGAGCAGGCTCATGAGGTGCGTTTGTTAGGGGAAGGAACTGGAGTGTAGGGGCAGATCAGCTGCTTTGCTGGAAGAAAGTCCCAGGTTGAATCCCTGGCCTCTCCAGTTAAGAAAAAGCTCCAGCAAAATCCTGGTTTCCAAACCCATGGCAAAAATCCCAGTGAAGCCTGTAAAATACACTGCGGTTGGTAAAGTCCCTGTTGCCTTAAGCGAGTCCTTTCTGTTTCCCTGGCAGGGATGGAGACCCTACCATTAGTGGTCTACCCACAGGCTGATTGTAAGAATTACTGAGAGAAAATCTGTTCTGAGGTGGGAGGAACAAGTTATGGTTTGTATTTGAGTGGCAGGTCTGTGGCGTGGGCCCTCGTTTCCTTTCCCTGTACAAAAACACATTAGTCACTGTATGGTTTGATCATGAACATTTGTACATACTCATATTTCTCACCCTCTGAAAGCAACGACACTTCATGAGTGATTGTTAGTAGAAAGGTCAGGGACCAGTGAGAAAAAATGGAGACAGTTGCAGCAAAAAACAAGTCTTGCAATGACACCTGCAGGAAGCCTTTGCCTGTCCTCTGCTGGTTTAGAGGCTGATGGGATTTGTAGTCCAACAACCCCTGGAGGGCACCAGGTTAAAGACTTGCAGATTTATTATGCTCTAGGAGCATAAGAAGAGCCTGCTGGATCAGGCCCATGGCCCGTCTTGCCCAGCCTGCTGTTCCTGCCCCAAAGGGAAACCCTCTAGCAGGATTCAAGCACAAGAACAACTCTTCCCTCCTCTGGTTTCCAGAAAACTGGCATTCATAAGCGTCACTGCCTCTGACTGTGGAGACCACTGGGGCTAGCAGTCATCTGCAGTCCTCTCCTCCTTTAATGTGTCTAATCCTCTTTCAAAACCAACTTTGTCAGTGGCCATCGCTGCCTCCTGTGTGACTGAGTTCCACAGTCTGCGCTGTGTAAAGTCCTTAATTTTATCTGTCTGGAATCTTCCAACATTTTGAGATTCATGGGATGGCCACAACATCTAAGGTTAAGATTTGTTATGCTGCAAGAGAGGGAATTAATGAAGAGTGTTCCGATGAGTTGTCCCTCATCTGGTCTCTCTTGACATTCTTGCTAACCCCCACCCCTTTCCATTGCAGGGGAAGCTGCCTCAGGTGCTCTAGAAGCTGACTCAAAGGGCTGGTGGTTCTCCAACCCCCAGGAAGCGACATTCAGTGCCCTGGAAGAAGCGTCTTCCTGCAAAGGGCTAGAGGAGTCCCTAGACAGCGTTGCCAAAGCCTTTGCGGAGCAGGGCCCCATCGACGGCCTCCTGGGCTTCAGCCAGGGAGCGGCGTTGGTGGGAATCATTTGTGCCCTGAAGCAGCGCGGAGACCCCCGCTTTCCCTTTGACTTCGCCATCGTGGTGGCTGGCTTCAAGAGCCAGGCCGCCCCCCACCAGGGCTACTACCAGGAACCCATCGTGGTGCCCAGCCTGCACGTCCTGGGCGAGACGGATCGGGTCATCCCAGCTGAGATGAGCAGGCAGCTTGCCTCCTGCTTTGCGGAGCCTGTCTCCCTCATTCACACAGGGGGCCACTTTGTCCCGGCCTCCGCACCCCAAAAGAAAGCCTATCTGGAATTCTTGGATCAGTTTGTAAAGTGACTGCATTGGGGCCCAGTGCCCAGGCTGCTTTGGGGCTTGGCCGGAGTGGGACTTCCGGCGGATGAAGGTTTAAGGGGCAGCTCTTGGCCTGCCTGGTCACTGCAGCGAGATGGCCAGAGAATCCTATTTGTTTTGCAACCACTGCCTTGAGGGATGAGTAAACTGGGACTTGTCAGATCTGAAAATCTTGTCTGTCCCTGTGTTGAAAATTATTTAAAAAGAGCTCTTTATTCTTCCCCTACAGGCACAGCTCTGGGGTTTTCATGGGGGAGAGCGTCAGCTGCCCTTGAGGCTGGCAGTTAAAGCATGCAGGATACCAGTGGGGTGGGCAAGAATTGCTGAGACCTCTTCAACTAAGCACTGTCCTGAGGGCATCCCCCTGGGTCCGCCTGCAGCTGCCCCCTGTAAGTTAGAAGTTATGGATATTAGGTCCCTCAGTTCGTTCCACACTCCCTCCTTGTTCCTGAAATGGGCAAAGCATTCAATGTGGCCGTTCAAAAGCATCAGAGATTGTGAGTTCTAGAAGCAGCGATTGAAGCCACGTGGCAATAAATGGTGCAGGATCGTTTTCTTCCACTCCCTCTTCAGAAAACCAAAAACATAAATTCTCCTGTTTTTATTTTCTGCATCTCCAAGCTTGTTGTGTATATCTGTATTTTCTTGTTGTAATTCTTTGATCTTTTTGTCATGGGTTATTTTGTTGCGGTTGTGTTTTCTGTTAAAGAGTCAGGCCTTGTGTTAAGCTCTGTCAGTTTCCATTGGAAGCCTTAGTTCTTTCAAAGTGTTATGCAAATTCTTACCTTAAGATATTGTCCCCGTTTTTTCTTTCTCCAGTGAGGAAGAGGCCTCTTTTGAGGGTGGCACCATCTTGGCTTTGACCTTCATTGGTGTCCTTGTTGAAGTCAGCCTTCCCTCTCAGGACAGGAAGAATTGAGTGAGGTCTTTTATTTCCAGCTCTTCCGAATCCTTTGGCGTCCCCCTCTCCTTTCTTCAACCTTTGGCATCTTTTAGACTGCAGGGGCTTTTGCTCTGAGCTACTTTTCTGGGCCTTGGAGCAGGGATTAGAGTTTAAGTAGCTGTCATCTTTTCTTTGTGCCCAAGTCTCCCTGCAGCTGCCCAGTGGAAGCCTCTGAGCCACAGGATGGACAGGGAGGTGTTGGCGCCTGGGCAGCGCTCTCTTCCCATAGTGTGTCATTAATTCCCACTCACACAGAGGCTGTTGTGGCGACCAGTTTGGACTGCATTAAAGAGCACAGCAGAGACATCACTTTGCCGACAAAGGTCCGTATAGTTCAAGCTCTGGTTTTCCCAGTAGTGATGTATGGAAGTGAGAGCTGGACCATCAAGAAGGCTGATCGCCGAAGAATGGATGCTTTTGAATTCTGGTGCTGGAGGAGACTCTTGAGAGTCCCATGGACTGCAAGAAGATCAAACCTCTCCATTCTGGAGGAAATCAGCCCTGAGTGCTCACTGGAAGGACAGATCCTGAAGCTGAGGCTCCAAGACTTTGGCCACCTCATGAGAAGAGAAGACTCCCTGGAAAAGACCCTGATGTTGGGAAAGATGGAGGGCACAAGGAGAAGGGGAGGACAGAGGACGAGATGGTTGGACAGTGTTCTCGAAGCTACCAGCATGAGTTTGACCAAACTGCGGGAGGCAGTGGAAGACAGGAGTGCCTGGTGTGCTCTGGTCCAGGGGGTCACGAAGAGTCAGACATGACTAAACGACTCAACAACAGCAACAAAGAGCCCTGCTTGCTGCTTCCCACGGGGGCATCTGCTTGGTCCCTGTGAGAAGAAGATGCTGGACTAGAAGGCTCTACTTTGGCCTGGTCCACCTGCTGCAGCAGGGCTTTTTCTGCTGTTCTGATAAAGGATCAGACAAATTCATGGAGGAGGTTCCTAGCCACGATGGCCCCTTCCACTGCTGGTGGCCGTAAATGCCTCTCTCAGCCACTTCCTGCAAACCTCAAGTGTGGAGACTTGCTCTTGCACTCAGTCCCGCAACTGGCTGGCAGGATGGTGGGTGGCGCAGGCCCCTGGCCTGACGGTTTAAGGACCATCAAGGCTCCAGGAAGCATTTTGTAATTTTTCCTTAGGCGCTAGAGGGCAGCCATGTCCCCCACGAAGGCCTTTCCCTGCCTGCTTCCCTACAGATCTCTCTCTCTTTCCATCTGACTTGCTCTCCACAGGCAGGGATGAGAAGGCAGCCAAGCTGCAAGGAACCAGCCGCTGAGGGCTCCTTCCTTGGAGCACCTGCTGGAGTCAACTTGGCTAGTGAAGACAGCAGGAAAAGCTGGACAGGGCTAGGAAAGGGCTCTGTCTTGTGAGCCCCCCATCTCACGGCTGGGTCTGGGTCTGGGTCTGGAGTGGGGGAGGCGCTCCGAGGGACCCAGGAGGAAGAGGAGGGCTGCCGGCCACCTCACTGCCAGGCGCTTGGCGGCTGTTTTTCTGTTTGCGAAAAGGCTGCTGCTGTTGCTGCTGCTGCTCTGCAGAGCCTGACTCACCCGCTCTGCCACTCCGCAGGGGGCTCCTCTTCCTCTCCATGGCGACAGGCTTTGGTCGAGAGGCGCTGGGATGGCGCTGGGCTTCTGCGATGGTGCTGGGGGGGGTTGCCGGCGGAAGGGCCCTGTCTTTGTGGGAGGAGGGTGGGGTGCCATTGCCCTGGGACCGACTTCTGTCTTGACTAGGGCAAGTGGGGGGGTGAGAAGGGGGAAAGGGGTCCCCAGTGCAGAAAGAAGGGAGGAAAGAAGGAAGAGCAGATTACTCGACAGTGAGGTGTTCTTTTTGGGGAGGGAGTCCTTTTGTGGGCATGGAACATTTGGGCACTGATGAGGGTATGAGGAAGGCCTGTAGCCCAGACGGAGAGCACCTGCCTGGCATGCAGAAGGCCCCCAGGTTCACTTTCCCACGTCTCCCGGAAGGGATACCATCAGGAGACCCTGAAAAGCCACTGCCGGTCAGTGTGAAGGAGTGTGATCCAGATGGGCCAGCTGCCTGACTCTGGAAGGCAGCTTCCGATTTCAATTAGCCCTTCCTTCATGAGGACTGGAATCCTGCTTTCTTCTAAGGAGCAAAGGCTCCAGGGCAGCTGAACTCCTGCTTTGCATGCAGAAGGAACAAAGCCCAGGGCCCAGTGGCACCCCCAGGTGGGGCTGGGGAAATGTTCCCTGTCTGTAAGAGCTGCTGCCAGTCAGTGTTGACAATACTGAGCTAGATGGGCCAGTGACCTGACTTAGCTGTAAGGCACCTTTCTTTGTTCCTATTGGGAACACTTACTCTGCCGGCTGGGAAGCCGCCGCTTCCCCACCTGAAATTACAGCTGGGCAGCTTCATAGAAACAGCAGAAACTGCCTTAGGCCATCTCATTGTTCTCCACACTGGCTGGCAGCAGCTCTCCAGGGTTTCAGGAAGGGAACACTTCCCAGCCCTGCCTGGAGATGGCGCTGGAACAGAACCCAGAACCTTCTGCATGCCAAGCAGGTGCTCTGCCCCTGAGCGAAGCTGCCTTTGTACCGAGTCAGACCCTGGGGCCATCTAGCTCACTGTTGTTGACACTGACTGGCAGCACCTTTCCAGGGTTTCATATAGGGATTCTCTCAGTCCCAGCCCTACCTGGAGATGTTGTTGGGGATTGAACCTGGTGCCTTCTGCATGCCAAGCAGGTGCTCTGCCATTGAGCTATGGCCTCTCCCTAAAAAGAAAGCAAGATTCTAGTCCTCATTGTTCCAAATAAAGGGGCTGGGTTAAATAGCTTGGGAAGCTGCCTTATACCTAATCAGACCATTAGCCCATTCAGCACAGTACTGTCCCCACCAAGAGGCAGAGCACAGCCATCTTGGCCGGTTGCTGTTGATAACCTTCACCCCCACCGTGAAGCGGTCCACCCGACCCCTGCCTCCTGTGGCAGGGAGCTCCCTAGTTGAGCTGCGACCTCCTCCCCTCGGGCACCTGCAGCCTGTCTCCGTGGCTGTGGGCGATCGGTTCGCGGCCCGCTTGATTTGGCTGCCTTGGCTCCCAGCCCTCCTCTCCCGGAGCCAAGCTGCCTCTTGCTCTTCCCCTCCCCAGCCACTGTGCTTCGCTCCTCTTACTCATCCTCGGCTTTTTCCTCGTAAACAGGAGAGAGGCCTCCTGGGATGAGCACAATCTGTGGGCGGCCACAGCAAAGAAGAAGAGGACCTTTTGCCGTGGCAACTTAAAGCCTCTCGGCTGGCAATGCAAGGCCCGGATGGTGGTCCCGAGCTCCCGGCAGCCTCGGGTGGGACAGCAACCCACCCACCCCACCCTCCAGATCTCTTGAGTCACACCAGCTGCTTTTGAGGGAGGCTTTCCGCAGAAACCCCTGCCAGACCAGGAGGAGCAGTCGCCAGGATCTGGTTCCTAAAAGGCTGCAGTCCCTGGGAGAGAGGGAGGGGACTGTCAAGTGGGGCTGGGGCTCCAGAGCTGGGCTTTCAGTAGCCCAGGACTTGAGGGGCTTCCTTGCTTGCCCATTTCCCCACCCAGAAGAAAAGCCCAGCAGCCGGAGCAGGTCACAGGGGACACGCTTAGCCCAGCCTCCTGCTCCCACAGCAGCCAAATGCCCCACAGAACCTGGGGGTCCAGATAGACTGCCTCTGGACCTGGAGGCTCCATGAGAGCATAGGAAGAGCCTGGCTGCTGGATCAGACCCAAAGGGGGCCCATCCAGTCTAGCGTCCTCTTCTTGCGGTGGCCGACCAGATGCCCCATAAGCAGTGTGTGGCTACAGGGCTGTGTAACCCCCCACCACAACCCATAACTGACAGGCGCTGCAGCCAGGCAGCTGCAAAGAGAGAAATTGGCCGCCCTTTTGCCGCTTGCAAAAAGAAAAAACGGACCGCGTTCCCTTTGAGTCCCCGGAGCCCAGCAGGGTGCAATCCATGGCATAAACAGGCAGCTCTTGCTCCCAGCTGCCCCTGGCAGAGGAATCCTCTCCCTGGCTGGGCTCCTGTGACTGGGAAACAAATAAAAATCAGGTTGCAAATCCAGGGGACAGGGGGCGACAACGAGGTATATTGGGGGGGAGTGTCTTCCTCCATGCATTTAACTTTGTACCCGCCTCTCCCGTCCACCAAGGAGTTCGCAGTGTCTATGGGTAGGTAAACTAAGGCCCAGGGGCTGGATCCGGCCCAATCGCCTTCTCAGTCCGGCCCGCGGACGGTTCTGGAATCAGCGTGTTTTTAGATGAGTAGAATGTGTCCTTTTATTTAACATGCATCTCTGGGTTATTTGTGGGGCATAGGAATTCGTTCATCCCCCCCAAAAAATATAGTCTGCCCCCCCACAAGGTCTGAGGGACAGTGGACCGGCCCCCTGCTAAAAAAGTTTGCTGACTCCTGTATTTGATTCCCATTTTTTTATTTTCTTTACTGCCTTCATATCCTACTCTTGGGGTAAGCTAAGGAGCTCTTCAGAACCCCCTGGAGAGTTGCTGCCGGTCAGTGCAGGCAATACAAACCCGCTGGATCAACGGCCTGATTTTAAGGCTGCTTCCGACCTTTCTATTTAAAACCAGTCCCTTACACCATAAGAATATTACTTTCTTTTTAGGGGCAAGGTTAGCTCCCAGATTCCACGCGCCATATCATCTCCAGGCGGAGCGGAGCGGGGCGCCGTTTTTCTATCCCCCTTATGTTGGGGGGGGGCGGGGTTAGTCTCTAGGGGTTGCTAGTTCACATTGAGGCAGGACTGGCTAGGAAGGGGGACACGAAGGATCTGGCCTCTCGGGCTTCGCCGCGCACGCGGAGAGCGTCGTCTGCACGCCACCATCACGACACGTGTTGAGCGCAGAAAAGGCCCCAGGTGATACCACCCGGCTCTGCCCAACCCTTCCGGTTTGGAATTCTGGGCCGCTGTTCCCGCGCCCCCTGGGCATGTGCAGAGCGCCTCCTTCTTGGGCAGCCCATGCAGGCAACCTCCCACCCGCGTCTGTGAAGGGATGTGGGTGGAGCGGCGGCGGCCGTGCCAAGGGCGCCCCCTGCTGGCACGGTTAGCGGCCACCGACGGGGCGGGCGGCTCTGAAGCTTGGCTGGCGCCGCTGCTCGGCGTCAGGATCAGCCCCGGGTCGTCCCGGCCAAGCCAAGCCCGGCTTGCGCAAGTGGCTGACGCCTCCGCCCGCCCCGCGAGAGGCCCCAACAGCCCGAGCTGGCGGTGCCGTCGGGCGCGCAGTCCTCCCGGGAGCCGTCGAGGGAGAGAGGAGCGCGCCGTGCCAGGTAAAAACGGGGTGCAGCTCTCTTGGAGGACACCCCCCCCCACATTCCACTTTGCGGGGTGGGCTGGCTCCCCGTGGTAGGCCCCTCTGCACATGCTCAGAGGCGCAGCCTGGACGGGGTCCTTCCTCTACTTCCGAAAGAAGTTCTGGGGTTCACTCCCTCCCGACCCGCCGCCATCCCAAGCTGTCTCCTCTCGCAGAAAACTCAGTCAGTAGGGGAAAGGAGAGGGCGCGTCGCTCCCCACAAATATGTGGGTCCCTCTTTCTCAGTCCCCGCAAAAAATCCTTTGCGTGAGTAGCAGAAAAAGGAGGTGTGGGGTCAGTGAGACATGGGAGGGCGTGAATAATCCAGCGGGGAGGGTCCTCTTGAGGCTGCCGTTGGGGAGAGGGCAGGACCCCCCATCCTCATTGGGCCTTCATTTCAACGGACGGTGGGACCCAATTTTAATCCTCTTGTAACTTTCTGGGTTCTTTAATCCTACTGCCTTTATATCCTGCCTTTCTCTCAAGCATCTCAAGGCAGTTTTCATGATTCTCTCCCAAGGTATTTACACCCCCCCCCAAAAAAAAACACCCATGCAAAGTAGGCTAGGCTGGGGGCGGGGAGCATCATCTTACGCAGGAAGCTTTGTGACAAGAAGGGAGATTCGAACCCAGATCTCCCCTGTCCTGGTTAAAACACAGAAGCTCTCTCCCTTTGGGGTGCTCTGAATGGTTTTGAGGCATGTGCAGAGTGCCTTTCAAGAACCAAGGAGCCTGAGCTGAACTGAGGATTTCAGATTCAGAGGCTGATTCAGCACTGATTCTCCACAGGGACGGGGGGGGGGGCAGCCGGGGGGGGGCAGCACAGGCTGATGAGTGGACTTTGTTTTGGTTGGAAGAAGCTTAGTCAGAAACTGGGAATGTCTTAAAGTCAACAATAAATGAAATAAAGTGACTGACAGGTGGCATAGGTTTTGGCGGGGGAGTTGAAGATTAGTGGCAGGGGGGTGGGTTGGCATATGAGCTTATTTTGGGGGGCATCTGGTTAGTCCTAGGAGAACAGGATGCTGAACTAGGTACCCCCCAACCCAGCTGCAGTCATCTGCTCTTCCAATGCCCCTGTTGCCCTGTTGTGATTTCGCCCTGTCAAAGTCCCACAGAGCATGAATTGAGAGCAAACTGTGTCTATCTTGCACCCCCTTCCCTGTGGGAGACGAGGGAAGCCCCCCATTATTCTGCATGGAATGATGCCCGGGGGGTGGTCTTAGCTGTGATTTCTGCATTGCAAGGGGTTGGAATAGATGATCTTTGAGGGTACCTTCCAACTCTACAAGTCTATGATTCGATGGGGATAGCTCCCCTTGGGCCTGGCTCAGTGGGGAAAGGGGGAGGCAGGTTGCCTCAGCCCTTCCTAGGGTGGCTGGAACAGCGGCCAGTGGGCGGCCCCAGGAAGCGTGCCTTGGTAGCAGTCTTGCCGCCGCTTGAAGAGAGGATCTGCCCTGACTCAGACTGTGCAACGCTGCCCCAGCAGCAGCAGCCCCCTCAGCTTCCTGGCGGCGGCTCAGTTCAGTGACTGAGAGTCAAAGGCACTTCCTGCGCTGGGAACAGCGTGTTCCCAGGGCCAGGCCAGACCCTCTTGTGCAGCCCAGAGCTGGCACAATCCGCAGGATGGAGAAATCGCTTCCAGATGCTGAGGCTGGATGTGTCACTCAAACACACAGAGAGAGGGAAGAAGAGAAGGGAGGTGGCGGGGAGCGTTTTGACTCCCTTCTCACTCCCCACCCCCCATCACTCACCCCATCACCGTATGCCCCAGAGAACAGGACAACTCAGAACCTGACAAGCGTCTTCCTCGGCCGGCCCACTCATTGGCAAGACTTGACGCTTGTCCCAGTTTAAACCACCCTGCAGGATAATTCCTCCATCACTGATAGAAGGAAAGCTTAGTCCAGTGAGGGCGAGTTGGGGTTGAGTTCAGCACATGTGCCCTGACACACACACACCCCACTTCCAGTGTTGCTGGGTCCTTTCTGAAACCCCTGAAGAAGGCAAGCCAGTGGGATTTGTGTGTGTTAACCCTATAGGCCAAGGGGCCTTCTGCAGGAACATGAGGCCAGGGGTGAGTTCCTCAGACCCAGGGAATTGGGATTCTCAGGCTAGAATCATAGAATCATAGAGTTGGAAGAGACCACAAGGGCCATCGAGTCCAACCCCCTGCCAAGCAGGAAACACCATCAGAGCACTCCTGACATATGGTTGTCAAGCCTCTGCTTAAAGATCTCCAAAGAAGGAGACTCCACCACACTCCTTGGCAGCAAATCCCACTGTCGAACAGCTCTTACTGTCAGGAAGTTCTTCCAAATGTTTAAGTGGAATCTTCTTTCTTGTAAGGGGCACCCCTTCCCTCCAAAGCCAGGGAGAGGGCAGGCATGTGTGTTTGCACCCGCCAATGTGATCATAGATTTGGGACCCCAGGGGTCAGATCTAGTCCAACCTCTCAGTGCAGGAATCACAGCTGAAGGATCCATTGCAGGTGGCCTTCCAGACTCTCTCTCCAGGTAGTCCGTTCCACTGCCAAAACAGCTCTTAGACAGTTCTTCCTAACGTTTAGTCGGAATCTCTTTTCTTGCCATTTGAATCCCTTGGTTTGGGGTCCTACCCTCTGGAGCAACAGAATACAAGTGAACTCCTTCTCCCTTGGGAGAGCCCTTCAGATGGCTCTCAGGTCACCTGCAGTCTCCTCTTCTCCAGGCTCATGATAAGTCAATGGAAGCATAAATTTAGGGCCCAATGACTCTGAGACACGTCCCTTTCATGTCCTCATCAGCTGTCCCCTGTCGGAGGCAGAATGCTGTGCTGGATTCAACGGAAAGAAAGATTTGCCCTCCTTAAACTAACCAGAGTTCTTAGGGTGGAAGCAGCCCGGCGAAGAGGAGGCCTACCTGTTGGATGGCTGCCTGCCCTGTCCAAAGATGTGTCCAACTGTGCCAGGCCTCTCCACTTCCCAGGACCAAATTGCTGGCTAGCCCTTTCCCTCCTACACTTCCTTGATCTCTTAAAGGCCCTGAATCGAGGGCAGCATTCCCTTCTGGGGCCGCATGCCAGAGGCAAAAGCAGCTGGAGCAATTATACTCATCCCTTCCTCTTTCCATCCTCCTTCCAGGCATGAAAAGAGGCAGGGTCAGAGTTCAAGGAAAGGCTTCTAGCCAGGAAGGGGCAGAGTGAGGCCAGCAAGGGGCGTGTCCTGGAGGGAGGGGGCGGGGCTGTGGGGGCAGCAATGCTTCTGAATACCAGCTGCTTTGAATCTCAGATGGGGAGAGTGTTCTTCTGCCTGAGGGCCAGGTGGAGTGGAGTGGAGGGCCGATTCTGGCTCCTGGGTTTAATAATAATAATAATAATAATAATAATAATAATAACAACAATAATTTTTATTTATACCCCACCCTCCCCGGCCAGAGCCGGGCTCAGGGTTGCTAATAACAGTAAAATTACAGTAGAAACATAATGGGGGGGGAGACCCAATTTAAAATACAGGTTAAAATGCAATTTAAAATGCAGCCCCATCAAAACCATAAGGGGATGGAAACATAAGGGTCAGCCTGAGTCCAAACCAAAGGCCAGGTGGAACAGCTCTGTCTTGCAGGCCCTGCGGAAAGACGTCAAGTCCCACAAGGGCCCGTAGCTGTCAACTTTTCCCTTTTCTTGTGAGGAATCCTATTTGGAATAAGGGAATTTGCCTTTAAAAAAGGGAAACGTTGACAGCTATGCACAGGGCCCTAGTCTCTTGTGACAGAGCGTTCCACCAAGTTGCGGCCAGTACTGAAAAGGCCCTGGCCCTAGCTGAGACCAATCTAACCACCTTGGGACCTCCAAAATGTTTTTCATTTGTAGACCTTAAGGTCCTCCGCAGGGCTCCCCGTCAGTGAGCTATTAGAAGAGCAACTTAGAATATTGGGATTGCAGAGTTGGAAGGGACCCCAAGGGGGTCCAGCCCCCTGCAATGTCGGAATCTCAGCTAAAGCATCCATGACAGAGGGCCACCCAACTTGCACATTAGTACCATCAGAGCATAATGAGAGCTTGCTGGGTCAGGCCAGTGGCCCATTCAGTCCAGTTGCCTCTTCTCACAGTGGCCAACCGGGTGCCCCAATGGGAAACCAGCAAGCAGGATTTGAACGCAAGAGCCCTCTCCCATCCCGTGATTTCCAGCAACTGGCATTCAGAAACATCGCTGCCTCTGACTGTGGAGGCAGAGCTGAGCCACTGTGGTTAGTAAACTTTGTCTAATTCTCTGCTCAAGCCATCTAGGTTGGTGGGCATCACTGCCTCCTGTACAAGGGAGTTCCACAGTTTAACTAAGCCTTGTGTGAAGAAGTCCTTTCTTTTATCTGTCCCTAATCCTCATTCTTGATCCACCTCCTTTCTGTGACTGTAAGTTGTTTGAAACTGTTGTGTTTTAGTTGTTGCAACCTTCCCTGGGGCCTGAGGGTCAAGGGTACCAACTGATGGAGGGATGAAATGGAAGCCGCAGGAACTTCCTACATTGGAAGACTGGCAGATAAAGATGGGAGAATATGTGGAGATGGCAAAGCTGACGGGGAAGATCCGGAATCAGTGAGACAAACTGTTTCAGAAGGACTGGAGCAAATTTATATTCTATAGGAAAGAAAACTGTAAACATTTGAAAACGTTTGGTTTGAATTGAAATGCTTTGTAATGTGAAAATAAGGAACCGATTTACATATAAGGTGGTAATTTTTTTAAAAAAGAAGAAGATTTAAGGTAGAAAAGAAATGCAACATTTATTAAAAGATGTTTGGAAGTCAGAAAGAGGGAGGGAAGGAAGTTGATGCTCTGTCTGAGCAACGTTTTATGTTTTTTTTTTTTTAATGATAATTATTAAAGTTTCACAAAAATACAGAAAACAAGCAGAATCCGAGACCAGGGAGAAGAGTCGGTGAAAGAAGACTGGAAAAAATTTAAGGACTATTTACAGAAATATTGTAAAATTAAGGAACTTTGGAAGGATGCTGGATAGAAATTAAGAGGTTTTTAGCTGTAATGCTTTAAGAGACATGGGAAAAAAAGGTTAACAATTGGGTAAAAGATTAATGGTAAGGATTTGCTGAACCAACAAACTGAATTGGAATACAAAGAAGGGAGGTATGAGGAGGTCTGGGGAAATAAGAGTAAGGAAGATAGGTTATGGAACATTATTGTGTTTTTAACTGTTTTATTTTGTATGTTTTTTCTTACTTTTTGCTTTTTTGCTGTAATTTACACTTTTTTCTTTGTTTTCTGTATTTTTGAGCAACGTTTTATGTTATTGATTTGTGTAATGAGATGTAATTAAATATGGAAAACTCAATAAAAATTATTTTTTTAAAAAATGGATTTGCTTTTCGTGGGTTGAGGGGCGTTGCCTCCCTCCTGCAGCAGCCTGCAGATTCTAGGATGCGCTGGATCCGTCCTGCCCCTGCCAGGGAGCACACAGGCACCTTCTCTTCCTCTTGTGGATTTCTGCCTGGCACCGGAGGGAGCAGCCACCCAGAAGCCCCTGGCATTCCCCAAACAGTAAGAGTTTATGTGCAGTGTCATCCAGAATCTGCACACAAGCTCCTCCTGTGCGGGGAGACCAGGCCATGCCTGCCTCTCGCGGGAGCCAGTTCCAGCGCTGCGTGAAGGACTGTCTTTTATCCATCCAACATTCAGCTTCACTGGGTGTCTAGTGTTAGGAGGGAAGGAGGAAAACTTTATCCCTCAATCTGGATGAGATGGGCCTCTGCTCTGGTCCTGCAGGGCCTTGTCCACACATGCACATCTTGTGGGAAGTAATCCACTGAGAGCAGTCAAACACAACATTCCTTGTTTTCCTAGAGAAGACATGCAGGGGAATGTTTGGTCCAGCCAGTCGAAAACTTCCTGTTTCCTCCTGGCTGGAGCATCCTTCCTTTGCATGTCGCTAGAGGTGGGCGTGACCTTACCTGCCCAGGTAACAGAAGGACAAGGCATGGACCAGCTTCTTAGCTAGAAATGCTCTGCTAGCTTCTCAGCTAGCAGAAGCAGTGGGATCAAATCTCCCATATGGGGTATATGCACATGTATATATTTTTAACCAAGCCTGCCTTCAGGAATCCAACCATGAACTGATGTGAGTAAACAACTTTTATTGACTTTACATAAGATTGTCGTGTCTTTATTCTTTTAAGAGGGGTAAAAGGGAACTTACCAGGAATATGCAGTTCAATACTGAATTGTATAAAATTGTGAGAGGCTCACACGAGCCTGCAACCAGCTATCTGCTGTGCATGTAAAAGAGGAATGTAAACTCTGCTAAGTAAAGGAACTTGCTAGCACAAAGTTAGGAAAAGGTATTAATAAACAATATATCCTCTCCTGCCTCCCTGAACATTCCCACACATCTTTTAATGTGTACATTAAAAGCAGTGCATTTGGAAGTTGTGCCTGCAGCATTTGACCTGTTTGACAGCCCATACACACATGCAGGGCACCAGTTGCTGCTGCCAGATTGGACCAAATTCAAGGTGTTACTTACCATCTGCATATAAAGCCCTTAACACCTTGGGACCAGTTTGCCTGCAAGAAGATCACCTTAATCCCCCTCCCCGCACCCTTCCAGCCGCTTTGATGGGCAGAACTGGCCTTAGTTCCAAGCACAACTTAATACTTGTTTGTAAGAACTCCATATTTTTGCAGCACTTACACTTTGGAACTCCCTGCCTATTGACACCGGGCAGATGCCTTCACTGTAGTCTTTTCTGCACCAGCTAAAAAAATTTTCTTTTTTCAACAAGCCCATCCAGATGTTTAGAAAGTTGATGGGCATTCCCGTTTGTTTTTAGCCTACTATTTTAACCTTTTGAAAGCCATAAATTATATTGTTAGCTTTTCTTATTGATAATTTTATTGTTTTATCTTTTTTTCCAAACCGCTGTGAATGTTCCCATCCCCCATCAAGCAGTGTATGAATTTCATGAAATAAATATGTGAATCTGCTCTCGGTATGGAATGTGAAAATGTTGTACATGCCTCTTTGGCACTATAATCCTCAAATTGGGCTTCAGGTCTCAGGAAGAAAACATGAGCCACGAGCTGAGCAGGCCTTTCTTCTGTAACCTCAGTGCTGTCCCCCCAATCTTAAATGTAACCATTTCAGGCATATTCATTTTCTCCTTAATTTTGCATCCCTTCGTTTAATAGCTGCTGCTTCTTAGTTGCAGAGGAGAAGAGTACATTTCCCAAAACACTGCTCTGGTGGTGGCTGGAGATCCAGCAGATCCCAGGGCAAGTGGGCAGGATCTGGTACCTTGAGGATTGCCTGGCCAGAATCTTGTGGGAGACCCAGAAAGTCCTGAGCAGCCCCTCCAATGGAAAACTGCGTCCATTCTCTCCCTGCCCTGCCCTGCAACACACACACACACACACACACACACACACACACACACACGTGCGCACACACATACACACACATGTCCCTGCAGGAATGAATGGTGTAAAAATAATAGACCTATGCACAGTAGAAGGTGCAAATGTGTACAATTTATGCAGGCCACAGATTTTAAATTTATATGAGATGAAAGAAAAGGGGGAGGGAGCGTTATAACGCCCAAAGGTTTCCAGATTCCCCGTAAGTTCCTTGTTGTTGGTTCCACACGAGGAGCTGGCTACCCACAGAGAAAGGTTCACAAAGGGAAAGCAAGAAACAGCTACATCTTCCTCATCACCTGCTGCCTGATCCCCCTTTACCTGAAGGTGCTTCCAGGGATTGAACCCAGAACCTTCTGCATGCAAAGCACCTGCTTGGCTGCACTGCAGCCTCCCCGCATTTGCCACTGAACATGGGAATGCAAGCAGTAGCATGTCCCTGTTGCTTGGAGTCCCCACTCCTTTGAATGAGCATGTGCTTCCACATTGAACTAGTCCTCAGTGAGTACAGATCTGCTAACCTGCACTCATCAACTTTCTCAGGGCTGCTTGCTGGGAAAATGGACATGCAAACTTTGTTACCCCTAAAGAGGATAGAAGGGCATGGTCTGGACAAAAAGAGCCCCCTTTCACTGGAAAGAGGGGCTGCCACCTATGTCAGAGTTCTGCACTAAGGCCTGGGAAACCCAGGTTCAGATCCTGACCCAGCCATAAAGCTCAGGCCTTGGGGCCAGTCTCCACCTCTCAGAGCAATCACCTAAATCACAGCGTTGTCATGAGGATTAAGGACACCACTTTGAACTTCCTGGAGGAATGGAAGGAAGGAAGGAAGGAAGGAAGGAAGGAAGACGGAAGGAAGGAAGGAAGGAAGGAAGGAAGGAAGGAAGGAAGGAAGGAAGGAAATGAAGGAAAGAAGGAAAACGAAAGGAAGGAAGGAAAATGAAAGGAAGGAAGGAAGGAAGGAAGGAAGGAAGGAAGGAAGGAAGGGCCAGCCAACCCTTGTTTGTTTCTCCCCGACCCCAGCACATTCCAGCAGCCCAGAGGCCACTTGGCAGGGCCCAGCGCCCAGGGAGGGGTGTGTTTGTGCATCAGCCCAGCCTCTCTCCCAGGCTGGTCTCTGCCGCGGGGGCCCAGAACCAGGAGCTTTGGAGAGAAAGCAGCCCCAGGATGCCCACGAAGAATTCCTCCCCCTCCATCATCAAGGCTGCTGCTGCTGCTGCTGCTGCTGCTGCTGCTGCTGGGGCGTCCACTCCAGGCAACCATGGCTGTAGACTGTTACCAGCCCACATCCACACAGTAACAATCTAAAGCCACGGTTGCCCTGGAGACGCAGGATGAGCTGGCACCGTGGCAAATGGCATCCTGAAGGCTCCATCTCTCTCTCTCTGATTGCTGCGAAGAGGGAGAAGCAGAAAACCCACCAGCACCACCGTTCCAATCTCCCACTCGCCATTCCCCCAAATAAGCAGCAATGCACACTTGGACCCACTTGGAGTCCAGGTCAGGGTCAGCCCAAGTTCAGCTGCATGTCTGGTTGTGAGATCTGCAGAGGCTGCAGTCGAGGAGCTGGCAGCCATGAATGTGTTCTCTGTTGGGGAGAACTGGGGGGTCTGCATGATGGGGAAAAGTCAATAGAGAGAAGACCCTCCCTGACTGCCCTTTAACCTGTGCTGACATTCCCTCCAGTATTAGATGGAGACTCTTGAATTCTTTGGTCATCCAGTGACCAGTAGCTGAATAACCCTTTTTACTGAAGTGCGGAATTTCCATCCACTGTGGACCAGAGTAAGTTCATGGAATCATAGAGTTGGAAGGGACCCCCAAGGGCCATCTAGTCCAACCCCCTGCAATGCAGGAATCTCAACTAAAGCACCCAAAGACAGATGGCCATCCAACCTCTGATTTAAAATCCCCAAGGAAGGAGAGTCTGCGGCCTCCCAAGGGAGACTGTTCCCCTGGTGCCTGTACCACATTTCATGGACCCACACAGACCACTGGCTCCCTCCAGCTCTGTATTATCTACACCAGGGATGAGTGGCCCCTGTGGCTCTCCTGATGTTGCTAGACTCCAAATCCCAGCACCCACTCCTTCCCCCAGAGAGGACCTATGAAGAGCCGGACTGCTCGCTGGCAGTCGAAGTCGACCACCTGGTTCCTTCTGCCCCTCCTCCACTGCCGAGGACTTTGGGGATACAACTCACTTTGCACTGATGTGTCTGCATGGGGAGGAAGAGTCAGTGAGAGAAACCAGCCAGCTTCCTAAGCTGCCCTTTAACCTGCTCCGACCATCCCTCTGGTGCTAGACTGATATCCTGAGGGTTGCTGGCCTCATCTCCTCCTCCTCCTTCCATACGTTGGGAGAGGCAAATCTTTGTGACTCCTGCTGAGAGCAGGGCAGAACGAGGATCTCTCCTGTCCAGCATGCATTTCCTTCAGGAAACTTAGCTTCAAAACTCGGAGCCTCAGTGTGATTGTATCCAAGGGGCCAGCAGTGGATCAGTGCTCAATTCAAATTTCTGCTGATGCACTCAAACTTCAAGTGCCAACCTTTTGATGGGGGCACTTTTTTGAGGGGGTCCCATGTACCCCCAAGTTTCAGCTGGTTCCTATCAGGAGCTGAGGCTTCAGTGTAGTGAGCCCTGCCCTGTGGAACTCCTTGCCACTGCTTGATTTTAGATGCCTTCTGAAAATAGTATTATTAAGTCAGTCCTCCTAATCTTGTTTCTTTGTCCATACAACTCACCTTCCCCAACCCACTGTTTGCTTTTTCTTTCCTTTTTGTTAACCATTTAGCCTTATGGAAGAGTTCTGAGGAACTCAAAAGTGGCCACATTATTTTGGGTTGGTCTAATAAAAAAAATCACCATATTATGGAGCGCAATTCTTGCTCTTGATGCTCTGGCAACAAGAGGAGCACCATCCAAGGTGGGCACTTCAACCTCAGAAAGTGCAATTGCTTCCCCCAGGTAAGAGCAAGACAAATCTCCTTTTTTGTCATCTGAATCCATTGGTTTGGGTTCTTCTCCCCTCCAGAGCAGCAGAAAAACAACTTGCTTCACATGCCATGTGTTAGTCCTCCAGGTATCTGAAGACAGCAGTCATATCTCCTCTCAGTCTTCTCTTCTCCAGACTAAACACACCCAACTCCCTCAACCATTCCTCATAAGGCTTCTTCATCATCCTGGTTGCCCTCCTCTGCCCAGCTTCTAGCTTGTCAATGCCCTTCTTAAACTGGGGTGCTCAGAACTGGACACAGGACTGACTTTTACTCTTGGGGCGGTGGAGATGGAGGATGGGGAAGAATGGATTTTGCTCTTACCCTGGCTTAGGAGCATGTCTTAACTGCCACACTGAGCTTCCTCCTCATTGGCCAGGCTGTACTGGGAACACTCACTATTGTGCAGGTCTCTCCTTCATCACTATTGTCTGGCAAAGGCTAGAAAATGTGCCAATGGGGGGACAGCCTGTACCCCCACCCCACACCTTGGGCTCCCTCTGGAGGTGGGCATCTCTCTTCACTGATTCTCAACAAGCCAGCATCCCAGAAGCACCCACCACCCCCAAGTGACGTCCACAGAGCATCAAGGATTAAAGGCGAAACCTACCTGGACCTTTCCAGTATGGGACTCCCCATCGCTTGGTGGCAGAGCCCCTGCTTTGAATGCAGAAGGCCCCAGTCCCTTCTGAAACTCTGGACAGCTGTTGCCAGTCAGTGTTGGCAATACTGGGCTAGGTATAGCAATGGCCTGACTGGGTTTGAAGCAGGTCCCTACATTCCTGGAGAGAGAACATGGTCAAACACAGCCTTAAGGACTCACAGATTTATTGCAGCATGGGCAAAACCTGGAGATGGCAGCACTTAATCTGATCAGGCCATTGGTCCATCTAGTTCAGTATTGCCTTCTCTGGCTGGCAGTGGCTTTCTGGGGCCTTCAGCAAAGAACCCTCACCTGCTTCTGGAGTCCTTGCATGCACAAAAGAATGGGCTATGCTCTGCTGAACTATGGACGGCACCCATGAATTTTTCTCCTGTAATAAATCTATTCGTTTCTATGGTGCTGCAGGATTCTTCATTCATTCATAAACATTGCTGGACTACGACTCCCACCCACCTCATTACTGCTCATGCTGTCTGGGGCTGATGGGAGTTGGAGTCCTGCAACGTCGGGGTCCCTGGTACAGGCAAAACAGAGCATGGTCAACCAATGGTCTGACTCAGTGCCTTTGGTTGTTTTGGCCAAAACAAACACAGCTACCCTTTGGAAAAGGATCAAAGCCAGCCATTCCTCTCACTGTTTCAAGGAGGAGTGGGACCCAGTTCTGATATGGGAAAGGTGTTTCCCACCCTAGTACAAAACGCGAGGGGACCAGCCCTAAAACTGTTTGGAAGTGGGGAGTTTTCCAGGGGAGACTGGAGATCAGCACCATGGACAGCAACTCGCAGCAAGGATCCCTTTTGGTGCCAGGAGGGAGGCTCCGTTTGGGCCCCAAGGACATGGTTGAGATTCCCTACCCCACATTCTCTCCCCAACTGGGTCCCGGAACCACAAGAAACTGGAGTCCAGTTTGAAGAACCAACCCTAAGATCTGCAATATTGGAGTGGCACCAGCCTCCCTCTCTGCACTTCCCCACACCTTCTCAAGGCCCACATCATATGAAGAGCCTGTTGGATCGGCCCAATGGCCCCTCTACCCCAAAGAACCTAGGAATTGAGATAGACTGCCTCTGGACCTGGAGGTTCCATAAAAGCATCCGAAGAGCCTATCTGCTAGATCAGGCCAATGGCCCATCTCGACCAGCACCCTGTTCTCACAGTGGCCAGCCAGATGACTCTTTTGGGAAGCCCAATTTAAGAGCCCTCTTCCCTCCTGATTTCCAGCAACTGGTATTCAGAAGCATAATTGTCTCTAACTGGGGTGGCAGAGCACAGCCACCATGGCTAGTAGCCATCAATAGCCCTCTCCTCCTCCAGGAATTTGTCCAATCCTCTTTTAAAGCCATCTTGGTTGGTGGCCCTCCTCCTGTGGCAGGGAGTTCCATAGTTTAACAAAGTGCTGCCCTTGTTAGACCCACCGACCTTCATCTCCATTATGACATTTTAAATACCTGTCAGCTGCACTGGCTTGCATCCACCCACCTGTTCAATCTCTGGACCACCCCACTCCCCTGTTGCACTGGTCCAAGGGCCAGCAGTAGGGAGTCCCCATTTGATTGACAGACAAATGATGAGACATATATTTAAGTACCGGTACATGGCAGGGCTGCTCAAGGTCACAGATAGCCCACCCATAATCTAGTTTTACAGGTGAGAAGCACAGAGGTTAAAGAGGTAAGCAATTATACCACAAGGCCCACCATGTCAAGTTGTATGGTGTGTTTTTTTTAAAGGAGCAGCATTTAAAACCACCAGGGTCCCATTTTACAGCCAGGGCAAACTGAGGCCCAGATATAGCTATAGATCTACTGTCTATACCTTCTTCGCTAAGCTTTCTTCGTTTCAGAAGCCTGGTTTACTAGGGGAGGGCGTGGAGATCTGTTTCTGCTGCTGTTAAAGAACCGTGAGCCAGAAACCCTTTTGCAGGATCTGCTGCAGAGACCTACCACGAGTGGATCCTGACATGTCTTTGCCCTGGCACAGCTGAAAGGAGACAGGCGCCCCACACAAAAGCCCGCCCCCCTCGGGTGAAGAGGCACTGTAGTTGCTGTCAGACTTCAGTAGCCATGACTGTAGACTGTTACTGTTCCTGTCGTAGCACTTAGCAGTAAGCAGTCTAGAGCCAAGGTGCCGACGCACTGACCTGGCAGGGAGGGTGTGGGGGGCAGGAGGTTGAATCTTCTCATCGGGGTCTCTTCCGCATGTGGTTCCCCTTGCTTTAACCCGGAGGGGGGGAAGGCCACTGCAAAGGAAAGTGCAAAAAGCCTCCTGCCTGCTGGTGTGGCTGCCTCTGTGCTTCCTTGAGAGGCCATTAAAAAAGAGAGAGAAATCAAGATTCTAGATCTCATGATCACAGCGTGAGCTGAGGAGCAATGGAAAAGGGACGGTGCCTTCTTGTTGCGCTCAGTTTCAGAGTCTGGGGGAAGGAAGTTCCTGGATTTCAGGGCTCACCAGCGAGTTACAGGGCGAATAATGTTTTGATAGAAATGATGCGGGGAAACTCCAGGCCGTCCTGGAAGAGGCTGGGGTTAGAAGGGGGGTGATATAGACCTGCCTTCTGCTGAAGAACTAACAGGCAGACCCTCCCCAAATAGCCCATAGAATAGTAGAGTTGGAAGAGACCCTGAGGATATCTAGGGATATGCAGTTGCAGGCAAGGGATCTGGGGTCCAGATCGATGCCCTTGACTCCTTGGTAGACTGCCTCTAAGGAGAGAGGCTCCACGGAGCGAACATGGCTAAAATCTTCTCCATAAGTTTTCCCCAACTGCTCCCCTCCTTACTTTCACCCTCTATGGCAGGCTAAGGGGGTGGGGTGAACTACAACTCCCATCAACCTTGGCCTCTGGCCATGCTTGCTGCTGATGGGAACTGTAGTTTCAGCGGCACCTGAAGAGCCAGAGGTCCCCTATATCTGCTTCAGGTCCTAAGACGAGCCTGGCTGCTGGATCAGGCCAGCATCCTTTGTCTCAGCTGCCCCCTGGGAAGCCTGCAAGCAGGGTCTCAGTACATCGGCAGTGTGGCTTAGTGGTTAGCCTGGGAGAAATTAGGGCTTGAATCCCCACTTGGCCCTGAAGCTGATTGAGTGACTTTGGGCCAGTCACTGCTTCTCAGCCTAGCCTACCTCACAGGGCTGTTGTGGGGATTAACCAAGGGTGGGGAGAACCAAGGACGCCATGCAGAAAAAGATGGACATAAATTCCTGCATTGCAGTGGGTTGGACTAGATGACCCCTGGGGTCCATTTCCAGCTCTAGAATTCTATGAAATGCAATCAGTAAATAAAATAAAAACAACACACACACACACACACACACACACCCTCATTCCTTCCCTCTCTCATTCCTATGGATCCAGGAGGCCTCTCGCACATGGATGGCCATGATTCTGGAGGGTGGGAGCTGTCCATCCAAGAGGGCACCAGGTTGGGAAAGGCTGAGCCAGGGAAACAGGGGTGTGTGTTCAAGGGACAGTGGAAATAAATGGAACAGAAGAGCCTGCTGGATCAGGCCAAGAGCCCACCTAGTCCAGCATCCTGTTCCCACAGCGGGCGACAAGATGCCCATTGTGGGAAACAGACCCCCAGCTGTTGTTCCCCATCCTCTGGTATTCAGAGATAGACTGTCCCAGGGCATGGAGGTTCTGCTATCACAATAGACCTTTGTAAGAAGAGCCCTGCTTGATCAGGTCAAAGGGGGCCCATCTAGTCCAGCATCCAGTGGCTGAACAGATGCCCATTATGGGATGCTCGCAAGCAGGATTCAAGCACAAGAGCTCGAACTCTCCCCTCCTGCGATTTCCAGCAACTGGGATTCAGAAGCATCGCTGCCTCCGACTGCGGGGGCAGAGCGAGCCATGAATGAATCTGTTGCTCATTCTTAAAAATGAATAACTAAACCCCACAAAAGCGCAGGGCGTTAGAGAAGGCAGGTGTCTCGAACTCTTCGCTTCCGGGTGTGTGTGGGGGGGGAGAGCCGGGGGGGGTATCAAAGGAAGGGAGAGGTCCCTCTCCTTCTTCCACCCCCAGATCTTCCTCTTATATTCAACACCCACCCCATCAACAGCCCCCCGTTGAGGAGATTCTCGCTTCCTGCTTTCTCGTTGGGCATCTCGGAGTGGAAAGGGAGGGCGAAGAAAGAGATTTTTTGGGAGGTGGGGGTCTGGTCTGACGGATGCTTATGCCTAGGGAGTTGGGGGGGGAGGCAGGTCGCTGCCGCCCTGCGCCAAGCCAGCCCTCCCCTTCAGCCAAGCGGACACCGGGGGGGGGGGGGTAGAGAAGCGGCTGGCTGGCTGGCGCTCCCCCCCGCCCATCGCTTCCGGCGGCGCAGCAGCCCCTTCCAGCCAGTTCTTGTTCCGGCTCAAGGTGAATGGAGCGGCAGGTAGGCTGGTGGGGGCGGAAATGAGAGGGAGGGGGGAGAGAGAGAGAGCTGCAGCAACGTCTCTCCCGCCCCCCCCGCAGGAAAAAGAGAGGAGCGAACGCCAAGCAGACGCAATGCAACAGGTGGCGGATCCGCAGCAGGAAGAAATTGGGGGGGGGGGAGTCAGAGGCATCATCTAACCAGCTCCAAGCTCAATTACGTGGAGGGGGGGCGATAGGGATGAGCCATCCTCCTCTGCGCGCCCCGCATCCAGGCGCTCCTCATCCGTCCCCCCCCTTCAGTGCCAGCAGCTTCCCCTTAGCTGGGCTTTTTGCGGGAGAGGGGAAGTTGGCAAGGCACAAGGTGGGGGGGGGCAACGCCCGAAACTCTGCCGTGTCCCCCCCCGCCCGCTTATTATAATGGCCAATGCCTCTGTGGTCCCATTCACGTAGGAGGGGGGTCTCTGTTCCCTCTGTGCCCCCCACCCACCCACCCACTGAAAAGAGACGCCCCCGACACATCCCTGGTGGGGAAAGTCGGTCCCGATTCAAGACCTACTTCCTCTCCTTTGATGGGGGTGGGGGGGAGGTAGGCAGTCGCTGCCCGGACAAGCGCCACGTGTTTGGCACGGGAACCAATCGACTCCGGGCGAGTCACGCTGCGGGACCCCCGCGCACCTCTCCCCACAAACCGCCTGGGACGGGACTCTGTTGGAGGCGAATCTACGTCGCGGAGCAGAGAGAGAATAAGTGGGGACCTCCTGACACACACCCCCCACTCTTGAAAGCGGCGATTAGCCAGTCTTGCAATGGGGAGAGAGGGGCAGAGCTGGATTGGTAGGGGGCAGCCCATTCTCCGCTTACCTGTGCCTCGACGGGGCGTCCTTCCCGTCCATCCGCCCGCCGGCCCTTCTCCCCTCCATCCCTCCGCGCCGGAGCCCCCTTTTTTCTCTCCCGGCTTTGTGGGGAGAAGCGCCGGACTCCGTCGGCGGTGCAGGCTCCGGAGCGGTGTATGCAGCCGTCGGGCTTTTTATAGAGTCCGGCTCGTAGTAACGGGGACCTCGCGGCTCATTCATAGAAAAGAATCAACCTACACAATGACGTGAGCACGACGTCAGCGGGAAATTTAGGGAACGGGCAGAGGCAGCTATTTATATCACGGGGAGGGGGGAGAGAGAGAGAGAAAGGGAGAGAAAGAGGGGCGGGGGAGAGAAACTAGCCAGCCAGAGAGGGGGGATTTATGGGGGGGGGGACTCTAAGTGGGTCTCCTTAGCATCAGTTTGCTCCATGACACTCCTGATGCCCATCGAAACGACGGGGGGCGGGAGAGAAAGCGAGAGCTTTATAGACCTCTGAAACTGCCCGATTCCCCGGTCTTGGCACACACACACACACACACCGTCCAGGGGGGCACCCACCCCCCCTGGCATGTGCCAAGATGTACCCAAGTGGCAAAAAACTCACGAAGTCTTAACTCAGATCTAGGAACACAGGAAGCTGGCGGAGGCTGAGTCACCAACTGGTCTATTTAACTCCATATCGTCAACACGGACTGGCGGCGTCTCCCCGGGGGTCTCCAGAAAGCGGAGGTCTTACCGCCAGCTCAGCAGAGATTGGATCTGGGAAAGGAGGTGCCGGGACAGTGAGCTGCAGCCCATCCCCTAAAAATAAGGTAAGTTTTTGATCTTCATGACTCTAAATAAAGGGCTGGTTTATTGCAAACCGCCTCATATACTGAGTCCAATCAGTCGGCTCAGTATTGCCAACACAGACTGGCAGCAATCAGTCAATCGATCGTTTTATTTTTAGGCCGCCTTTCCAAAGTTAAAGCTATGCTCAAGGTGGTCGATAACATATAAAAATCACATAATTACGAACATAACAAAAGTAGTCTGTGAACAATGAATAAAACATCAGAAAGCACGTAGCCAAATTGAACAACTTCCACATAAATCATAAGAAGATGGAAAATAAAGATACAAAAAGTATCAGTAACAACAACACACACACCCCAAAACCCCCTAAACAACCCCCCCCCAGCCCAAGAGTCTGTTCGGCATTCTCAGCTTTTGCAGCTGGAGTCAGTCCAAGGGCCACCCTGCCAGGCCTGGTAGGAAAAGGCCTGCAAGGCAGAGAGCAGGTCTCCCAGGACTCGTAGCCAAGAGCAGCAGCTCTTCAGGGTTCCGGGCAGGGGGGTCCCTCCCCTGACCCTGCCTGGAGATGCCACTGGGAGCTGAATGCGGACCCTTCTGCATGTGAAGCAGGTGTTCTGCACCCCTAAACTACAGCCCCTCCATACGTCAACACAGGAAGTTGTGTTGTGCTCAGTCTGACTACTGGTCCATCTAGCTCAGCACTGCCAGCACTGATCGGTAGCAGCTCTCCAGCGTTTCAGGCTGAAGTATTTCTGCAGACCTACCGGGGGATATTGGGGTTTGCAGTGCATGGTTAAGCTGTGGAACTCCCTCCCACAGGATGTGGAGGAGATGGCTTTAAAACAAATTCATGGGGGAAGCGAGGGCTATGGAGGGCTCCTCCTAGCCAGGTTGGCTCTGCTCCTCCATGGTCTAAGGCAGGCACCCCCAACCTGCGGCCCTCCAGATGTTTGGGCCTACAACTCCCATGATCCCTAGCTAACAGGACCAATGGTCAGGGGTGATGGGAATTGTAGTCCAAAACATCTAGAGGGCCGAAGGTTGGGGATGCCTGGTCTGAGGCAGCAGCGCTTCTGAATCCCAGTGGCTGAAACCTACAGGAGGGGAGGGGTCTCTTGGGTTTGAGTCTTGATTGTGGGTTTCCCTTGGTGGCATCTGGCTGGCCCTTGAGCCGTGGAAAGGGGCATGGGGGCACTGGTGGGGCAGGAGAAGAAATGCCCTGCCACATGAAGGGCACAGGCATTTCGGGCAAAAGATTCCTGAGCTGCAGGAGGTTAGACTAGATGGTTCTTGTGGGCCCTTCCAACTCTATGATTCCAGCCTCCCCCAATTTTCTACCCTCAGGATCACACAGCTAAACAGCACTGGGGGCATGGAGACTCCAGGAAGCCGGCTGCAGCAACCCAACCAGATGCACGGGGTATAACTAATAAAATTATTATTATTATTATAAGCAGCCCTATACCAAGTCAGCCCATTGGTCCTTCTCACTCACTGCCTGCACGGACTGGCAGCAACTCTCCAGAGTTCTAACCCTACCTGCAGATGCCATTGGGGATTGAACCAGGACCTTCTGCATGCAAAGCAACTGTTCTCCCACTGAGCTACAGTCCACGGATGTGGTGCAATGGATCATCTAGGTAAGCTTTCTCTATACTATGTCTGGGGCTGATGGGAGTTGTGGTTCAAAACCTCTGGAAGCCAGTCCGCTGGCCAAGGCTGATTTTAGTCCACCTCAGTCTGTTTCCAGGCCCAGAAACTGCCTGAGTCATCCAGGTGGTGATCAAGACTCCCAGCCCTTCTGTAGGTTCTGGATAGCTCCGCCGAGATGGGAGCTGGAGGGGTCATGTTTGGGTGTGGCTCTGCTCCTACCTGCCGGGGGTTCCAGAAAGTGGTGCTGGGCCTGGTCTTGCTGCTGCTGCTCAGCCCCAAGGACCTGTTGCTATGGACCTCTGCAGGATTCCACCCTCTCCTACATGCGCATGAGACCTTGTGGAGTGCCTGTCCGGTGTTTGCGGCTGAGCCATTGGCATTTCCCGCACTCCCACACCTAAAGGATCAGATCCGCCATCTGGAGGCACCCCTACATCAGAGGTGGGAAACCGCCTCTGATGTCGGTTCGGAAACTTCAGCTGGTGCAGAATTTGGCAGCCAGGTTGCCCACCAGGGCGAAACGGTTTGAGCATATGACGCCATTGCTGGCCTGGCTGCACAGGCTTGCTGGTCAATTACTGGCCCCCATTCAAAGTGCTGGTTTTGACCTATAAAGCCTTAAAGGGTTCAGGACGGCAATACCTCAAGGACCACCTCTGTTCCATATGAAACAACCTGGACCATGAGATCATCTTCTGAGGCCCTTCTCCATGTGCCTCTGCCACAAGAGGTCCAGAGGGTGGCAACACAAGAACGGGGCCTTTTCTGCGGTGGCTCCCCCTTTGTGGAATGCTGACCCCCCTTTGGCTGATTAAACTGTCGATGGACTTTTAAACGGGTGGGTATTCTTTCTGTTTGTTGCTATTGTATGTATTTTTGTGTTTTTATACAGTATTGTAAGCCACCTCAGATGAAGAGCGGTATAGAAATTTAATAAAACAATAATTAAAATCTGGCCTCCAGATGTTGCGGGAGTTCGAGAGGAACTGGAGGCAGCCACAGGTCCTGCGACCCCCGTCCTTCATCACTGGAGACAAGAGCAGCCTCTGTGGCACCCTGGAGCATTTGTCAGATAGGACAGTGTGGTGCAGTGGTTAGAATGTCAGAATAGTACCTGGGAGAGACCAGAGTTCAAATCCCCACTCAGCTATGATGCTCTCTGGTGTGACCTTGGGGAAACAGGCACTGCTTCTCAGCCAAACCAACTTTGCAGGGTTGCTGTGGGATTAAATGGGGAGAACCATGTACACCATTTTGAGCTCCCGTCAGGGGTGGAAATGTGGGATATAAATGCAATCAATCAATCAATCAATCAATCAATCAATCAAGATGAGGCCAGTGCAGCTGTTGCAGCCCTTTTGGGACAGCGATAGCCTGACCACAGTCATCCAGGCTACTGCAATGCATGTCATGTGGGGCTGCCCTTGAAGACTGCCTGGAAACTGTCACGAGTTCAAAATACAGCTGCTGGACTTCCAGCTGGGAATGGACTGAGTGGGAAGGTGGGAGGCTGTGCTCAAAAAACTGCACTGGGTTCTTGCCCGTGGCAATAATAATAATAATAAATTTTATTTATACCCTGCCCTCCCCAGGCAAGACCGGGCTCAGGGTGGCTAACGCCAGGTATAAAAACAATTGATTAAAATACAACTTAAAAACAAGGTTAAAATACAACCTTAAAATGCAGCCTCATTTCAGTAGAAACTCAAATCAAAAACTTTTGAGGGATGAAAACGTCAATTCTTCACCAAGGCCAACTATCCAGACTGGTCCTACGTGGGCCAGAAAAAAGCCAGGGAAGTCCCCAAATAGGAGTTCCATCACAGAAGGAGAAAGGAAAAATGAAAGAGGGGGAGGGAATCAAATTGACTCCAAGCCAAAGGCCAGGCGGAACAACTCTGTCTTACAGGCCCTGTGGAAAGAAGTCAGATCCTGCAGGGCCCTGGTCTTGTGAAACAGAGCATTCCACCAGGCTGGAGCCACAGTTGAAAAGGCCCTGGCTCTGGTTGAGGCTAATCTGACTTCCTTAGGGCCCGGGACCTCTAGGGTGTTGCTAGTTATGGCAGTTAAGGTTCTCCGTGGGGCAGACCGGGAGAGGCGGTCCCGTAGGTACGAGGGTCCTAGGCTGTGAAGGGCTAGATGTTGGTGCTTTTACGCCCCCAGACAGCTTGGGGTCAGTGTACCAGAATGGAGATCTGCCGCTCCCAGCTCAACCCAGGTCTTGTGGAAGTGCTGTGCTGCTGCCCCAGTTGCCATGGGTGTGTGAGAGGCAGAGCGAGGGGTACCTGGAGAGAAGGTGTTTTGGGTGACGATGCTACCTGGTTTATGGGTTCTCAGCCTGGGTGCCTGCAATGTCACTATCCGGCCACCAGGCGATGAGTTCAGAAACTCCTTGAGAACAATGCATTTACACAGCTGAGTAGTAATCCTTGTACTGCGTTCATTCACTTACGTATTTATTTAAAACACAGCATGCTGGAAGGTTCCGGAAGCCCTTTTTTTTTACGCAGAGCAGAGTTAAACTCTGGAACTCCCTCCCTCAGGAGGCAGTGATGGTCAGAGGCAGAAATGCTTCTGAAGGCCCATTTCTGGAAGCCACAGGTGGAGAGAAAGTTGGTGGGCTTGGTTTCCTACTTGCAAGTTTCCCATTAAAGGCCTCTGGTTGGCCACTGCGAGAAGAGGATGGTGGACAAACAGGGCTCTTCTGAAGTCCCTCTGCCCATCTTTCCTTCAAAGGCCTGGAGGGGTAACGGAGCCTGAAAGCAACAGCAAAACATGGTAAGGGTTTACATTTTATTACAGACATAGTCCACCCATCCTGCCACTGCTAGACACCCTCCCTGAGTGAGACTCAGTTTTACTATGCTGAGAAAGGGACTTAAACGTCCCTATCCTCACACAGTCCAAGGCCCTACCCCTGTCTCTCCCAACAACCCAGTTCATCTCCTCCAGAAGTGGAAGGTTCCCAGAGAGATAGGCCTTTAATCTGACCCAGAAAGCCTAGGTCCTTCTCCTGCCCATCATAAATTCATAGGATTGTAGAGTGGGACCATGAGGGCCATCTAGTCCAGCCCCCTGAAATGCAGAAATCTTTTTCCCAACGTGGGGCTCCAACCCACAGTCCTGAGATTAAGAGTCTCGTGCTCTACCATGTACCTCTGCATGGCAAGCATGCCTCTGAGAATGCGCCGAGTGCAGATTCTGCGCCACGAGGAAAACATGACTAGCTCTCACTTCAGAAGCAGAATGTTTGGGGGCAGGAAACATGGCTCGTAAGATGCTTTAACCCCCAAACCTCTTCTCCTCCCCTTCAACCCTGACGGAGCCTCTGAAGAATTGCCAGCTGCAAGGCATTTGCAAACATGGAAGCCGCTTGGTATAAACCCAACAGAGCGCCATTCTCAGGGCTGGGGAACACCTGCTCCCCTAGATGTTGCTGGACGATGACATGGATGGGGAGCATCTCTGGCTTGCCAGATGTTTCTGGAGCCCCATCATCCCCTGGCCAGCTGTTGGGAGTTGGAGTCCAACAAGATCTGGAGACCCCACAGATGTTCCCCATCCTAAGACTACAACGCCCATCATCCCTGGCCATTGGCCATGCCGGCTGGCACTGACTGATGGGAGTCGGAGTCCAACAACAGCATCTGGAGGGGGGAGGCATGAACTCACCAGCCCCCTGTTATATATGGACCTTCTCTCCTCTTGTCTACCCCCGCCTCCCCTTCTTCTCTCCTCAGCTCTTCCTTTCCTGTCGGCCTCTGAAGTGGTTCTGTAAGACGCATTATGTGGGAGGCAGAGCCCATTATCTCTCAGATAAATGCAAGGCTCAGAGGCGGGAGAAGACAGTGATAGGCAGCAGGGAGGTGCCCCCCCCCAGCCGCCTATTGAGAGAGGCAGAGAGGAACACTGGAATCTGCACCCAGGCATCTCTCTCTTGTCTCACGCTTTCGGCTTGGAAACATCTGAGCCTGCTTCTTCACAAAGAGTTCTTTTGCGGGAGGGAATGCTTCCCATTTTAAAGATGGGGAAGTGGAGGCCGAGGCCGAGGGATGGACCCAAGGCCACAAAACGAGGCCGTGTCCATGGTGGGGGGCATAGCTGAGTGGTAGAGCACCTGCCCGCATGCAGAAGGTACCAGGTTCAACCCCTGCCAGCATCTCCAGGTGAGACTAGGAAAGTCTAAAATCCTGAGGAGCTGCTGCCAGCCAGTGCAACCAATATTGAACCAGATGGGCCTTTCATAAGGCAGCTCCCCAAGCTAGATTTGTGCCCAGGAGTTTCTGACCTCCCACAAAAGCAAGCTCATAAAGTAGAACTGTCATATAGGCTTTTCGACGAAGAGCTAGAAATCCACAGAATCACAGAATTTTATTGTTGGAAGGGACCTAGAAGGGTTATCTAGTCCAACTCCCTGAAAAGCAGGAATTGTCAGACAGCAAGTTCAGGCCTACCTGGAAGCTGCATGTGATTTATTTCATTTCCGCAAGATTCTGAAAGCGCCCACATGGAAATAAAATGTGAGAATATGAGGATTTCTGGGTGGTTTCTCCCCACACCCTGTGAGATGTTTGCCCTCTCCTGCAATTTCTTGTGGAACCTCCAGGTCCAGAAGCAGTCTATCTAAATTCCTAGGTTATATGCAGTATTTGGCCACTGTGAGGAGACTGGACTAGGTGGGCCCCCTTTGGCCTAAACCAGTAGGCTCTTTGGACATTCCTATGGAACTTCCAGTTCCAGAGGCAGTCTATCGAGATTCCTAGTTTCTTAGCGGCAGTTGGCCCCTGTGAGAAGAGGGTGCCGGGCTAGAGGGGCCCCCCAGGTGCTGCAAGGCTCTGCTCTGAGGTTCCCCCTATTATTTCTTAGTGAGCCTAAGGGGGGGGGGGAGCCTGCCTTGGGGCTTCCAGAATGGAAGGAGTCTGTGGGACATGCATTGTGTGATGGGAGTTGTCATGTGGGCTGGAGGTTAAGGTGTGGGACTAGGACCCGGGAGAGCCAGGCTCAGGTCCCCACTCAGCCACAAAGCTCACCAGGTGGCAATGGGCATTCCTAGTCCTGCTTAGAGATGCTGTCAGGGGGTGAACCTGGAACCTTCTGTGTGCAAAGCAGGTGCCCGAATTCCAGTCCTCATGGCTTTGAATAAGGGGGTTATTTAAACAGGAACTTAGAAAGTCACATCTAACTCAGTTCTGCACACACTGACAGGCAGAGGCCCTCCTGGCGTCTTCTGTGCTTGGGTCCTGCTTGCGGGTTTCCTACGGGACGTTGGGCTTCCTCAGAAGGTGGCGGACTTCACTGCTTCACTGGAGCAGAGATTGGATGGCCATCCCTCAGGGATGCTTTTACTGTGATTCCTGAATTGCAGGGGGTTGGACTAGATGACCTTTGGGGGACCTCCTTCCAACTCTACAGTTCTAGGATTCTGCGATTCTACCAGTTGCTGCAAACTGCAGGAGGAGCGAGGGCTCCCATGCTCAAATCCTGCCACAGGCAACTGTTCAGCCCCTGAGAGAAGGGGATGCTGGACTAGATGGGGCCCTTTGTCCTGACCCAGCAGCCAGGCTCTTGTTCTCACGTGTGTGTGTTTGTGTAGTGGGAGTTCTCTTAATAAAATCGAACAGACCTCCCCTCATCACCTACTTCCAGCCACAGCATGACCCTTGGGTAAACACGGTTGCTAACGGGTGCCCAGCAAAACAGAGACTCGGGCTTTAATCTGGGATTAATCTATTCTCTTTTCTCCAAATTACACGTGCCAACTCAACAAGGTGAGCGCTTCCTGCCTCTGGCAAAAGCTGCATCAACCCACCCACTGAAAACCCCCCGCCAGAAGATACCGGTTCAGCGGAATGGTTTGTATGGCACTGTTACCGGATTGGCTCCAAATGCAGCCAGGCGGCTGATTTTCTCAATCTGGATCGAAGCCAGTTTGCATGCAGGGTGCGGGGGAAGGCATCGAAATGCAACGTTTCGGAAGAGCCGGCAGGGGAGGTACGGGATAGATGCGAGTCGTGGTTAAAGCCGTGTGCCCAAACCAGCGGCGGGTGCGGAATAAACCCGAGTGTGCGCGTGTGTTTGTGTCTACACGATCGAAGAGGACTCTCTCCTTTTGGGGTTTGACTTCGCTTAGCCGATGACAGGCTGGGACAGGATTCTGAGGACAGATTAAAAGGGGCTACTGATATCTAAGATGACACCCCCTCAGTCCACACCCCCCCAGCCTGATCCTAAGGAAGAGGCTCTTTTGGGGAAGGGGGGGAAGCGCCAGAGTACTTAGAAGTAGATTAATATGCCGTGGGGGGTGCGTTACGTTGCTAGCCTCTCATTATGCCTCATTCTCCTCCCCCCCCCCCTTTCTACTCTGCATGAAACACGCACAGCGGTTCTGAAAAGGGACTTTGGGGGGTGGCGGCAGATATTCCAGGAATCTTTTCTCTCTCCAGACACAACATCCTCTCCTTCCCCTCCCAGGGTGGGGCGCCCACCCACAGCCCTGGGCAAAGCGGCAGCAGGAAGAAAGGGGCCGAGGTGGAGCACCAGCGTCCCCCCCACCCCCCATAATCCTTAAATCGGAGAGCACACACCGTGGGGATAAGTCAGCGTGGGGGAAGGTGGATGGGCAGCAGGGCGAGGAACTGTCAGCGCCACCCGAGGGCCATCGCCGGCTGGGTGACTGTGGGAGGGGGGGGTCATCACAAGCCAGCCCCCACCTGAGAAAAACTGGCGCTTTCTTCTCCCCACACCCAGCTCCAAGGGAAGCGTTAAAAATGCGCCCTGGGCTCTTAAAGTCGTGCCAAGGTGCTAGTCCGTAGGGGTAAAAAAGTGCTATTTTACTCCAGCTCTGTTAACCCAGAGCGTGGGATGAGGCTTGGGGGGGGGGGGCTTTGTCAGCGGGCTATGACCTTCGCTCCCCACAGATAACACCGAAAAGGAGAAATCACAAATTCCTGTCGTCGTCCCCCAGCGCCACAACGGTTCACCTTCCCAATTCCAGCTTCATTCCTATACTGCAATCTGCAAACAGAAGCACCCCACCCCCATTCCCGGCGTATTTACTGCCTGGAAACCATATCCGAGCGCGCCCCCCCCCCCCCGCGGCAATTGCCTTCTCCCCGCTCCCGATCTTGTTTGTGTTGGAAGCTGCTCGTCCTCCTCCCACCCCCCTCCCCTGACCTCACATTCTGCCCTGGAAAAGCATCATTGTGGTCTCCATGGCAACCAGGGATGAAAGCTGCTGCTGATGCAGGGAAGATGCCTGGGTCCCTCGCCTCGGGCCAAGGTGGGGAGGGCCCCCAGCTGAGCTGGTCCACCCCTCCTTGTCGGGGTTTGGGCTCCGAGTCCAAACTCCCCAGGTGCAGGCTCCAGCTCACCCCTCTCTCTGCCCATGCCCCGGAACTGCTGCAGCGCTAGGAAGAGAAAAGTCTGGAAGAAACGGGTGGATGGAGAGAGAAATGGAGAGAGGGATGCGCGAGGCGTGGGGAGTGGGGAAAGGAAGCGTGGGGTGGGTGGGTGGGTGGGCGCAGAGATCAGGTTAGTCACCTCTTCCTCTTCCTCCCCCGTAGCAGCCCACACACCCAAGGACGCCCCCTCCCAACACTCTGCGCCAGGTTTGCAGGCGCTTCAATCCCTTACAGGTATTCCCATCGCGCTCTCGAGCTCTCCACGCGCCCCACCACCTCTGAACCCCACTCCCCCCACCTCAAAGAGGCTCATCTCTCTCTCCCGGGACTGAAACAGTCATTTTGCCGTCGCAACTGTTGCCAGAGCTGAGCGTTGGGAGGTGTCCTCTGAGCATGTGCAAAGCGCATTTTCCTTCCTCTACTCGTGAGGGACGCAGGAGTAGCCGGACTCCTCGCTTTTTCTCTGGGTGTGGGTGGGTGTAAAGAAAGAGTAAGAGAGTGTGTGTGTGTGTGTGTGTGTGTGTGTGAGAGAGAGAGAGAGAGAGAGAGAGAAAGAGATGTTGCTGGACCGCATCTTCGTATTATTATATCTTATTATTTACCAAATCTCTCTCTCTCTCTTTTTTTTTTACTTCTGGGGCTAATGAAGAGGTCCAATAACACCCAGAGAGCCATATCCCTATTTTCATAGCTGTCTGACAGGCAGAAACTCAGCTGGGCAATTAACCTCTAAAGGGAAATGCAGAATCTTCACCTTGATCACAGGAACCAAACAATTTTGCGGATCACGGAGAAACCTCAGCATCCCTCGCGCCCCGGACTACCCCTCCCTCCACCCTGTGCCAGACAGTGGGGAACCCCTTCTCATTTCCACTCTAAAGGAATCCCCAAGCTTCTAGTCCGCATGGCTGCAGAGGAGCATTTGAGGGTCGGTGAGGATTGGCTAAACCAAACAGCTGCTCGTCGCAGGAGAAGCAGCCTCTCTCAGGCCCTTCCCACGCCCCTCTGAGGAGGCTCAGACCACCCACCCCATTTTCTCGCTCTTTATGGTGGTCCTCGCCACCAGCTCTGCGAGGTCCATTTTACTTCCGAGGAAGCAGATTGAAGCTCCTGAAGGTCTCGCGTCTGGAAATTCTGGGGGGCCCTGATCCTGAGCGCAGTCCCTGCAGAGTTAGCACCCTTTTGCTCAGCTGGGCTTCCTTCTGGGTAAACTGTGGTTGGAAGAAGAAAGTTAAATTTATTATAGGAAATGCGTATTTGGATAGGAAAATAGTTCCTCGTTCTGGGTGATTTGGCAATACAAGGAAGCCACGTTTGCCGCCTTTCTTCTCCCCGCAGGGATAGAGCCAAAAAGGCAAGAACTCCCCCCAAGAGAAACGAGGGGGAGGCAGGAAGTGAGAGCTGCAACCCGAGAGTATCAGTCTAGCGTTAAAGGAGAGGTCAGCACGGAGATCAAAGGACAAGGAGACAGTTTAGGAATTTGGGAGTTCCCTTTTCTGTCTGCTTTAACCCTTTGCAAACCGCTGTACGCCAACACATGCAAGGCAAAGATTCCTAGGTTTCATAGAATCATAGAATCATAGAATCATAGAGTTGGAAGAGACCACAAGGGCCATCGAGTCCAACCCCCTGCCAAGCAGGAACACCATCAGAGCACTCCTGACATATGGTTGTCAAGCCTCTGCTTAAAGACCTCCAAAGAAGGAGACTCCACCACACTCCTTGGCAGCAAATTCCACTGTCGAACAGCTCTTACTGTCAGGAAGTTCTTCCTAATGTTTAGGTGGAATCTTCTTTCTTGTAGTTTGGATCCATTGCTCCGTGTCCGCTTCTCTGGAGCAGCAGAAAACAACCTTTCTCCCTCCTCTATGTGACATCCTTTTATATATTTGAACATGGCTATCATATCACCCCTTAACCTCCTCTTCTCCAGGCTAAACATGCCCAGCTCTCTTAGCCGTTCCTCATAAGGCATCGTTTCCAGGCCTTTGACCATTTTGGTTGCCCTCCTCTGGACACGTTCCAGTTTGTCAATGTCCTTCTTGAACTGTGGTGCCCAGAACTGGACACAGTACTCCAGGTGAGGTCTGACCAGAGCAGAATACAGTGGCACTATTACTTCCCTTGATCTAGATGCTATACTCCTATTGATGCAGCCCAGAATTGCATTGGCTTTTTAGCTGCCGCGTCACACTGTTGGCTCATGTCAAGTTTGTGGTCAACCAAGACTCCTAGATCCTTTTCACATGTACTACTCTCAAGCCAGGTGTCCCCCATCTTGTATTTGTGCCTCTCATTTTTTTGCCCAAGTGCAATACTTTACATTTCTCCCTGTTAAAATTCATCTTGTTTGTTTTGGCCCAGTTCTCTAATCTGTCAAGGTCGTTTTGAAGTGTGATCCTGTCCTCTGGGGTGTTAGCCACCCCTCCCAATTTGGTGTCATCTGCAAATTTGATCAGGATGCTCTTGAGTCCATCATCCAAGTCGTTGATAAAGATGTTGAATAAGACCGGGCCCAAGACAGAACCCTGTGGCACCCCACTAGTCACTCTTCTCCAGGATGAAGAGGAACCATTGATGAGCACCCTTTGGGTTCGGTCAGTCAGCCAGTTACAAATCCACTGAGTGGTAGCATAGTCAAGACCGCATTTTACCAGCTTCTTTACAAGAATATCATGAGGCACCTTGTCAAATGCCTTGCTGAAATCAAGGTAGGCTACATCCACTGCGTTCCCTTCATCTACCAGGCTTGTAATTCTGTCAAAAACGAGATCAGGTTAGTCTGACATGACTTATTTTTCAGAAATCCATGCTGACTGTTGGTGATCACAGCATTCCTTTCTAGGTGCTCACAGACTGTTTGCTTAATGATCTGCTCCAGAATCTTCCCTGGTATTGATGTCAGACTGACTGGGCGGTAATTATTTGGGTCCTCTCTTTTCCCCTTTTTGAAAATAGGGACAACATTTGCCCTCCTCCAGTCTGCCGGGACTTCGCCTGTTCTCCAGGAATTCTCAAAGATGACTGCCAGTGGTTCTGAGATCACATCTGCCAGTTCTTTTAATACTCTTGGATGCAGTTCATCTGGCCCTTGAGACTTGAATACATCTAAACTAGCCAAGTATTCTTGTACTATGTCCTTAGTTATTCTGGGCTGTGTTTCCTTTGCTGCATCATTTGCTCCAAATTCTTCAGGTCGGGCATTGTTTTCTTTATCGGAGAAGACTGAGGCAAAGAAGGCATTGAGGAGTTCAGCCCTTTCTGTGTCCCCTGTTTGCATTTCACTGGGCCCTGTATGATGTGCAGTTTGGACTGCACATCATACAGGGCCCAGCACGGGGTGATTAACATGGGAGGGGGGGCATCGGTTGCCATTCACGAGATGTTGTTTGTCCCCAACTCCCAGCAGCCAGAGAGGATGATGGGAGTTGCAGTCCAGCAGCGTCTAGAGAAGACATGCGGGGGAGTGTTTGGTCCAGCCAGTCGAAAACTTCCTGTTTCCTCCTGACTGGAGCAGCCTTCCTTTGCATGTCACCAGAGGTGCGCGTGACCTTACCTGTCCAGGTAACAGAAGGACAAGGCATGCTGCCACTCTCTCTCTTTTTCACTTCCTCTGTCGCTGGACCAGCTTCTTAGCTAGAAATGCTCTGGGATCAAATCTCCCATATGGGGTAGATGCATATGTATATATTTGTAACTAAATCTGCCATCAGGGATCCAATTGTGAACTGATGTGAATAAACAGCTTTTATTGACTTTAAGATTGTCATGTCTTTATTCTTTTAAGAGGGATAAAAGGGAACTTACCAGGAATATACAATTCAATATTGAATTGTATAAAACAGTGAGAGGCTTACACAAGCCTGCAACCAGCTATCTGCTGTGCATGCAAAAGGGGAATGTAAACTCTGCTAAGTAAAGGAACTTGCTAATGTACGTTAGGAAGGATATTAATAAACAATATATCCTCTCCTGCCTCCCTGAACATTCCATATATATATAATAGCTCACCATCTTACTTTAAAAAGTGTGAGATGGGAAGTGCAATGGGCAAGGTCACGGAAAGGGAGGCAGCATGGTGCAGTGGTTAGGGTGTCGGACCAAGGTTCAAATCCCCACTCAGACATGAAGCTCTCTCTGGGTGACCTTGGACCAGTCACAGTCTCTCGGCTTAACCTACCTTACAGGGCTGTTGTGAGGAAAAAATGGCCCACTGAGGATTTGGTCGCTTCAAGCAAACTTATGCGCTGCTGGGATCTGAAAGCCCAGGTTGGATTTTAAAATTTTCTGGCGCATTTTATTTATTGCTTGCCATGTTTTGCTATGTTGAGTTTAGCACTTACATTTTTGGAAAGAGGGGTTATAGATCTGATTTGTTTCATAAAATGTATTATATGCCGCTTGACTGTAAAAACAACCTTCAAAGCACTTTACAAAAGCTATCAGTTAAAAAGCAGTTAAGCACAACTATGTGAAACCTTCAAAAAACAGTTAAAATAATGTCTAGGTAAAAACCAGATTAACAGCATCACGGGACTGTACAGTTAGAAGGGGTCCCTAGAGTCATCTAGACCAACCCCCTGCGATACAGAAGTCTCAACTAAAACATCCATGCCTAAACCACCTCTCAACAGTTCATGTCTGGAGAAGCTCTGCCTAAACAAAATTGTTTTGAGCAGGTCCTGAGCTGTTAAGGGCTTGACTGAATGATCGGTGAGTCGCATTTATATTCCCCCTATCCCTCAAGAACTTGGGGCGGAGTACACAGTTATCCTCGCAAGAACCCCTGTGAGGTAGGGTCTGGTCCTAGCAGTCCATACCGGCTCCTTATAATTAAACACACATTAGTGATGCAAGATTAAGAGGTCAGGAACAGGAAGCCGCCCACGTGTCCTAGCCAAGGTTTTGGGTACACAGTAGGCGGAAAACCAACAGGTGTAGCTTGCTGCGATCAGCACAGCGCCCCCTGTTGGATATCTGCCTGCCATGCAGCTGGCAAAGGCGGAAGAGCTCCTGCTTCTGTCTTTGCAACGAGGCTGGGAGCTGCCAGCTGCCTGGCCCCGAGGTGAAGGGGGCCAGTGTTTGTGGGGCTCCGTGGCATTCGGGGCACGTCCTTCCCGACCCACCGGGCAAGGCAAAGCCAAGCCAAGCCAAGCTAACCCCCCAGATCCTGAACACCCCCCACCTCGCCCCGGCTGCTACCTTCGTCACTCGCTGAGCAGCGTCAGCAAGCGTCGCTGCTGCTCCGGCAACGGGCGCGCTAGCAGGGGCAGGTGCTGCCACCCGGTGGCCACAGGAAGGTACTGCAGGGCCAGCGCGGGCGTGACGCAAACACGCGGCAATTATCACGCCAGCAGCACCAAGGCTGGCCGGGCGCACTCAGCCCTCCAGAGGGTTGGCCAAGAGCCTTTTCCTTATCGGGGGCGCCAGCAGGATCTCTGCTGCACCCACAGAGGCTGGCCCTTTGGGAATGGGTAGGATGGTTTTATTACGGAGGGGGGGGGGGAATTGGGGGGGGTGTTACCCAGCCAACACATCAGAAGCGTTGGCCTCCTGAGCTCGTGTGAATTTGACAACATCCATTTCCAGAGCAGAGGAGCTCGTTCCGCCGCACGGCGTCACATGCCAACACCACCACTGATTTCAATACATTCCCCTCCATTGGACAACCTGCACTGGGCAAGGAGACCCCGTTCCCAAACATAGAAATTCACCAAAGAAATAGCCCAATAGATGGTTTCATTTAGTTCCAAAGGGTAATAAAAATTGTGGTCCAGGAATGGAGGGGAGGGGACCTGACTCATGGAAGGAATGGAACTGGGACGCCCACGCACACCTAGGATATGGAGATATTTTCATTAACTCGCGTGAAGTGTGCACTTGAACCACGCATGATGGACAGGGGCATGTCTGGATCTCAAGGTTTCTGCCTGGCGCCACAGCTTTTTCCGTGACATACCGATGATGTTTTGATGCTGCTGTGTTAAATGTATCATGGGGAAATGTGGGAACTCTTGTGGGAATTTTTCGAGGATAGTAGGGGAGGATATATTGATTAAATACTATCCTTCCTCACTCACGCGAGTGAGCCAGTAACAGAGCACATTCCCTTGCACATTGCAGGAAGCTAGTGGATGGATTCATGAGAATCGTTTGCTTTAAGCAATCCAGTCTGGCTTGTCCAGATTGGATTGTTCCTGGTAAATCCCCTTTAGTTCCCTCTTAAAAACAATAATGACACAACAGTCTTCTTTTAAAAGTAATGATAAGGTTTACTTGCATTCAGTTCACAGTATGAAGGCAGGCTTTAGCTCAGGGGTCAGCAACCTTTTTCAGCCGTGGGCTGGTCCACCGTCCCTCAGACCATGTGGGGGGCTGGACTATATTTGGCGGTGGGGAATGAACGAATTCCTATGCCCCACAAATAACCCAGAGATGCATTTTAAATAAAAGCACACATTCTACTCATACGCTGATTCCCAGACCGTCCAGGGGCTGGATTTAGAAGGCAATTGGGCCAGATCTGGCCCCCGGGCCTTACATTGCCTACCCCTGCTTTAGCTTGTAGTTACAGTTACAGAGAAAAGTGTGGGTTCATCCTCTGTGAGGGATGAGCCCATGTGCTGCTGGCTGAGAGCCCGCAGACAGCAAAAGGAAAAATGGAGAGAAAGGATCAAGAGAGAACAGTGGCTGCGTGACTGGCCCTTTTGTAGGGTCTGCCAGGGTCACGCCCATCTACCTGGTCACACGCAGGGGGAGGATGCTCCAGGTGTGACAGGAAGTCCTCCTGGCTGGAGCAACATTCCCCTGTGTGTACACTCTGGGCAAAAAGGAAATGTTGTATTTGACTGTTTCCGTGATATTATATCCCACAACTCTTAACAGCCCATATGCCCTTTGTTCTGGGCTTTTTCTTCCCTGTTTTTGCTTGGGAATTGGGAACCTTATTGCAACAATAAAATGATCAAGGCTTCCTAGCTGCTGTTTTGCTTTGATTTGCCTGGCTGAGGTCTCTTGCCTGAATCTGATCAGTTCTGAACCCGCAGGTCTCTACACCCTGGCGAAGTTGGGAAACGGTTTAAGTACCGTACCCCAATATTTTGTCCTTATCAGCCTTTCTGGGATCCTTTCCAACCTCACAATTCTAGGATTCTTTGCTTCATTGGAGGTTTTTAAACAGAAGGTGGGTGACCACCTGTCAGGGATCCATTAGCTGCATTTCCTGTATTGCAGGGGTTGGGCTAGATGACCATTGGGGGACCCTTCAAGCTCTACAGGTCTATGATTTTGTGTGCACACAAGGGGGCACCCCTTCTCTCCACCACTCGCTTCCTCGCAGCCATTGTCCCTCCTGGCTGTTTCCCACCCATCATAAGCCGCCCATCTGCCAGACCTTGGCCAGAGCCTCCCTCTCCTGCTCCAGTTCTCCTTTGTCAGTCTCCTTTGCCCAGTGAGATGGGCCTCTCTCTCCCTGGAGAAACTGGAGGGGTCTGGCATTACGGCAGGGAACGTCCCGTCCCCCCTTCCTTCCTCCCTCCCAGACCCAAAGGAGACTTTACGGTTCCCCCACTTTCCTCAAATCCAGAGCCAGTTGCAAAAGGATTAAGTCACAATTATGGGGAGGGAGGAGAGCAGGATGAGGCCTGAAGGTGCGAATGGGCTGAGAGGAGAGACCCCTCAGATGAAGAGGCTGGGAGTGGGGGCGAAGGCTCTCTGGATTCTCAAAGAGGAGGGATAGGAAGGCTTCTTACCACACCCCACCCTCCGAAGCCCGTGTGGGGATGTTGCCAGGGAGCTTGGCCAACGGGCCCGAGAGAGAGAGGGAGAGAAACCAGGGCAGGGTAGCTGGGCCTTGGCCCCCCATCTCCCCAGGAAGGGATTCCTTCGGCCCGGGTCCTCTGGCCTGGCACGGGGGAGCCAGGAGCAGGATTAACAGTTCCCTGCGCCTCCAGCGTGGCGTCGCGCTGAGAGTGGTTTGGAGCGGGCAGCCAAGGCGCTGCTAATCGAAGCCAGGTGTGGGGGGCTTTTTTGAGGGGGGAAGGCTCGGAAATGGGGGCTTGTATCCTGTCCAAGTCAGGCCGGTCCTGGGCCCACCGCTGAGCATGCGCCAAAGCCGCAGCTGCTGCTGCTGGAGGAGGAGGGAGAGAGGCGCTGGCTCCCCGCATCTGGCCTGCCTGCGTCGCCTCCTCGCGCGGTGATTAATGGCGGGGAAGGGAGGGGGCACCCAGACCCCCCCCTGCCGCGTCAATGAGTTCACCAGAGCCTCGCTCCAATGTGCGGAACTCGTTGAGGGGAAAGGCGCCCCTTTCAGCGCGCGCGCGCGCACGCGCCACCCCGAAATGCGCCTCGCGCTGCCTGCGCGCAGCCAGCAAGGGGCCACGAAACCAGTTTCTCGCCCTTCCTCCCCGGTTCCCGCTTGGGCACGGCGTGGAGAGCCACCCGGAGAGCCCTGTAGAAGCAGGATCAGGCCAGAGGGGGCCCGTCCAGTCCAGCCTTTGGAGGTTCCATAAGAACATAAGCAGAGCCTGGGGTGTGTGTGTGTGTGTGTGCTGGAATCGGGCAAAAAGTGGCCCCTCTAGTCTTGTATCCTGCATCCAACCAGATGCCCCAAACGGGAAACCCACAAGCCAGACATGGAGGCAACAGCGCTCTCCCAGCTTGCAGTTTGGAGGTAGGCTGCCCCTGTGCCTGGAGGTTCTGTTGGTTAATGGCCTTCACAAAGGGGGCCCATCGAGTCCAGCGGCCTGTCCTCACTGTGGCCAGCCAGACGCCCCAAAGGGACCTGAGCAACTCTCAACTGTTTGTTCCCCATTGCCTGGTATACAGAGGTAGACTGCCTTTGGGCGTGGAGGTTCTGCTATCACAGCAGGCCTCCGATTGGAGGTTCTCTTTTACAATCCTGAAGGCCCCCTGAGTCCAAATTCCTGTTCTCTCAGTGGCCCAATTGGGGCAAGAAAGGAGGCCTGCAAGCAGGACCTGAGTGTGCCAGCTCTCCCCGGCCCAGTTGGACTGGCATGCAGATACATTCACTGCCTCCGCCAGGGCAGGGAGAACAGAGCCATAGCAGTTACAAGCCACTGACAGCCTTACCTTCCACTGTGAATGTTCATAATTCTTTAGAAGAGCATTGGAAGAGCCTGGCTGCAGCAGGGTTAGGCCAGTGGGGGTCCATTCAACCCACCTGAGGGATGTGGCCCTCCAGACCTCCCTTATCTGGCCCTTGGAAATCTCCCCAGGGTGGCGAGAGGGGTGTGTGTGTGTAGAAAGCAACCTATCCTGGGAAGGCAAAATTTGCATGTGTTGCCCCACCCACTTTTGCCTCTGGCCCCACCCACCACTGGCATGCGGCCCCCAGCTGCTGCCACAGAGGAGAATGTGGCCCTCAGCTGGAAAAGGTTAAAGCAGCACACCTTGACCTCAGATCTCAGAAAGGTTTCCCAACTGAGAACAGGATATTGGCCTAGAGGGGCCATTGGCTTGATCCAGCAGGGCTATCCATATGGATGTCTACTGTGATAGCAGAACCTCCATGGCCAGGAGCAGTCTACCTCTGAATACCAGATGATGGGGAACAACAATTAGATGGGTGGTGGTGTGCTCAGGGGCTGCTTGGGAGGCTTCCCAGTGGGGCATCAGGTTGGCTCCTGTGAGAACAGGATGCTGGACTAGTTGGGGCCCCCGCCCAGGCCTGATCCTGCAGGCTTTTCCATTCTTATGTTCCTGCAAAACACCACCTGTTGATTATTGCCGATCAGGCTGCCGATGAAAGCAGACTTGATGTTTTCCTGCCTAGCTGATTTCACAAACCTTACTTTGTGCTTGTTAGGAGTGGGGTGTGTGTGTGAGAGAGAGAGAGTGGGTGTCTTTGCCCCACACCTTGTGGCAATGTTCTGTCCCCCCTCCCCCTGCCCCTTTCCTCTCCAGGAGGGGGCAACCTCAGATGTCAGTCAACGCAAGGCCTCAGGGACTCAGCGGCTTGTCTTCAGGTTGCCTGGAGGTGGGGAGGGGGCTGCCTGTGTGATTTATACATAACAGACCAATAAATTACCTGGATGAGGCCTGGGGGACCCATTCCTCACACCAGCCGTGCAGAGTCTGATGCCAGAACCTCTCCAAAAAGAGAGAGAGAGAGAGAAAAGGAATTGTTTCCAACAATTAGCTGAAGATGAGGCAAAGAGGAGAGAGAAGAGTTAATTCTGGGGGGGTGGTAGGGGGAGTCTCAGTACCCCCCACCCAACCCCACACTCCTTCTTACTTAAGTTTGTGCCTTTTGGGGTCTCTGATGGTGCCCCTTTTGTAAGTTTGTTCAGGAAGGAAATGCAATATGAGGGGAGCCTTTCTTTGCAATGCACGGTATTTATTCATTTTGTTTTGAAATGCATTTATTTATAAGTTCAATGGGACACAGATACTTCTTTGTCTCACCATTTGCTCCTCAGAACAATCCTACAAGGTAGGTTAGAAGAGTAAGAATTGTTGGAAGGGGTCCCCCAAGGGCCATCTAGTCTGACCCCCTGCGTTGCAAGAATCACAGCCAAAGGATCCCTGGCAGGTGGCCACCCAGCCTCTGTTTAGAGACCTCCAGGAAGCAGAGCCCACCCACTTCCAAGCGAGTTTGTCCCACTGACTGCCAGAATGTTCTTCCCGATGTTGAGTCGGGCCAGGATGAGAGATGGCAACTGGCCCAAGGTCACCCCAGCGAGCCTCTTGGCTGAACAGGGACTTGAACCCAGGGCCTCCCAGGTTCTAGGCTGGCACTCTGACCGCTACACTGCCACTGCCTCTTTGCCTGGCATCTTGACTCAGAAGTATGAGTCAAGTTTTGTGTCTGTGACGCTGCCTCTCCAAGTCCCGGGCCGTTTTGTCCTGCTGGCTCAAGCGGCTGCTTCTTTGTTTTTGAAAATGTGGGAATGGAACCAGGGAACTTCTGGATGCAGGACCAGACTCCTTGCTTACCCAACCCAGTACTGTCGGCTCTGACCGGCAGTGGCTCTCCAAGCTCTCAGGGCAGAGATGTCTGCCTTTTGCAGCACCTGTTGCTCCTTGAGCCTTTATAACTGGAGACACCACTGGGGATTGGACCTGGGATCTTCTGTCTGCAAAGAGGGTCCATGCAATGCAGGAACAGGGCCTTGTGTGTGGTGGCACCTCCTCCTTGCAATATTAGACATCTCTGTTGCCATTTTGCTGCCTCCTGAAGGTCTCCATCTGCACTGGAACAAATTTCAGACTGTTTTCATACGTGATATTTTTTGGTAAAATGGTTTGTATCATTTTCTATATATGGAATCATTACAGAAGTGGTTTTAATTGGATCTAAACACTTGTTTTACATTTGTGCCTTTTTTCTGTTTTACAGTTGCATGCTTTATTGTTGTCGCCCATCCCTGGGACCTTGGGGGTAAAGGTGAGAAAGCGAATAAAAGTAAATTAAGAGCAGCTTCTCCACTGCTGAGATGTGGCTCCGTCCCCAACAGCATCTTCAGGTAGGGCTGCGAGCGTCCCCTGCCTTAAATCCTGGAGAGCCATTGCTGCCGATCACTGTAGGCAATACTGAGTTAGGCGGACCAGTGGTCTGATTCAGTATAAGGCAGCTTCCTCATAGAATCAAAGGAATGCAGAGTTGGAAGGGATATCCAAAGGTCATCTAGCCCAACCCGCCGCAATTGCAGGAATCTCAGCTAAAGCATCCAAGACTCTGCTTAAAAACCTCCAAGGAAGGACTTGGGAGGGAGTCCGCTCCACTGTCAAACAGCTCTTACTGCCAGAAAGTTCTTCCTATGTTTCTGTTGAACTCAGTCCTTCATTAGGAACCATGAAGAGTGGAAGCCTACCTTATTCTGAAGGAAAGGAGTGTTGCCTAGTGGTAGGAGGTCTCAAGTTCAGTTCCTGGCAGCATCCCCAAGTGGTGTGGGATGTAACATAAGCCGTCAAGTCCAACGCTTCCTGTTTGCCTAGAGTGGACACAGATAGGGGGGTGTTGATCCAGCCAGTTGAACTTCCTGTTCCACCTAGAGCATCCTCTCCCTTCATGTGACCAGGTAGGTGGGCGTGACTTCTTATTACTTTTAAAAGAAGCTTGTTTTGTCTTTATTCTTTTTAGGAGGGACATGAGAGGTCTTCCCAAGAACAGAACCCAATCTGAACAAAGCCATATTGGATTACTTAAGAGATTCAAACGAATCTACCAACTCGCTTCCTGCTGTATATTGGGGAATGCACTCTGCCGTTGACTCACAAGCGTGAGCTAGGAAGGATACTATTAAATCAATATATCCTCTCCTAGTATCTAGAACATTCCCACAGGTAGGATTGGGAATGTTCCCTGCCTGAATTTCTGGAGAGCCACTCCGGGGCAGTACTGAGTTACACGGACACAAGGACCTGATTCGTATAGACCAGCTATTCTGATTTAAACCCCTCCTTTATTTGGAATTGCGACTCGCTTCCTATGCTCCAGACGAAACCAGCCCTTCATTAAGAACCAGGAGGACTGGAATCTAACTACGGAAAGGGACGTTGCTCAGAGGCCTCAGTCTCAACCCCTGGACTCTCCCGAGTGCAGCTTTTCTGAAACTCTGGAGACTTGAACTCTGGATAACGCAGCTTCCTCTGATCAGCCGCCCTGGTTCCCAGCCATGCATACAGAACCAACAGTGAGATCATCGGATGCCTTCAAAGCTGGGTTCTGCCTCCTGCCAAATAATGTTCCTCCTCTCTGCATATTTGGCAAACTCCTCACTTTGCACCCATTGCTGAGCATGGGGAGGGGGGGAGTGGGGGGAGCATCCCATAATCTCTGGTTCGGAAAAGGACTTTGCCTCCAACCTGTCCTCTCCAGGTGGCCCAAAGGAAATGGAGCATCATTTGGAAAAACCTCTTCCTCCATCTCCTTCGATCATCCCAGAGAGATTATCCTCAAAGGCGGTTGTAGCCAGAGAGGAAGAGGGCCAGCTCTGCCTGGTGAGAAGGTCCACGATTCAGTCTCTGGCAGGTAAGGTTGGGGAAGAATATCAGAAGAGCCTGCTGGTCCATTCAGTCCAGCATCCTATTCTCACAGCTGCCAACCAGGTGCCCACATGGGAAACCCCACCTGCAAGCAGGATTTGAGCGCAAGAACAGCACTCTCCCCTCCTGTGGTTCCCATAACTGGTACTCAGAAGCGTGGCTGGCTGCCTCCATCCAGATCAGTGGCCATCACTGCTTCCTGTGGCAGGGAGTTCCACAGTTTAACTCTAAAACTGCCCTGAATCTTCCAACATTCCATTTCATTGGATGACCCTGCTAAGTTTTAGTATTACACCGAGAAGTCTATGCACTTTCTCTACGCTCTGCAAAGTTTTATATTTCAACTAAACATCCGGAAGAACTTTCTGCCAGTAAGAGCTGTTCGACAGTGGAACGGGCTCTCACGAGAGATGGTGGACTCTTCTTCCTTGTGGGTTTTTAAGCAGAGGTTGGATGGCCATCTTTCCTGAATGCTTTAGCTGAGATTCCTGCATTTCAGGGGGTCAGACTAGATGAGCCTTGGGTCCCTTCCAGTTCTACAGCTCTCGGATTCTAGGATTCAACAGGTACAAATATTATCACATTTATTATTATTAACATAAAATTAAGACCACACATTCATTTCATACCCTGTGTAAAGGTTTTCAGCTGGTTTGCCCCTTGCTGGGGGGCCCAGAAAAAAAATTCACTGGGACTCGAGCCCACCCTTGTTGGCCTGGGAGTGCCTTCCTTTTAATGAAGGGGGCATCGGGTCAGAACAAAACGTCTTGAAGATCTCTCCATTGCAACAAGATGAAGAGGAGGAGGGTGGCGGTCCTCCTTGCGGAAGGCTCAGTGAGAAAGGGAAATGCAAGAATCTGAGATCTGTCCTGGAAACCTCACCGGCATCAGAGCCCTGCTGGGTCAGACCAAAAGGCCCCTGAGGCAAACTTCCTGTTTCTCACCAGACGCCACAACAGGAAGTCCAGCAAGCAGGACAGGCAAGGCCTCCTCAAGTCACCCGTCCCTAGAAAGTGCAAAGCCTGCTTTCAAAGCCATCATGTGGCAGTGAATTCCATAAGTTGGCTATGCAATGGGGAAAGGAAGACATCCTTTGGCCTGTCACAAGAAAAAAAAACCCTACCATTGTTTCACAACAACATTATAGCACTGGCTGACCGTCAGGCAAATAAATTCGGCCACCATCTGTTTGGCAGTCTGCTGAAGATGCAGTCTCTCTAATGGGGTCTCTTTAACAGAGGCCAGATTTGCCCAAAATTGAGGAGGAGGGCTATTAGTCCAGAAGTGGGGGGGGGGCTGCCTTCCCTTCTAGGTCCCCTCCCAGGGGCCCATATGTCAGTGGTGGGCGGGACGACAAAGGCACATTTCACTCTTTAAAAAATGCATTTTCATGTTTTACTTTAAATAATCTCGACAACGCATCAACAATCAACATAATACACAAATAAGTGGGTGTCACAACTGGAACATAAGTACAAAAACAGGTTTGAGATTGTCTGTTGGTTTTTTACATTCAGAAGGTGCCAAGCGTCTTGCTCTGCTTTCCTTTGGACCATATCAGCGAGGCCGAGGGGGGGTCTTGTCGTCTGGGCAGCCCAGGACCTCCAGACACACTGGCCAGGCTTGTGCCTCGAGGAGGTCTCTGCGCTGCAGTTTGACCCTTGGAGGTGCACTCCGTTGTCTCTCAAGACAGATGGGTGTCATCAAGGTGCATAAATGTTATAGAATGATAATTAAAAATCAAATAAGTGTCCCAGAGCAAATTTTACCTCTGTACAGCAGGCAAGTTTCTACCCACACTCACCCACCCACCTGTCTCTCTCCATCCTCCTTCCAGAGAAGAAAAGGATCAGAGTCCAAGGAGGGGAGTGGCCTGGGGAGAGGTCCGAGGGCCAGAGAGAGAGGCCTCTGGAGGGCCGCATTTGGGCTCTGCCCTGGAGGCTCCCTGGCTCAGTGGGTGGGCGCCAAGCAGGGGCGTAGGAAGGGGGCGGCCGGCCCCGGGTGCCATCATGGAGGGGGGGGTGACAAATTATCAAAGAACAATTACTGCCCTACTAGGGCAGTTCATAAAAACTTTTTTTTAAAAAAAGCCTGCTCCAAAGGTCTTCTCTTACTACACTAGGGATTACATAGCTATATATGAAATTTCATGCATATCAGTTAATATCTTGACCCTCCTTCACGAAAATAGCTGCTTACTTGGCCGTTTTCCTATGTCGTGAAGGCTGAAATTTCAGTTCAGTGGAGCACTTACTGTTCCCAACCCTAACCCTGCAGAAAGCCATCTAATTAGACTTTAATTTGATTTTGACATGTTTTTAGGATTAATTTAATTATTGTTTGATTTTATACCAATGTTATGTATCTGATGTTAGCCACCCTGAGCCTGACTTCGGCCAGGGAGGGCGGGATATAAATAAAAGTTGTTTATTATTATTATTATTATTTCCTTTGTAAGAAAATATGACATAACGTAAAACCATTTTTGCAGGCAAAAAAAAATAAAAATCAATGTGTGGGAGGGTGACAATAAATTTTCCGCACTGGGCATCACCTGACCTTCCTACGCCACTGGCGCCAAAAAGGGCATGTCTGGGTCTTCTATATACCAGTTTGCATGCAAGTGGGTGGTAGCGCCCCCTAGAAGCAGGGTTTGCAATTAGCAGAGCACCTGGCACATTTTGCACCTAAAGATTCTCCGTTTGGGAGACCAGAGTCTGGGTGACATTTTTTTTTTTTTTTTTTGCCCCTGGCTGACACTCAAGGATTCCTGAAATGTATGTGCTTTGAAGCCTCGAAGTATATGCTAAAGATAGACAATATGTTAAGGAATGTAACAATAAAGAGTAGAGTGTTTTGAAAACTGAAGTATGGTACCAATATTTTTATTGTCAACACCAAATTAAACATGTATTAACAATTTCTGCTAAAAATGTGATATTAACAATGTGTTACTTATGTGAATTGCATATTATGGTGATTCATGCTTATCAAAAGTAATAAAGAAGAAGTGGCGACTAGACATTCTCTTTTGGCGTCCAGGAGCCATTCGGTTTCTAACGGTTTCCCAGTTTCTAATGCGGCTTGGAGAGGGTTACCTGGGGGGCCGCTAAGAGGCAGGGGGGGCTGGAGGTGTTAGTGACTATCAGACGTTGAAAAGTTGGACCAATTTCACCTGCTGTGTTGAATTAATCAAACTAAATAGTTCTCATTGGCTTTTGAATAAACGTTCAATTAATTGTTACTGTTCTGATTTTTACTGCATTCTGGTCTTTCCTCAGTGGGTCATGCAAACTGCTATTCTGAATAATTCTTTTAAGGAGGCAGGGGATGAAGAACTTAGGCAACCAAGCGGGTGGGGTGGGGGGAGTGTGGCCCATCACAAAATTTGGGAACCACTGATTCTCAAAGGACATGCAGGCTGCAGTCTCCGAACCAGAAGAGCAGAAGTTCTTGTGCTCGAATGCTGCTTGTGGGTTTCCCAAAGAGGCACCTAGGTGGGGCAGGATCCTGGACTAGATGGGCCCCCTCTGGCCTGATCCAGCAGCCAGGCTCTTCTGAGGTTCTTAACTTCTTAAGCAGGGTGCAAACCATGGTGTCAGGTTAAGTCCTGCAGCCTCACAGCCTCACAGGGACTTCAGGGTCTTTGTGGGCTTGGAGACCTGCTTTTTGTGCTTTGTTTCCCCTTAAGAAGCAGCCCTGCAGGGGTGCGACTCTGCACAGAGGCAGGGGGAGCTTGGACAAGGCTGCAGTCGCGTGTGGCGCAGTGGGAAAGGGGAAACGAAAGCTGTCAGCCTCCACACATTCTTTCTCCCTTGGTCCAGACCCCACTCCATTTCCACAACAGGAGAAAAAGCCAGCCTGACCTTAGCCCTGGGCCAAAGCCATCCCCAGCCTCATTTGTGGCACTTCTGGGCAGGCAACCAACAAGGGCTCATCCAGCCTTGTTCCCGACCAGGAAACTATGAGGGAAGTTTAGAATGGACGTGTGTCAGGAAGGATTCAGCAGGACAAGGGTCATGGGGTGGGGGGTTTTCAGACTGAGGGCCACACTGCCTCTCTGGCAACCTTCTGGGGGCCACATGGCAGCAGTGGGTGGGGCCAGAGGGAAACGAGGGCGGAGCCACATGTGTGATTTGTACTTTTGTATACAAAAACAGAGGTCCTGCACTCTAACACATAAAACTCTCCATCTTCAATTCAGGCAAGCGAGCGAGAATCAGAATCGGAACTGTAGACTTGGGAGGGACCCCCAAAGGCCATCCAAACCCTGCAATGCAGGGCCAATCAGAGGCTAGGGAAAGAGGGTGTGGCCTGGGGCAAGTCCCAAGGGCTTGATGGGGGATGAATTTCTCCTCTGGGTCTGAGGTTTGCTCTCCCTCCTAGATAAAAGTTTTATAAACATATGTATATTTTTCGCTCCTAATATTTGAACTTTGGGATTGTGTGGCTGACAGGGGATTTTAAATGGATCTGAGGAACTCCCTGCTTATACAGCCCAGAATAACACAACCATGTGATGGTCTTAGGTGCCTCTGAAAGGGGGATTAGGCACATTTGTGGTGGATAGTTCTGTCAAGGACTATTAGACAGCGCGGCTAAATTTGGTCGATGAGAGTTGCAGTCCCAGAGGGCAGCAGTTTGAAGAAAGCTGCCATATAGGAAGATAGGAGGGTCAACGTTTCCCTCATACCTTGGCATTTTAAGGTGCAAGCTTCTGAGTCACACAGGACCCTATCTCTCTCTTTTGAGGACTCATCCTGAAGCAAGAGTCCTGTGTGACTCCAAAGCTTGCATCCGGCAATTTTATGTCTTTATTTCTTTATATACAGCTTGGTTGTCAACAACCTTGAAGTGGTTTACGTTTAGGTACTCTGGGGATATTTCCGCCTGCCAAGATGGAGCCAAGTGACCTGAGCTATTATGGGTTGCAGGGAGCCCATTTTGAAACGGGTAGAGCGTCTTCCTTAAACTGAGGCAGCAGTCAACAATGGGCATTTGAAAAGACAGCAAAATGAGAGTAGGGAAGGCAAGCTACGGTTCATAAAGAACCATCCGTATTTTTGCTTGTCTGCAGAAGTCGGCAAGCCGGAGTCACCACTGGGGAGGCCACGCTCCTTTTCTGGGGTCATGGCATGGGATGAAGATGTTGGGACTTTCCCTTCTGTCCCCAAGAGACAGGCAGGTGCCCAGACCTAAGTCACCAAGTTCCTCTTGGCCTCTCCTGCTATTGTAGACCTGCCCATGTCTGCCTGATGGTGGCTTAGACCAGCATTTCCCAGAAAGGACAGTAGCACCTTGGGAGGGGGGTGGCAGTGAGATTGTGTGGGTGTGTGGGTGGGTGTGTGCTAAGAGGCAAGGGGGGCACCGGAGATGACAATCAGACTTTGAAATGCTGCTGTCACTGTATCAGGTTCATCCATTTTGTAGCATTGATTAAACAAAATTTAATTGGATTTTGAATAAACGTGCAATTGATTGTTACTGTTTTGCATTTCATTATGTCAGCCTGGACACACCGTTTCTCCGGACGCACCTCTGAAAGCCTACCGAAGGCATCAGAGAACCCCGAATTAAAATAAGCCGGACCCCCCCCCACTAAAAGTGGGTGGGGGCGCCGAGGAGGATAGTGAACCGGGTTTAGCAGTTTTTAATAACAGAAGCAGGGCCACGAGGAGTGAGCCCCAACTCAGCTCTACCCACTGCAATCATTAGACCTAAGTTATGCGTGCCAGGTAATACGTCTACTCCGAGTAGGACTAGCCCCGCCTGCAGACTCCGTTTCTGTTCCTTCCTGCCTCCTTTCGTTGTGGGTACGTGAGTGCTGCTTTTGCTTTCGAGCAGCTGTGTCACACACCTCAGACTTTCATATTTGCTAAGCTTCTTATTTGCAAATCTTCCGGGCGGGGGAAGGTGAGCGGAGCCCTTTCAAAGCGGGATAAAAGCGAACTTCGTCTCCCCTCGTCCCGGGGCGGGGCGGGGCAGCTCCCCTAGGGCAGACAAGTTACCTCGCTTTCCGGGTTTCTTCTCATTTCTCTCCCCCCCCCCGAGATGGGAAGGGGTCCGCGGGCCGGGTGGTGTGGCCCCTGGGCGCCTTTCGGCAAAGGGAGCGGGCGCCAGAGCAAGGCGTTCGATCCCACGGAAATAATCAATTAATATTATTCACTGGAAACATTCTGAAGTCGCGAAGAGGCTGACAAGGTAGCATAAAAATAAATGAATAAAACAAATACGACCTAGATTCCTGTTGGTGTTATTAATAGCAACAGCAACGGTTATTACAATAACTAAATTAAACTAGCAATTAATAAACTAGTAATAATAGCAAAAATAATTATAAACTGGGGTGTGGGGATTTTCACATGCTGTTCCTGAAATGCAATTGCTATTCTCGCTCAAAAACCGGGAGAAATCCACGGTAACGACCTCGAAATTCGCCTCGCAAAGCGGCAAACACGCCAGTCTTTTAAAGCCCCGGAGGAGAGGAAGGCTGGGCGTGCGCCCTTGTGGGGGGGGGGGAGGGGGAATATTTTCAAAAGTTGAGATTCACCCAGGAGAGCATATCTTACAGGGGAATCTCCTAAACAGCGGTGGAAAGGAGAACCGTCCGCCTGGGCTTGCGGCGCAAGAGAGGCGAAAATGAAACCAGCCTCCGGCGCGCATCCCCGGGGCGGCGGGCCTGCGATCTCCAAACGCCTAAAAAAGGGCCTCTTCTCCCTCTCCAAAGTTGGGCGCGCCTGGGTGGCTTACAGCAGAATCCATCGATCCTTCCCCAAAATCCCCTTTCAGGCGTTTTTGTTGCGGTTATAAATTCAATTGCGTTGTGTTGTTTTAAGTTGAGAAGTTTTTGTTATTAATTCGTTAACGCGTTTCTTGTCGTTTTCAAGCCTTTGAAAAGGCGGAGAAAAACCGTCTCGCTCCTCCAGCCAAGGAAGCAAACGATCCCATTCGGTTTAAATCCTTTTTTGGAAGAAGAGGCGCAATAAAAAAATATATTGCCTTATATTTCTCGGGTCCTCTTTTGCTCCTTAATCGAAATCGCTGGCGGCTAAGCTTAACCCTCGATTTAACCCGGGGGAAGCAGAGCCGGAGAATCTCTTTCGATCAAGCGTTTTATAAATCTTCGAAATAAATGAAAGAAGCAAGTAGTTTCACCCGTCCAACCGTTTGTCAATCGACGACGAGGGGGCGGGTTCGCCTGCAGGGAATATTAGTAGAGCTCCCCTCTCCCCAAAAAATCCAGTCTCCAAGTCCTAACCCGTGTTCAGAGAGTGGAGGGATTTGGTATTTAGAGCCCTGCTCAGGCGGGTTTTTATGCTGTGGTCGTCTGAACACGGACTCCTGTACAATATTTTTATTCCTCGCCGGCCTAAAGAAATGCACTGAGATTTCGAAGGCGCGGGGAATAAAACACGGATCTTACCATCTCTCTCTCTCTCTTACATGCACGCTTCTGGGTCTGGGTCTCGTGTGGACGATGCCTCCCCCTGCTCTCCCGGTTCAAAATCATACCGCGCCTGAACTCCGTTGTTAAACCGCTTTGGGATGTGACCCCTCTCTACTCGAAAAGCGGTCTAAATCCCACTCCCCCGCCCCCCAAATAATGAAGAAATGGGAGAAATGCCCTTCAGGGCCCAGAGATGGATTTCACATAATTTGTGAAGTGGGTCTGATGGCCTTGAGAGGGTCAGAAGGGACTAAAATGGAAGACATAGAGGAGCGGGAAGCAGGGAGACGGAAGGAGGTCCCCGTCGATAAGATTCTGAATTACTTTATTGTAACTTGTCAAAGAGAAGTCATTTTGTTTATTTACTTATTGCATTTCAATCCCACCTTTTTTCTCCAAGGAGCTCTAGGCGGTTCTCTTCCCCCCATTTAATCCACCCAGCAACCCTGCCAGGTAGGCTAGGCGGAGAGTGACTGACTGGCCCCGGGTCACCAGGTGAGCGTCATGGCCGAGTGAGGGATTTGAACCCTGGTCTCTCCCAGGTCCTAGTCCGACGCTCTAACCACTAGGCAACACTGGGTCACTGGAAATGGAGGGGGCGGGAAAGGAGCGGGTGGTTAGCGCTGGAAGCAACTAAGGAGAAAACAGGACTCTGGTCCCAGTCTCCTTTCGAAATCTCATCGTGCAAAAACAAGGTGCTCTCTCTCTCTCTCTCTCTCTCTCTCTCTCTCTCACACACACACACACACACACACGCACACACACACATGGATAAACATCACTTTCTCTTTCACACACTTTCCCTGGCCGGTTCCTGCCCCCGGCTGAGGACCACAGCCGTCGCTTTAATAGCAACGGGGGTCCGAGTTGGTTTTGGCTGCAGGAGAAGACCCGACGCGGCGGAGGCTCTTTCCCAAATTTGAGAGAGGCTGCAGAGAAAGACCCCGAGGAAGCAGGAAGGGAGACCCACTGTCCGTGCAAAACTCCCGGTTTCTTTGGCTTCCCAAGTCCTCGCACCCCCAAGCCACTGAAAACATGCGAAGAGAAGATCACCCGAAGGGCCCTGCAGTGCAGGAGTGGGCGGAATGTCTTCGCAGCGCCCACCCAGATGCCCCAAGTCCCCGAGCAGGACCTGGACGACTGACTGTGTGACTTCTGAGTGAGGAACTGGGTAGAATCCTACTTGCCTGCTCAGTTCAGAGCGACTGGGGATTTGGGTGTTGTGTTTTAAAAGAGTGAAAACTGGACATTGGTGGAGAGGGGGGCCACCATAAGGATCAGGCCGGGCGGGGCATCGAGCCCAGGACCCAGTTCTCACAGTGGCCAACCAGACACCCACAAAGCGAAGCCCCCAAGGAGTACCTGAGCGCGCAACAGCAACGCTCTCTGGTATAAAAACATATATCTCTGTAACGAAAGAGACGCTATTTATTCAGATAGGGAGTGCTACTGGAAGAGATCAGGATCCCAACTCCTCCGCTGAGAACTCCCCGTTTGGGCCCCTCTCCCCCGGCCCTTCAAAGCGGTCCCAGGCCTCCAAAAAAGCGCCCGACGGGACCCCCGGAGCCGCGCGCCTGAATGAAGCTGAGCGCCGCTTTGTCGTTCCCGCGGCAACCGCCAGGTGTCGCCAGCCCAGCAGGCTCCTTCAGCACCCGCAGAGAGGAATTGGGTCCGTGTGTGCGCGGGCGCGCGCGCGCGTGTTGGGGGGCAGCGCGGGATTCCTGGAGAGGGGGCTGTGGCCAGGGGGCAGGAGAGCGGCTGGGGAGCGAAGTGCGAGGAAGGGCTATTTACCCCTAGGATCCCTCCCCCAATCACCATATCCCGCGGAGACATGGGGGCGGTGTGGGTGGGGGGCAGAGGAGAAGCAGAAGTGGGGCAGGGGAGGCGGAAGGAGGGGCGGGCGCTGGCCGCCTGGCCCCCAAACCCGCAGCACCCACCTCTTGGACGAGAAGCGCTCCCGGGGCCGGACGGGGAAGGGGGTGCTCGCCAAGGGCCAAAGACGGAGCTCCCTCGACGGCGGCGGCGGCGCTCCCTCTTCTCCTTCCCCTCGGGGTAGCCGGAGCCGAGGAGATCCCCGGCAGCGCGCATCGGCGAGGGACCCGCCCCGGCCTGAAGGTCCTCCCTCCCACCCCATCCCACGGCGGGGGGGGGGGGCGCGGCCGCTGCTTCTCCTCCTACCTGGGGCGATTCCTGCGGGAGCCCCGTCGGCGCGGCGGCTCCTCCTCCTCCTCTTTCTCTGCCCCATCCGTCCCGCCCGCCCCGTCCTGCTTCGCTTGCTTCTCTCTGGCCCAGAGGAGGAGGAGGAGGAGGAGGAGGAAGCCGCGGCGGCTCCTTGAACACGCCCGAGTTCAGCTCGGGGTCAGGCGGAGTTCGCGGCCCGGCCTTTACCTTTTCCGCCGCCGCCGCTGCGCTCCCGGCACATGGGGCTCAAGCGCAGCAGCAGCAGCAGCAGCAGCAAGAGCGAGCAGCGGCGGCCAAGAGGTCTGAGGCGCCGGTAAGGGGCGGGCGCCGCCGCCGCCACGGCAGTAGCGCAGCCCGCTAAGCCATGCGCGTCCACACGGACCTCGCCTGCCTGGCTGACTCGACGGGGCTCCCGGGTAAGACGGCGCGGCGGGCTGGTGGGAGGCACTTCAGTTTGCGCGCCCTTTCCGAAGAGACCCAGCGAAAATACTTCACTGTCCCGTCCCCCCCAGGAAAAGAAAAGTCTTTTCTTTCCGCCCCCTCCCCCAGGTGCGGCGCTTTTTCGCGCGCCCGATCCTCAGCTTGAGCTGCGCTGCGGCTCTCCCTGGTCGCTCCGCCAAGCTAGCCTGCCCTGCCCGACATGTCACCCCGGAGCGGGAGGCACAACCGAAGGCGACTTTCCTTCGGAAGAACTTGGAAAGCAGAGGATGGTTTTTGCCCCGCGACCCGGGACGCCTTGGAAGTTTTTTCGGGGGGCTCTTACGTCCTTCCTCCGTCCTCTACTGAACCCCAATTCCTCTCCCGAGCTCGCTCTTCGCTCCGCAGACGGTCCTGGGGCGGAAGATCCCCCTTCGGCCGGCCGAGCGGCCTTCCCTCCTGTCTCCTCCGAGGCCAGCGGCTTTGGAAGCGCTTTTCCCCGGCCGCGGAGCGGGCTCGGTCGGGCTGTCATCTCTGCAGCCCAGAGAGCAGGGCGGGCGGCTCCTTCTTCTCTCCCCGTCAAATCTTTCAGCTTTCTCTTTCTCCTCCCGCCACTCTCCTTCACATTTTGGAATTTGTTTTTGTTTTTAAACTTTCCCGAAATGCATTTTTGACATTTCCGTGGCCTTCACCAGATCGCACATAATGTCCCCCCCTTTTTTGGCAGGGACCTATGACCAACAAACACCACAACTTAGGCATGGCTCACCCTACCCTCAGCTCCGCTTATGCACCCCGCACTCACCCCGGGGACGGAGCTGACCCTCCTAACTGGGGCTGGTGAGGAGTTGGAAGAGGCAGACCAGGCCTCGCCCTGTTCGCGGCTGGAAGGGAGCGCAGGGCCGCTTTCGCTTCGGCCTGGGCGCTCGCTGCAGAGGGTGCTTCGGATCCCAGCTCCAAAGTGGAGCAAGGGGAACAGTTTCCTGGGCCCAGAAGCCTCCCCCAAGCCTCTCAGTTTTGTTTTGCCGGACCGCTAGCTGGGTGCAAGCGGTGCCTTCTGCTCCCGGGGCCCGGACGGATCCCCCGCGAGGCGCGCTTGGAGAGACGGTTGGAAGAAGGACAGGGACGTTGCAGGGCTTACTCGGAAGACAGTCCCGCTGCATGAAACGGGGCTGACTCTCTAGTAACGAGGCTCGCTTAGAATCGCAGCCTGTAAGGCTGAGGGCTAGAAAGCGCGCAGAGAAAAGGAAGGGGTGGGGGCTGCGTTTTGACGCTTGGGGCAGCCGCCTACTGGGGACCTCCGGAGGGCAGAAGACCGGGGCTCGCTGTGCTCTCTGGGGTCTCCGAGGCGGCATCCAGAAAGCGAGCCTTCTGAAAGCCGGATCGTGGCCAGAGGGAGACGAGTGGAAACGGAGAGGCCGGCGGCTGCATCAGTGCTTTTGGCCGGTTGGCTCCGCAGGGTGGTTGCGCTGGGCGAGGGGAGAGACGTGGATGAGCTCTGCAGGCGCTGCCCCCTCCAGGTGTGAACGCTTAGCCCTGCCCCCCCTCCCCACCCGGAGGGGGGCGTGGGATGCGATCGGCAACGGCGGAGATACCGGGGGGCTGAACATCCCCCCTTTCCGCCGCCGCCTCCTCCTTCCTTGAGAGGGAAACCCCTCTATAAGGGCAGACTGGCGGGGAAGGAGTCCAGAGTGCCCTGCGAGGAGCCCGGGGCCGAGGCAGAGTCACACACGTTCCGAGGGGGCGTCCGCGCCGTCGTGGGACAGGAGAGGGCAGCGGTGCGGGCAGGCTGGGCCCCCCGCGCTGACGCTGCCCGCCGGGCTCTCTCTCTCTCTTTCCGTGCGTCTCTTTCTGCAGGAGAGCGCGGCGCAGCGATGCTGGACGCCTCGTCGGAGTCGGCGGGCCACTCCCGGCAGCTGCTGCTGCAGCTCAACGCGCAGCGCACCAAGGGCTTCCTGTGCGACGTGATCCTGGTGGTGCAGAACGCGCTCTTCCGCGCGCACAAGAACGTGCTGGCGGCCAGCAGCGCCTACCTCAAGGCCCTGGTGGTCCACGACAACCTCATCAACCTGGACCAGGAGATGGTCAGCCCGGGCGTCTTCCGCGCCGTCCTCGACTTCATCTACACGGGCCGCCTGGGCGACTCTGACAGCGGCGGCGGAGAGGGAGAGCCCAGCCTGGGCGCCGTGCTGGCCGCCGCCAGCTACCTGCAGATCCCAGACTTGGTGGCCTTGTGCAAGAAGAAGCTCAAGCGCTCGGGCAAGTACTGCCAGCTCCGCGGCGGCTACTCGCCCTTCGGCAAGCTGGCGCGCGGCCTGCGCGCAGCCACGCCCGTCATCCAGAGCTGCTACGCGCCCCCGGGGCTGCCGCCGCGCCCCTCCGAGCCGCTCAGCACCCACTGCGGGGAGCTGTACGCCGCAGCCTCCGCGCACCCTCATGGGGCCGGTCTGTGCCCCCCGGAGCGCCTCTGCTCCCCACTCTGCGGCCTCGACCTCTCCAAAAAGAGCCCCAACGGGCCCTCGCCGCAGCTGCCCGCCCCGCCGCCGCCGCCGCCGGACAGCCGCCTGCGCGCCACCATGGAGGGTCGCGAGAACGCCAGGCCCGAGAGCCCCGCCTTGCTGCCCAACCACTCGGCCTTCGGGGAGGCGGCCCCTTCGCAGCTGCAGGCGCCCTTCCACCACCTCCTGCACCACCACCGCGGAGGCAGCCCCGGGTCGGAGCCGTCGGGGCGCGCCGGCGAGGTGGCGCCGCCGGAGTTCTTCTACCGCTGGATGAAGCACGAGCCGCTGGTGGGCGGCTACGTGGAGGACGACGAGGACGACGACGAGGAGGGCGGGGGCGATTGCCGGGGAGGGCGGCGGGACAAGGAGGGCGAGCTGGACCACAAGCCCGAGTCGCCCTCCTCGCAGGAGCAGCCGCCGCGGCGCTACCCGAGCTTGGAGAGCGGCGGTGCAGGCGAGCCCGACGGGGAGGACCTGGAGAACGACAAGAGCACTAGCGAGGAGACGGGCTGCAGCAGCGGAGGGCGTTCCCCGGCCGGCGGCAGCCTGGAGCGCTACCTGGGCTACGAGCCGGAGAGCTTCGGCGGCGACAACCTGTACGTGTGCATCCCCTGCGGGAAGGGCTTCCCTTCGTCGGAGCAGCTGAACGCGCACGTCGAGGCGCACAACGAGGAAGAGGAGCTGTACCGCAAGGAGGCCGCCGAGGCGGCTGCCGCCGCCGGGCAAGGCTCTCCTTTTCTGGACAAACCTCTTCCGCCGTCGTCGCTGCCGCAGCAGCAGGGGCCTCCGCCACCGCCGGTGCCGTCAGGGGCGTGCGACCTGCTGCGCCCTTACCGCTGCTCGTCGTGCGACAAGGCCTACAAGGACCCGGCCACGCTGCGGCAGCACGAGAAGACGCACTGGCTGACGCGGCCCTACCCCTGCTCCATCTGCGGCAAGAAGTTCACGCAGCGCGGCACCATGACCCGCCACATGCGGAGCCACCTGGGCCTCAAGCCCTTCGCGTGCGAGGCGTGCGGGATGCGCTTTACGCGCCAGTACCGCCTGACGGAGCACATGCGCATCCACTCCGGAGAGAAGCCCTACGAGTGCCAGGTGTGCGGCGGCAAGTTCGCCCAGCAGAGGAACCTGCTCAGCCACATGAAGATGCACGCGGCGGCGGCGGCGGCGGCTGCCGCGGCGGCGGCGGCGGGCCCCGACGGCAAGCTCAAGCTGGACTTCCCCGAGGGCGTGCTGGCCATGGCGCGCCTGGCGCAGCAGCAGCAGCACGACAAGGAGCTGCTCAGCCACACCTCGCACTTCCTGGCCGCCGCCGCCGACCCCAAGGCCGCCATGGAGGGCCTCTACCTCGGGCTCAGCCCCGACAAGGCGGCCGAGGTGCTCGCCCAGGGAGCCGCCGCCGCTGCAGCTGCTGCCGCCGCCGCCGCCGCCCACCTGCACAACGACCACCACGCCCGGACCATAGAGCGCTTTTCACCCCCCTGACGACCCCCGCAGCACCCCCCTCCACGCTCTCCCTCCACGGACCGGGGCTTGTGGGGGAGGGAAGGGGGCTCCCCCAAGTTGTTTGGGGTGTGAGAGTGCCTTTGCGTTCTGCCCAGGAGAGGGGGTGACTCTGGCCCCCACTGCAGGGGGAAAGGACAGCTTCCTCCCCAAAAGTGACGGGCGCAGCCCCCCCCAGGGAACAGTTCAGCCCCCTCATATTTGTGACGAGGGAGGGGACGTCATGGAGTCGTCGTCCTCTCCCCCCAACCTCTCGTGAAGCCAGAGCTCACCCCCCTCTCTGTTCTCTATTTCTGTTCTCTGCCAAGCTGTGGAGCTGCCCCCAAAGCGGAATTGTGAATTTGTCCCTACCTCAGATACACCCCCCCCACCCGTAGAGTTGGAAGGACCCAAAGATTCATTGAGTCCAGCCTCATTGCTGGTTTTTCCTTTTTGTGGGGAGGGTGAGAATAGTCTCCCCATCCCAATGGCCTCCGTCACCTGTCAGCTGATCTCGCCATTCCTGCTGGGCCTGACAGCCTCTGCAAGTCTCAGTGCTCTACCAGAAAGGAGCCTCGCAGGGGCGGAAAACTAGCGCAGCAGGGAAAAGGGCTCCTGATAAACTTTCTCCTAGTTTTCTATGGGCAGGGAGATTATAATTTGACACGCTTGTGGTTTTTTTGGGTGGCCTTGAAATGTCCCCCCGACCCTTAAATTTGAAGTGGTGCAATTTAGAATGATATCCCAGCATTTTTTTGAAAATATGGAAGAGCTCTCTCCTCAAGGAGAGAAGGGAATCTTGCCCGCCCAAACTGCAAAAGAGCTCCACTTGTAGGGATCTGCTCAGGAAAGGGGGCTTGGTGCAATTCTCAGGAATTGGGACGTATGGGTTTGTTTGTTTTTTTGCAAACCCTAACTCCAGCTCTTAAAAGCTTTAACAACAAAGCAACAATCAGTGATGCTTTCCCCCCACCCTTGAGTGCCCAGGGTTTTGAGTTGGAAGGAAAAGAAGCAGGCTAATAAAGTCTATCCAGAGAGCACCTTGAGGACTGTCCCCCCTTGCTTGGGAGGTGAGGCCTGTGTGTCATGGGCCTGATCCCACCAACTCCATTCCTCCTTCCCTTTCAGGAGTCAAACCTCGAGGCTGCCCTCTGGCCCTGCCAGAAATGGCCGGGAGGTTGTGCTCCTGACTGCCTCTCCCTCCGCCCCCAAGCTTTTTCTGTGGGGCAGACCCACATTTCTACCTGCCTCAATTGGGGGGAGCCCCAGAGGCGTCCTCTGGGCAGGTCTGGGCTTTAGCAAAGAGGGCAGCAGCTCTGTTGGGTCTACAGGGACAGCTGAAGAGTCTTGTGGCCCCCAGAAACCTTTGTGGACTCTGGTTCCCAGTGCTCTGTGGGGTATCAGTGGCCAGAGAAAGGAGGGTGAGAGGGAGGGCGACTGTCCACAGAATGCACAGAGTACCATGTTGGTGGTCTCTGCTTATGCTGCGTACATTTCAGCTGCCCACAGACAGTCCTTTTTGCATCTTATAGACATCTGTCCCTCTATACCTAGATATCTTGACGCACTGAATTGTCATCCTATGCCTTCAAACCGCCACACCTGTTGATTTTCTGCCTGTCACAATGGGTGACAGGCAGGACAACAGGCGTGGAAGCCTTAAATCTTGGAAGTGTGAGAATCCCTCTTGGCATGGGACCCAACCCCTTCGGGTTCAAGGTTTACACAGAGCTCCACAATGTGCCTTCCTGCAGAACTAGGGAGTGAGAAACTCCTGGCTCTGCGGATGTCGCTGGACACCCAACTCCCCTCATCCCTTTCCAGGCTGGCTGCTGTGCAGTGACTTTGGGAAGGTGGTGAAGCTCCCACTGCAGCCTGGCTCACTGGCACGAGCTGAGCACGAGTCCAAGTCTCCGGAAGTCTTTTTCACAAATCCTGTGTGGTGACACTGGGGGCAGAGCAAGGGGTGCAATGTCCTTAAGTTTCCTGCATCCCTTTTGCCACAGAGGCAACAGGTGAGTGGATGCCCTAGGACTCACCTGAGCAAGCACTTAACTCTCCCCTCAACCTCTTTTGCAATGTGAATAGGAGAGGCGGCCCTCACTCCCCCTCCTCCCCTACTAAAGACTCCACACGGCTGTGACCAAGGGGCGGCGATGGGGTGTGTGTGTTCCTTCTTACCACAACGGGGTCCCTCTCCCTTTGAAACAGCTCCATCCCAGTCTTCCAACCCCAAGTCCCGTCTTCCACTGTCTCACTTTGAGCCAAAGATTATTCTGGGGTATTTGTGTGTGGTTTGGGGGGTGCCCTCCTTCCCTCTGCTTGTCCCTCCTCCCCAAGGACTGTTTGACAAAGACAAAACACTCCCCAGATTGTCAGCTCTGTTGGAGGTGGAATGGGCATCCCCACGGCAGCCTCTTCCATCTTCAGGGTGAAAGAGGGCAACCCAAGCTTTGACCAGTGCACGTATTGCCAGACTCTCTTTGCACTTATGGGGAGAAGGTGGGGTTGGGGTTGCGGGACAAGATGTGCCCTTTGCCTTCAGGCCCTGCCAGCGCAGCTGCCCCCCCTTTCCCTCCAACTCTTTTTTAACCAAAGGTCAGGTTAAGATGTGAATCTTCCTTTTACCTCTATTTGCACACACAACCTCCCACCTGCCGCCCCCCAAGCGTGGGGCTGGGCCTTCTTCGTCTGAGCCAGCTGCCCCCCAACCCACCCACCCTGCCAAGCCCTGGGAGGACACAGCAAGACACCCCCCCAACACAAAATATTCAAAAGGGGGGGCAGCCTGCTGTGCCCACCGTAGCATTTTGTACATGGGATGTGCCTTTTCCCCTTTCGTTTTATACCGGGGGGAAAAAAATAAACATGGGGGAAAAAAACTCAACAGCAATAAAAGTTTTCTTTTGACACCACAAGGCTGCTTCTGCTTCCTCAGGGAGGGGGGAGACTAGAGTGTATGCTTGATTGCGGTGTTGCAGACTGGACTTTTGGGAGACTCAAATCTGCCCCCCCCCCAAGAGCTCTAGGTAGCCCTTGACAAGCCGGTCATGGTCCGCCATACCACTTGGGGAGGGGTAAAAGCAGCAATAGTGACAACTTGGGGGTGGTAGTGGAGACAGCAACTTGTGGGTGACTTGCGGCCAAGATTTAGTGTCTGTGCTGAGGAGAACCAGTTTAAAACAGGCCTTACTGGGTGCCTGACCCATCCAACATCATGAACATGGAACCATCAAGCCAAGTTACAGGGAACCAGGCAGAGGGCCTTCTCAGTAGTGGCACCCGCCCTGTGGAACGCCCTCCCATCAGATGTCAAAGAGAACAACAACTACCAAACTTTTAGAAGACATCTGAAGGCAGCCTTGTTTAGGGAAGCTTTTAATGTTTAATAGGTTATTGTATTTTAGTGTTATGTTGGAAGCTGCCCAGAGTGGCTGGGGAAACCCAGCCAGATGGGTGGGGTATAAATAAATTATTATTATTATTATTAGGGCCTGCTGGATCAGGCCAAAGGGGCCCCACCTTGGGGCCCACGATGGGAAACTTGCAAGCAGGACTCAGACACAAGAGCCCTCCCCTCCATGAATGTCTCTCATTTTCTTTGGAGCTGTTATCACACCATTTATTGGCCTCCTGTATTTTTGTTTATTTTTAAAAACGTGAAATGACTGTGGAAAACTAGTGTTAAACTGGCTCAGTGAAATCTTGCCCCACCCAAATATGATCTATGGCTGGGCCAGGATGAGGCCAACTGAGCTGTGGGTGCCCCCCCCCCATGTCCTGAGCGCTGGTGGTCGGCAGTCAGGGACATGGGAGCTGGAAGGCCAGCAACCTTGGGAGGGCACCACGTTGGAGACTCTGGCCATTCACCTCCGCCCCCCCCCCCCCACGATTCCTCAAAACCTGACCCGCTTCTCTAGCCATGGTCCTGGCCAAATTCTAACCCCACTGAATTCAGGGGCACTTACTTCTGGGTAGCGAGATTCCTGCCTTGCAGGGGGTTCGTCTAGATGGGGTCCCTTCCAACTCCACAATTCTATGACACAAACCATTACGGGCATAATGGGTGTCCTGAAAAGAGATGGGTCGTTTAGCTACCACTCTGCCCAAATCAGTGCCATTTACATCCCTCCTCAGAAACCCCATTCCAGGCTGATGGTTCCCCAGACCGCCTTCTCCCCCCGACCCCACAAAACGAGGCAGCACAGAACAGCGTTTCCCTACTAAAATTTTTATTAAGAAAACAAAGGAACATTTTTTTTTTACTTTGTCTGTCACAAGCCCCCCATCAAACCCAGGCAGGCCAAAAAGCAGAACAAAAGGGGTGGGGGAAGAGACACACCTGCCTGTAGGAGGGCCGCCCCTCCCCATATCCATGGGGCTGGGTCCACGCCTGTTTGGCGAGCAGGTGGGGCTGATGATCTTGAGTGCAGAAGACCCCAAAGGTGGAGGCGGGAGAGGTGATTCCCCTCCTCCAGACCAAGAAAGGCAGGATTGTGCCCCCAAACCATCTGGCGTGACCCCCTCCAGAAGCAAAGGGTTTTATCTAAAAAGCATCCTTCGAATGCAGGACAAGTCCATTTCCATGGCTGGCTCTTTTGGTTTTCTGTTTTTGTTCCCAATCCTGCCCCCCCCCCCGCCTGCCACTGACCCAAAGGGCCTGGGGATGGCCAACGATGCAACTGACCGGGGCCAGTTAAGGCTCCCCCCCCCCCATTTAAATACAAGCTCCCAAGGGGACAATTCTTCTTTTTCACGGCAGCCGTTCTCTGTGTGAGCTCCAACTGCCCTCAGAGCTCCTTCACGGGGGAACCTGCTTGCCTGTTCTCTCCACCCCCCAGCCCTGACACCGCACTCCCCAAACCCTGCAGCTTAAAGGTCTGATCCCAATGCCCAGGCCTCCCTCTGCAACCCACACCACTGGACCAGGAGAGTGTGTGTGTCTGGGGATGATGAAAATGGATGGGTGCAAGCTCAAGAAATCTGTGACGCAGGTGTCAGGGTGGCAAAAGGGAAGGACGAGGGTCCAGGAGGGGGCTGGAAGAGAGAGGATGTCAATGTGGGGGGGCAGCAGGGAGTGGATCGGGGCTCACACACTTCCACACAAAGGATCCCCCCCTCGCCCTGCCTGGCCAAGTAAAAGGAATATGGGGGTGCCCGCCTGAGACCTCTCTGGCTGTCCTATCCTCCCCCCTCGGCGGGGGAACACGACACGCACCTATTCCGCCCCCCCAGTGGCCTGTGCGGACACAACACTTCCCTCTCTCTCACACCCACAGCACGGCCATTCCGGGCGGGTTGGAGACACGTTTATTGTTCATTGGTGGGTGTCAGCCGGGAACGGTGGTGGGGGCGGCAGTGGCTTGGCGCAAGGGCCCCCCTCCGCCTCAAGGCTGCCCCCTGCAGGTGGCACAGAGCGGCACAGCTTCCTGGGGACGGCGTCCCCCTGCAGGCTGCCTGGCTCAGCCCTCCTGCGCCCATCGCAGGAAGGTGGGGATGTCCCGGACGGGGACGTTGCGGGTCAGCGCCTTCACCCGCAGGTTGCGGTCGTCCGTCAGCAGCACCACCTCGCGCAGCAGCCGGATCGGGTCATCTGCAGGGGGGGCGAGAGGAGGCGGGAGTCAAGAGCGGCTCAGAAGAGGGCGGGTGCCTGCGTCCGTAACAATAACCATCCCCTTGCTGCACTCAGGGCCAGGCGACTGTTACAAACCAGAGGCTGTCACGTTTGTCAGGCCTCATCCGCCATAATCCCCTGATCGCCTGGACTGCACCCCAGGCGAGGCATAAACACTCCGGGAACGCCTCCCTCTGTCAAGATGACAAGTTAAGCTGAGGAGGATTTGGCCCAAGGAAGATGGAAACCGGGGCCTTGGTGGTGGGTGGGGTGGGGGAGATGGCCTGTGCGCCTCCCTGCCAGGAGAGCTGGTTGGGGAGGTGGAGGAGGAGGAGAGGCCCCCAGGCGATGCAGGAGGCGGCCTGGCACTTTCCGGAGGGCCGGAGGAAGGGGTGTGCCTGCGTGTTCCCTGCCATGGCTTTCATACTCTCAAAGGTACTCCAGGTGAGATGGCCGTTTTTTGCTTTCTTTGCGTCGGGCGACGGAGTGAATATTTGCCCGTTCTTGCTTGGGAATGAAACGGTCCTACAATCCTAAGGATGTTTACTAGGGAGTAATACAGGAGGCCTTACTGCAGAGTAAACATGGAGAGTGTTGGGGACGACTGCAAGGAGGGTCTCCTCCCTGGCACGGCAGACTCCCCTGCCCGCCCAGGAGGGGCATCTTAGTGCCCCCCCTGAAACATACCTTTGTTGGCCGGCATGAAGTCCTTGGCCTTGTCGTTGCAGTAGTGGAGGCAGCAGGAGAGGATCAGGTCGTCGTTGTTTCCCTGAGGAGGAAGGAGCAGCAGCGGGAGAGGAGTGAGTCCGGGAAAAGGAACAGCGCTCAGCTTGCCCTCTCTCAGCCCCAGGGGGTCTTTTGGAAATACAGGCTGCCTATTTGCATCCTCTTGCTGTTATGGGTGCAGGTGGGTGTTTTGTGTGTGTGCCTATATTCCTGCACTGCAGGGGGTTAGATTAGACAACCTGTGGGGGTCCCTTGCAACTCTACAATTCTATGGGATGAATCTGATGGATGGCATAAGGTATTCACGTTCATGTTTCTATCTGTGTTCTAAGACGTTGCTTGGAGATCTTTGGCTAATGAGCCAAATATGAGCCCGGCAAGTCTAAATATTGGGAATTAAGAAAATAATAATAATAATAATAATAATTATAATAATAATAATGTTGCATCCAATTAGGTTCTACTCAGTGCACAGCCATTGAAATTAGTGGATCCAAGTTAGGTATGTTCTTTCATTTCAGTGGGTCTACAGTGAGCAGGCCAAATGTTGGATACGCTAAAGAGCTCTCTGTCAGAGGAAATGTAGAGGTCACAGAAGCCGCTGTCACCAGGCAGAGACCCCTCGGGGAAACCCCAAGCCAGGAATATGAAGGCGATGCCCACCCCTGGCATGTAGGCATGCCGCAGGTAGACTGCCCTTCGAAGTGGAGGATCCCATCGAGCCATTGCGGCTCAAGGCAGATGATAAGGACCCCCAAACCCTTTGGAAAAGCGAAGGATACTCAGCGCCTTCCCAGGCAGAGATGGGGCTGATGTCCTCTGGGGTCTCAACCCAGAACCTTCTGCACACCAAGCAGCAGTCCTGCTAAGCCCCTCAAAGGCTGTAAAGCTTGAACCCAGGACCTCCCTGTCGCCCCACCGGAAAGTGGGAGCCCCCTCCCTGGCACCTGTTGCCTGGAGATGTCCTCGCTGCGGAAGGAGATGGACTCCAGCTCGTTGCCGCGGCTGGTGAGGGCTCGCATGTAGCTGTCCCGCTTCTCAAAGCGCGCCTCCAGGAACTCCACCGCCTTGCGGGCCCGCTCCTGCAGCAGCCGCGCGTAGCCGCCCCCGCGGTGCTCCGACTCGGGGCCCTTGGCTAGCCCGTCCAGCTCGTTGATGACTGGCAGGGAGGAAGGAGAGAGAAGAATGTGAGAGGAGCCTGGGGGATTGTGCCAGTGGCGCTTTGAGTCCAGGAATCAGGATAGACTGCCTCTGGGCCTGGGGGCTCCATAAGAAGCAGAGTCTCCTTGGCCAACCAAGTCCAGCCTCCTGATCTCACAGGGGGCGAGCAGGTGCCCATTATGGGAAACCTTCAAGCAGGACCCAAACGCAACAGCGCCACCCTCCCCTCCTGCCCTTCCCAGCATCCGCCACTGCTGCCTGACTGTGGGGGCAGAGTACGGCCACCCTGGCTAGTAGCCATTGGCTGCCTGCTCCTGCTCCACGTATTTGACCCACCCTCTGTTAAAGCCTTCCAAGCTGGCATTGGCGGGATGATTCCTGGGTGGGACGTTTCTGCCCCCACCCCAGGCCTTGGGAGACCCCTGTGCCTGGGGCTGGCTGTTTCCTCTGGGCTTGGGGGCAGCAGGTTCTGACTCTGGCTATGAGCGGAGAGAGAGGAACCAGAGGAGGGAGGGGCAGCGCTGGTCCGTCTTGCCTGGCTAGAAGCAGCCAACGCAGCTCCTCTCCCTGTCTCAGAGGGAGCCAGGCAGAAGCTGCCAGAGGTCCCTGGGAACGGCTTTTTCTTTCTTTGCAGCGGGCTGGGTGACAAATATGTCTGGGAGCCCCAGGAGAGCCCGAGGAGGCCTGATGGCACCCCCAGCAGACATATGCGAGGCCACGAGCACAAGGGAAGTCCCGGAGCCAATGTGGAACCTAGGAACCTAGAGTGAAGTAGCTCCATGCTGTCTGCACTGACTGGCAGCAGCGTTCTAGCATTTCCAGCAGCGCCTCTACCCACCCTACCTGGAGATGCCACTGGGACCTTCTGCATGAACCCCCTTCCGCTAAAATCGAAGCAAGAGTCCAGCTCTTACAGTTCTGAATAAAGGGGCTGATTTTAATCAGGAGCATAGGAGCCAGACTTTGGGCCCACCTGGCTTTGTGCTGCCTGCACTGGCTGGCAGCAGCTCTCCGGGGTTTTGAAAGAGGGGCTTTTCCCAGCTCCCTTGGCAGATGGATGGCACTGGGGGACTGAGCCTGAGGCCTCCTGCGGTGCCCTAATCTACTGCAATTCCTGCCCTGGAGGGGGGCTAGGCTAGATGAGCCTTGAGGGTCCCTTCCCCTCTCCAGTTCTAGGATTCTATGGGGCTACGGCCCTTCCCGAGTTGGCGGGCACCTCTTCCCAGGCACCCAGCCCCACCGGCTCCCTGAGACGGCTAATCTGGCTGCTCTTTTTGGCTTTCCTCGCCAAGAGCTGAGATCAAGTGGGAAGTATGCATTCCTCAGAGAGGCTGGGGGGTTGGATGTGCAGAGAGAGAGAGACAGAGGGGGAATGTGGGGTGAGGCCTCTCCCCGTCGCTATGAGGCCCCCTGGCTTTTCCAGCGCTGGTGGCACTTCTGGCCCTTCCTGGGACATCCGGCCTGGTACAGTCCCCATCTGGGCCAAGGCCTCTCCCGCCTCTCCCCACTGCCATTGCTTTGCTCTGGGGAGGATGGCCTGGGAGGGGGAGAGAAGAGCCCAGCGCAGGGAACATCAAACAGGAGGAGAGCGGCTGGTACTCCGGGCCGAAATCCGCCGCTCGCAGCCGCTTCCAAGCAAAACAGCCTTCAAAGAGGAAGCTTGTTTGCGCTCCTGCCCAAGCTGCCTGGCTGCTTCTCCCCACGCGGGTCGGGTTCAAGGAGCCGGGCGCAAGAGGGGGAGCTTTAACCCCTTCCCTGCTCCATAACAAGTGCCTGCTGGTTATTGCAGGGAGCAACTCAGGAGGAGCCGTGAGGGCAAGTCTGGGGCTTCAGTCTGGGACTTGGTTAGAGCATCAGGCCAGGGCCTGGGTTCAAATCCCCCACTCGGCCACCAAACTCTCTTCTCTCAGCCTAACCTACCTCGCAGGGTTGTGGTGGGGATTTACAGGAGGAGGAGAACCATTCACACACCACAGTGAGCTCCTTGGAGGAAAAGGTGGGATATAAATGCAGGAAGTAAACGCTCTTCTCCTCCTCCCAGGTCTCTGGCTGATTGAACAGCCTATATGGCCTTTAAAACTGGGCGTTTGGGTGGTGTTATTGCTTGTTGTTATGTCATGTATTTTTGTGTTTTTACACCGTAAACTGCCCTGCGATCCTCAGTGAGGAATACCCTCAGTGGAAGAAGCTCAGGTGGTGTTCCCAGGGGAGCTGGGCTGCCGTCTGAGCTGGAGCAGCACACCTCGCTTTACCCCCAGGAGCACAAGGTGTTGAGAGAGGGGTGGGAGGGCGATGCTACACTGACTGGCAGCAGTGGCATTTGGGGATTTCAGTCTCTCCCCGCCGCCCCTGCAGACACCACAGGGGATGGGACCCGGGACCTTCTGCCTGCAAGCAGGATGCCCTCCCCCCCCCCCCAAGCTGCTTCGGTCCTTCTGTGAGGGAGGGGGACGTGAGTGCCCAGCGCCTCCACCCTCCTGCCGGCCCGGCCAGACCACCCAGCAGCAGCAGCAGCCGCCTGTTATCTGCCAGGGCCGAGTGTTTACCAATAACAGGAACCAGCTTTGCTGAGTCGCCGGACTGCAGCTTTATAAGGAGAAAAGGGAGAGCCAGAGCCCGGCAGCTGGGACAAGCGCCCTGGCTCAAGACCTCGCCCCCCCCCAGTACAGAAGTGCTGGCTGCCCTCACGGGTCAGACCCCCCCTCCCTCACCCCAGAAGGCCTCTGTGAAGGCCCGATGCAGGATGCCAGGGCCATGGGACCTCATCCCCCTGCCTGCTTCTGCCTCCCTGTGCCTCGGAGGTAGACTGCCCCTGAGTGTGGAGGCTCCACTGATGCCTGCTGCTTTGCCTGGAGCCCTGGGAGGTGGCAGCTCAAAACAGGGCAGTCCATTGGGAGGGGAGGAGAGGAGAGAGCCTCTCCTGGAATGGATGAGTGGCAGGCTCTTCTGGCAAGGAGTTCTAGTGGTCAATGACACACTGCCTGAAGAAGAGGCTGTATGCCTCTGAGGGAACATGCACAGGAGGCCCCCAAACCCACTGCCTTAGTTGGACGGAGGGGATATAAATCAAATCAATATACCCAAAGGTTTCCTTTGGGTCCCAAAGGATGCAGAGAACAGGCAGGGCTAGCAAGCCCTTTTTGTGGGCCAGGTGATGTTTGCAGCCTTTATTTGTAAGGTGGGGGAGGGACGTGGCTGCTCCCCGTTTGGCGACAGCGCATCGGGTCCATCTCTGCGTCCGTGAGCGCACACACGCAAGCACACACTCACCAATCAGGGGCACCACAAGGATGAACTGCCGGCAGTCCAGGAGCTTGACCAGGCTGCCCAGATGGTCAATGAAGCCGTTGGTGTCCGGCACCAGGAAGACGGGGCGGATCTCCAGCTCCATCTGCCGCACTTGGGCCTGGTCCTTCAGCACCGCCTAGCACAAAAAAATTCCCACCTTTGAGCCGAGGGGGATTCTCCCAGCATGCATCAGGGGGTCCCCCCCTCCCCAAATTCTGCACAGCCTGAAGCGTGATGGAAACCAAGCAGCTTGGTGCTGAATCCTTTCTCTCCCGTGCAGACCTGCCTAGGCCTTTCAGATCATCCTCAGAGATGTCAAAGTAGAATTGGAAGGGACCCCAGGGGTCATCTAGTCCAACCCCCCTGCAGTGCAGGAATCACAACTAAGCTCGCCCCAGGGCCATCGCCTCAAGCTCTCCGGTGAGTGAGGGGCCCTTTCAGTGGAGTCCCCTCCCAGAAGAGACATTTGTATGTGCGTGCGGGATGCCACTGGTTAAAAACATTTATGTTTTGACAGGTTTTTCATACTGGCTTCTCTGCTTGAGGGGGCTCTTTTCAGTTTTGTTGATTATTATGGTTTATTCCGTGTATTAGTCATTAGTCTATTAGTCTCCACCTCCATCGTTCTGCCCGGACACCGAGGTCCAGCTCCAAGGGCCTTGTGGTGGTTCCCTCACTGCGAGAAGCAAAGTTACAGGGAATCAGGCAGAGGGCCTTCTTGGTGGTGGCGCCTGCCCTGTGGAACGCCCTCCCACCAGATGTCAAGGAAATAAAGAACTATCTGACTTTTAGAAGGCATCTGAAGGCAGCCCTGTTTAGGGAAGTTTTTAATGTCTGATGTTTTATTGTATTTCTAATATTTTTGTTGGAAGCTGCCCAGAGTGGCTGGAGAAACCCAGCCAGATGGGTGAGGTATAAATAAATAAAATAATATAAAAGAGTCTCAAGCTTCTGTGATGCACTTCTAAGAGGTGACCTGACTGAAGTTTACGAAATGATGCCTGGCCTGGAGAAAGCGGATAAAGGAAAGTTTCCCTCCCTCTCTCCTAACACTAGAACTGCTGGACGTCCCTTGAAGCTGAGTGTCGGGAGATTCAGGGCAGATACAAGTAAGTCCTTTTCATGCAGGAGGGAGCAATGGCCGCCAACTGGGATGGCTTTAGAAGAGCATTTGACAAATTCACAGAGGAGGAGGAGGAGGAGGAGAGGGCTACGGAGGGCGGCTAGCCACAAGGGCTGTGCTCTCTCGCCACAGTCGAGCCTGAATCCCAGTTGCTGGAAATCGCAGGAGGGGAGAGCTGTGCTCAGGTCTTGCTTGCTGGGGCATCTGACTGGCCACTGCAGGACCAGGAGGCCAGACTAGATGGGCCGCTGGCCTGATGCAGCAGGCCCTGCTCAGATTCTTCTGCTTTTTATTTTTATGTCCCGGGAGCCGAGGAGGCGGCACTTGCGAACCCACCCACCCTGAACTGCTCCTTCAGCCCTGTCCGCATTTAGCTTTGCAGGAACGGCGCTGCGAGGAATGTAAAAATACTGCCACGACGTCACGCATGTTCCCGGTGGGAGGAGCTGCTCCTGCAGTGCCCCTGACATGCGCATCCGGTGCCCAGGAGGTGCCGCCCTCCCTCCCCAGGCTCCTTGGCCCAGACTCCCGGGCTCCTGGCAAGGCTGAGCGAGGCCTGTGCCGGCTGTCACGTCCCATCCTGCCCCCCTGGGCTGGCCAGGGAGAGGACGACAGGATGCGCATGGTGGTGGTGCTGGGGAGGGTGCCAAGTCCCCCCTCCCCTGCGTTCAAGGAGCCGGAGGGGAACTCGCCTCAGCAGGGTTCAGAGGCCAGGAGGAGGTTTGTTTGTGTTTGACAGGGGCTGGCCAAGGGGGTACGGGGGGGGGGGGGAGCGGCGACATCCGGCTGGGCCAGAGAGAGGGGCGTCTGCAACAGGGGTGGAAAAGGCTGTGGAAAAGCGGGCAGGTGGCTGCAGGGGCACCCAGGTGCCCCCTCTGCTAGAACCCGTCCCCAAAAGGCTTCCTTGAGAAGAATGGCAACTGAGGGCGTGCAAAGCTGCTCTGCCCTTCCTGCTGCAGGTTGGGGAAGAGGGAAAACAGTTTCCTGGGGAAGACTGTCCCTGAGCGCGTGCAAAGTTGCAGGCGTCGCTGGGGAAGAGAGCGAACGGGCGCAGAGGCGGCCAAAACTTCCATGCCACGGGAGAGGCTTGGCAACTGGTGAGCGGCAGGTTCCGCCGCCCTGCCGGACGCCCCGTGGCGCTTGCTTGTCGTCACTGCGCCCGCCCTGGAGCCGCCTGGGTGGGGGTTGCCCTTCCGCCGCTGGCAGGTGCCTGGCTGTCCGTCCGTGTGCGCACGTGCTGGACGACTCGGTGGAGGGCTAAATATAGGCAGAGCGTCTCCCCGCAGCCCACCCGCCCCGCCCGCCTGCAGCTGGACCTGGCGAGGGGGGCGGGAGCGCGGCTATTCCGGGCAGCCCCCCTGGGGAGAGCGGCTGCCCTGCTCCGCAGTGCCCAGAGGAAGAGCTTGTTATGGTTCAGGTGGGAATGTTTCAGCTGGGCAGGAAATGCCTCCACTCCAGGCAGACAAAGGACCGGGCAGAGGGGTGGGGGGCAGAAAGAGTGCAAAGCGCTCCTTCTGTTGGCTAAATGACACCCCCCCCACCCAGTCTGAGACAGGTTTGGATGGCCAAGATTCTGCCTCAGAACGCATGGGAGAGACTCACACGGTGCTTCTGAGCTTATGGGGAGCTGAGTGTCCTCCCACGGCACAAGAATATCAAAACAGCCTGGATTAGAGCGGGGGGGGGGGGAGGGGGCGGGGCATACTAGTCCAAAATCCTGTTCTCTGAGTAGCCGAGCAGATGCACCAAAGTGAAGCCCATAAGCAAGCAGGACCTGAGTGCAAGATCAGCTTCTCTCCCCATTTAAAGGTAAAGGTAAAGGGACCCCTGACCATTAGGTCCAGTCGTGACCGACTCTGGGGTTCCAGCGCTCATCTTGCTTTATTGGCTGAGGGAGCCGACGTACAGCTTCCAGGTCATGTGGCCAGCATGACTAAGCCGCTTCTGGTGAACCAGAGCAGCGAACGGAAACACCGTTTACCTTCCACCAGAGTGGTACCTATTTGTCTACTTGCACTTTGAGGTGCTTTCGAACTGCTAGGTTGGCAGGAGCAGGGACCGAGCAATGGGAGCTCACCCCATCACGGGGATTCGAACTGCCAACCTTCTGATCGGCAAGCCCTAGGCTCTGTGGTTTAACCCACAGCGCCACCCGTGTCCCAAATGCTCTCCTCATTTACGAATCCCAAAAACTACTATCCGAAAGCATTTACTGCTTCCAACAGTTGCCTGGATTTGGGGCCAAACTCTGGCCCTTTTGGCCTGGCCACCAGCCCTGCTGCTGCTGCTGCTGCTGCCTCTCCTTCCGTGGCCTTCGCTGACCTGGCAGTGGTCTTTACGTAGAGAATGCTCCCCCCGCCCGCTTGCTGTGCCACTCTCATTTGGGTATTGAGGAGAAACCTCCGTGGCATTTCTGCTTTCTCCTGCTTCCTACTGTGGAGACGAAGCGGAGCCACTGCGGTTAGGAGCCATCGGCAGCCCTCTCCTCCGGCACAAATCCGTCCAGCCCTCTTTTAAAGCCATCCAGGTTGGGGGCCATCCTGCAGGAAGGAGTTCCACAATTTTAACTAGGCACTGCGTGGCTTGCCACCTTGGGTGCCCTCCTTGGCTTGCCTGTGCCAGGTCCTGCTGCCCACCCAAGGGGGATTTTTAGAAATCTCTTGCTGCTTTTGGAGTGGCCCAGGAGGGCAGAGCCACCCACCCAGAGGACGCACGGCTCCCTGCCGGCTCTCCTTGCTGCCTCGGCTCCAGCCAAGTGAGCTTCACGCTCTCTCTCCCCTGTGCCTCATGTGCTGGGTCGCTCTGGCTTGCCAGAACGCAGGGCCCTTTCTTCCTCTCCTCTCCTTTCCTCCTGGCAGGCAGGCAGGCAGGCAGAGCGGCTGGCTGGCTGCAGCCTCAGCCATTGGGCCACGGTGGGCCTGGAGAGCAGAGAAAGAGAGAGCACAAGAGAGAGCGCTGGTGGTTCTGGGCCCGCAGCCAACAGCCGGCGGGTACACATGTGCGCTGCTCTCCCAGTAGGGCCTTCAGCGGCCCTGTTTTACAACCACCTCGGCACAGACTCCAGAGTTCACGCATATGGCTAGACAGATGTGTTTGGCTGGCGTTCAAGGCTGGGAAATGAAGAGTTATGGAAGTGAAGAGGGCCCTGGGCACTGCAAGGAGAGAGAATTTGGGGCGGGGGGAGAGAGAGGAGAGAGAGAGAGAGAGAGAGAGAGAGAGAGAGAAGGAGGGAGGAGGAATTTCCCTTGGCTGTAGGGAGCCAGCCAGCCAGCCAGCCTGCAGGCTCGAGAGGCAAGCCAGCCAACGCCCTAGGGCACAGGCACACACACACACACACACACACACACACACACACTCCCCTGCAGTTGGCACAGTGGTGCTTCGAGCTGCTGTCTATTTCATTCTATTAATTAATGAATGAATTAAATTTCCCCACCAAATTTAGAGGTCAGCTTACAGCAGAATCAACAGGACTACGAATGGGGGGGATGTCGTGGTGAGCTCTGCTGCGGTTTGGGGGATGTGGGACTCAGGCGCAGCAAAGCCATCCAGTTCAGCTCCTGTCCTGCGTGAGATTTACGATGCAGAGGCGGTTAGGGACTTTAGGATTGGCACCTTGGTCCTGGAGGCTGCTGCCCCCGACTCGCCCAATGATCCGCCTGGCCCAGCAAGGGGGGAGGGTGTGCCACCCTGATGGTTCTTGGGATTGCGCTCCCAAAAGCTTCTCAGAGATGTGCGGTTGGCATCACCACTGAGGCTAATCTACCCATTTGTCTAATTCTCTTTTAAAGCCCTCCAGGTTGGTGGCCATCGCTGTCTCCTGTGGGAGGGAGTTCCACAATTTAACTTTGCGCTGTGTGAAGGAGAAGTCCCCCCCCCCCCGAGTCCTGAATCTCTCAACATTCAGCTTCTCTGGATGCTCACGAGATGCAGTGTTAGGAGAAAGGAAGGAAAGCTTATTTCTAGCTGCACCTCGTGTATTTTATGTTTTTTGTTCACAGCTTATTTTTGCTGTACGTTTGTTAAACACATCTGTTGGGTTTTTTTAAAAAAAGAATTCCACTTATATGTTGCGTGAAATGTGTGATACGCCACCTTGGAACATTTTCAATGAAAGGCTGTTAGGAAATATTTAAAGCCAGGGGCAGGGAACCTTTTGTTCAGGCCTTAGGGCCACATTCCCTTCCAGGGGCCCCATGTGCAGGGCCAGAGGCAAGGGCAAATTATGCACATTTAATTTAGCTTTCTACACTAGGCTAGCTTCTGCAGACACTCAGACACCTCCCAAAACCACGTGAAGTATTAAGCAGAGCTAGAAAGGGGCTTGGGAGATTTCCAAGGGCCGGGCGCTGAGGCTTGAAGGGCCATATTTGGGGCTTGAAGCTTCCTACCTCTGCTATAAGTAAATGGATACATGCATACCAGCTGAGATTCCTGTGCTGCAGGGGCTGGACTAGATGACTCTGGGGACCCCTTCCAGCTTTACAATTCGACCACACGCCCCAATGCAAACCTGGATCTTGTCTTGCCGGCGCTGCTGTTCGGCCACCTTCCTGGTCAGCGCTTGCTTCTTGGCCCGCAGCTCCCTGATGTCCAGCTCTCCGCCGCTGCCGTCGGCCTCCGAGTCGTCCTCAAAAGCCTCGATCCGGACATCGTCCTCCTTGTCACCATCCAGGAGGAGGAGAGGAAGAAGAAAAGAAAGGGTGGTTGGGAAGGACAATTGCAACAAAGGATAGCTAGCAAGCTATATGCAGCGCTTTTGGTCCCCCCTCCCTGTTCCGTCTTCCCACCATGAACACTGGGAATCGCACGGTTGATCTCGCTGCAGGAGGATGGGAGCCCCTTTAGGGAACTACAATTCCCAGGGATCCTTGGGAACAGGCGCTGCACCGTGGCTCACCCCTTCGCCTCCTCACTGCAAGAAACTCCTCCTGCTGCTACTGCTGGGAAAGGGGTGGAGAGGACCAAGGGCGGGGAGACGTTCCCCATCACAGAACTGCAGAGTTGGAAGGGACCCTGAGGGTCATCTAGCAATCGCAGCGGAAGGATTCCTGACAGACTCCACCACCTCCCAGCCCCTGGGCTCCTGCACACGCACCACATGTTTCACAGGGACGCACAAGATATTCTGCTCCAAACCCCTTTTGAAAAAGGGGAAAGGAAGCAGCAGCAGCAGCTGATTGGAGGTCCTTGGCTCCTTGGCCAAGGCTGGGCAAAAGGGTCTCCCCAGCCTCAGAATCCGAAGTCTCTCCTCCTCTATCCTGCACAAGAAGCTCAGAAGAGCCAGCTGCATCAGGCCAGGGGCCCCTCCAGTCCAGCCTGCTGTCCCCACAGGGGCCAACCAGATGCCCATTATGGGAAACCCACAAGCAGGATCTGAGCACAAGAGCCTTCTCCCCTCCTGCAGTTTCCAGCAACTGGGATTCAGAAGTATTGCTGCCTCTGACCGTGGAGGCAGAGCCAAGCCCCTGGGCTAGTAGCCACTGACAGCCCTCTCCTCCTCTTTGAATCTGTCTGAGCCTCTTTTTAAACCTATCCATGTTGGCGGCCATCCCTGCCTCCAGTGGGAGGGAGTTCCATAGTTCAACTCAGTACTGCGTGAAGGAGTCTCTTTTATCCATCCTCAATTTCCCAACGTTCAGCTTCAACACATATCCTTGAGTTCTCACGTTATGAGTGACTTTTCTTTATCTGCTTTCTCTATGCCATGCATGACTTTTATAAACGTCTATTGTGTTGCCTCTCACTCGCCTTTTCTCTAAAGTAATCCTAAAAGCTGCAACCTTTCTTCACGGGGGAGTCTCTCAATTCCCTCAATTATTTGGGCTGCCCTTTTCTGATCTTTCTCCTTGCTCTACAATATCCTCTTTCAGGTGAGGCGGCCAGAACGGTCCTCCTCTGCGGATTTTATCTGGAAGCCGCCTTGTGTCCCGGTCAGGGAAAAAGGAGGGGTGTAAATAAACAAATCTGTCCCATCCTCTTTTAAAGCCATCTAGGCTGGTGGCTGCTTCCTGTGGGAGCGAGTTCCGCAGTTCTAACTCTGTGGAGAACGAAGGAGGGCTTTCTTCTGCCCCCCTTCCCGTTCTCTGACCTCCTGCGAGATCCTCCTCAAGGCAAGCGCAGCCTTGCAGAGCAGCTGGCAGGGATGCTGAACGAACACCAAGCGCTCACACACTCTCACACACGGACGGCCTGCAGAGAACCCCGGGCTACAGGAACAAGCCGGGGCAGAAAAACAAGAGGAGAAATTCCTTAATCACATCAGGATGTGTGTGTGTGAAAGAGAGAGCTCGAGAGGCAAAGGGAGGGCAGGGAAGAGGAGGCGGGGGGGGGGGAGAGAAGAGCCAGCACCAAGCCCCTCTCTTCCTGTACGTGGGCTGCTGTTCGGCGCTGCTTCTCACCCCCCCTCCACCGCCCCAATAAACTCGATCCTGAGCCTGAACCCTCACCCTGCTCTGCCTCCCACCCCCCCAACCCTTTCCTGCTGGGCCTGAGCTGCACGTTATTAAAGCTGTGCCCCCCACCCCGAAAGGAATCGTTATTTGGAAAGCGCATCTGGAACTCATCGCCGTTGCCAGAGAGAAAGAGAGAGAGACAGAGAAATAAAGGCTGCTGGCAGGAAGGGGCACATATGAGTGCAGCGGCGGCAGCAGCAGGACCCCCCCCCCCCAAAAAGGCTGGTCTTCCTCCTCCTGGCCAGCTATAAATAGCGGGGAGCGCGGCCAGCCCAGGCCCCGCTGGGGCAATTGCTCCTGCTGCTGCCTGCGCTGATCTCTCTCCCCCCCCCCGCCCTCCGGTACCTGATCTTCCAGTTGTTTTCCCTCTTGGCTGGCTGCTTCCTTTCCCATGGCGTCTGGGACGGGGGCCACTGACACATACTTTCCACCCTTGAATGCCAGCAATGGCTCTTCTTGGCCACAGAGGGCTTCCAGGAAATACTTCAGCACAGTGACCCGCTTGCAGTCCGCCGCAATGACCTACGGAGGAGCCAGGATGAGAGAGATGGAGGGGGTGGGGACACACAACAAGATACAGAGGTCAGAGGGCATTGTCTGGGCAGGGGGGACGGGACAGGGCGCAGGCACGTAGCAGAGCCAGAGGGAGACCCGGGTTTGAGTCCTGCTGGCAATACGGGAGCAACCAACCTCTCCGACACTAAACAGGCTGCTGGGCCGTTGGCCAGGAGAGGGGAGGGCATCTGTGGCTAAGGAGAGAAGCAGTGGGGCGTAGTGGTTAGTGTGCTGAGCGAAGGCCTGGGATCAAATCCCCGCTCAGCCAGGAAGCTCACCAGCCGACTTTGCCCTGGTCACTTGTCTCTCAGGCTCACACTCTACAGGGTTGTTGTGGAGATTGAAGGCAGAGAGGGAGAAGGCGCACACCATTGTGGGCTCCTTGGAGGAACAGCGGGATATCCTGTTCTCCAGATCCTCAGAGCTTTAAGGTGGAGATGCCAAACCTCCGATGGAGGGGGCGTCTCTTGTGGCATTATGAGACTTCTCTGCCCGCTGCGACTGCTCACGACAGCAAATGGGCTTCCGAGCTGGACTCAGCTCTGGGACCTTCCAGTTTATGCATCTATATTTAAACCATCGTATCTCTCTTTATCAATTTCTATTTTTGAACCATCATATCTATATCAATCTCTAAACCTGGCAAACCTTTGAAGCAGTTGAAACAATAAAAGAGTTCAATACAATAACAGGTGGGACTGTAGATACAGAAAAGGGGAGCGTTTTAGGGTGCTCCAGCATGAGGGCCACATGTTGGATCCACCCAGGAAAGAGGCTTTCCAGGTTTGGCAGGGCAAGCTGCCAAGGTGCCCCACTCCTGCAACCCACAGGAGAGCCTCTGATGGGCACCAGGATGGCCAAGGCTGGCCAAAACTGTGCCACCCTTTTCCTCCTTGCGGGTTTCCCTTTGGGCATCTAGGTGGCCACTGTGAGGAAAGGATGAGGGGCCAGATGGGCCACTGACCTGATCCAGCAGGCTCTTGGACCAGACCAGCACCCTGCTTTCCACAGTGGCCAAGAAGACACCCAAAGCAGGGTTTGAAAGGGACGCCCCTTTCCTGCTGCAGCTGCCCAGTGAACGGTGCTCAAGAGGGTAGACCGGGTGCCAGCAACCTTTTTCAGCCGTGGGCCGCTCCACTGTCCCTCAGACCATGTGGAGGGCCAGATTATTATTAATTTTTTTTGGAGGGGGGGGGAAATGAACGAATTCCTGTGCCCCACATATAACCCAGAGATGCATTTGAAATAAAAGGACACATTCTACTCATGTAAAAACACGCTGATTCCAGGACTGTCCACAGGCCGGATTGAGAAGGCGATTGGGCCACATCCGGCCCACGGGCCTTAGGCTGCCTACCCCTGGGGTAGACTGTGCCTGGATGTGGAAGCTCCATGTGCCCATCAAGATCAGCAGCCCCTACCAGCCCTCTCCTCCTCCTCCTCGGATATGTCCAATCCTCTCCAAAGCCTCTTACGCCAGCAGCCATCACTGCCCCATGTTCCAAGTCAGTGACGCACCCGGGTGAATAAATCCTTCCTTCTCTCGCCAGCCTGGGAGGGCTGCGATCCTTGACAGGCTCGGCTCTGATGGACAGGGCTGCTGGCAAGCTTCCGAGAGAGAGCCTGTAGGGTGGTCGAGCCAACATCCCTCACTGCTGAGGGAAGTGTGAGGAGGGAACCTGGGCTGGGGAGGGAGAGAAGGGAGGGCAGGCATCCCAGCATTGCTGGTGCAGACTCCTGCTCCTCCATGCCCATTTCAAAGGCACAAAAAAGCTGCCCTCCTTCACTTCAGGGAATTGGTGCTTCTGCTGTGGCCAGGTCCCCCCAGAAGGGATTTCAAGGTGAAAATGTAGACCCATCCACCCCACATGGCAAGTGCCCATACTGGCTGACTGCAATGCCAGCCAGACAAAGGAGTCACAGAACTGTAAAACTGGAAAGTACCCCCAAAGGTCATCCAGTCCAACCCCCTGCCATGTAGGAGTCACAGAAGCCCCAAGAGTCTGAGAAAAAAACGAGATGGGAAGCCGCAGGATGGAAGACGGCTGCCGGACAGCTGTTCCCTCTGTGTCCTCAGCTCCTCCCGTCTTGTCCCATTCTGCGCTGCATCCTTCACTGAGCTACAGACCTTTCCGTGAAACTAAAGGAAGATTCTAGTCCTCATGGCTCTCAATAAAAGGCTGAAACAGGAACCTAGAAAGTGGCCTTATACCCAGTCAAACCAATGGTTCATTTAACACAATAGTGTCTACACTGACTGGCAGCAGCTCTCCAGAGTTTCAGGCAGGAGTCTCTCCCAGTCTAGGAAATAAAACAACTATTTGACTTTTAGAAGACGCGTGAAGGCAGTCCTGTACAGGGAGGTTTTAAATGTTTGATGTTTTATTGTGTTTTTAATATTTTGTTGGGAGCTGCCCAGAGTGGCTGGGACAACCTAGTGAGATGGGTGGCATATAAACAATAAAGCTATTATTATTATGACCTGGAGATGCCTTTGGGGGTTGAACCAGGAACCTGCTGCCTGCAAGACAGACGCTGTACGGCCCTCCCCTGCCTGCAGAGAAGACGGGGAGCCCTTTGGGCACAGCTGCCCTTGACCGTGAGCACTGGAGGCCTGGCCTGCGAGAGGGGATGCCTGCTGGCCAGGAGAAGGATCAAGGGGGAAGAAGCGTGCCCCACAAGCAGCACCAGCAGGGAGGCCCCCAGCACTCTCTGGGCCAAGAGGGAGGGGGTGAGGGGCGCTGGCCTAGCCCAGGTGGCTCCCTGTGGAGGCTGACTCAGAGCTGCCTGGGCTGGTGGGGAAAGGCAGCTCTGCTCTGCCCGGGAGAGAGGAAGTGCTTGCACTTCCCCTGCCCCCTCGAGCTGCCAGCTTCCTCTCTGCCGCAGGGTAATCGGAGTCCCCTGGCGCATGGGCCATCAGCTGCCTCACCCCGCCGTGACCTCCCTGGCCTGACATTGCCCCCCACCCGGCAGGAAGCAGGGAACAGGCTGCAATGGGGGGGGGGAGGAGCTGCTCCCCTTCCCCAACAAGCGTGGGTCTGCCGGTGTGGGCAGAGAGCGAGCAAGAGGGGGTGTCCATGGGATGCAGCTGAGGCGGGGAGGCCTCGGACGTGCCACAACTGGCCAGCACCCCACCTGGCCCGCCTTAAAGGGTTGGGGTATGGGAGCACCCTCTGAGTATCCAAGTCTGGGCACAGGCCTTGCATGAAGGAGATGCCAGGTTCAATCCCCAACGGCATCTGTCGGCAGGGAAAAAAACCACTCCTGTCTGAAAAGCCGTCCTGTGAAAGGGAGCCTAGAAACAGAACTAAGAGGGAACCGTGTGGGGTGCTCAGGATGGAACTGGTGCTGCCAAGGTCCCCTGAGAGTTCACTCCCCTTCTGGATCACTCTGGGTTTTGGGCAGGGACCGCGGCCCGCCAATTCTGGTGCTGGCCCTTTGTGGCTCCTGGCTTCTCCCCCTCCGCCCTTGCGAGCCGAAGCCCAGCTCCTCAAGTTTCGATCCTGCGATTGGAAATGTTTCCCCTGCCCCACCCAGTGGACCTGACAGGAGACGGGTCTGGATGGGGGACAGAGTGCTGACTGGATGCTGGCAGGTCTGAGCCCCTGGCAAGACAGCGTGGCTCGCCCTGGCCTACCTTGTGGCGCGGCCGTGAGGGTGCGAAGGACGATAATGCACTCTTTGGCACCAGGTGCGTCATAAATCCCGTGACCGGGTTTGTGGGACGTAAGAACATGAGAAGAGGCTGCTGGATCAGGCCAGTGGGGGCCCCCTTCCCAGAGTGACTGCCCAGGTGCCTCTTGTGGGAATAACCTCCGTTCAAGGGGTTTCTCTGGGTCCAGGGAAGCGCTGGGGTGTTGCTGCAGAGAGAAGGCGGTGCTGGGAGAATCTGTGCATGGGGGGAAAGAGGTGGCAGGATCCGGCCAAGACTTGGGGCTCTGTGCCACAACCCCAGAGGCACAAACTTCCCCTGCAGCCCACGTTCCCTGGACCACCTCGAAAGGAGGCTTGATTTACTGATCGCCTCCCCTCTGTTAATTCCTGACACCTTTTGGCTGGCTTTCACAGTTTGTCTGAAGCGCTTGGGAGCGAGAGAGCCGGCACAGGGTTGACACCAGCCTTGACTGGGAAAGGTCAACCTCGCCAGCCCCTTGGCAGCAAAGCTTGGCAGCAGCTGCAGCCCAGGACCCGGTGGGGGCAGGAGATGAGGTGGGGCTCAGGAGAAGGCCCAAAAGCTCTCCTGGCAAGGAGCTGGTGAAAGTGGCTGCCAGAGCCTCCCTTCCTCCTTTGCTGGCAGAGGCTCCTCGGAGCACTTAACAGGTGATTAAAACATCAGGACAGGAGAGACCCTGAGCCAAGCGCTCCACTTGGCCACATTTGCACACCAGGGGAAACTGGAGGCAGCCCCATCTCTTTGCTCCCCTGACCATGCAGCTGCCCCTGTGGTTCCCAAAGTGGGTGGTGTCACCCCTTGGGGGCAGGGCAGTTTCCTGGCAAGGGGGCAGCAGGGGGGCACTGGAGGTGCAAAGGACTGTCGGACTGGGAAAGCTGGTTTCACTGCATCAATTTCACCCGTTTTGTTGAATTAAGTTAAATAGTTCCAACCGGATTTTGAATAAATGTGCAACCAATTGTTCCTGTTATGAATTTCATTGTGTTCGGGAAGACCACTATGCTGAATAATGCTTTTTATAGGGTAGGGGTCCCTGGGGAGGAGTTTGTGGAAACAAGGGGGTGGGGGCCTGAAAAAGTTTGGGAACCACTGAGCAACGGGCCTATGTGCCGCCCACTCCTGGCTGGAGGTCTGGCCCCTGAGGTCATGGCAGGCCATCGGGGCTCTGCGGCAGGAGTGGCGCAGGGGCTGCCAACCTGGCCACCCTGAGCTGCAGGGCTGGGCTGAATCCCACCTGCAGGCACCAGGCAGCTGCTCTGTCCCTGGGGGAGGAGAACGTGGGTGCAAGCCTGGCAAAAGAGGTGGGCAGGATGATCTGGGAAGCAGGACAGCGGCCTCATCCCCACTGGCGCTCTGGCTCGCCCACTTCCAGGGCAAGTCCCTGCCAGAGAGGGCACCAGAAGGTGCAGGCTCAGCAGAAGGGGTGGAGGCGTGGCATTTGGGGGCAGCGTTCCGCTGAGCTACCAACAAGTCATCAAAATGCTGTTCTGCAAAAAAAGGCTGAATCCTCTGCAACCGTTTTCGAGTCACGCAAACAAAGCAGCGCTTGCACAATATGCAATGGTGGGGGAAGGCCAAAGAGCCACTGCAGGCAAGCACAGGCTCCCCAGCTCAGCCACAAAAGCCTCGCTGTTTTCCACGACTGTGGTGGTTGCTGCCCACATGCTGTCAAACCTCCTTGGCAGACTCAAACAAACCCAAGCTTCTAATTCTGCTGCTGCCAAAACCTGAAACAGATGCAGAATCCTGCAGTGGCAGGAAGTGCTTGCGGCAGCCATGGAGCAGCACCCACCTGAAAATGTGAGAACCTAAGAAGAAAGAGCCTGCTGGATCAGGCCAGTGGCCCATCTAGTCCAGCATCCTCTTCTTGCAGGGGCCGACTAGATGCCTGGAAGAAACCTGCAATCAGGATTCGAACACAGGAGCCTTCTCCCCTCCTGCCTGCTGTTTTCAGCAACTGGCATTCAGGCTGCCTCTGGCTGTGCAGAGCTGAGCCCTGGGGGCTAGTAGCCTCCTCCAGGAATGTGCCTACTCCTCTTCGAAAGCCATTCAAGTTGGTGGCCATCTTTGCCTCCTGAGGGAGTTTAACTGGGCGCTGCGTGAAGAAGGACTTTCTTCTATCTGTCCCAAATCTTGCAACTATGGACAACCTTGGCAGAACAGGAAGAGTCGAGGGTGACCTGGGGAGGCTTTACAAGGGCAGAGAGCGAGAGACCGAGGGAGCTTTCACTTCCTGTCCGGACACCACAAAAGCGCCTCGCTGCTGCTCCAGCCTTGGGCGAGCGGCACGTCCTAATCTGGGCACTTGCTCTGCCTCCCTCCTATTCACAGGCGCTGGGACGTGTCTTTTTCAAGGGCTGAAAGCCTTCCGAAGGTGGCCGGGGCCTGTCCAGGGGCCGGGATCCATGTTCTTCCTCCTCCCTGGTTCCTCCGGAGGAGGAGAGGGTCGGAGGGGAGGAAGCCCCTGTCCTTCCCCTCCCTCCCCTCCACGCCCTCAACATGATCTAGCTCTTGGCAGAACCGCTGGCCAGACATTACCCGTGCTGGTGGAGCAGGAGCAGGAGCGTTCCAAGGAGTTGCTGCAGGGACCCAGAGAGGAGGAGGCGGGGGCACCAGGAGGGTGGGGGGAGCAGGCCAGAGAAACGGGGAGAGGCTCAGCTCTGGGAGTTCAAGGCAGGGTTGATGGGCTCTCTCGCTGGCTCGAGAGGGACATCCCACATTTCAGGGAGCTGCGACTCCGCAATCCATCTCAAATCTGCAGAGAGCCCAGCTGGGCAGGCACCTCTCCACGTCCTCTTCCCCCCGCCCTGCACCTTCAACAACAAATCTCAAGCCTTGATCGGAGTTAGCTCAGCGTTTCCGAGCCTCTGACAGGAGATGGGAGGTGGGGATGGGCCACAGCTGGCCAGCTGCAAACCTGGGCGTAGTTTGTTCCGCTGCCCGTGGGCCAGGCAAGACCTCTCTCTCTCTCCAGATGAGGCTTCTCCTACCGGCTGCCTCCCCAGGCAGGTCCTCCTGCCAGCAAAGAGCAGGAAAGATTTTCCAGCCCATTGTCTTATCCGCCCCAAGATGCACATTTCTCCCCACTCGCTGCTGCCAGCTGCGTCTCTTCCCCAGGCACGGGGCGTCCTGGAAAGAGAGATACTTGCCATGGAGGAGGACAGGGGAGGAATGTTCTGCAACACTGCTTCTTCTCCATGTCACCCCACAACAGGGCACCCCAGATGAAGGGGTGGGGAGGCAGCAGTGCTACTGAATGCCAACTGCTGTAAACCACAGGAGCGGAAAGGGCTCTGCCTGTGGGTTTTCCATTCAGGCATCTGGTTGGCCATTGTGAGAGCAGGATGTTGGACTAGGTAGGCCACTGGCAAGGTCCAGAGAGCGACCAGGCTCAAGCCCCATCTAGGAGGGACTATTGTGGAGCCAAGCGTGCCACCCTGCCCCTGAAAGGTGTCCCCAAGCATCCCCAGCAGACGTCCTTTGAGGAGGGAACTGTAGCTCAGGGGTAAGGCACCCTCCTCTCCTCCCACCCCAACGGAGAGGGACTCTACCTCCATGCAGAAGGGTGTGAGAAAGGGAGCCTTTGCCAGGAGGAAGAAGAGGCGCTCACTCCTGGCTTGACAGCTCATTCATTACACCAGGGAGAACCACCACCACCAGCAGCAGCAGCAGCAGCAGTGCCACAGAACAAGTCCCTGCACGAAGCCCAGGGAAGAAAGGGGGGGGCGGGCTGTAAGGGTGCTGAAAATAAGTAACAGAATCATAGTTGGAAGGGATCCCCAAGGCTCATCTAGTCCAGCCCCCTGCCATCACAGCTAAAGATTCACAGAATTGGAAGGGGGTGCTTGCAGGGGTTGGGGCTGCTCTGGGTTGCTTCTGCCCGTGGGAGAGAGAGACAGTTCCCCTGGATGTAGGAGGGAGCCTCCACCCCTCCCCAGGCCCAACCTGCAGATGCCACTGGAGGACTGAGCCTGGGACCTCCTTCTGCATGCCAAGCAGGAGTACTCTGCGGCAGTTTCCTGCACCCTACACCCCATTTCACCTTGAATCTTGTGGGGGAGAGGCGTTACCAGAAAACATTTCCTTTTCCAGAAGCCACCCATAGGAAGGGAGAAATTTGGAGGACAAACCGGGTCACAGTCCTGGATTCTCTGGGTGGGCTCACGAGTGCTGCCACAAATGGCGTTGGGCGTTCCCGCTTCCTACACCCCATGTTAATAATATTCTGGAGAGGGAGGGAGGTCAGGTGTTCGTGCAGAGCCTGCGGGGTCAGGTCAATGGCCCACCTGGTCCAGCATCCTTTTCTCATGGATGGCAGCCAGCCAGATGCCCCAAAGGGAAACTCACAAGCAGGATCTGAGCACAAGAGGCGCCCTCTCTCCTCCTGAGGTTTCCGGCCACTGGCACTCAGAAGCCTCTGACAGGGCAGTCAGAGCAGAGCCACCACAGCGAGTGAATATCAACAGCCCTCTCCTCCTCCATGAATATCTCCAATCCTCTTTAAAGCCATTCAGACTGGTGGCTGTTTCTTGAGGGAGGGAGCTCCACAGTTTGCCTGTGCCGCGTGAAGCAGTCCTTTATCTGACCGGAATTTGCTCAGAGAAAAGCTGAGGCGGTTTGGGCCCAGGGGCTGCAGTAAGCCCTGTCCTCCTCCTCCTCCTCCTCCATGCTGACAGGGTTGTTCCCCCCAGCAAGAGGCCAGCCCTCATGGAGGTGCAGGCTTTTCCCTCTCTGCAGAGGGAAGCTCACACCTTCTGCCTGGAGGGCTGCCTCTCTCTCCCCCCAGTTGCCTCCTGGTGACCCTGCTCTTGACACCCCGGCAACCAGGTGCAAATATTTCCCCACCAAGCCAGAGGCTCTGCTTTTCTCCCCTCGGGAGGCTCCTTGATGTAGATCCAAGGGAGGCAGGACATCAAAGGGACTGTGCAGGTTCCCTCAAGAGAATCAGAGGGGGACTCACGCCAGCTTTCAAATGCAAATTTGCTCCAATTTCAGTACTTTTTTAAAAAAAGCAAACCCCAAACCAGCACCACCAGCAGCTTATAGATGCTGCTGGAGTCTAAAGGAAGCCAAGCTTGCCTGGAGGCACATCTTTTGAGACAAGGCTGTGCAAACTCTCAGGAGGGGTCATCCGAATGGTGGATGTTGGGCACCTTTGCCCACCCTATGCAGACCTCCTGCAACTTGCCCACTGCACAACAGAGCTTGCTGCCCCTGGATATATTGTCAATGCTGTAAGGGGGCGTATTATAAATGAACAGTAACATTTCATGTCCCCAGCCCAAGAGCATTCTCCCCTTCTGTGGCTTCCATAAGAAGAGCTTGCTGGTTCAGGCCCATTGAGTCTGGCATCCTGTTCTCAGAGGATTATGAGGACTAGGAACTTGCCTCTTAAAAACAGCCCAAGAGGAGCCTGCTGGGTCAGGCCAATGGCCCATCTCGTCCAGCGTCCTGTTTTCACTGTGGACAACCAGGTGCTCGTTATGGGAAACCTGCAAGCAGGATTGGAGCACAAGAGCAACTCTCTGCTCCTGTGGTTTCCAGCAACTGGTACTCAGAAGCATTGCTGGCTCTGACTGTGGAGGCAGAGTGTAGCCAGCAACACATCTCTCCTCCAAGAGGACACTTCAAGAGCAGTGGCTCTCGCCCTCTGCAAACCCAGGGACTGTCTTCAGCCCAGATGTGCAGCTCGGCAACAACTTGTTAATTATTCTTTTTCAAACACAACGGTTCTGCCACCCTCAGAGATGTGGGGAACGCCAGCCTAGGAGAGGGGCTTTCTCTGCAGGACCCCCTAAATTCTGGAAGTCCCTCTCTGCAGAGATCTACCTAACCATTGGTGGTTGGACGTTCTGAGGGACTCAACTCTATGGGTGCAATTTAGATGCTGCTCTAATCTATTTCGCTTGTTCTCTAATTGTAACGGCTTCATAAATGTTTTGGTAATTGCATAATTATAGGGTTGAAACCTGCCCCGGGACCTTATGGTAAGAAATCCTATTAGCAAACAAATGTATTTGGATGATGGTGAAGTGCTGCTGTTGAAAAGCCACCTCAGATGACTCTGCAACCTGGAGGCTGCAGGCAGGGACTCTGGAGCAGGGGCAGCCAACGGGGCACCCTCCAGGACTACAACTCCCAACTCGATCCCTGCCCACTGGCCGTGCTGCCTGCCAGGGCTGGTGGCCCACTCTGGAGGCTGACAGCACAGTCATGCAGTGTGCACCCCACTCCAAGGCACCTCCAGAGGTCTTCTGTCCAGCAGTGCCAGCACAAAGGGAGGCTCTTTCCTGGTCCTGAGCAAAGACTGAGAGAGGATGCAGAGGCCAGTGGTCAGGATGGGCAGAAGAGGGGAAGCCGGGACGTCCCACACACTGTCCAAAGTTGCCCAGGCCACTCTCTCTCTGGGCAGGAAGTTGGCCCTGCCTTGAGCCTCCAAAGAGGCATGGCTTGCAAGCCCAAAAACCACCTGCTTCCTGCTGGAAGGACCAGGGAGGGGGTGGTCCTGATCCTTGTGCCCCCTCCAAAAGCATAGGTGGGGTGCTCCATCACTTCCGGGGAGAAGCTGCATCCCCAACCTTGAGCACATGCCCCCCACAATTGTGGCCACTCCATCAGCTCTCCTGGGGGTGGGGGCACCTCTGGCTGTGCCTTCCCAGCTCGGCCCTCGGATCCTTGCCACGGAGCCGCATATTTTTTAAATTTGATGTTAATTATCTCCTCGGAATTACCGTACGCAGCCTCTCTCTGGGGATCCGAGGCAATTAAGGGGAGATAAATTTCGTTCCGCGGAGCGAGCTGTCAAGCGGATGAAGCAATTCCATTCCCCCATTTGAAGTGGGAGCTCTGGGTCATGCCTGGTTTATTTGAAACGGTGCCATCACCTCAAGCGGCTGATCTTATCTCGCGCCTCCCCCCCCCACCGGCAGGGGCACTGCCGCAAGTGATGACACCTGGCCGGCCGCCAGCTCCTCCCAAGATGCAGCTGACACAAGAGAGGGGCCGCTGGGTGCTCCGATCCAAAGGAGGTTGGGGGGTGGGAGGAGCGCTGGGAAGGCTCAGGGCCTGAGTAAGAAAGAGTCTGCTGGATCAGGGCAGTGGCCCACCGAGCCCAGCCTCCTGTCCTCACAGGGGCCAGCCAGATAGATGCCTGGAAATCTGTGAGCAGGACCAGAGCCCCAGAGCCCTCTTCCCTCCTGAGATTTCCAGCGACTGGTTTTCTGAAGCATGGCTGCTTCTAACCATGATGGCAAAGCCTAGGCACAATGGCCAGTGGCCATCCATAGCCCTCTTGTCCTCCATGAATTTGTCGAATGCTCTCGTAAAGCCATCCCAGTTGGTGGCCATCCCTGCCTCCGGTGGGAGGGAGTTCCACAGATTAACCGAGCCCTGCTGCATGAGGAAGCTCTTCCTTCTATCTGTCCTGAATGTTCCAACTTTCCGCTCCTTGGATTTTCGCAAGTGGGGCAAAACTTTCCCCTGCCACTTTCCTCATGCCGGGCATAATTCAATGCACTTCTGTCATGTCAGCTCTTGCCTTTTCTCTAAATTAAAAAGTTGACCCTTCCTCCTAGGGGAACCACTACATCCCTTGATTGTTTCAGTTGCTTTTTTCCTGAACCTTCTCCTTGGAGGTTTTTAAGCAGCGGGTGGATGGCCCTCTGTCTTGGATGCTTCAGCTGAGATTCCCTTCCAACTCTATGATTCCTTGATTCTGTGAGGGGCCAAGCAGACGACCCAATGGGCAGCCCGAGAGCCACCAGGACCAGAGCTTCAGAGCAGGGCTCTCCTGCTAGGGATTCCCCAGCAACAAGGATTCAGAGGAATGGGGCCTCTGGTGCTGGAGACAGTATGCAGACAGCACAAGAGAGGGCCCATCTAATCCACCATCGCCATGGCCAACGGGATTCCCCCATGGGAAGCCCGCAGGCAAGCAGGACCTGAGCGCAACAGCAGTCCCCACTTGGGTGTCCCAGAGGCATTTACATCATCTGGCGCTGGAGGGAGAAGAGAGCCCTTGGGGCCGCTGAGAGCCTTCCTCACCTCCATGAGTTTGCCTGGGGATCTGCCCTCTGTGAGGGATGCCTAAAGGCCTTTGGAAGGGAAGTTGATCCCTTGGCTCCTTTGCTCCCAGCCATAGGGAGGCCTGCAAGGAGGGCGAGTGTCTGAGCAGCGCCTAATCCTCCTCCTCTCCACCTGCCCCTCCCTGGTGCTCACTGCCCTCCCCTTTCACCACTTCATTAAGCACTCTGGGATCCCCTAATGATCTTTCCAGAGGACCAGCAGCCCCTGGAAGGGAGAGGGCAGAAAAGCTGCTGAATCCAGCATCATTCTTGGCCAAGAGGCTTGCTGAGATCCAAGCTGGCAAGGTGAGCGAGCTTTCGTGGGGTGGGATGCCACACTGTGCTCGTCCTCAATGACATTCCCTCCTGCCAGATTAATGCCAGCTTGGGCACCCATATGTCCCCAGCTGCTTCTATTTAAAGACACTTGAGTTTGAAGTTTCAATCTGTATATACCTGCAGAGCCTCTCCACCTGCCTTGCGGAAAGCAGGACCAGAGCACCAGAGCCCTCTTCCCTTTGCCTCCTCGTTTTCTTGAAATCTTTCCATTCCAGCTGGCCACGACATAAATTCTGTAACTTTAAGGCACAGTGCCTGGTGCCTGCTTTTTCCCTCCTCCCTTCCAACAGCTTTTCCTTTCATGCTGTGACTTTTTAGATTGCAAGCCTGAGCGGAGGGACCATCTTATCACTGACATCTGCAAGGTTGCTCTGGTGGTTTCTATGAAGTAATGTGCATTTGTTGCCTGATTAACCAGGGGCGCCTTTTCAAAAGCGCATTATGGGGCTTTTGTTTTAGATTAAGCAACCAAACACCCCAGCCCTACAGTGTTCCCTCTGTATGCTACTATGCTAATAGCAACCTGCCCTTACGTGGCCAAGACAGGACCAGCCAAAGTGAAGAGGGAGGGGGGATGTCAGCCGGCTCAGACAGACCAAGGCTTGCAGGGGTACCAAAGCCAACAGAATTTCCCATAAGAGGCATCTGGTTGGCCACTGTCAGGACACAACGCTGGCCTAGATGGGCTCCCTTTGGCCTGATCCAGAAGCTAGACTCTTCTTTGGTTCTTAAGAAGTCAGCAGGTGAGGCTCTGTAGAGCCACCGCAAGGCTGGGATAGAAAGAGGAGCCCACAGCCTGCAAGGTGGGCAAACTGGAGGGGGACTCAGCCCCTCCTCTCCACCCCACAATTCCTCACAGTGCAAGGGGGCTCTTCCTCGTGGGCGCATGCCTGGCTGGGTGCCCCCTGGCAGGCACCCAGCCTTGTGTCATCGCACCTGGGTGCAAGAAGCACTCCGTTGCCGCTGGGCCGTTTCCTCACCCCCTCCCCGTCGTCTTCCCGTCTTTCTACCTGCACAGCTGTTTCCTTCCTGGAGGCTGGAGCAGACCCCCCCCGCCTCAGTGGGACGCGAGAGGCTTCTGTAGGTGCTTGGGAACAAGACGGAACAGAAATCGCTTCACACCTGGCTCCGAAATTACAGAACGCTGGCGCCCGGCCAACGCAAGCCTGGCAGAGCCCCAGCTCCAGCGGACATCAATTACGAGGGGCCGACAGAGCCTCTGCTTCCCGCAAATCTGGGGCGCCCCAGAAAGGGAACCTTCGGCAGCCGCCCGAGACTTCCAGGTGGGAGCCTTTTCCCTCGGATTCCGCACCCGAGATTTATGGCTCAGTTCAGTCTGCCCCCCCCCCCCAATCCCAGCTCTTCTTTCCCCTCCAAGTCAGAGACGCTCCTGCGGGTTTTCTCCAGGGCTCGCCTCTCCTTCATCTCAATGCAAGGCTGGCCTCAAATTTTAAAAATTTAATTTTCATAGAATCACAGAATTGTCGAGTTGGAAAGCATTTCAAGGGACATCCAGGACCACCGCCTGCAATGCAGGAATCTCAGCTAAAACATCCATGATTTTGATGGAAATGATAAATATTACAGAACAAACGATTGTTTGTCATCCAGAATTAATATTGCTGAACACTGTCAAAAGAATTGATCTCGGCAGCTGAAACAGTCATTGCAACTCAACAGAAAACAGCCCAAAATCTTATATTTGGTACCCTCTGGAACAAAGCTGGAATGGAGAAAATTAGGCACACTTTGAGTTTTTGAGAAAGGCTAGAACCTCTTAGATGCTTTGAATATGGTTTGAAATTCCATTGTTACATATACAAGGGAAGTATCACTTTCAGGACAACTCTTGGTCCAAGCCTGGCAAATCTAGACCATCAGACAAAACTGATATTCTTTACTTGGGACGGTGCAATTTTCACCCATGTGCAACTGTACTCATTCAAAGTGCCTGTTTCATAGTTTTGTTTTTCATTTTTTCATCTTTACCCGTTGTTGTATCTGTTCTCTGTCTTATATACATTATATAAATAAATTAAAGCTTTACAAAAAATATAAGGTTCCACTTGCCACAAGTCGCCCCTTGCTGAGTGCACAAGAAGTATTTGCCGGGGGTGTCATCCTGCCTCCCCCAAGCCAAAAGCAGGGGCAGCGCACTCAGAGGCTGTAGCATTCCCTGTAAGGGACACCTGCATCACAGAGGCAGAAAGGGCACCCCAGAGTTCATTTAGTCCAACCCGCTGCTGGAGAGAGGGACCATGTGGCTATATGCGAGGCGCTTTACAAGCCGCAGAAACAACAAAACGCACAACACAGGTTGTGTACCAGTCTGATCCAACTAAGTCATAATTAAAAAATGTAACATTAAAATAAACAACTTCCTATCAAATAAATGTAATATTCCATAATCCATTCAGGATATAATATTGCACAGGCCAAAAAATAAAAGCAGAGAGAGAGGAACTCTTGCTTCCACTCTGGATCTGAAGGAGGCAACCCCATCCCTGGGCGCATTGCTTGCGACTGCACAATGAAAGGGGCCTGGTGCATGAAAAGGAGACCCCCCCCTTGCCCCCCGTAGCAGATACAGCAGGAGAAACAGGCTGCTGCAAGGATATAGGGAGGGGGAGGGGGGGGAACTCTCCTCTCTGGCTGGTCCTGCAAATGAGAAAAACACAACCTGGTTTCTGCTGGGGGCCTTTGCTGGGACCTCGGGGTGGGGGGGAGGGGCTCCTGGCCTTGTTTAGTATGGGTATTTAAAAACCTCTCTTTCCTTTCTTCTTCCTTTTTTTTTGCTATTAACATGTGACATGCTTAGGGGACGGTTCGGGTTTCAAGACCCCCTGTGCTCCAGTGTGCAAAAGGCATTAGCCCTTCCCCTTCCCCTGCACCTTGCCAGCTGGACTCTCAGTAGCCAAAGCCAGAAGTCTGCAGCCCCGAATGGGGCAGCCGCCACTGGCCTAGCCTCCTGACCAAAGACTAGGATTCGAGGGGTAAAGCTCTTGGGGGCAGCATTTTTTTTTTAACGTACATAGAATCATAGAATCATAGAGTTGGAAGAGACCACAAGGGCCATCGAGTCCAACCCCCTGCCAAGCAGGAAACACCATCAGAGCACTCCTGACATATGGTTGTCAAGCCTCTGCTTAAAGACCTCCAAAGAAGGAGACTCCACCACACTCCTTGGCAGCAAATTCCACTGTCGAACAGCTCTTACTGTCAGGAAGTTCTTCCTAATGTTTAGGTGGAATCTTCTTTCTTGTAGTTTGGATCCATTGCTCCGTGTCCGCTTCTCTGGAGCAGCAGAAAACAACCTTTCTCCCTCCTCTATGTGACATGCTTTTATATATTTGAACATGGCTATCATATCACCCCTTAGCCTCCTCTTCTCCAGGCTAAACATGCCCAGCTCCCTTAGCCGTTCCTCATAAGGCATCGTTTCCAGGCCTTTGACCATTTTGGTTGCCCTCCTCTGGACACGTTCCAGTTTGTCAGAAGGCAGGGACATGTGATGAAGTTGAGAGCTGGAAGATTCAGGTCAGATGAAAGCAAGTCCTTCTTCATGAGCTATGGACCTCTCTTCCACAGGAGGCAGAGATGGCCACTCGCTTGGATGGCGTTATAAGAGGACTGGACAAATCCATGGAGGAGGATAAAACTATTGATGGTTATTCACTCTAATGGCTCTGCTCTGATTCCGCGGTCACAGGCGGTGATGCTTCTCAGTCTCAGGGTTTGCCTTTAGGGCATCTCATGAGTGAGAAGAGGGTGCTGGGCCAGATGGGCAATGGGCTTGATCCAGCAGGCTCTCCTTTTGTTCCTATCCAAGGTCCAAAGAGGAGAGCTCCCAACCCCAACTCAGGAGGTGTCATCTTCATAAGACATGGGTGCTAACAGAGGCCTTGATTTGAGGCCAAGTGTTGGTGGGCTGTGCAGGGTCTAGAGTTGCACCAAAAAAAAAGCAGAGACATCACCTTGCTGACAAAGGTCTGTATAGTTAAAGCTATGGTGACAGCAGCCATGAAATTAAGAGACGCCTGCTTCTTGGGAGGAAAGCAATGACAAACCTAGACAGCATCTTAAAAAGTAGAGACATCACCTTGCCAACAAAGGTCCGTATAGTAAAAGCTCTGGTTTTCCCAGTAGTGATGTATGGAAGTGAGAGCTGGACCATAAAGAAGGCTGATTGCCAAAGAATTGATGCTTTTGAATTCTGGTGTTGGAGGAGACTCTTGAGAGTCCCATGGACTGCAAGAAGATCAAACTTCTCCATTCTGAAGGAAATCAGCCCTGAGTGCTCACTGGAAGGACAGATCGTGAAGCTGAGGCTCCAATACTTTGGCCACCTCATGAGAAGAGAAGACTCCCTGGAAAAGACCCTGATGTTGGGAAAGATGGAGGGCCCAAGGAGAAGGGGACGACAGAGGACGAGATGGTTGGACAGTGTTCTCGAAGCTATGAACAGGAGTTTGACCAAACTGCGGGAGGCAGTGGAAGACAGGAGTGCCTGGCATGCTCTGGTCCACGGGGTCACAAAGAGTTGGACACGACTAAACGACTAAACAACAAGCAACAAAGGTGCTGGATACCACAAGAGGGGAGAGGGGCTGATCTCGCGCTCAAGTCCTGCTTGAGGGTTTCCTATTGGGGAATCTGGTTTGCCGATATGAGAACAAGACGCTGGATGAGATGGGTGCCCTTTGGCCTGATCCTGCAGGCCAGTCTTATGTTCTACAAAAGAGGAAAGGGAGAGGTGACATGAGAGCCAGCTTCAGATATGGAAGGGCTGTCACATGGAAGATGCAAGCAAGCTTGTATTCTGCTGCTCCGGAGGCGAGGATGAGTGACAAGGAAGGAGATTCTGACCGAACATCAGGAATAACTTTCTGATGTTAAGAGCCACTGAGCAGTGGAGAGGACTCCCTTGCAGGTCCTTCCTCGGAGGCCTTTAAATGGAGGTTGGGTGGCCACCTGCCAGCGATTCTTCAGCTGTGATTCCTGCTTTGCAGGGGGTGGGCAAGAGAACCTTTGGGGATCCCTTTCAACTCTACAATTCTATGAACCCCAGAGAGCTGCTGCTGGTGGGGCAAGGGAAGCTGCAGGAGGTCTGGCAGCCCCCCCCATCACCACCACTGGGTGCTTCTTTTCACTTCCCCGCCAACCTTCTTTATCGCCCGGTCTTTAGAGGAAGAGAGATAGATCTGGCCGGCTTCCTCCTCACGCAGGGCTCTGCAGTCGGGGCGGGGAGGGGGGAGAGGAGGAGGCTGCTCGGAGGAGCGTGATGCAAGCCATTTGGAGGAGCTGCAGAGAGCTGCCAACGCAAGCTGCGCTCTTTAAACAAGGGAGGAAATGACCGTATCTACGGCATGCCAGCGAGCGCACTCACAGACACACTCACACTCACACACACTCTCTCTCTTATACACACACACAGAGCAAAAGGAAGTCAAGAGGGTTTTTCATGACACAGAGCGGGATGTCAGCGGCTAAAAGGTCGATATTTTCCCTTAACACCCTTTTCTCAATGACTTAATCGTGTTCCGTTTGCACAAAAATGCTTCCCAAGAAGAAACGGCCTGGAGGGTTGCGGAGGGGGGAGACAGAGAGGAGGAGGAGGAGGGGCGCCGTGCCCCGGCCCTGACCTTGTCCGAGGATTTCTCCACGTAGCAGGGCTCCTGGGGGGCGACCAGCAGCGGGACGAAACCCGAGAGCAGGCGGTCCTCCTCCAGGCTGAGCAGGGCCAGGTCCTCGTCCGGGTCCTTGTAGAGCGGCACCTCCGACTGGTTCACGGCCGTCAGGATGTTGCAGAAGTCGGCCAGGGTGGCCCACACGTCCACCGAGACCCTGCAGGGTGGGGAGAAGGGGGGGGGGGAGCTGAGCAAGGCAGGAGAGACCCCCATCCCCAGGACACCGCAGACACTCTTGCTCAGGAGATGCAACTTCCCTGCAGGGCTGGGCACTCTGTTGCAGGCATGGCGTGGGCACCCCTTCCCCTAAAAGATGCCTGCCCCCCATGTCACATAGGCTGGAGAGGCCTCTTCCCCATTATCTCTTGCATTTCTACCCCACTGTCTTCTCCAATGAGCTGAAGGGGATACATGCCATTCTCCTCTGTCCCAGCAAGGTGGCTCAGGCTGAGAGGCAAGAGTGGCTGGCCTCCAAGGTCACCCTGTGTGCTTCATGGCCGAGCAGAGATTTGAACCCTGGTCTCTCCCAGGCCCCAGTGCTGGACTCTAACCACTACACCGCCACTGTCTCTCAACTATTGAGCTCAACATGGACTCTACGGAAGACAGCAGAGAGGAAAGGGGGAGGCCCAGGGACACAAGGGGCACACACACACGCACACCTTTAAGGCTAAAGGGGCCAAAACTAACAGGCTTTGTCCGGTTGGGGAAGGATCTCGCAGAGAGAGCAAAGGGAAAGCACAGCGCAAGGAAGGATAAGTTGCTCCGAGTCTGGTGGAGAGTGCCAGGCTCTTGAGCACCCACTGGGTGCCCACTCTCCTCACTTGCTATTGGAGCCACGCTGGCTCCTGGGGGAAGCATGACAACAGCTGTGGGCCAGCTGAGGGCCAAACTGGGCTGGCCGTGGCCCCTGAGTACCTGCTCTGCATGTAGAAGGCTCCCGCTTCAAACCCCAACTGCATCATCCCTGGGGAGGGCTGGGAAAGACACCTCCAGGGGGTGCTGCCAGTCCGTGTAGGCAAAACTGACCTGGATGGTAGCTTCCTATATCCAGCTTCAACTCCTGGAAGCATCCCCATTAAACTGTGGGTAGCAGTTGCCAGCAAGCAGCATTCGGAAGCACCAGTTTCCGACCGTGGAGGCAGAGCACAGCCACCTTGGCGAGGTGCCCTCCAAAGCCTCCTCCTCTTCCTCCATGTGCTTGTGCAATGCTCTTTTAAGGCCATCCAGGTTGGTGGCCATCACTGCCTCCTGTGGCAGGGAGTTCCACAGTTCAACTCTGAAGAAGGGCTTTCTTTCATCTGCCCTGACTCTCCCGACATTCAGCTTCAGGTATGTCGTGAGAGAGAGACACGAAAGGCGGGGTGGGGGTGCTTGCTGGCATCCTGACACCAGTTTCGCTTCTGGCCGCAGCTTCACCCTCAAAGGCACCCTGGGGAGGAGGGTGAGGGGTGTGTGCAGCATGTGGGTGGCTCTCACACCCCACAGAGCCGAGGGTGAGAACAGAGAGTGCCATTTGGGAGCTCTTTCAAGTGGTGCAAAGAGGTGCCTGGAAGAGCATGTCACCACGGCTGGGGAAACCTCAGAAGCCAGGCTGGGCAGGGGAAGAGGAAGCAGAAAAAATGATGCAAAGCAATCAAAAAGGGTGGAAATGGGCCAAGCAAGTTGTGCTCCCTTTGCAGCACTTTTCGCAGAATTGTGGCGTTGGAAGGGACCCCCGAGGATCATCCAGCACAACCCGCTGCAACACAGGAATCACCGCTGATGCAAGCTCTGTTTAAAAGCCCCTAGGGAATCACAGGGTCATGAAGGACCCCACGGGTCCTCTAGTCCAGCCCCCTGCAATGCAGGAATTGCAGCTAAAGAAACCCAGGCGACAGACAGCCATTTTTTATTCCAATTCTCAAAGCAATCTCGCCCGGTTGCACAACGCTGGCGATGTCACCTGCAGCTGCCATCTTGGGCTCCAGAGGGACCTGGCACAGGAGCTCACTTTGAGGGCTTGCTCCCCAGCGAGCCTGCATGAAGGATTGCAGCCCCAAGAGGGAGTTGTGGACGATATTGACCCCCTGCCCAACGACAAAACGTTAACTGGGTGCCTTGCAAAGAACTGTATTCTTGAGGGGCAGGAATGAAGTGATGAAAAACAGGAGGAGTCTCAGTGGTGCAGGACGTGGCAGTCCTTCCTAAGGTGTAGCTGTGGTTGGGGGTGGGAGAGCAGGGAGAGGAAAGGGGCACAGATGGCATGACCTTGGGGTCACTGCCTCTCTCAGCTCAACTCACCTTGCAGGGTTGTTGCCAGGATTAAAATGAGGAGGGGGAGAACCAGGGACGCTCCTCGGAGAAAAAGGTGGACCAGAAATGCCAAAAACGAATGAGTAAATAAATATTGTTGGAAGCAGCCGGCCAAGGACAATGAGGGTCAGTTTGCAGAAGCAGGGGGTCATGTTCTCATGCTCACTCCTTAAACCTCTTTTTTAAAAGTGTTCGCTTTCAAGAGGGATGTTTTTCGCCATGGGACCAGAGAAAAGGGTCACTCCAGCGGTGGCAGGGAAAGGGAACCCCTTCCTTGCCCTCTCTCTCTGTGCCCGCTCACCCTGGGACCAGGGAAGGTCTTCCATCCTCGGGGCCTACGACAAGCCCCTTACCCCAACACCTCTCCCCCCCCCCCCAGCAAGTGGCTCCAGGTGGACAATCTGCACTCATTTATTTGCTGGAATCAACATGCGGGGAGGGGGGAGGAGAAAGAAAAGCCTTGCATTGAAACGAAACATCTTGTTTTCAAGAGTGTCCTGGGAGCTGGGCGGAATGAGCTGCCATTAATCAAAGCCCAGCACACCATCAGCGCCTGCCTGCGCCCCCAGAGCCTTGGTCGGAGGGAGGGAGGCAGGGAGGAGGGGGCCCCCAGATCGAGGCTCCCCCTCCCCACTTTGCCCCGGCCAGGTCTGGCTGTCAGAAACATTTAAAAGGTGGAAAACGCACACAGAGAGAAACAGGAGTAAATATGTGGGGCTTTTGGGGGGGGGCGCGCGGGCGGACGATGTCCAAGGGTCCCCCATGATGTAATGGGAAAAGGCTTGGCTTGCACTACCAGCTTGAAAATAAACAGAGCCTGGAGGGTTAAAAGGAACTGAACTTTCCACGAACTGCCCCCCCTCCAGATCCGCACCAGAGGAAACGTATATGAGCAACGGTGCCACCCCCCCGCCCTGCGCTGCCCCACGGCCCTGAGCTTATCCTCGGGGCCTTGGCTGCAGAGACAAGGGCCGGATGCAAGAGGACAGCTCTGGGCCCCCTCCGACGTGCGATGCTGCTGCCCATGGGAGGAAGGATTTGGCCAGGCGTTAGGCGGCCTGATGCTCCCACCCCCGCTGGCAGCCCCCACCAGCAGTGTGAGTCCCCCACCATCACCCGCCTGGGGCAGGAGGCTGGGAGGCAGCAGCAGAGGGAGGCAGAGACCCCAGGCTATGAGCCACAATGGCTCTGCTTCCGAGGCTCTTGGGCTCAGATCCTGCTTTCAGATTCCCCCCTGAGACGTCTGGTTGGCCACTGGGAGGACAGGAGGCTGGGCCAGGTGATCCGGCAGGGCTCCTCCTATGCTGTCATTGCCTGTATGGACTGGCAGACGTGGCTTTCCAGGGGTCTCTGGCAGGGGCACCCCCAGCCCTTCCCGAAGCAGACTCCTTCGCCGTGCAATTCAGGCACTTTGTTCCTGAGCTGCACCTCCTTCCCTCAAAAGCAAGGTCCTAGGCCTGACGGTCCTGAATTCAGGGTGGATTTAACAAGAACAGCTTCTTGACCCCTGGCTGGACTGGACTGCCCCACCGAGCGCAGTACTTTGGCTGGCAGCAATGGCTCTCCAGGGGTTCAGAGAGGGGGGGATACTCCACTAGCCCTTCCCGGAGCTGCCCCGGGGGCTGAGCCTTGGGCCTTCTGCACACAAAGCGGGAGCTCTGTCCCCTGGGCACCTGCTCACTACCTGACCTTGAGAAGGGTGTGAGAGCAAGGAAGGCCCCCCAAGAGCAATGCTCTAGGCCACAGGGCAGTTCTCCTTGGGGGAGGATGGGTGCACTGCCTTGGTGCTGGGCACCCCCGAACAAGGCAGGGAGAATAGCTGCCTTCTCCCCAAAGCACGCCCTCCTGGACAGAGCAGCAAAGACCCCGTTTGCTGGGATTGCCAGGCTGCAGGAGGAAGGGCCCGGGTGGGGCGAGGACTGCCCACCTTTCTCTGCCGCCCTTCTCCCAGCAAAGCCAAGCAATGTCTTTTCCTTCCTTCGTCTTGCATTCCTGGGCTCCAAGGGCAGGGAGACTGCCCAGCCAGAGCAGGTCAGGGTGACCGGGAGGAGGAAATGGGGCACAGCCTGGAGACGAAGGAAGCGGGGCATGGATGGTCGGGGCGGGGGTAGGGGGAAGGACTCTCTTCCAAAACTAACCTGGGTTGGGGGCGAGGCCTGGGCTCCGGAGGCTTGCAGGAAGGGATCCCCGAGTGCCGTGGGGCTGCCTGGGGCCTCCTCGCACGCACCCCCCTTCCCACGCGCTGAACGCCAAACACAATGACCCCATGTTCCAGGCCTGCGGGGGCCCCATGGAGGTGGCCGTTTCCTGTGTAATACCAGCCTGTTTAAACACTCGTACTCACCAGCCCCACAGCTGCAGCTCAAACCCGGAAGGAGTGCGGTGGAAGGAGCCCAGCGCTGCGCTCCAGATGGCAAACCGCTCGGGCCTTTTGCTCTTGCTTGGGGGGGGGGGAGGCAGCTCAGCCCAGCCGCCTCTCCCAGCAATTACTTGCCAAGCCCTCATCCTGCTAAAAGCAGCCCCTACAGACACGTTCCCCCCTCCCAAAAGATGGCAAAGGTCAAAGAGCAGGAGGTGGCAACTGGGGGTCCTCCCTCCCCACAGCTCTCCTTGGGGCTTGTTCCTTGGGCCACAGGCAAGTCCAAGGCGGAAGGGAGAGAGAGCTCCGTGTCACTGGGCTCTTGGGAGGGGAAAAGGCTTCTGAGTGGGGCAGGGCTGTATGTGGGGCATGTGTTTCTTATCCCTTCCTTATATTATCCCTTCCACCTCTCCATCTCCCTGGCACATCTCCTCCTCAAATTACGTCCAAATAGTACCTGCATTGTTCTAACCTTTGATAATAAACAAAAATATCAACAAATACTACGGACCGGCAGCAAAAGATCCGTTTTAGCAAGCAGTCTTTGTCAAGCAGTTGTTTCATCCGACGGCTCACTCCCAAAGTAAGTCATCGCTTGATGCCAGTCATCACTTGATGCATTCCAGCACTGCAGTGCGCTGGACTAGATGAGCCTGGGGGTCTCTTCTAACCCTACAATTCTCTGGTAAGAACGCAAGAGGGGTCTGCTGGATCTGGCCAAAGGGGTCCTTCGAGTCCCACCTGCTCTCACAGTGGCCAAGCAAATGCCCCAACGCTCAAGCAGCATTCGAATGCAGGAGCTCCCCCGCCCGAGGGCCACTCTCCCTCTTGCCCCAAGGAGCTTTGGCCAGGGCAGGAGGCGTCCCTGAACACTGACCATCCCTCTGGGTTACCTGGGTGAGGAGGGTGCATCCCTGTCAAGTATCCTTTCGCTGTGATTCCTGCACTGCAGGGGGTTGGATTGGATGACCCTCGGGTGCCCCTTCTGACTCTACCATTCTATGGGCCTCTGAACAACCCCCTGGCTGAAATGCCAATGTATTAAAAAGCCACATCCATTGCTCTGGCCACGCCTGCCACGGGGACCGTATGTGGGATGTGACATGGCCCTCCGGTCTTCCCTCTACCCCCCACCCCAAGAAAAAGCCACTGCCGCCCTCGGGCACAAAGGAGGCGTCCTTTCCTCTTTTTCCCTAAAGGGGTAAAAACAGTTCCCGGCTCTGGGCTAAGCGAAACACCGGCTTCCTTCCTAGGCCCTAGGAAATGCCTGCTTCCCCCCAGCGCGTTCTCCCCCCACCTGGCCCGAGCGCCAATGCCACATCCTCCGTCCCTGCAAGAGGGGAAGAGGAGAACGCCGTCCCGGTTTCCACTCGGAGGACTCTGGCGTAAAAGCTCCAAGCGGGTGATAAATGCATCCGAGGGCCAATTAGGAAGATATATGGCGGCAGAGGCAGCGGCAGGAGCGCAGGGGAATGGGCCTGGGCAGCCTGGCGAGGAAGAGGAGGGGGCAGGCGGAGGGGGGAGGCGCGGAGGGCTCTCCAGAGTCCCAGCTATGTTTCCCATTATGTAACCCTGGTCATGGGCAGGCCGCCAGGCGCTCCAAATGAAAAAGAGACTCTGGCTTGGCACCCGTTCTATTTTCCTATCCTCATTCAGGGTCAGCGGAGTGTCATACAGCTGCGGAGAAAGCTCCGGGGATTAAGCCTGGGAAGGGCTCCAAAGCCCGGGACCCGGGTTCAAGTACCAGCTGAAAGCAATAAACCAACTGCCGCAGCTGGGCTGAGTTTAGCCGGCCTCGGAGCCTGCGCTTGCTCCCTGGGAAACAGGCAGCCTGCCTGCCGGGGGGGCAGAAAAGAGGGGTACCGGGGTGGAAACGACAGAGGTTGCCACGGCTTGGGCCTGGGGGGCAGCGGGGACCTGATCCTCCTTTAGGGCCCTGTTCCTGCGCATCAGCAAAGGGGTGTGTATGTTCAGACTCCCCCCGGCCAGCAAAGACAAGTTGTTTGCGTCCAAATTGTTTGGGAGCCTGGATGTTTCGGGGTATGTGCGTGCGTAAGGTGTCATAAGTCACGCCCTGGCAGATTTTGGCAGGGGGAGTGCCAATCCTGTGCTCAACTGGAGCTTCCTTTACCAGAAAGGCCCCCCAAACGAGTCCTGGGACGTGAAGCCCAGCCCTGTCCACCCCCATGAGGCTGACGCACGGTCAGTGGTCCTGCCACTCGCCTAAGTCCATTAGCTTCACCACCTGGATGGGGCTCCCCCCACCTGTGCTCCTGAGCAAAGTGAGGAGGACAGCCTGTCAGTGTCCTGGGGGGCCTCCCTGAGAGGAGACGGGACGAGGGGCCCTCCACCACCCATTGGCCATGTGTGGAGAAGCGGGGGCCAGAAGGGAGGAGGTGGCCTCAAGCAGCAGCCCTGGTGCCTGGAAGTGGCTGGGGAAACCCAGCCAGATGGGCGGGGTATAAATAATAAATAATTAATAATTATTATTATGATAACATACTGCCCCAACCAATGCTGTTCCCTGCATTGCAAAGGATTGGGCTAGATGACCGTTGGGATCCCTTTCGACTATACAATTATATGATTAGGAACAAAGGGAGCTGCCTTATATGGAGCCGCACCATTGGTCTACTCAGTACTGTCTACACTGACTGGCAGCAGCTCTGTAGGGTGTCAAGCAAAGAGGCAGAGGGGTGTCCTTAGCCCTACTTGCGGATTCCAGCAAGGACTGAACCAGGGACCTTCTGCTTGCAAGGGAAGCTCCACCACTGAGCTATGGCCCTTTTTAGTGACCAGGGATCCTACTGTGTTAAAGGGAGAGCAGCGAGGCTGGAAGAGGAAGAGGAAGAGGAGGAGTGGAACCCCACTGGGAAAGGAGTCGGGACTGGCAGGAGGTGGGCTCCTGTGAGTGCCCTCTCTGGGGGTCTGAGCTGCTGTCCAAAGATGGGCAACGGTTCACACAGACAGGCAAGCGCCCCCCCTCCATCCGCCAGCCTACCAGCCAGCCGGCCCGAAGCAGCCAGCAAACAGAAAACAGACTCTTTTTCCCGCTCCCCCAAAATGGGGCCCGGCACTTCCTGTGTGAGATTTCCATTTCCTCGGCCAAAATGAAGCAAAAAAAAGAGAGAGAGAGTAGTAGCCATAAATGAGGGAAGAGGCTGGAGATGGACGGACATCCTGCCTCCTCCTGCCCCTGTGCGACAGGAGTGCTGGGGAGCCATCTTTGAGCTGCAGCCTCTTTGCAGGATGAAGCCCCCCTCCGCTCCCGGGAGCCTCGTCTTCCCCATCATCACCCTCAGCCCTGGCTCTGACAGATGAATAGGACTGGAGAGGAGGGGGAAGAGGCCGAGGGGATCCGGATCTGGGCGCAAAGGCCTGCAGGGAAGGGCGGAAGGGCAAGAGCATGCTGGGAGAAAGGCCTCTGGGCCCACCAAGAGCCTGGCTCCCCAAAGATTGGGCAAGAGCGGCTCAGAAAGATGCAAGCAAAATGTGCATGGAGCTGCCCAGGGGGTCGCCGCTCAGGGAAATGGGTGCCAAGGGGTGGGGCTGGGGGGATCAAAACAGCACACGCCCCCGGGTCCTGCTTGCGTCCGGCTTCTTTCCATTGGGGCATCTGATTAGTGGCTGTAAGGACAGGATATACTGGGCTACATGGGCCCCCTTGGGGTCTGGTCCAGCTACAGGGCTCTTATGGAACCTCCAGCTCCAGAGGCAGTCTATCTAGACTCCCAGATTCCTAGGGGTGTTTGGCCACTGTGAGCACAGGATGCTGGACTAGATGGGCCCCCTTTGGCCTGATCCGGCAGCCAGGCTGTTCTGATAAAGGATTAATTCATAACTGAGTTAGTGGGCACCCATGTGCCCTCTGGATGATGCCAGGATCTGCCAGCCTCCATCTGCTCCAGGCACTGTGGCCGATGGAAAGGCGGTGGGAGTTGTAGCCCAGAACTTCCAGGGTGACATCGTGCTGGGTGACATGCCAAAGTAAGACTGAGGAGATCTGGGTTCAAATCCCCACCTACTGTTAAGCTCATTGGGTAGTCTTGGGCCACCCACTGACTCTCAGCTCAACCTGCCTTGCAGAGTTGCTGGGGGGGACGGGACAGAATTGGGGGGAGCATAAGCCCCACCCAGGGCTCCTTGGAGGAGTGGCAGCAAGCAAAGGTCATAGGTGAAATAAACGGAGGCTGAAGAAGGTGCTTAGTGACTTACAGCCACCCACATACATGGAAGAGGGCAGAGGGAAAGTCCCTGCCTGGGTGAGGAGAGGAGAGAGGAGAAAGGGGCGCATGGCCCCCCAAGGGTGCTGACGTACGATCTGGGCAGCTCCAGGGTGCTGGGCGGGGGGTTCCAGGTGTCCGAGTGGCCCAGCATCCAATCCGACCAGACCTTGATGCTGGGCAGCAGTTCCTTCAGGTCCTGCGGCAAGGAGGAGACTTTGATGTCATCGTCCTCAGAGCCTTCCTGGCCCTGAGCAGCTGCTGAGAGAGAAAGAAACGCAGAGTGGGCCGGGCAGCTCCTCTCAAGAACGCCCCTCGCCTGCTCCTCTGCCACCCCCCCCTCTCTTGGCCCTCTGAAAATCCTCTGGGAAGGAGCGAGATCTGAACCAGGGACAGAATCTTTGCTGGAAGATTCAGGGCAGGTAAAAGAGAGGGCTTCCTCTCGCAGAGCACAGCAAAACTATGGAACTCCCTCCTGGACACCAACCTAGATCGATCGGCTTAAAGAGAACTAGACAAATTCAGGACAAGGCTATCGGTGACTACTAGGCAGGATGGCTCTGCTTCCGCAGTCCAAGGAAGTACATGCCTCTGAATATCAGTTGCTAGGAAGGTTTGACCGTGGAACGGACTCTCTTGAGAGGTTGTGGTCTCTCCTTCCTTGGAGGTTTTTAAGCAGAGGTTGGATGGCCATCTGTCTTTGGGTGCTTTAGTTGAGATTCCTGCATTGCAGGGGGTTGGACTAGATGACCCCTGGGGTGCCTTCCAACTCCACACAATTATGTGACTCACGTAGGAGAATTGCGGCTGCTGGTGGCCACTGCAAGGACAGAATCCTTGGGGCTGATCCAGCGCCAGGCTCTCTTCTGGTGGTCTCTGCCCTTCGGAGCTTCAGCCTGGCCTTGCTCCTTCCTCTCTCAACTTGCAGAAACCATCCCAAGGACAGTCTAAGGACGCTCTGGGTTTCCTTGATGCAGCTGTGACTGAAAGGGGAGGGGGAACGGCAGAAGGGCCCCACAAAGGACAGGGACAAAGGAACTGGGCTATCCAACAGGTGGGCAGAGGAGCAGTGGGCAGAGGGCACCTGCTTTGTATGGAGATGGTCCCAGGTTCAGTCCCCAACTGCCCCTCCAGGCAGGGCTGGGAGAGATCCCTGCCCCAAAGCCCCGGAGAGCTGCTGCCCATTAGAGAAGACAATATGGAGTCGGCTGGAGAAAGCCCCCTGGTGTAAGGGAGCTTCCCACGAGCATAGCCAGAAAACAGTTCCTAAATAGAGGCTGAGTGTCAACTCCAAATCCGGGCGCTAAGAGCTGCGAAATTCCACAGACAGCGTAAAATCAGGCACACGTGCTGCGTCTTTTCTTAGTTTCGCCCAGTGGATTCTGCCTCAGCTGGTCGCAGGGAGAGGCAGAGCGCTGAAGCCTCTGCCCCGCCAATGAACAGCAATTCTCCTCCTCTCCACCATCTGCCTTCTGCCAGTCCATTAGGCTTCTTCACAGCCATATGGGCTGGGAACTTTTATATTTAAAAAAATGAAAATTTAAGGCTTCCCGATGCCAAAATGGGGGAAAGAGGGTCCCTGAACACCAGGAGGAGGAAGAGGAGGATCGGGCAGGTCTCAATCTAGGAAGACGGCAAGCTGCCTTGGGTCCCTCTGATGCAGCACTGTCTACTCTGACTGGCAGCAATGGCTCTCCAGGGCTTCAGAGAGGGAGTCTCTCCCCACCCTACCTGGAGATGCCTCTGGGGACGGAGGCTGAGACTGTCTCCACCACAGACCTATGGTCCTTTTCTCTGAAAAGAAGAAGATTCAAGCCTCATGTTTCTAAATACAGGGACAGCTTAAATGGGAGCAGAGGAAGGTGCCTTCTACCGAGTCACACTGTTGATCCACCTGGCCTAGTACTTCCTGCACTGACTGGCAGGGGCTCTCCTGGGTTCTGGCAGGGAATCTTTCCCAGCTCGATGCTCTCCCAGGAGTGAACCTGGGGTCTTCTGCCCTCCCCCTGAGCTCTCCTGACCCTCCAAGGCAGATGCTGGGGAAGCCCTGTTCCATCAGCAAGAGTCCTTGCACTGGCTTCTGCTAGTGCCCTGGGTTCCCTGAATCCCGTGGGTCTCCTCAGAGGCGTGTTGAGGGAGGGAAACTAGGAAAAAGCAGCCCTTCTTGGCAAGGGAAATATATGCCTGCTTCTGCTCACCTGGGGAGACGTCCCGCAGCAGAGCAGTGCAGCGCTTGACCAGCATGGCGAACATGGAGAGCCCCAGGGCCGTGGCCTGCTCCTGGATCACCGAGCGACAGTCTTCAGAGAGGCACTCTGCAGGGAAGAGGGGAAAACGAAAGGAAACATGGTCAGCGCCCTCCCGTGAAACCTCGGACAAAACCCCCACCAAAGTAGCAGTGACAGAAGTGCTTGTCCAGGGGGCAGTCTGGAAACCAAGCCTTAGGAGGAACGGTTGAGGGAGCAGGGGATGTTGAGCATGGAGAAGAGGAGCGAGAGGAGAGATGAGTCACCTTCAGATATATCAAGGGCTGTCAAATGCGGGAGGGAGCAAGGGGAGAGGACACAAACCAATGGATCCAAATGACAAGGAAGGATATTCTGACCCAACATTAGGAAGAGCTGTTCAACAGTGGAACAGACCATCTCAGAAGGCGGCAAACTCTCTTTCCTTGGAGGTTTTTAAGCAGAGGTTGGATGGCCATCTGTCAGGGATGCTTTAGTTGAGATTCTTGCGTTGCCAGGGGTTGGGCGAGATGACCCCTGGGTTCCCTTCCAACTCTACCATTCTGTGTTCCTATGAACCTCACGCCTGACTGATCCACCAAGGGAGCCCTGGAGAGTTTGCGCCAGACCACCACCATTGCCACCAAGCACGCTCTGGTTGCAGGGAAGCAGAGCAATGATGTGGGCTAGGCGCGGGGGTGGCATTGCCTGACCTGGACAGGAGGGCTCATCTGAGGCTCTCAAACATAATCAGGCCAAAGGGGGCAAATTTAGTCCAGCATCCTGCTCTCACAGGCTCCAAAGATGCCTGAACGCAAAACCCGCAAGCTGGACCTGAGCCCAAGAGCCCTCTCCCCTCCTGCGGTTTCCAGCAACTAGCATCCAGAAGCACGGCTGTCTCTGAGCGTGAAGGCCAAGCCGAGCCTTGTGGTTAATAGCTATCAATTTGTCCTCTTTTAAAGGACAACTGGTGACCACTGCTGCCCCCTCTCCTCCATGTACCTCTGCAAATCTGACAGAGGCCAGTCTGGGCTGCCATGGAGAGCCTGGTGAAAAGGCAGAGAGTCTTAATAGACTGACCCATCCCGCTTTGCCACCCAGGCCCTGGTGCGCCAGCGGGGAAGGACGGCCACTCAGCCCGGCCCCTTCCCCTCGTGCCAAGAGGAGCTCTGGCGAGTGTCAGAGGGATAATTAGCGGCGCAGCCTGGCTCCATCCCAAGTCACAGCTGCCAAGGCGGGAGGGGCAGCTCCTCCACCGCTGGACTTGACCAACACAGATGCCAGGCAGCTTAGGCACTTCTGGAGGGAGGAGGGCAGGGAATCACCCCGCTCCGTCCCCCAGAAGCTGACAGAGGTGATGGGGGGAGGATGCCATGACTCTGAAGCCGAGAGTGGAGGGCAAGAGAGGCAGCCCAGCAGTATCTTCAGAGGTGTCCAAATGCACAGTGGAGAGATAGGCACAGCAGGCAGCATGATCTGTCCTGTTTACGATACGATATCTTTATTGTCATTGTCCCATACAGAACAATGAAATTGAAAAATCTCCATAAGACATTCAAAAACCCATAAAAACTCTGAAACCCCATTTTTAAATACAATATACTATACAGACTCTTTATACTGCATTTAGAACCAGAATTGCATTTGGGTAGAAACTGTTTCTCAGGCAGCTAGTCCTGGTCTTTATAACCCTATACCTTCTTCCAGAAAGCAGAAGCTGAAGGAGATCATTTCAGGGGTGCGTACTATCCTGCGCTATCTCTGCAGCTTTCTTATGGCACATGACAGTTTGCCACTGAGAGCCAGGCAGGGCACAGCTACGCAGGGTCTTAACGGCTGGAAACCCAGCAGAGTCTTCTAAGACCCACCAGGCCGACCCGCTTTCCAGTCTCGCTTCGCAGCAACAGGGTCTAGGCACTTGCTGCTTTCTCTCTCGCACTCGCTCTGAGGAAACCGAACTTGGGTGTTCAGATTCCACTGACCCTGCAGTTTTGTGCGGGAATCGCATGACCCCCGCAGAGCGATGCAGGGGGGCGGCCTTTGCTCTGAAGCTGCTGCTCAGCCCAGAAATCTCTTCTCCTTTGCTAAGCAATTCTAAAGGTGGTGCTTGAATTTCTCACGCCTACGAACTGAAGGAGCGGCCAGGGAAGCCAAGCTTGGTGGGTGGCTGCCATTTACCGCATTTTTCGTCCTATAGGGTGCACCGGCCCATAGAACGCACCTCGTTTTTTGGGGGGGAAATGAATAAAAAAAAATTATTTCCACCCCCCCCAGCCGCGGCTGCAGCCCCAAGCCTTGCGCACACCTGCCCGAAGCACGGGGCGCCCTCCGGAGGGCTCCCCGTGCTTCGGGCTGCAGGCTGCCGCCCCAAGCCTCGCGCGCCCGGCGGGAGGTCCCGCCGGGCGCGCAAGGCTTGTGGACACCCGCCCGAAGCACGGGGAGCCCTCCGGAGGGCACCCCGTGCTTCGGGCTGCAGGCTGCCGCCCCAAGCCTTGTGAGCCCGCAGGACCTACCACCGGGCTTGCAAGGCTTGCGAATAGCTTCATGAAGCCTGGAGAGCTAGAGGCATCGGTGTGCACCGACCCCTCTCACTCTCCAGGTTTCAGCGAAAGCCTGCATTCGCCCCATAGGACGCACACACATTTCCCCTTCATTTTTGGAGGGGAAAAAGTGCGCCCTATGGGGCGAAAAATACGGTATTTGCCTTAGGCACTAAAGCTCACCAATAATATCCCAATAAAGTGAGGTGGGGGAACCTGGTGCCCCTCCAGACGTTGCTTGCTCCCAACAGGCGGATATGATGGGAGTTGTAGTCCGGCAACAACCTCTTGTCCAGTGTTCTAAAGCGAGGCTCATTTGTAGCACAACTCTGAATATGTATTTATTTAAAAAGTAAAGGACCCCTGACAGTTAAGTCCAGTCGCGAACGACTCTGGGGTTGTGGCGCTCATCTCTCCTTACTGGCCAAGGGAGCCGACATTTTGTCCACAGTTTTTCCGGGTCATGTGGCCAGCATGACTAAGCCGCTTCTAGCGAAACCAGAGCAGCACATGGAAACGCCGCTTACCGTCCCACCAGAGCGGTACCTATTTATCTACTTGCACTTTGATGTGCTTTTGAACTGCTTGGTTGGCAGGAGTTGGGACCGAAGAATGGGAGATCACTCCGTTGTGGGGATTCGAACCACCGACCTTCCGATCAGGAAGCCCTAGGCTCAGTGGTTTAGACCACAGCGCCACCTGCGTCCCCTATTTATTTATTACTTTACATTTATATCCCACTTTCCCTCCACAGAGTTCAAGGTGGCTTCCATGGGCCCCACATTTAATGGCCCCCCCATTTAACAACCCTGCAAGGCAGGTTAGGCTGAGGGGCAGGGATGGGAGCAAGGTCTCCCCGTGGGCTTCATGGCCAAGTGAGGCTTGGACCCCTGGTCTCCCCCAGGTCCTAGTCTGATGCTCTAACTACTGCACAACATTACACTGCCCCTCGCCTAGCACCGCAGGTCCCACTTGCCAGGCCTAGGGGGTTGCAGGGTCCCAAAGCAGCCTGAGATCAGGTGGGCAGAGGGACAGCTGTGAGGACATTCTTCTAGCACCCACAGAGCTGGTCTCTCTGGGGTGCCAAGATGGAAAGAGGAGACAACCAGGTGACCCAAGAAGAGAGCCCAAGAAGGGGCGACAGATCAAAGGATAGTCCTTCATGTAGAATGGAGTTAAATGGTGGAACTCGCTCTACCAGGAGGTAGTGACAGCCACCCACTTGGATGATGATGACAACAGTAATAGTAATAGTAATTGTAAATAATAATAATACATCGCCCATCTGACTGGGTTTCCCCAGCCACTCTGTGCAGCTTCCAGCAGATATAAGAACACAACGAAACATCAAACATTAAAAACCTTCCCTTTCCAGGGCTTCCTTCAGATGTATTCCAAAGATTGTATCGTTACTTATCTCCTTGACACCTGATGGGAGGGCGTTCCACAGGGTGGGTGCCACTACCGAGAAGGCACTCTGTCTGATTCCCTGTAGCTTCACTCCTCGCAGGTGACTTCTGAAAGAGGATTAAACAAATTCGGGGAGGAGAGGGCCATGGATGGCTACTAGCCATGCTAGCTGCACTCTGGCTCCACGGTCAGAGGCAGCCAGGCTTCTGAAGCCACAGGAGTGAGGAGTGTTGCTCTTGGGCTCAAATCCTGCTTGCAGGTTTCCCATAGGCATCTGTTCAGCCGCTGGGAGAAGAGGAGGCTGGACTAGACGGGCCCCCCTTTGGCCTGATCCAGCACTCTCCTCATGTTCTCAAGTGGCAGAGGGGGCCTTGTGGGCGCTCCTCTCCCAGGTTCGCCCCGACCAGTCTGCTCTCCAGAGCACAGGGGATGCTCTGGCACTCACACGCACGCCCTGGTGTCCGTCTACCTGGGAGCTGCCTCCCGCTTGGCCGGGAAGGCCGCTTTCGTTTCCCAGAGAACAAAATATTCGTGGAAAACATAAACCAACTGTCGTCAAAGTTGTCGAGGCTCAGGAAGCGGAGAGGGGCTGCCATGTGGCCGGATGTTATGCCTTTCCAATTAGCGCTATACATCTTTCAGCGGCGGGAGAGTGTCCCCTTTTTCTGTGCTGGGAAACCGAGAGCGCGGCCCTTGTTATTGTAACTGTCAAGGAGTGCTTAAAACAGATAATCTCCAGGAAAAGTGATAAACACCCAGCGCTCCCCGCCAGGGTGTGCTGGACACCATCGGCCAGGCCTGAAGGGCAGCGAGAGAGGAAGGAGGTGGCCATGGAGGAGGGAGCCAGAGGAAGAGCCTGGGAAGAAGAAGCAGGAGAAAGCAGAAAGTGCCAGCTTCCTCCTCAATGCCCGGAGGGGAGCAGCAAAGCAAGAAGAGGGAGCTACGTGAAGGCCACTGCCAGGTCAGGGGAGCCAGTGGAAGGAGGAAGAGCAGCAGCAGGGCTAATGCCCAGGCAGAAGGGGCCAAATGGCCCCAAATGGAGACAACTGCGCAGTTAACCTATGGAACTTGCTCCCACGGGAGGCAGGGAGGGCCACCAAGAGAAATGGCTTTAAAACAGGGTTGGACAAATCCACGGAGGAGAAAAAGGCTACGGAGGACTACGAGGCACAATGGCTCTGTCCTGCCTCCACGGTCAGAGGCAGTAATGCTTCTGAATCCCAGTTGCTGGAAACCACAAGAGGAGAGAGAGCTCTTGTACTCTGGTCCTGCTTATGGGGTTGCCTCTGGGGCATCTCATTGGCCACCGTGAGAAGAGGATGCTGGACCAGATGAGCCACAGGCCTCATCCAGCAGGCTCTCCTTCGGTTCTTATCCACAGTCCAAAGAGGAGAGTTCCCAACGCAGGAGGCATCATCATCATCTACCTGACAAAACACACAGGACGTGGGTGTTAAGAGAGACCTTGATTTCGGGCCAAGGGAGGCCAGTGTTGGTGGGCTGTGAAAGGGTCCAAAATTGCACCAGACCATTTGCCAAGGCAGAAAAACCTTAACCCAGCAACAAAGAGGGGAGAGAGCTCTTGTGCTCGGATTCTGCTTTTGGGCTTCCCGGAAGAAGCATCCGCTTGGCCCCCTTAAAAAGAGGATGGTGGCCAGATCCAGAGTCTTGCACAGCCCAGGCTGAATGAGACACACCTTTCCAGATGTTATGCCAGAGAGCTTGGCCTTTGAGAGCAGAAGGCAGCAGAACTCTGCTCCCAAAAGCCAAAAGTGGATGTGTCCGGATGGCCAGCCAGGCTGGGGGAGCCACCCCAGGAGGCAACCTCTTGATGTCTCATCGACTGACTCTGCAGCCGCCGCCACCACCAGACCCCTCTCCACCAGCTGGCTGGCAGGAAGGCTGTGGGGCTGGCTCCCCCCATCTCCCTCCCAGCTGACACCACCTGGAGGCGATCATCATTTGCCTCTTCCCTTATCACTGCTGCTCAGACACTCGCTGAGTTGTTGCCTTCTGAGTCACCCTCAGCCAGACAGTCCTGGCACCGCACCCTCCACCTCCCCCCTTCCCAGCCCCATGGCTGGCCTTCTTGCAGGAAGTGGGCAGCCAGAGAGGAGGCAAGCACCCAGGAGGGCCTGTGGATGCTTCTAAGCCCCCACTGGGATGCAGAGGGATGGGGCGGGGGGGGAGGGGAGGCTGGTATGTCAACCAGACAGGAATGCAAATCTCTGGGGTGGGATGTTGGGGGGGGGGGAGGAGGAAGAGTCCCAGCTGGGGGGCATTCCTCCAAAGCCCTAGCTTAATGTGTGCCTGACACATGGCTCCCTCCCACCTCCTCCCAAATGACAGTCTCCTGCCAGACTCAAGCAGCATGCACACACGTTGGCTGGAGCCAGGAATACCCATTGAATGCAAAAGCCTTGTAGCCCTACTGTCCAAAGAGGGGAGGGAAAGAGGAGTGGAAAGGGAAATAGCGCCTGCATGGGGTGTGTGTGTGCGCAAAAGCCTTCAACAAAGATTCCCAGTCCCACTAAGTTCACCTGGCTAAGTTACTCTTAGAAGGAGGAGGGAAGAGAGAGAGAAAGGCAGGATCCTTGGAAGTTCAGCTGAGCCCCTTCTCAATCTATTAAGACTTGAATAGGTCTTCCAACTGGTGGGCCAGGGCCTGATCCGAGGTGGGCCACAACAGGAGCACCACCACCCAGCAAATATATGGGATAAGACCAATAAATGGTATAATTTGGATAGAAAAATTGGCTTCCAGGTGGAAAAATCAAAGTTGGAAACAGAACTGTTAGATTCCAAAACTAAAACACTTTCAAGAATGTATAACTTGCTGCTAAAATGGAATACTCAGGATGAAATGGTAAAATCTGCTATGATTAAATGGGCACAGGATGTTGGACATAACATTATGTTTGCTGACTGGGAACGGTTATGGACCACAGGTATGAAGTTTACGGCATGTAATGCCTTAAGAGAGAATATTATGAAAATGATATACAGGTGGTACATGACCCCAGTCAAGCTTGCAAAAATCTATCATTTGCCCGATAATAAATGTTGGAAATGTAAAGAAACTGAAGGTACATTCTTTCACCTTTGGTGGACGTGCCCAAAGATTAAGGCTTTCTGGGAAAGGATAAATAATGAGTTGAAAAAGGTATTTAAGTATACCTTCTTAAAGAAACCAGAGGCCTTTCTCCTGGGCATTGTTGGCCAATTGGTGCCAAAGAAGGATAGAACTTTCTTTATGTATGCAACAGCAGCAGCAAGGATACTTATCGCAAAGTATTGGAAGACACAAGACTTACCCACTCTGGAAGAATGGCAGATGAAGGTAATCGATTATATGGAATTGGCGGAAATGACTGGCAGAATCCGAGACCAGGGAGAAGAGTCGGTGGAAGAAGATTGGAAGAAATTTAAAGACTATCTACAGAAATACTATAAAATTAATGAATGTTAAATTGAGGTCTGATTGAAAATAACTGGTATTGGCAAAAGCCTCGCGTTTAAGAGTATGGAATATTTGATTGATAAGGTTGTAAAAATACCTATATATAAATAGATTAAGCTCCTTGAGTTAAGATAAAGGAAGGAGGGCAAGGATTTGCTGAAAGGAGTTTCTAAAAGGTAATACAAGTGGGGAGGTGTGGGGAAGTCAAAGAACCAAGGAAAGATTAGAAGGTTAAATGAAATTATAAATTTTTAAATTTTTCTGTTTTATTGTTATTTTTTGTTCTCCTTTTGTTACTGTTATTGTTGTTTTTTGTCTTTGAAAATCTGTATTTTTGTATGTTTTGGAATTTTTGTAAAACCAATAAATATTATATTAAAAAAAAAAAAAAAAAGACCAATAAATGGGTCCCGAAAGTCCTGGGTCTGAAAAGGTTGAAGGTACCTGATCTATCAAGAGCAGAGGGGGTCTACTTAAGAGCCTTCCTCGCCAGCCTGGATCACTGGCCTTAGAATAGAATGATGATATTATTATTATTATTATTATTATTATTATTATTACGTTGCACATCTGACTGGGTTTTCCCAGCCACTCTGGGAAGCTCAGAAACAAAATATTAAAAACACAGAATGGATCCTGATGGATCCACAGAATCTCCCCTCCTGTAACTTTCTAGTCCTTTGGGGCATCAGAGTACAAAAGCTGTTCTCTGTCTGGGCATCAGGAGATTGGGAAAAGGTCCACAGTTTTCTGCGCTGGATTTGAACAAACACCCCCCCCATGTCCTAGGACAGCGTGCTTTCACGGACCGGGGGGGGGGCAGGTGTGGCCTTTGAGAGCCTCCTTTGCAAATCACTCTTTCTTGGAGGGAGGGGGGAGAGAAGGACAAGGTGAGGCCTGGTGGAAAGTGTGGAGCAAGGGGTGGGGGAGAGAGAACAGAGGGGCTCTCCCCATGGAAGCCATTAGATACTCAACACTTCATTTGTTTCTGGCCCCCCAGCCCCCAAGCTGGGGAGCACAGCTCTCTCTTTCGGCTCCAGGACGGGAGGCTCTCCTCTGACGTAACCAGGAAGCAGCTGCAGAATTAAGGAATCCCTCCTGACATCATAAAAAGGGTCGGTGGTTTACAGGGGAAAGTATAAAAATTAATGGCATATTCCCAGACGGGGCCTTGGGCCTGCGCGGGACTCGCACAGGAAGCCCGGCTGCGAGAGGGGCTTGCCCTGGCCAGGGTCCTGAACCCCACGTCCAACCCCTGGAGCTCCACACGCTCGTCCCCTTCGGCCTGGAGAGCCAATAGGAACAGGCGGCAGGAGGGAGAGGTGACTCTGAGGACGGCCTCTGGGTTTGGATCCACGGAAGACCAGACCCGTTTCCCCTCTGCGAGGTGACTGAGCAGCGCTACATCCTTGCACACACACACACACACCAGGGTCTTCAGCCTCGAGCTTGCGTCCCCCCTGAAAGCGGAAAAGGGCGCTGTAGCGGCTAAAATTAACTCGGCCCTTTTCCCGGAAGCTATCCGTGGAAAGCGGTTCTCCCATTTTTAGAACGTGTTATTCTCAGAAGTTTCCTGAAAAGGCCCCTAATGACCAACAGGCGGAGAAGCCATTTCCACAGGCCCGCCATGGGGCAGAGCGGGTGCCGCCTATGGGGTGAGCAGGGAGGGCACGATGGCCTTGCAGTCCCCCACCCTTGCCTCTCTGGAGAGCCTCCCCAACCGGGGGACCCTGCACGGACAGAAACACCCAGGCACCAGGAGCTCTCGGTGGCAACCCTCCAAGGCCCAGGGCATAGCAGCGTAATAAGCGCCTGCCGGGTCAGGCCGATAGTCCACCTGGTGCAGCATCCTATTCTCACAGTGGTCAACCAGATACTTCAGTGGGAAGCTTGCAAGCAGGACTTGAGCACTACAGCAATTCTCCAGTTGTTGTTCTCCACCATCTGGTATTCAGAGGTAGACTGTCCCTGGGCGTGGAGGTTCTGCTATCACAACACTTGGCCATAACCAGGCCAAAGAGGGCCCATCGAGTCTAGCATCCTGTTCTCGCAGTGGCCAACCAGGTGCCCTCAAAGGGAAGAAGCCGACGTGCGAGAACTGAGCGCACCAGCAACTCTCTCTACCTGTGATTCCCAGCAACTGCCATTCAGAGGCATCTGCCGTCTCCAACAGTAGAGACAGAACAGAGCCATACTGGTGTTTGTGCACACCCGCCGCTATTAACCCCACAAAACTGCTCTGGAGGGAATGCAACCACTGGGGTCTGGGGTACGGTCTCCCATGGCAACATCCTTCACCAGGACTAGCAGAAACAGCAGATTCTGCCAAGCTGCAAAGAGCAGAGACGTCTACTCCCCCAGGGCTGCACAACTCATAGAATTCTGCTGGAGATTTGGGGTCAGTGTTTCAGTGCCGTTTGGGGCCTCCTCCAAGGAGGTGCTATTTGGGGCCCTTGCCGCCTCGCCAGCTCAGAAGAGGAAACACACAGCTCCCGTATTTGAGCAAAGTGCGCCCACGTTTAACTGCAGGATGGCTAGAAGTGGGGTGGGGGGCAAGTTCCTGATGCGGAGCACCCACATTTCCAGGGGGAAAGCGCAGGGGCTTCCTCTGGCAGCCCAACTGCAGAGAAAGCTGCCGGCCTCTGCAGGCTGCTTGGGATCACCTGCAGCCAGAAGGAAGCACCCATTCACCCTGCAGGAGGCTGAGACTCCATCGCTGGGTGGGAGAGGCCAGGCGGGATTCCCCCAGCCCTGCGCCAGAGGCTGTCTGGAGCCTGACAGCCATGTGTGAATGTGCAGGAGGGAGACCCAGTTTCCTTGGAGACTCCTTTGTGTGTGGCTGGTGGGGTGGCAAGGAGGGAGGAGCAAGGGCCCAGGGAGAGGGGCAGCTCTGTCATCAAAGCCTGCAGGGCAAGGGCAGCCGCTGCCGCTCCTGTCCATCAGTCCTTCCTTCCTCACCCGCAAGCCCATCTGCCCTACCAGCAAGACTCTTCTGGCGACATGCCCTGCACCCTCCGCCTCTCCTGGAATCTGCGCCTATTTTAAACAGCATTCAGAAGCCACCTTTGGCGATGCGAAGCAGCATAACAGCTCAGTGCCAAAGACGGACATAAAAATACAGTGGTGCCTCGGGTTACAGACGCTTCAGGCTACAGACGCTTCAGGTTACAGATTCCGCTAACCCAGAAATAGTACCTCGGGTTAAGAACTTTGCTTCAGGATGAGAACAGAAATTGTGCTCTGCGCAGCGGCAGCGGGAGGCCCATTAGCTAAAGCGGTGCTTCAGGTTAAGAACAGTTTCAGGTTAATAACGGACCTCCGGAATGAATTAAGTACTTAACCCGAGGTACCACTGTAGTCAAAACTGACAAAAGCCACTACATCAACGTTCAAAGGAACCCAGGAAGCTGTTCTAAACGGAGGTCAGCCATGGGAAGCAGCAACCCTGGGCTTCAAAGGTGCCACTGGGACCTTCTGCATGCAAAGCAGGTGCCCCCCAGCCCTCCCCCTAAAAATAAAGCAAGATCCCAGCCCTCATGGTTTTGGCTTAAGGGCCGATTTAAACAGGAAGCTGGTGGGAAAGGGCTGGATCTCAGAAAGTCCCAGCAGCATCTCCAGGTGGGGCTGGGAGAGACTCCTGCCAGCCCAAACCCAGCGGGCCACAGCTGCCAGTCAGTGCAAGCAATACTAGGTAGATGACCCAATGGCCTGACTCGGTGTACGGCAGCTTCCTATGGGAATTGCCTCTGGGACTTCCTGTGTACACCGCATTGTCTATACCCGACGCAGACTCCGGACTGCCTGGGGTGTGTGTGTAATTTTAACAGCCCCCCTCCCAGCAGAAAGCCCTGCAGAGCAGACTCATCTCAGTGCAGATTTGCTCTTAAAAGCCCCACCCCAAAGTGCTGATTTGCGGCAGAGTCTCTCTTGGGCCGGCCGCAGGGCCAGTAGCCGAAGGGGGACTCCTCTTCCTCTTCCTCTCTCCTCCCCCCCCCCCGGCTTTCCTTTCTGGGAGAGGAGAAGCTGCAGAGGCACTGGGAAAGGCCCAGCAAGCTGGCTGGGGTTGGCAGCTGCGTCTCCTAGCAGGTTTGGGGGGAGCCCGATTCCGAGCCGGGGGCTTGGGTTTCAACTCTGACCAGCCGCTCCGAGGCTCCTCTCTCTTTCTGGAGCACACGGCCGAATAAAACATTTTTTCATAAATTTAACGCCAGCATGTCTGTGTTTGGAAACTCTTGAAAATCCATGTTGTATGGTTTACTGCGCTGGAAAAGGTGCCAGCAAGAGTTTCAAAGGAAGGGAAGTGTATAACTGTTTCCTTTCAAAATGCTTTTTGTTTTTTTCCAATGGGATCCATTGAGGGAAAAGGGCTGGAACTAACTAAAACATTATTAAAAACTGTTACGAAGAGAGACAGAGAGATGGAAAAAGATAGACCGGGGCGGGGGGGGGGAGAAAACCCCAGTGTGGAATTGAGGAGGACTGCTGGGGGCGGGGGGAGAGCAGGAAAGGAAGGGCAGATGCCACTAGGAGGGAAAAGTAAGTAAAAGCCCCCCGGGCAGGGGGCATTTCTCTTGGCCCTGGCACCCATGGCTCAGGACCCCAGCACAGGGCCAAGCAGAAGGCCGGCAGGGAGGCCCCTCTGGCAGGCACTTCTGACCAAAAGTGTTTTTCTTTTCTGCAGGAGGGGAAGGCTCCCCTACTACCCTAACCCCCACCCAGTGCAGGAGATCCAGCCAGCTTTACTAAGTGGGGGCATGCCTGGCACCCCCCCCCACAAGCAGCCCCCAGTTAACTCACAAGCACAATGCCAAGGCTCATCTAGTTCCACCTGAGAACTGCAGAGTTGGCAGGGTCCCCCAAAGGTCATCCAGCCCAGCCCACTGCAATGCAAGGAGCACAGCTCAAGAATCCCCGATGGGTGGCTGTCTGACCTCTGCTTAAAAACTCCCCCCCTTGCTCCACCTTTGAGACTCCCCCCACTCGGGAGAGCAGCAGACTGTAGCCAAGGAAACAGACCGGTCTGGTCTGTGGCAAGAACTTCTTGAAGGAGTCAGAATCCTGCGCCGCGAGAGCCACCTTGCCAGAATGACGGCTCTCTCTTGCGCAGCTTTTCAGGGATGGGCTTATTCTGAGCTAGAATTCATGGCTCCAAAGTCCTTTGGGCACACACACACACACACACACACACGGATACACACACACAGCTTGCTGCCCGCCTGCTTGTGTGGCATTACTGCTGCATACTGATCAAGGTCTTTGATCCACCCGCTTGGGCATTTGGGGTTTCCGCAGAATCATAGACTTGCAGAGTTGGAAGTGACCCCAAGGACCATCTAGTCCTGCCTCGCAATCCCAGGTAAAGCATCCCTGACAGACGGCCACCTGGCCTCTGCTTAGAAACCACCAAGGAAGAAGAGCCCACTAACTTCTGCCTTTTGCTAAGCCTTTCTTCTCAGCTTCTGCCCTCATCTTCCCCTGAAGGCAGAGGGGATCCACACCGCAGGACTCAGGACACTTGCCTTCCACAAGCCTGATTGGCGGTTGCTACTCATGCAGCTGGGGCTGCGTTTGGGCTGCACAGAACACTGCGTCCCCGAGCAGAGCAGACTTCAAAGGCCAAGTTCCTAGTCCTCATGGGACGGCACTGCAGCATCCTGCTCAGTCCCCCCGTCCTTCCCTCTGATCACAGAGCTTCCTGCGTTTGTTCCTGGGGCTGTGGATGAGTCTCAGCCTCCACCAGCCTGGCGTTTGGGACTGCTCCCTGGGTGACCCCGGGGGCTGATCACTCACTCTCAGCCTCTCCCACCTGACAGGGCTGTTGTGGGGATTAAATGAGGGCCAGAACCATGTACCTTAAGCCCCACTGAGCAAAAGGTGGGATGTAAATGCAATGGAGGGGTGTGTGTGTGGGTGTGTGTGTGTGTGTGTGTGTGTGTATCTCTCTCTCTCTCTCAATTCACGTTGGTGGCTAGGAGTTGTAGTGCAAGCACACCTGGAGGGCACCTGGTTGGCAAAGGCCGGTGCAACAGTCCTGGGCACTTGGGTCAGGGCCAGGTACCTTTCCTGGGTCTGTTACAGCTAACAGATATTGACAGACCAATTCCCCACCAGTGTGAAAGAAGAGTCCGGCTGCTGGATGAGGCCCAGAGGCTGGGGGGCCGATGGCAGCCTGCACTTGAAAACATCTCCACTTGGCAGAGCCTTGACCCTTCCCAAGATTAAGCCTAAGCTGAGCTGGCTTCTACTGCCCCGTCCTCCTCACTTGCAGCCTTGGGAGCCGCTGCCCGGCTGCGGAAAGAGGGGCTCCTGGCACGGCCTCCGCACCACGTTTTCCCAGCCTCCGGGTCTTGGGGGTGCCTCATCCGTGGGCTGCCGAGCACATGTGGAGGGATGAGGGGAAAAATAAACAGGCAGACAAAAGAATGAGGACACCCTGCCAATTCCAATCGAGCGGCGTTGCGTTCAAATGCTTATCAAGCTGAGAAAGAGCAGAGTTCTTGGAAAAACGGGGCTGCCTTTCTTCTGGTGCCAGCGTCAGCCACCTCTCAAGGATGGGTACAGGCCAGGCACAGCGGCTGGTGGGCCCACCCTCCCCAAACAGCCCCTCCAGGGGGGCTGGTAAGCATGCATTTTTTTAAAAAAAGTTAACTAAAGGGGTGGGGGACACACACATTTTTTATTGTTTCAAATCTCGGATCCTGCTGCTGCAGGAGAGCCAAGCAGCCCGCCATCAGTTTGTACAATAAAAAGATTTTCTTCCCCATTTTTAATTTTTTTGCTAGCCCCCCTAATTAATAGGAGGGATGTCTGCCCTGCACCAGATGTCAGTCCAGGGTGCCTGGGGATGTTTGCCGTGGGCCAGTGGCTGCCTCTTGCCGCTCTAGCCCATAGACCAGTGTATATTGGGGGTAGGGAGAGTATCCTGTGTGACCCTTCCTGAGCGCCAGTGTATCTCCACGCCCCCCTGAGCCACACAAGAGACACAGGAAAGCATCCCAGGGGGCCACACACACACGTAATGGGTTTCAAAAAGAAAAGGGGAAGAAAATGTGCCTTTTCTGGAAAGCAGCTGCATGAGCTTCTGAGAAATCTTCCCCCCAAAAGGGGCAAAAGACCTAAAGCTCCATTACTAAGCTGGCAGTGGAATGGACTCCCTTGGCAGCCCTGTATAGGGAAGCTTTCAATGTCTGATGTTTTATTGTGTTTTTAATATTTTGTTGGGAGCAGCTCAGAGTGGTGGGGGCAACCCAGTTGGATGGGCAGCTAATACTAATACAAATACTAATTCCTTGGAGGCTTTTAAGCAGAGCGAGCGTGGCCATCTGCCAGGGAATATTCAGTTGCGGTTTCTGCATTGCAGGGGGTTGGACTAGATGACCCCTGGGATCCCTTCCAAGGCTACAATTCTATGGCAGCCTAGGGTGGTGCAGCGGAAGATCCTGCCTGACCATCCAGAGGGAGGGAAGGAGTCTGGGCACTGCAGACAACGGCCCTCAGCTTCTTGCAACCGTTTAGCGGGCTGGAGGCAGGAGATGTGGCTGCCCCCCACGCCCCTCTGCTCCAGCCCCAGATGGCTATCTTGGAAAGGGAAAGAAGGGGGCCAGCCCACGCTCGCTGCCCTCCTTCACACGCATCCTGAACACAGGGCCCAGGGCACCCAAGGCGGCCTTCTTCTTGACCAGGATTACTTCAATTTGCAAGCTAACCGTCTCCAGCTGCGAGAGGGGCAGGAAATTTAACAGTAGTGCAAAGGCAGCCCTCTAAGCGCTGGTGTGAAGGCTGCTGAAGCCACACACAGGCGCGAGCACACACACAAAAGGAGGGTGTGCTATAAAAAGAACAGGCACAGCCATTGCAGCCCCTGTTAATTCAAGCCCTGAAGACGCAGGTCTTTGCAGAGCTGTCTCTTTCTTCCCCAAAATATTCTGGCTTCTTCAGTGCCTTTGGGTGGGTGTCTTTTTTGTGATGGTCAGAGGGAAGAGCAAAAAACAAAACAAAAACAAAGCACGCCCCCCCCCCAGTTGATAAAAGGAAACGAGGGAGACGCGGACAATTGAAAACTACCTAAAAGCTCGGGGAGAGGTTTATTTTATTAGTTCTTAATAAATATCTTGCAGATTTCCTGCAGGAAACACACCAGATCACATGTAGAATAGTTTGATACTGATGTCAACGGCATCGACATATGAAATCTATTAGGGGCGAAGCCACAGCAGGGCGATCAGCGAGCAGAAAAGCTTCGCGGCACCAAGGCGAAAAGGGAGGGGGGGAGGAGGGACTCTCACGGCCCTTCCAAATTCTTCGAGAGGTAAAAAAGTCAGCCAAGACACAGAGAGAGAGAGAGAGAGAAAGAGAGAGAGAGAAAAATCCCACATCCTGCTTTGGGCTGCCAGCAATCTGAAGTGCCCAGAGATTAATTCTATGTCTGGCCTGGAAATGTGACTTTAAAGCATCAGTTGGGGGGTGGGGGGGAAGGTTGGGGGGAGGCCAGGCTAACTGGGGCTGGCATGGTGCCACCGGCTCCCCCCACCCCATTCTGAGCCCCAGCCCCCCCCCCAGCCCCAGCCATGTTTCAATGTAGACAGCAGTAAACCCCAACAGACAGCAGATCTGGCTCCCTCCCTCCCTCTCTCTTGCGCTGCGCCAGCGACTCAGAGCAACAGCAGCTGCGCTGCGTCTCCCTCGGCAGGCGCAGATGGGCCGGAGTGCAGGGCTTCCGCTGGCTGGCTGCTGCAGGCTTTTAAGAGGCAGGCGGGCAGGCAGGCTTGGCGGCCTGGGACGCAGCTCCCTCCCCATCCCACGTCCCCACCGGAGAGCTCCCCTCGCACTGCCCAGAGGATGCTCCGCTCAGGCCTGCATTGCTCAGGCAGGAAAATGGAGAGAGGAAAAGTTCAGGGGAGGCAGGCTGGATGCTGCAAAGAAAGGATGCTGCACTAGGGGGGCGGCTCTTTTCTTACAGAACCTCCAGGCCCAGAGGCAGTCTATCTAGGCCCCCAGGTTCTAAGGAGCACTGTGAGGCTAGGGTGCTGGGCCAAATGGGCCCCCTTGGGCCTGACCCAGATGCTGCAGGGCTCTTGGGGGTAGTGGTCCTGGGTTCTAATTCTGGCCCAGTTCTGAAGCTTGCTGAGTGAGGGATCAGGCAATATCACACACACACACACACACACACACACACACACACAGGCAGCATGGGATGGTGGTGAGAGAAACTCCCTCACAACGACCAGGGAGAAGAGTCGGTGGAAGAAGATTGGAAGAAATTTAAAGACTATTTACAGAAATATTGCAAAATTAATGAATGTTAGAATGATGTTGGATTGAAGTTAAGTGGTTTCTAGCTGAACAGATACAAAAGAATATGGAAAAATTGGTTTTTAATATGTAAAAATTTAAAGCTATAATATATCAAGATTAAAGATTAGGATTAAAAAGGAGGGAAAGGAATTGTTGGATTAACAAATTGAATTGGAATACAAAAGAGGGAGGTATGAGGAGGTCCAGGAAACAAGTAAATGTAAAAGAAGTGATGAAAAGATGGAATTGTTTTTAACTGTTTTTTCTTTTTTCTACTTTGCATTTTTCCTTTTTATTGTTAATTTTTTATTAATGTGATTTTTCTTCTTTTGAAACTTTAAAAAATATTATTTAAAAAAAAAAAAAGAGAAACTCCCTCACAACAACCCTATGAGGTAGATCAGACAGAGGAAGAGCAGCCTTCTCCCAGGCCCCCCTTTGACACTCTAACCCAGCAGTTCTCAACCTGTGGGTCCCCAGATGTTGTTGGACTACAACTCCCATCATCCCTGAGCTCTGGCCTTGCTAGCTAGGGGTGATGGGAGTTGTAGTTCAACAACATCTGGGGACCCACAGGTGGAGAAAGGCTGCTCTAACCAGACAGGGCTTGCAAGGCAATCTGGCATGGCTTTTCAAAGGGGCCACCACAGTTCAGACTCTTCTCTGCGTAGCCCAGCATTGCAGGCTCTGACTGGCAGCAGCCCACCAGGGTCCTCAGGCAGAAAAGACCCCTTTCCCTACCGCCAGCTGCCGAGTCCCTTTTTGGCCGGAAATGGTAGGAATCAAACTCTGGAGCTTCCACATGAAAGGAAGCTGCTCTGCCAGCCCCTCATAATATTGCAGCTGGATCAGGCCAGAGGGGACCCAGCGCCTAGTCCAGCTTCCTGCCCCATGCGGAAGCCCACAAGCAGGAGTGGAGCACCACAGTGGGACTTGCCCCCCACTCTTGCTCTGCTCAGCAAGATGTGAGATGATGGCAAAGGGTGGCCCAGGAGGATTCTGGGAAACAGGCCCCGACAGACAAGGCAGGATTTAAGGGAGTCAGCCCGGCTGCTTTGCGGACCCCAACGGGGCTGCTGCCCACAACCAGCTGGCAAGCGGACTCAGGGGACATCCCCTTCTCACAGTCACATGATGCAGGTTTACTCCCAGACAAATGTAGGAAACGGCCTTCCTACTGAGACAGGCCACCAGCTCATTTAGCTAGCAAGCGTTTGCACTGACTCCCCTGTATTTCTCAGCTCTACCTGGAGAGGCAGAGGACTGAACCACTCCCCCCCCCCATTATCTTTTTAAAGCCCATCACGAGCTTCCGTGGGAGTCAATTCCACAGCTTAACTGCCCAAGCGCTGCAACAGGGACAGGTCTTCCAGAGGGGTGGTTGGTCCAGCCCGCCCCAATCTGAACAACTGACGGCCTTGTGGGCACCTTAAAAGACGGTGGCACAAGCCTCTGTGGGAACAGCGGGTGCGAGAGAGGAACCTCCGCAAATAGAGCTTTCCTTCCATCACGGAAACAAGCAAGGAAACCTTCGTTGATTAGGGTTTTTTGTTTTTAAATGCATCCTACCTTTAAAAAAAATTGTTTCAAGGTATCTCAGACATTGAAAAAAGGAATGCAACCTAGAAAGCAAAAAATAAGTAAAAATGCAGCAGGATTTGCCACCCTGGTGAGCTGCCCATTCAGATATACTGAATGGAGATTTTCCTGCTCTGGCCGCCCAGAACTTAACTGATGAATCAGCCTTTGTCAGCCTGGTGCTCTGTTTGCCCTGGGCTAAGGCTCTGCTGGCCGGGGCTGGTCAGAGGTCATTTGGAGGGCACAAGGACTGAAACTTCTTCAGCACCCACTTCTGCATGCAGAAGGCCCCAGGTTCAGCCACCAGCATCATCAGTTAAAAATGGATCTTGAGCACATAGGGAGCCACCTGATGCAGAGTCCATCTAGCTCAGGGTGATCTTCACTGACTGGCAGCAACAGCTCTCCAGGGTTTTAGGCAGGAGTCTTTTCTTCAACCCTACGCAGAGATGTTGCCAGGGATGGAACCTGGGACCTTCTGCATGCAAAGCAGGTGCACTACCGCTGAGCTACGGATGAGCAAGCTTCCAGGAAGTTAGGGAGCTGCCGTATACTGAGATCGTTGGCTCCCTTTAGCTCAGTACTGTCTTCACTGGCTGGCAGCAATGGCTCTCCAAGGTTTCAGGCAGGGGACCATTCCCAGCCCTGCCTGGAGATGCTGATGGGGACTGAACAGGGACCTTCTGCATGCAAGGCAGATGCTCTGCCACGGAGCTTCCCCAGTGATGGAAGGGTTCTTCCCCTCAGCCTGAGACTCTGGAGACCAGCTGCCAGTTGGAGCAGAGAACAGGGGGCTGGATGGACAAATAGCCCAACCAGGTATAAGGCAGCTGCCTCCTCTGCTGGCTGCAAGCAGGTGGCCCCAATCCCCGGCTACCTGCAAACACTCGGCATCCTCCCTGCTCCCTCCCCAGCCCCACTTTGTCACTGCAGCTTTTCTGGTCCCCCCCATCAGGGCTCACCGGGGGTGTGGGTGAAGAGGTGCAGCGTGGAGACTGGGGTTTGAGAACGGGGTTGGGGGCTACTTCCCCATGCGGCTCTTTCTGCTCCCAGGAGCCTGAGGTTACGCTCAAATACTCCGGAGGGGCTAATTTTAAAAGGCCACTAAACCAAGGCTGCAGCAGATGAGCCGGCGTTATTTTTATAGGCGGCTGAGAAAACTGGACTCGGCTTGGGGTTTTCCGATCCTGGTAGATGTCGCGTGGTTTGCACATCGAGGAGGCAGTGGTAAAAAGACGTTGCGGACAGGCCTCGGAGGAACTCTGTGGTTACAAGGGCCATTCTGAAAGGGCCCAGGAGTCGGGCCTCAGTTTGGTGGGCGGGCTGTTGATTTGATTTATTTCATAAAATTAATGCACAGCTTAACTTTTTTTTAAAAAAAAATATCTCAAAATAATTTGCAAAAAGAAATGTTATCAGTAAAAATAGTTAAAGCCAATTGAAGATATACATTACAATATTATACTAAAGTTAAAGATTGGGATTTAAAAAGTTGAAAAGAAACTGCTGGACAAACAATTTGGATTGGAATACAAAAGAGGGAGGTATGAGGAAGTCCAGAAAATAAGCAAACTAAAAAAACGGAAATGGAAAAGAGATATTGTTTTTAATTGTTATGTTTTTTGTTTTTTATTGTTGAATTGTGTTCTTTTTTGTGTGTTCTTGTTATCTTTTTTTCTTTTTTTTGAGATATGTATTGTGTATGTTTTTTTTTCTTTCTTTGTTGTTTAAAACTTAAATAAAAATTATCTACAAATAAATAAATAAATAAATAAATAGTTAAAGCCAACTATTTAGTTCCAAGATTAAAACCAGCAATGAACTGAGAAGAGATTAAAATGTAAATCAACGTTCTACATGCCTGATTTTACAGGGAGATGCCTACATGGGGGCAGCTGAACTGTGGAACTCACTGCCACAGGAAGCAAGGATGGCCACCAACCAGGATGGCTCTGAAAGACAACTCATGGAGGGCTCCTAGCCATGATGGATGCTCTCTCTACCTCCGCAGTCGGAGGCAGCAACGATCCCAAACGCCAGTTGCTGAAAACCGCAAGAGGGGTGTGTTGCTGTGGAGCACAGGCTTTCCACGGGGACACCTGGCTAGCCCGTGAGAACAGGCTGCTGGGCTAGACAGACCCACCTTGGCCTGATCCAGCGGCTGCTCTTCAGAGGCTGCCTCTCCAGATAATACAGAGGGAGGGAGGGTCACCTGCTAAGCCCCATCGCCAGAAGGCCAGTGCAAGGCCTGTCATTTGTGCAACAGGGCTTCCCAACCCTGACCTCCCAAAATTGGCTCAGGGGAGAAGCTTCAGAGGAGTGTATGGGGGGGGGGAGGGGGGTTTGTTCTGCCCAACAGGCCAAAAAGCTCGTGTGGACAGAGCAACTGAACCAGCACTATGCTGAACTCCACCCTGGGAGTCGCTTAAGAGCAGCCAGATGGAGACACAGCCTGAAGTTGGCTGGTTGGTGGGGGGGGGGCAACTCTTGCCCTGCTCAGCTGGGAAGGGCACAAAAAGGCCAGAAGACAAACTGCCTGGATATGTGTGTAAGACGTGCCGGGGGGGTGGGGGTGGGGGGTTTGCGGCGAAGGGAAGTGATCCCGGCGGTGGCCCTATGAACATCCCTCCAGTGATTTATAGGAAGTATAATCCAATAATATAGTAAAACAGAACAGTGTGTTTGAGATGGGTTTGATTCCAGGAATTATAAAACAAATTATTAAAAAGGGGAAAGAGAGAGAGAGAGAGAGAAAGGGGGTGGGCTTTGGGGGTGGGAGAAAAGCCCCACCGAGACCAGATTGGAGTAAATTGGGCACAGATGGGTGGGGGAGGGGGCTCGCAGGACTCCCCCCGCCGGAGATGCCCTGCCACAAGGCACGGCTTCAATTAGCTCGCTTGCAAACTCCGTTCCAGCCACCCCTCTCTCCCTGTGCCCAAATTACAGACCCCCCCTTAAAACCCCCCCCACCAACCACATTCTCCATGCGTCTGCGGTCAGGATAAAGGCACCCCCCACTTCCCTGCCAGGCGGGTGTGCAGCTGGCTACCAAAGTGCCCAAAGAGGACAACTGGGGCAAGGTGTTGCGCTGGCCTCCTCCTGGTCCTCCCGGGGGCAAAGGGAGCCCACCAGCACCTCCTTCTGGAGAGAGACGGCATGCAAGGGACAGAGATCGCAGCTTCTGAGGTGGTGGTGGTGGTAGTGGGGGGTGGCACTGTTCTGGACTGCCAAGGAACTACCAAAAGGGGCCTGGCTAGGCATCACCTTTCCCTACAGCACTTCCGAGGCGGAGTGGGGTGGGGGACAGGATGGGACTGTCAGTCAGCAAGATGCTAATGGAGGAGCAAGGAAGGAAGACCAAGGCTCAAAGGAAAGAAAAAGGTTGCACAAGCAATACTTTCTGGGTGCCACAGAGGACGACACAGCAGGAGAGCCACAGATCTGACCTGCTGGCCCCAGGATCTGCTGGCGCTGCTCTCCCGTGAGGATGACGGCCACAGCAGGAGGGCTACAGGGGGAGAATTTAGGGGAGGACCAGGCTCGATCGCCAGCACCTCCAGGCAGGGCTGAGAAAGACTCTTTCGATGTGTCAGAGACAAACACTGAAGGGGCAGGGGGAGAAAAGGGGGCCCTTCCTTGGACCAAACCCACTGGCTGCTTCTGCCCACCAGGAAGGACAAAGGCAGCCTGCCTAGAGGTACTACATTGGGAATGGCAGGTGGGGAGTGCCCTGCTGTAGCCCTCGGGTTCTGCTGCTAGCTTCTTCCCCTGGGGGCACCTGGTTGGCCACTAAAGAAATAGGATGCTGAAACAAGGTGGGCCCCCTTTGGCGGGGGGGGGGGGGGGGAGCAGGGCCAATTGCGATAGCAGAACCTCCATGCCCAGGGACAGTCTACCTCTGAATACCGGGTGACGGGCAACAACAACTAGAGAGCTGTTGTAGCGATCAGGTCCTGCTTGCAGGCTTCTTCACATTGGCTGGCCATTGCGAAAACAGGCTGATAAACAAGCTGGCCTGATCCAGCTGGCACAGGGCTCTCCTTAGGCTCTTATAAGCGCCTCTCCACACAGGAAGCAAATGGTCCCATGGGAACCCTGAGCTGGATGCTAACCAGCAAGAGTTGCTCTCAAGATCTCAACTCTGCCCGCTGGGGTTTTGGAATTCAGCAGTTTTCTCAACCTGTGACTTCCAAAGGGCCTCCTGGGCACCAGAGTTGTGTCCTGCCCACAAACCCAGCGCCTGAGGACCGAGGCCTGGGGCTCCTTCCTGACTCCTTCCCCCACCTGTCCCCCTCCAGTACCTTTGGGCTGGGAGTTGTAGACAGCAAACATGTTGATGGCCATGAGTTGCAGCAGGCGGGTGCTTCCGATGGGCGAGGGGCTGTGCCCCAGCAGCGCCCGGAACTCGCTCAGGACCTCAGCAGCTACGGCAGGGAAGGTCTCCATCCTGAAGAAACCAAGGAAGGAGGGGAGACATTGTTTGCGTTGCTCATTATTTGCATTGCATTATTAACAACACTATTTGCATTGCATTGTTATTTCTATTACAGTCATACCTCATGTTATGTTTGCTTCATGTTATGTTCCTTTAGCTTACGTCCCGTGGCGACCTGGAAATACTGGAAAGGGTTACTTCCAGGTTTCGCCACTCGCGCATGTGCAGAAGTGCTAAATTGTGCTTCGTGCATAAGCGCCAGATCGCGCTGCGCACCTGCGCAGATACGACACTTCAGGTTGCACTCTTTTCATGTTGCGAACAGGCCTCCGGAATGGATCCCGTTCCAACCAGAGGTACCACTGTATTATTATTATTATTATTTATTATTATTATTCACTTATCTCCCCGTACAATTGCAAATAGACAGTAATTATCGTAACGACAACCTGAGAGCAGAGGAGTGCAAGCAAGATGATAAAAAGGGGCAGGGAACCAAGTCTTGTGAGGAACATTTTAGGGAGCTGGGGATGTTTAGCCTGGAGAAGAGGAGATTCAGAGGAGAAAGCATAGCCGTCTTCAAACACCTCAAGGGCTGTCACGTAGAAGAGGGAACAAACTTGTTTCCTCCTGCTCTGGAGGGTAGGTCTCGAACCCATGGCTTCAAGTTACAAGAAAGGAGATTCCCACTCAACATCAGGAATAACTTTCTGACGGTAAGAGCCGGACGACAGAGGGATGGAGTCCCTCAGGTGGTGGTGGCCTTTCCTTCCTTGGAAGTTTTTAAGCAGAGGTTGGGCGGGGGGCCCTGTCACGGATGCTTTAGCCACGATTTGTGCATTGCAAGGAGCTGGACTAGATGAACCTCAGGAGTCCCTTCCACCTCTACAATTCTATGGGGATGAAAGATAACGGCAGAATCTGCTAGAAAGCCAGCTGTTGTGGAGACGTGGAGAGGTGTCGAATTAAGACTAGAGAGACCAAGGTTCCAGTCCCCACTCAGCCACGAAACTCCCTGGGTGGCCTTGGGCCAGTCACTGCCTCTCAGCCTAGCCTACCTTGCAGGGCTGTTGATAAAATGGGGAGAAGAACCATGTACGCCACCTTGAGCTCCTTGGCGGCAGGGTGGAATATAAATGTAATAAATAATAATAATGGGGTGTGGGGCAAGCAGGGGAGGCTGTGTGGGACTGAGAAAAGCAGCTCTTTCTCAGCAACACTGGCCTACTTTATGGGGCTGCTGTCGAGATTTGCCGAGCATAAGGAGACAAAGTACTTCGGTGAAGAGAAATTACCACTTTGACCCTACACGTGGTTACCACTGGAAAGTGTGTGTGTGTGTGTGTCTCAGTGGGTGAAATCGCTTCCGTTGTTTTGTCACAGGAAACATGAGCACCTGCACTCCCATTCACAGCAGAGGGAGCTCTGCAGGTCGCCCAGTAACGAAGCCAACTCAAACTCGGCCCTTGCGGGAGCCGACGTGATCCCGTGGCCCTGCGGCCGTTGTCTGGACTCCAACTCCCAGCAGACCCAGCAGCCAGCATGGCCAGTGGTCAGGGATGGTGGAAGTCCGAGAGGGCACAGACTGGAGCTGACTTCTTGGGCATCCTTATGGGAGGCTCCTTCTTCCTCGCACCCAGGGAGGCTTCCCAAGAGGGGCAACGCCAACTCCTCTGCCGTCACCCAAGAAGCAACGGCCACCCGAGGGAAAACCTGGGAGCCAAATGCTGTCTGGGGACAGCAGGATGACTGCTTGGCATGGGGGAGGTTCAATCCCCAGGCTTGCTACCCAGAATTCGGTATCAAGTGAAGATGGGGGAGAAAGACGCTTCTCTGCCAGAGATCCTGGGGAGGCTCTGCCAGTCAGAGTGGAACATGCTGGGCTGGATGGACAAGATAAAGCACACAGCAGAAGAGCCTGGTGGATCAGGGCCCTTCTGGTCCAGCGTCCTCTTCTCACAGAGGCCAACTAGGTGTTCCCCTGGGAAAGCTGCAAGCAGGATTGAAGCACAAGGGCAGCAGCCTCCCCTCCTGCGGATCCCAGCAACAGAGACTCAGAAGCATCCCCATCTCCAGCTGTGGAGGCAGAGCAAAGCCCTCGATAGCCGCCTCCTCCTCCATGAATTTGCCTAACCCCTTTAAAAAGCCACCCAAGCTGTTGGCCATCATGGCCTCATGTGGGAGGGAGTTCCACAGTTTAACTCTGCGCTGCACTAAGAGGGACTTCCTTTCCTCTGCTTGGCGTTTCTCTGACAATCTGCCTCAGTTTGTCAGGAGCCAATCCCTGGAGGACACGATTTGGATCGGGGGGCATCAGACCTCAATGCTAAACAGAACCTCCACAGGGAGAGGCAGTCTAGCCCTGAGCTCCGGGCGGCAGCGGGAAAATGGCACAAATGGACTTGGCTGGGGACGAATTTGTTCTGATAAAGGAGGGCAGCTGCTGTGCTGGACGAGGAGGGCCAGAGCTGCGTCACTGCTGCGGTGGCGCTCCCAGCCCCAGCCCCGGCCGGAGTGCTGACCCTCTCCCTCGCCCCCACCCTCCAGAGCCGGCCTGGGAGGGGGAGGGAGGAGGAGGAGGCGGCTTCACACCCTGTGCCCTCCGCTCCAAACACAAGCCCAGTTGCTAACAATATTGGAATTCCAAAAGGCCTCGTAATGTAGGAAAAATAAAACAAACATCCTGCAGCCTTACCCAATCCTGGTAAACAGCTTCCCATGGGCATGGAGAAAACTCAGGACGAACCTTTTGTTCAGCTGCATGGGAAAGAGGGGGGGAAAGCAGAGAGAGAGAGAGAAAAGATGATGTTGAAGAAGATGAGAAAACAATTCGAACGCTCCCTTTTCCTGTGAACGAGCCCAGAGTCCCGGGTGACAGGATAACCTGGCCTGGGATGTGCAGAGGGGGGTGGAGGGGCGGCAGATGGGAACCAAATGTCTGTGCCCCGGCCCTCCAAGCGCGAGGGCAAGTGCCAGACAGCTGCATTTTTTGAGGGGGGGAGCCGTGCTAGGCCCACGGCACCCTCTGCTGGCGGACAAGGTTCTCTGCAAGCAACAGGAGCATGTGTGCAAGAAATCCCAGGGGTGCCCACCTACCGCCACTTTCCAGAGGGGAATGTGAGGGCAACACGCAAGGACCTAAGAAGAGCCTTGAAGCTGGGTCAGGCCAGTCCAGCAACCTGTCCTCAGTGGCCAAAGCAGGACCTGAGCCCAACAGCAGCAACTCTCCAGTTGTCCCCATCCTGTGGTTTTCCGAAGCAGACTGTCCCTGGGCATGGATGGAGGTTCTGCTTTCACAATAGGGCTTCCTAAGAGCCTGGCTAGAGCAGGCCAAAGGGGGCCCATCCAGTCCAGCCTTCCCAGATACCCCAAAGGGAAGCCTGAGGGTGGGGCCTGGGCAACGACAACTCTCCCCCTCCTGTGATTCACACCATCTCCGTAAAGCATTATTAAACCACTTGAACAGTCACGGCTTCCCCCAAAGCATCCTGGGAACTACAGTTTGCTGGAGGCCATCCTACAGGGTTGGCCTGAGGTGAAGGTCATTCTTAGGCTGAATGGGAGGTGCAATCACAGAATTGTAGAGTTGGAAGGGACCCGAGGCACATCTAGTCCAGCCCCTGGCAATGCAGGAATCCTTTGCCCAATGTGGGGCTCAAACCCACAACCCTGAGATTTAAGAGTCTCATGCTCTACCAACTGAACTAAACAGAGCAATGTATTAAAACCAATACATTCACTGGAACGACAGCAAACTGCACATGGAGGAAACGCTGCCAGACAGAGAGAATCAAGGTGGTTTTTCCTCTGTTTTTGACATATTCTACCACCACCAACCCCCCTTTGCTTTGCCAACTCTCCTGTACTGACCCAACTGTGGCACAAATCCATTTCCAAGACAGTAACTGGCCCAGGAATCCCATATCCTGCCCCTCCTCGATTGTGCAAGCAGGCTGCCATGCAATGCCTGAAGCATGGTGGCAGGGGGTCGGACCCAACCAATTCCTCCAGTAGGGAGGGACACACACAGAGCATGCAAGTCCTGTCAATGCGGCTCCTTGCGGGGAAGACCCGAGTTCGAATCCCTCATCTGGCCACAAAACTCCTTGAGTGACCTCAAGCCATCCACCAGCTTTCTCCTTTGGCCAGGCCTACCTTACAGGGGTGGTTGCAAGGAGAAACGTGGGGGAAGGTGTCCATTGCCCCGAGTGTTTTGGGGGAAAGGAAGGGGATGTACATTTAATATAGATGAAGCCTCAGATAGTTGGGGTGCAACCTGGGAAGAATGGAAGAGAAGCAGTGCAGAGCAGTGGTCAGAGCAGGTGGGTTCAGGACTACTGCATTGGTAAGCTTTTAATGTTTGATGCTTTATTATGTTTTTTTTTATGTGTTGGAAGCTTCCCAGAGTGGCTGGGGTAATCCAGCCAGATGGGTGAGGTGGTATTATTATTATTATTATTATTATTATTATTAACTCCTCATCACTCCTGGATGCTGGCTGTTCTGGCTGAGTTGCAGTCCTAAACACCTGGAGGGCACCAGGTTGGCTACCCCCTGGGTTAGAGGGCTCAGCTAGGATCTGGGAGGGGCCAGGGGCCAAAATCCCCTGACGCTCAGCCCTCCTGAAGTTCCCTGGGTGAGTCACTGCCTCTCTCTCAGCCCAGCCTGCCTCACAGGGTTGTTGAGAGGATAACATGAGAACTTGTGGACATCCAACAAAGCGGAATGTTGGAAGATTCAGGAGAGATAGAAGGAAGTCCTCTCTGCTGCAGGACGCAGTGGCGATGGCCACAGACTTGGATGCTTTTAAGAGAGGATTGGACAGATTCACGCAAGAGAGGGCTATCGACGGCAACCAGCCATGAGGCTTCCGGACAGCAGTTGCTGAAAACTGCAGGAGGGGAGAGGGCTCCTGGTGTGGGGTCGTGCTTGGGGGCTCCCCCTGCGAGAAGAGGAGGCTGGGGTCTGTGGGCCACTGACCTAATCCCACAGCCAGGCTCTTCTGATATTCCCATCCTAGTGGGGGAGAATCGCACACACCACCCTGAGCTGCTTGGAGGAAAAGCAGAATATAAATGTTGTGATGGTGGTGGTGGTGGTGGTGGTGGGAACAGAAGGGCAAGGAAAGCCCCTATCCAGCTCCCTCTGAGCGTGCGTGCCTGCCTCCTGCCTCCCGCGTGACCCCGATGAGCTCAGCCCTGGGAAGAGGCCGGTGGGAAGGTTCAAGGGCAGGCCAGCGGCTGCTCTCCAAATGACTCTCTGCGTGGTTGTGCTCTTGGCGTGACTCACCTGCCGGCAGGGCCCCCCTGGGAACCTCCTGCTTCTCACAGCCAGAGGGAAACGGAGCCCCCGGGAGAGGAAGTGGCACCACCTGCTGGTTGCGGCGGCTGCGCGAGGCGAGGGGGAGGAGGGGGGGCACACATGCACTTCCCCAAAGCGGCGGAGGGATGAGAAATGCGCCCCCTGTGCCCCCCTCCACAAAACACAAAGAGCAAAGAAGACAGCCCAGTGGCTGCCCTTTCTCATTGCCTCAACAACCCATTTATGCAGCGGGGGTTCCCCCATCTCCTGCTACCCCATACAGAACACACCAAAGCAGACTAGTCCTCAGTGAGGAAGAGGTCACGGGCGGCACTTGTTGTTTGGGCGGGGTGTACGGAGGGGCAGCTCGGCTGAGCCCAGGCCTGGATATTCGTGTGGCTTTTTGTTTACATTGCGCTCCGCTTTGCAACTGCTAATGCATTATCTTGGAATCTTGTTTTATTTCAAATCTGTGCGTTCTCATGGCTCCGTCATGGGAAAGCCGCATACAAATAAAGACACGACGATAAGGCTGAAGATCGTTCACCCGCTCACACGTTTCGATCTGAAACACGTGGGTGCCGCCCCGCAGCAGAACTTCCCGGGGAAAGCTGATTAGGGGAGGTTTGTACAATCTTGAGTGTGACTGATGGTGACAAGAGCGCCACGAGCTCCTTTTCTAAGTAACTCTGATTCTGGGGGTGGGGAAGCGCCCAAAGCAGGCAATATGAATAAAAGCAAGGACATATCTATAGGAAGGACATAAGGACACAAGGTCAGCCATCACATTACGAATTTACCAAACGGTGAAGTCGCTCCTGAATGCGGTATCTAAAACTCTTGCTAATAATAAGAATAATTTTATGAACTATATAGCCTGTCCACCTGACTGGGTTGGCCCCAGCCATTCTGGGTGGCTTCCAACAAAATACAAAAACACAGTAAAACTTCAAACATTAAAAACTCCCAATAGCTAAATGGTTATCAGACTTCGAAAGGCTGCTTTCACAAGATTAGGTTCATCAGTTTTGTTGAAATAATAATTAAACTAGCTAGCTGTAATTGGATTTCAAAAAAATGTGCAAGCAATTGTTACTGCTTTGAATTTTATTGTGTAATTATCTTCCTGAGTGTGTTGTGCATGTCACTATTCTGAATAATGCTTCTTACGGGGTAGGGTAGGGGGCCTTGAGCTTATGGAACCAAGGGGGCAGAAGCCCCCCCCCATCGGGAACCACCAGCCTAATCCTTTACAGGAACCTAGGAAGAGTCCTGCAGCAGGTCCCCGCAAAGGGGACCATCGAACACAACATCCTCTGATTAGCAAGTAGGACCCAAGTGAATCAGCAACACTCTCCTTGCCTGCGACTCCCAGGAAGAGGAATATGAAGGTGTTTGTGTCTCCCACAGGGGAGGCAGAGCACAGCTATTGTGCCGAGGAGCCACCAGCAGCAACAGCCCCGGCTCTGAGCACCGATCCATCTGGCCCCGATCCGGGGGGCTGGGGCTCTGCGCTCGGCACCTGAGCCCCAGGATCCCTGGTGGGAATGAGGGCAGGCACCAAATAAGGGCAGGATTCCAGCACAGCTGCTCCGGTAGGGCTGGGATTAGGAGGAGGAGGAGGAGGAGGAGGAGGAGGAGGAGAGGCTGCTTCCAGTTAAAAATGGTTACTTCAGGTTTGGAAGCAGCACTCTGGTATCTGTTCTTTATCAAGCGAGAGGCAAACTTTCCCCTCGGCAGCCGCGACGCATCTGCGGAGCAGAGAAGGGTCGGCGGAACCAGCGCGGGGCAGCGGAAGGACAAGGCTTGTTTCTTTGCCAGGGGACCGGATGCGGGAGGGGAGGAAGCAGCGCCACGGATGTCACGGTGGGGGGCAGTTTGGGTGGCTGCTGAAAAAAAAAAAGTAACAAGGAGGAGCGAAGGGAGCAGATGCACCCAGGGACAAACCCAGCCGGGCTCAGCGGAGAGACGTGTTTGTCAGCCCCCTCCAGACACCCTTTCCCAGAGCAGGCATCAGGCCTCCCTTGGGAAATGGGTCGGCCAGGAGAGCAGCGCTTCCTCCAACCTCCTGAATGCTCACAAACATCAGGAGAGGCCTGGAGCAGCAGCCGGATCAGGCCCTCTTACCCAGCATCCTGTTCTCACAGTGGCCAAGCAGATGCCCCCATGGGGCATGGGGAACCAGAGGCAACAGCCACTGTGTTCTTCCCACTTGGAATTCCAAGCCAATTTTCACAAATGATGTTTTGGGGGGAAATCAGAATATTGTGCATTTATTGTCACCCATCCTGATTATCCTGTGATGAAGGGTGGGGTGCATATCTTTTAATACATAAATTAATAAAACCAATGTATCATGATTTAGTTACTCACTTTAAAAAAATCAAACTGTAGCACTTCCACATTAAGCAGAGCAACCTGCTACTGGCCCTAGAATTCAACATCCTAAACCTCTTGGTTCCTTCTTTCAAAAGAAAAAATAGGCTCCTAGTCCTGATGATTACTGATTAAACTGGGGTGCATGTGGGGAACACTGAGGGATGGAATGGATTTAGAAGCCAGAGAGGGAAGGGGTAGGATCTTGAGTGGCTGTGGCTACAGAAGGGAGGGATTCTGTGATCTACAGAGTACTCCCCACAAGTTGATGCAGAGAAGAAACGAGAAAATATAAGCCAACAACCAGGGCACAAAAATGGGACAGTTTCTCAGTTTACACACACACAACCACAACACAACCACAATGCAAGTGGCTGCAAATGCCTGCACAGCCCTTGGAGCTGAGGGCCTCTGCAGAATGGGATCCTGCCTGGTCCTCTCCTGGGTCAAGGGAGCCTGGCACCCTCCTGCCATGCCCAGCGGCCCACTTCTTCAGCCAACCAGCTCCCCAGTAGTCACAGCAACCTGCCTTCTCTCCTCGCTTTTAAAATTAAGACGCTGAGCCTCTTTTCTCTTTTTTTGGCCTTTGCGTGCCTGGAAACTCTCGCTTCACCTCACCCCGGCCTCCTTGTGGGTGGCAGCGAAAGGTCAAGTGAGGCCGGAAGGAAGGGGAAGGGGGGCAGGCTCCACGCAAGGCTGCCCTGAAGCAGGCAGCAAGGAGCTCAGCCCCAGCAGGGAGCAGGAGCGGTGCTCAGTGGGACAGTTTCCCCAAAAGCCTGTTTCGCTCCCGAGACGCAGAGCACCAGGGAGGAGGGGTGGGTGCAGCTGGTGGCTGGGAGGCGGAAGGGGACGGGGGTGAGCCAGGCGCTGCCTCCAGCGCAAGGCGCTGCGTGCCGAGAGTCACGTCCCCAAGCCCGCGGGGGCCGGGCATGTGGTTTCCGCGTCTAACCAGCCCAACTGCAGCCTGGCACCCGCGGCTTCCTCCTCGGAGAACTTCTCTCTCCGTTAGAGGAAAGAGACCAAACCTCAGGGCTCGAAACAAAAATGGGCCGGGCGTAAAAATAAAAGCTGAGGGGTGGTTTTGGTGACCGGGTCAAAGGAGCTCGAAGAGGAAGAGGGGGAGAGAGATAGAGATGAAGCACATACAGCAGCACTCTGGGTTGCCCGTCACGGCACCAGCGAAGGAGGCGGGGGGGGGGGGAGAGGAGCCTCTCTCTCTCTCTTGCCTGGGAACCTGCTTCGCAAACAGAAAGGAGGGGGGAACCCCCCAGCGCTCGCTGAGTCAACCTCCAGGGCTTTTGGCAACTGCTCTCTGCAGGCCTGGCACAGCAGGCCAAAAGCACAGCGCTGTCCCTGCCGGCAGGGCACCCACAGGGTGACTCCGAGTCAGTGGGATCCCAGGAACGCGCAAGTCTAGGCAGGTGGGGGGGTGAAGGGGAGTCCCCCCGCCTGAGGTCGGGCTCCAGTGCTATGAAGAAAGAGCTGTTTGAGTGTGGGACTCCCCTTGGGAGGTGTTTGACTCTCCTTGCTTGGTGGTTTTTAAGCAGAGCTTTGCTGGCCATCTGTCAGGGATTTTTTAGCTGAGATTTCTGCATTGCAGGGGGCTGGACTAGATGGCCCCAAATGGTACCTTCCTACACCACAATTCTATTGTTCTATGAAAGCCAGGCACCCCAGGGAACCTCCATGAGCCCAGCGGGCGAAAGGCCTAAAGTGACAGTTGAGCACCGACTCCTGTGTGACACTGATGGGCCCGGCAGGAGGCAGCTGCGCTCTGCCATTGGCAGAAGAAGGGATAGAGGTCAGGGGCAGAGAGCACCTGCCAGGCATGCAGAAGGTCCCCGGCTCAATCCTTGGCAGCATCTCCAAGAAAGGCTGGGAAATGCCTGAAACCCTGCTGCCAGTCCGTGTAGGTGACACTGAGCTAGTTTGACTTGGAATAGGAGCCACTAACCCGTCTTCTTGCCCAGCTCAGCCAGTGTGCCTCCCGTGACCCTCTGCTTGCCCCCTTCCTGCCAACCTGCCCCTTTGCTTCTGCCCAGATGCTTCCTTGGAATAGGGCAACATATTGGCAAGGCCCCAGATCTCTCAGGCCAAAGCACCCACAGCAAAGCAGCACCCAAAGTGCCAGCGCAGCCCATTGCTTAATTAACACTGTCGTTCCAAAGGCTGGAAGGGGCAAGGTACTCCCCACCAAAAAACCACCCTCCATCCATCACTGCAAGTTGTATCCTCATTTTTTATTTCATTTATATTTACATCCCACCTTCTTTCCTCCAAGGAGCTCAAGCGGGTCATACAGTTCTCCTTCCCACCTCCCATTTTATTCACACAACAACCCTGTGAGGTCAGACTGAAACTGAGCGACTGTCTTCCAAGGTCACCCGGTGAGCTTCATGACAGAGGGCTGATTTGAACCCGGGTCTCTCCCAGGTCCTGGTCCAACACTGCTGTTGTTATTATTGCTACTGAATTGTATGTTAAATGCTTCTCTGTGCTGTGAGCCACCTCAAACATTTATCGGGAAGAAACACCTTTAACAAAGGAAGTTATTCTGAGCTGGGGGGGGCGGTCGGAATAAGAGTGCCTGAAGACCGTACGTGTCCCAGTCGACTGGGGTTGGCCTAATCCTGTGGTCAGCCTGCCTCCTCCGCACCTTGGAGCCCCTCCTGCCCCAGCGGGGACCAGAGCACCTGCGTGACTTTGGGCATGTGAGAGCGGAGGCCAGGCCTTGTCCCCACGTACTAAGCAAGACATTCTCCCAAGGCAGCTCGGGACGGGGGTGGGTGGGAAGGCAGAAGTGGCCAGGAACACCCCTGCCACAGACAGACTGCCTCTGCATTCTGCTGGCTCCAGTTCCCCTGTGAGCGGCACAGAGCAGAGCATCTCAGGGGAAGAGGGTTGCCCCCCCCCCGCAACATGTCAGCCTGTCCTGCATAGCAAGAAGAGCAGCGCCATCCAGTGGCCAGAGGAAGCCCGGCAACAGAAGCTCCTCTTGGCCGACTTGTACACGTATGTATACACACTCATCTACCCATCCTGGGAAGTCGTGTGGTGCAGCGGTGAGAGTGCCAGAGGATGAGGGCCTGGGAGAGACCAGGGTTCAAGTCCCCACTCAGCCACAAAGCTCAGCCCAAGTCCCTCAGGCTAACCCACCTCATGGGGTTGTTGTGGGGATTTAACAAGGAGGGCGGGGAATCCTGGGAGCTCCTGGGAGGAAAAGGCGAGGCAGAAATGCAATAACCAAACCAATTCCACAAGGGGCAACACTCTTTACACGATGCTACACGGATTTCAGCCGCCTGGACGGTACTCACATCGCTGGGGCTGAGGCTGCCAAGGCCGTTGTCCTGCTCCGAGTCCCGCCCGGACTCATGGCCCTGGCTGGCGTGGGGGTGCGAGGGGTGGATCCAGAGCTCCAGGCGGGTGGCATCATCCCCAGAAGGCCGGAAGGCCGACTTCTTGCCTTTGCTCTGCCGGCTGGGGCTCTTCTTCTGCTCCACCTGCTCCACCTGCACAGGGAGGAAGAGGCGCCGTGTCAGGGTGGGTGCTCCTGGGCAGAGAGGGAGGCTGGGGGCGAGGAAAGAGGTCCGCAGCCCTCACCCCACCCCTTACCTTCCGCTTGGTCTCCTCGAAGAGGCTCATGAGGCTCTCCTTGGCAGTGAGGATGGGGTTGCTGGCTGCAAGGCTGCGCATGTAGTAGTAGACTGCATCCAACTTCCTCCTCTGCAGAGACAACAACAGGAAGATCCCCTTACAAGACAGTACCCGGCAGAGGGGCGATTGGGGGGATCCAAAGGGAACACCCTCCTTCTTGCTGAGAAAGGGGAGGTGGCAATGGACGGAGAGGGGCAGATGAAGCTTCTAGGACTGCAACAAACACAAGCCCCACAGGATAAGGTCTTTGCCAGGGGCAAAACTCTAAGAACATAAGAGCCTGCTGGATCAGGCCAATGGCCCAGCATCCTGTTCTCGCAGGGGCTGAACAGCTGCCTGTAGGGAACCAGGAGGCAGGATCCTCTCCTGTAATCTCCAGCAAGTGGAATCCAGAAGCATTTCTGCCTCTGACCGTGGAGGCAGAGAAGAGCCATTGTAGCTAGTGAGCAGCTTTACACTGAGAGTTTTACTGCTATTTCTTTTAGCCACATTGGTCTGTATTTACAATTCTGAGTTATCACAAGATGGCCAATGATTGGTAATTTTCCTATGCCTTAGTTACCGTACGTCTGTGGTAGGTGGAGCTTCATGCTCTTTTGGTGAATAATAATAATTTCTTATTTATACCCCACCCATCTAGCTGGGCTTCCCCAGCCACTCTGGGCAGCTTCCAACAAAATATTAAAATACAGTAATGCATCAAACATTAAAAGCTTTCCTAAATAGGGCTGCCTTCAGATGTCTTCTAAAAGTCTGCTGGTTGTTTTTCTCTTTGACATCTGGTGGGAGGGCATTCCACAGGGCGGGTGCCACTACCGAGAAGGCCCTCTGCCTGGTTCCCTGTAACTTCATTTCTCGCAGGGAGGGAACCGCCAGAATGCCCTCGGAGCTGGACCTCAGTGTCCGGGCTGAACGATGGGGGTGGAGACACTCCTTCAGATATACAGGACCGAGGCCGTTTAGGGCTTTAAAGGTCAACACCAACACTTTGAATTGTGCTCAGAAATGTACTAAATTAATATTATATAGTAATATTTCATGCTATAAATGTTTTTGTAAGGATGCATAAAAAATATTTTTCACGGGATATTCTTTAGTGAATTTCATTGTGTTATTATCTTCCTTAGTGGGTTGTGCAAATTCTGAATGATGCTTTTTATAGGGTTGGGGTTCCTGAGAATGAATTTTAGAACAAAGGGCTTGGGGCCCTGAAAAGTTTGGGAACCACGGCTCTAGACTCTCTTGCAAAGGAACTCCTGCTAGCTCAGAGAATGGAGAGTAGTCTCTCCCAACCTTGAAACCCTAACAAGTTTTTGTACTACAACGCCCATCAGTCCCATCCAACGCTGATGGGGGTTGTAGTCCAAAACATCAGGAGGGATGCCAGGTGGGGGAGACCGACACAGAGTGTTTCTGTTTTCCAGTGGTGCTAATAAGGACCTCAATCAGAAATGAAGTGTGTGGCTCCTAATAAATGGCATATATATATTCCTGGGCACCTTGTTCCAAAACCCCTTACGCTGATCGGGGGGAAAGCAGGAAGCCCCGTCTCTGTCAAAGTCACACAGATGTGACTCAGTCACATCTAGGGCTGCATCCTTTAGAGCAGAGGAAGTTGCTTTATACAGAGTCAGACCACTGGGTCTGCTTAGCTCAGTGCTGTATACGCTGACCGGCAGCCGTGGCTCTCTAAGGTCTCAGGCAGGGAGTCCTTCCCAGTCTTTGAACCTGGGACATTCTGCACACAAACCTGGCACCTTGGCTACCCAGCAGCTGGTCTAGATGGTTTAATTAATTTAATAACGATTAGATACTCCTTGCTTTAAAAAAACAAAAGGATTTATAAAAAAGGGGAGAAAACAAGAAACTTATCAACAAGAAAAAAGTAGTAACAGTAATTTCAGACTTTTTGAAAAGCTAAAATAATGAGAGACTAAAACCGCATGAAAACTCATGCCAACTTAAATTTCAAAAATCAGTTTAATCATTGGTTAGCCTTCCACCAGAACAAGGACACGCCTTCCTAGCACCATGGTCTATCTGCACGATGTACGATTTGTCCTCGATAACCCTCACCCAGCGAATTTATGTCCACAGCCGTGGCGCTTCCTCATGCCAAACCACTTGCAATGGGTTTTGAGTACAGAGGCCTGAAAATAAACGAGGGGTTCCGTCCTGAAGGGGGGCCTGCAGCACCCTCAGATCTTTGGACCAGACGCTGTGCTGTGTGGTCACACTGCAGGAATAAAAAGCTAGCAAACTCTGTACATCTAATGAACCTTATTGACAGATGTTTGAGGAATTATCCATTTCAGTCAGTAAGTGAAAAAGAAGCAATGCCCACATGTTCATAAACGCTTATAAAGTCTACTAGTAATTATTTTCGACAGCTGAATTAATTTGTCTAACGAAATATTAGCAATTTGGGAAATAGCTGCCATGCATCTGAAACACTGGCAAAATAATTAAGAAATGTAAGCATTTTTCATGAGCGAAGCGAGCCGATGCCTCTCCTGGTGCCGTGAGGCTCACAACCGTCCTGTGCCTGGACCACCCCGGCTCTCTCCCTCCCTGCATCTCTCTTACCGTGTAGACAGCCAAGAGGGCCAGCTGGTTGTACGGGCGTCCGTTCTTGGGGGCGATGTGCTGGGCCTTCAAGTACCAGCTGGGGAGGCAAGAGAGCAGAGTGACTGACAGGCTAGGCTGCATTGGGGCAGGAGACCCTGGAGTGGAGAGGCTGCCACTGGCAGAGTCCTCTGCTAGGTCCTGCCAGTGGCTGTGGCTGAGATGGGGACACCGTGACCCTGGGGAGCTGGAATTCCAGCTGTATCTGAAGTGTGGCCACACGGACCCCGTCCCATGCAAAGAAGTTCCCCAAGAACCCCTCTGGGGTGCTATGGTTCGCTCTCCTCTCAAAACTGACGTTTGTTATCCAGCCTTATCCCCTTCCCCACCACTGGCACAAAGTCCCAAAAGTATGTTGTAACTGCACCTGCTCACATCAACCCTTTTGCCCCTTCCCTTCTGTCTACTCAACTTTCTCAACGTTTAGACTGCAGGCTCCTGGAAGGAGAGAGGGAGGGGCTCCTCAGGACGGTTTCAGGCGGGGGAACAACCCCAGCCCTGCCTGGAGATTGGACCTGGGACCTTCTGCATGCCAAGCAAGTGTTCTGCAGCTGAGCTACAGCCCTTTCCTGAAGACAGAAAATTGTAGGAAGCTGCCTTGTACTGAGTCGGACCAGATGAATATTGTCCACACTGACTCTCCAGGTTCTCTGATTAGGAACAGTCGCAGCCCGACCTGAACCTTGGGTTTTCTGGACACAAAGCAGGTGCTCTATCCCATGAAGCGACACAGTCCCTTCCCCTCCAGAGGGGCCTGGCATATGACGTAGAGAGGCAGATGCCCTCCAGGACTTCCTCCCTCCCTACCTGCGTGCCTTCCCGTAGTTGGCCGTGTCGCTGCTTTGCTCTCGGTATCTGCAGATGTCTCCTTGGCAGATCAGGCTCCTCTGGGCGCTGATGAGGGCATATTTAACCTGGGGGAGAGGAAACAAGCCCATCAGTTGCAGGAAGGAGGGTGGGAGAGCCGGGGAGAGGCCTCTGCTGGAATCCAAAAACTCTTCCCTCGTATTTTAGATGGAGGCTGTGAGTGGCAAGTCAGGTGTTCCAAAGGATATTTGCAACCCACACAACACACACATACAGTTATTTTTAAACATGAAGCCAATCTCCTCTTTACAGGTCTCGGCTGTGACACTGTTCCTTGCCTCCCTCGCAAGATTGAGCACCTGCCCCTTGTCGAGTGGTGGGAAAAGGCAGGACTCCCCGCCCCCCCCCCCCAGCTCCAGCATCCTAGTTCGTTTTTGACAAGGGCAAAAGGAGATTTGATCTCCAGCTTAAAATGGAGACACAGCCGGGCTTCAGCACGCCTGCTTCCTTCGCCAGGGAAAAGCTCTGAGCTGCCCTCTGCCCAAAGAGAGGGTCTCCTTTACCATCCGTCTTCCAGGGACCCCCAGAGGGCCTGATCAACAAAGCTTCCCCGACAGACCCAGGCCCTAGCCAGGACTCACCACCTTCCGCAGGGGCTTGCTGCGCACAGCCATGCCGTCCATGTAGTCCTCCAGCTTGAACTGGTACGTCGCTTGCAGCTTCTGAAGCAAACTGTCGAAGAAATCACTGCCCTGAGACCCAGGAGAGAGAAAGTGAAAAGGGATGGGAGAGTGAGTGAGTGGACGTGGAAAGAGTACTTGAAGAACACATGCCCCGGATTCAGAATCTTCTGATGGAATAACAGCACCCATAAGAAGAGCCCTGCTGGAGTTGACCCAAAGCCTGTCTAGCTCAGCATCCAATGCATCTGTGCTTCCCACATTGCAGGGGGCTGGACTAGATGACCCTTGGGTTCCTTTCCAACTCTATTAGTCTACAATTTTACCTCCAGTTCAGAGCAATCCTGACCTCCTTGGGTCCCCCCAGCGCCACCAGTAATAGACTTGGGGGCGAGCTGGTTCACTAACCAACTCCTGGGATTCCACCACGGTCCTTCTGGGTGCCCACAAACAAGAGTTCGGCCTTGGAATCACCCAACACAGGTTGTTTATGCCATAAAGTGGGACGGGATCCAGAGCCTTTGTGCGTTCAGCACTTGTCAGTGGGCCACAGGAAGCTTTGTGAACAGCTTGGAGCTGAAGTCATCAGAATGTCAGAAATCCATGCAGCTGGATCTGGTGAAAGGGGGCCCAGCTCGCCCAGCATCCTATTCAGAGCAGACAAGCAAATGCCCCCAAAGCAAAGTCCACCAGCAGAACTCCCTGCACTTGTGAGCCCCTGCAACTGGATTCAGAAGCATACTGCCTCCAACAGCAGAGGGAGAAGGCAGGCTTAGCCACCCCTGTGAATTTGTCTCATTTTATTTTTAAAAAAGCCATCAGTACAAATCTAATAGGAGCCCTACAGCAGCCGGATTGGGCCAAAGGGGCCCCATCTAGTCCAGCCTCCTGTTCTCACAGTGGCCAATCAGACGCCCCAAAGGGAAGTGCGCAAGCAGGAGCTGAGGGCAACAGCTGAGCTCTCCCCGCTTGTGGTTTCCCAGGAGCTGGTTTTGAGAGGCACGTTGCTGGTGACAGTGCAGAGGGTGCATCAGGAAGTTCTGCTTGGGCTACAGCAGCCTGGCCTAGCCTGTTGGCCTCCAGACAGTTTGGGCTCTGATGGATATGCTGGCTGGGGCTGATGGGAGTTGTAGTCCAAAATATCCAGAGGGGTGCCCGGTTGGGTAAGGCTAGGCTGCAAAACATTTCTGACTTTACACACTATTTGCTATGTGTTAGGGGACAGACACAGCTTTTTCTTCCTTACATAAGGGGGTCATCATGCTAACATAAGCTTTTCATTTCCGTGTGTTTTTAAAACCACCGTATTTGGGGTCAGGTGTACTACCCCGACCCTTGGGACAGTGCCCTCCCCCTGGCGATGGCCACAGGGCTCAGCCTCAGGCGTCCTTACCTCGTCCAGGATCTGGAGCAGCTTGGTGCGGATCTCCTGGGCCTTCTCCCCAAGGGGATCCTTGAGCAGCTGTCGGAACTTCTCGATCACCTGGTAGAAGGCATTCTTCCACAGCAGCTGGTCCACGTTCTGGGCGTCAGCAAACTCGATGTCGGTCAGCAGGCAGCGCTTGTACAGCTGCAGCATCTCCACCCTGGAAAGGGGCACAGCTAAGCCCAGGGGCTTCCGCCTCAAACACTCCCCCCCCCTTACAGTTCATCTCTTCCACAGGACTCTACTCAGACCCACAATGATACTTGGGGCAAATGTAAGAGGAGCTCGGTAGCTGAGTTGGACCAAAGACTCACCCGAGTTCAGCATGCCATTTCCCCCAAAATGGCCAACCAGAGGCCTCTTCTGGGAAGTCCATTAATAGCACAACCCCAACTGTTGTGACTCCCCAGGCAAAAGCAGCAGATTCCACAGACAGGACTTCTCGTTTTCCACTAACCAGCTTAACCCCCTTTTAAAGCCTCCTTGGACATCTTCTGACAATGAACCCCATTAATTAGCAATGCCCTGTTTTGGAGTACAGGCAAAATACATTATTCGCCTAGGCTTCTGGTTTTTAACTGGGAGGGCAGCTGGATACGTCCGTGACCTTGGTGGTTGTGCTCATCCTTTAAGAAGAGAGAATAGGACTTGTTCCTTTCGAATGGATGTTTGGACCAGTATTTTAGGTTTCGTTTACTGTTGTTTTTCTATCTGATCTTAATGTTTTTATTTTTGTTGCATAAGTCACTTTAAGGCACGCAGATGCAAAATGCAACTAATGAATATAAAAGCAAGATCCTCTTGCTGCGAAAAGGCCTTCCTTTCACTCCTTTTATGTTCTCTTAAGGATTCGACAAATGAATGGAGGGTAAGGCTACCAATGGCTACTAGCCGCCTTGACTATGTTACACCTCCAATGCCAGAGGCAGCATTATTGATTTGTATTCTGCCTTTTTCTTCACTGAGTTCAGGGTGGCCTACATGGTTCTCCTGCTCCTCATTTAATCCTCACAACAACCCTGTGAGGCAGGTTAGGCTGGGAGGCAAAGACTCACAGAGTGACTCAGCCAGTGAGCTTCATGACTAAGAGGGGATTTGAACCCTGTTCTCCCAGGTCCTAGTCCAAGGCCACACTGCCTCTTTACTAAGCGCCTGGAGGCCAGTTGCTGGGAATCTTAAATGGGGAGAGCGCTGCTTTTACGCTATGGTCCCGCTTGCTTTTGGCCTTCTCCTGGTGGCATCTGGATGGCCACTGTGAGGAGAGGGTGGTGGACACAATGGACCCCTTTGGGCATGATCCAGCAGCTAGGCCGTATCATTATGGCCAAAGTTAAAGAGCACCCACTGTGGTTTCCCCTGCAAGCTGCCTGGCTCTTACAGCAGCAGGTGAGAACAGCTGTGATGCCAAGACCCCTCCCCAAACCCACCTCTGGCCAACCAGCTCCCGCCCTCTCTGCCAGCGCCCACCCTCGCCCAAGCCCTCGCACCTGAGCTGCCCCATCTTCTCCAGGCCCTCAGGGCTGAGCCGGTCCCGGGACAGGAGGTTGCTCAGCTGCTGCTCCAGGTTGCTGGCTTCGCGGAGGATCTTGCTGAGATCCTGCTGCTGCAGGCTGCGCACCTGCTGCTCCATCTCGGGGCTGAGGGGCCCAGCCAGGAGGGGGCTGCACAGGTAGGGCTCAGCCTGCCCTGGGTAGCCTGGCGGGTAATAGGTGCCTGGGTAAACCCCGTTAATGGCACCGACCTGATAGGGCAGGGAGTACCCGGCGTAGGGGTAGGAGGGGGCTTGGCCTGCCGCCCGCCCATAGTAGTAGGGGTTGTCCGAGTTCTGGAAGCGATAGTAGGAGGCCTGGGCCTGGCGGGTGTCCCCCCGGGGCGGGGGGGCCGCCTCGTCGTCCGTGTCGAGGAAGTGCAGCTGGGAAGCTTGGCTCTTCAGGGCTGGCTTCTGCTCGGGGTTGTTGGGGTCCCACAGCCGGCGGGCGGTGCCCCCTCTGCCCCTCCCCCTGGTCCCCTTGCCCAGGCCGCCGCTGAAGAGGAGCCGCGGCCCTGAGTGGGGGGCTTCGGGGGAGCCAGCACCACTGGCGGTGAGGTCCGTGTTGGCCGGGAGGACCAGGATGCCGCGGCCCCTGCCCTGGGGCTCCCGGCTGGAAGAGCCCTTCCCCACTTCGGCGGCCTCCGTGGAATCGCTCAGGCTGGCCTCCGAGGGCTTCCGCTTGCGCCACTCTGCCTCAGAGGGCTCCCCCCGCCCGCCGCCCCTGCCGCCCGCTGAGGCTCCCTTCGCCTCCCGCCCGCCGGCGCCCCGGGAGAGCCAGCCGTGCTCCAGGCGCCTCTTGGCTGCCTCCGAGTCCCTGCTGGAGCCACGGGCTGCCTCGGCCTCCTCCTCTTCCGCCTTGTCTTCATCCAGGGAGTCCGTGGAGGAAGCAGAGAGCTGCTTCCGGGGACGGGGCCTCTCCTTGGGTGGCTCCTGGCGCTTCCGCCCGGCCTCTGCCTCCCCGCGGGCCCCGTCGGCGCTGTTGTTGCTCCCGGCTGAGCTGGTGCTGCAGGTGCGGTAGCGGTTCCGCCGCTTGTCCGAGCGCGAGTAGCGCTTCGGGGTGCTCTGGGCCTTGCTATGGGCAGCTGCCTCCTCACCGCCTTTCCGGACCTGCTCGGCCCGCCTGCCCTTCTCCCCGCCACGGAGGAGCTTGGCCCCCTCCTGGCTCAGGCCCCCTTCCTGCCCCTCAGGGGCCGCTGGCTTCCTGTAGCCCTTCCCAGCGTCCCTTTCGGGCTCTTCACCCCGCTCCCCCTTTGCGGGGGGCTCCTCGGCCGCCAGCTGGGGGGCAGCGGGCTCCTTGGAGGGGACCTGCAGGCGCTTCCCTGGCTGGTAGATCTGCTGGTCAGGCTTCTTGGCTCGCCGGATGATACGAGGACACCAGTCCTCAGGGGAGACCCCCGGATCTTGTAGGGCCCCTGCCTCGGCAGTGCCTTCCAAGAGGCCGTTGGGCTGCTGCTGGCTGCTTCCTCTGGGGGGGTCCTGAGGGGCTGGGGGCTCTTCCTTGCTGGGAGCAAGGGGAGCTCCTCTGTCGCCAGCCAGGGCGCCTCCCTTGGCCTCCTCCTGCTTGGCTGAGAAGCTGAGCTTGTTCCGCAGTCGGGAGAGGCCTGGCTTGTAGATCTCGAGGTCAGGGCGCCGATTGTCCTTGCGGTGGCGAGGCTCCTTTGTAGTCTCTGCAGAGAAGGAAAAGCACAAGGAGGTGGTCAGCCTCGGAGCGGATAAGAAGCACCAAGGGAAATCAGGGACATGGTTATGGGCTTTGCCTAGGGAGCAAGAGAGCCAAAGAGGCAGGGGAAACAGTGAGCTGTGACCAACACATAGCAGGACCAGCACAGGGTCAAGAGGAAGATGTCTGACTGAGCAGACCTGGTGCCAATTCGCTTCCCTTCGGAGTCAAATCGCTGGTTCACCCAACTCAGTACTGCTAACACATACTGGAAGAGCCTCTAGAGCAGTGATGGCCAAACCGGGCCCTCCAGCTGTTTTGGGACTACAATTCCCATCATCCCTGACCACTGGTCCTGTTAGCTAGGGATAATGGGAGTTGCAGTCCAAAAACAGCTAGAGGGCCAAGTTTGGCCATCACTGCTCTAGAGCATTTCAAGCAGGACTCTCTCACAGGACAGAGAGCGGGAATGTTATTTCTCAAGTAGCACAGCTCCCCATCGCTCAGGGAGGACTGGAAGCATCCCCTCCCTGACATCCTGGAGAGCTGCTGCCAGCCAATGTCGGCAATACTGAGCTGGATGGACATTTTCCTACGGACATGAATGCGTTTCCTTCTGACCCTCCCTCTTGGTCCCCACTTCAGTTCTTTGGCGTTCACCAAGTGGCTGCTTGGCCACCTCACTAAACTGACATTGACAGTTACAAACTTGAGTTTCTCTTTTAATTTGCCCACCCCCCGTGCATGGCGCTTCCCACCACATCCCACCCAAACGGCCACTTCCATGGTGACGTATTGTCATAAAGCTTCCCAGAGCTTTATCAGGATGCCGCCTCTGCCCTGCCAGGTGCTTTTTTCAGACACAAAGTATTTTTCACGGGCTTCTCCCCAAATGCGGCCCAAAGACGACACGCGCAGCCCCCACCCCACAGGAACCTCTTTGTGCCAATTCATTCAGGAAGCCAGAACAGACCTCCCACAGGGGAGAACATCCTGAGAGTAGCAGGGGGCTCCCACTGGTTGGCTCCCTGTGCCATTGCCAGCTCAAAGGCTGCCAGGAATGCCAGGTGGCCTCCTCAGGTGTTCTGAGCTGGCAGGGATCGGAACCCCGAAGGAAGCAGTGCCCGTGGCAACAGAGCCTTGGTGGGGTGGGGTTCCGGAACCTTCCAGCCAAGGGGAACACTGGGAAAAAACAGGACTGCTGGTGGGGAAAGATGGCTCAGCTTCTGGAGTATTGGCTGAATGTGAGAACGCAAGACTGTAAGAACAGCCTAGGGGGTCAGGTGAGTGGCTCATCTAGTTCAGTATCATCTTCTCATAGCGGCCAACCAGATGCTCCCAAACAGGATCTGAGCCCAGGAGCTCTTTCCCCTCCTGTGGTTTCCAGCCACTTGTGTTCAGAACCATTGCTGCCTCCAACTGTGGAGGCAGAGAAAAACCATCTTCTCCATGAACTTGTCTAATGAAAACATAAGAAGAATCTGCTGGATCAGGGCAAAGGTGGTCCATGTAGCACAGCAACTCAGAAACTACTCCTTCTGGGTCAGCCCAAAGGCCCACCCAGTGTCTGGTTTCTAGCTGCAGCCAGCCAATGTAACGCCAGAAAGTAGGTCATGATGGGACAAAACTTTTCCCTATTAGTCCCTAGATCTGGGTGCTTAGAGGTACAGTGGTACCTTGGGTTAAGAACTTAATTTGTTCTGGAAGTCCATTCTCAACCTGAAACTGTTCTTAATTTGAGATACTACTTTAGCTAATGGGGCCTCCCACTGCCGCTGCGCAGCGATTTCTGTTCTCATCCTGAAGCAAAGTTCTTAACCCGAGTTACCATTTTTGGGTTAGCGGAGTCTGTAACCTGAAGCATCTGTAACCTGAGGTACCACTGTATACTGCCTCTAAACAGAGAGGCTCCATTTGCTGCTAATGGCCACCACCACCAGGCCTTAGACTTACAAGTGAAGTATAAGAAAACATTTGTAAACCAGCACAAAGCAAGCAGCCAATTCGGAAGCAATATGCTATGATTCTTGTTTTAACGGATGTAGAATGTGATTTCTTTTATTCTGTACTGTTCTCTTCTCCATTTCGGTTTTTATACTAATGGGAAAAAGTGGGAAGCAAACAATAGTCTAAAATGAACAGTCTCCCCAGCGTTTCCAAACCCAAACGGAAGAACTACCGTACTTTTTCGTCTATAGGACGCCCCCATGTATAAGATGCCCCTTATTTTTGGGGCCTCAAAATTTAGAAAATAGGGGGGATTGAGCTTTGGGGGATTATTGGGGGGGGGGGATGCCAAAAATCGTTTACCCGCCAGAATGCAGCACACAACTGCTTACAATTGCCACTTCGAATCTCAGGCTCGCAGTTCGTTCCAGCGGGTGAGCGATATCAGTTGCCCGATAGCAGCCAACGGCCGCCAATCACACTCTTGCTTGCTGCGACAAGAGCAGCTGTCTATTGGCTGCCGCAGCGGAATCAGGTGGGCTAATGGCTGCGATTGGGCAGCTGTGACACGAGCGGTTGTGTGCTGCGTTCTGGCAGGTGAGCGATTTTCGGCATTCCCCCCCAAATAATCAAGCGGCCAATCGCCGCTTACAATCTCGGGCTGGTACCAAAAAACCATTCGCCCGTCCCCCCTCAGCACTACCTGTGTATAAGACGATCCTAAATTTTGAACCTCATTTTTGGGTCAAAAAAGTTCATCTTATACACGGAAAAATATGCTAATAAAAAGCAAAAGCCCAGCAAGGCACCCAGGCTTCCCATCATCCCGTCCTCAAGGAACATTAAGGTGAACACACAACCACTCCATAGAAACCGACCCCCTGAATGGCAGGAACAACTTTAGGATGACAGCTGAGCTTTGTATTCCAGGTAGGACTTCACTACAGACTGCAGAGGGGAGAAGCAATGTGGTCCACAGGCTGGAGAGCTGGATTCAAGTTCTACCAGCTCTTCAGAGGAGTTCCTGGCTGGCTGTGAGCAACGTCTCCATCTCTCAGCCTCAGTCCTCCGTTTGCTGTGAGCCACCATCCACAATGAGAGAATCCTGCTTGCAGCCAGCTTCCAACATATTAACTTGAAAATCATATTTACAGCCCAATCAATGCAAGTATGGCTCTATACGTGTCTATCACCAGTTTCAATACAGACTGCAGCCTTACTAAAACATATGTGAGAGGAAACAGCCACAACCCAATGCAAGAACTAAACGTTCACTGTCTTGGGATGGTGGACAAAAAGTGCATTACATAGTGAGGAGGGTCTTGGTCCACAGGACCTCGTTTCAAGACTGATATATGGCACAAACCCACTGTGCAGTCTCAACGGGACACATTCTGTGCCAGCCTGTTTTCCACCCAATCTGTTTCTTTCACTTCCATGCTTGCACCCCATTTTTTCAGCGCAATCTTAGGGGGAGGCCCTTCTCTTGATCCTGCCACCCTCACAGGCACACTTTGTGTGGACGCAGGAGAGGGGCTTCCCAGTGGCTGCTGCTCCCCCAGACAACTTTGGAGCTCCCTTCCTAGAGAGATTAAAGCTGGTTCCCTCCTTGCTGTCCTCCGGAGGGTGGGTGAAGACCTTTCTCCAACAGGCCTTTGGGGAACTGACTGCTTTTAAGGAAACAGCTCTTAATATTATTGCTTGACTGCCCTTTCCCACAAGGCCCCAGGGCGAGTCACAACTCCAAGCACAACTTTAAAACTACAGTACTTGCAATCAACAAAATGAGGCGGGTGCTTATTTTAAAACAACAGCCTTCTGTGCTGTTCTTGCTTTGCTTTGTTACTGCTTGCAGTATAACAGATCAAGTTTCTTTCAAACTTTGCTCTAACTCCATTGATGTTTTAATCACTAAAAAAACAACAACTATGGTCTTTTATGTTTTTAAAACATAATGCATGTGTTTTATGCACTGGTGAGTTTTTAACGTTTTATGATGTTTTTACATGTGTTGGAAGCCACCCAGAGTGGGTGGAGTATAAATAATAAAAAATACTATTATTACTATCATTATCTTCACGTATTCTGTGCTTCACCGCTGTGTTTTGTTTTTAATCTTTCGCGAGCCGCCTTGAGGGAAAGGCGGGGTGCAAATGAATAAACAGAATAAAAACGAAAAACCCCACCGAGATCAAATTAAATATAGAATAACGATGAAGATGAGGGTGACAATGGTGGCGATAACGATCCCCTCACGGTAAGAATAACGGCGGAGGGGTGAGAACCGTGACAACCACCCCCACCACGCGGGGGTAACTGCCAGAAGCTCCCCGCAAACTCGCGTGTCGGCGGGCCGTGAGGAAGCGACCCCGCCCGCCGCGCGCCTCCCCCCGCCACGCCCCCCGGGCCCGTTCACACGGAGCGAAGCCCCGGCCGGGCGCGCCTCTCCTCCCCCCGCGGCGCGCCCCCCCCCCGCGCGCCCACCTGGTCCTCCGCTGCCCCTGGCCGCCCCCGAGGAGGCCGCCTCCGCCGCCGCCAGGACGCCTCTCCTCAGCTCCGCCGCCGAGACGCGGACGCGCTCCAGCTCCGCCGCCGCCGCCATTTTGGCTCCCCGGGAAACGAAACGGGCGGACGGCGGCCGACGCGGGACAAGGCGCGCCGCGGGCGAGAGCGAGGGGCGGGACGGAACGCGCAGGCGCAGCCTCCACAGAGGCGAGAGGGGCGGGAAGCAGCTCTCGGGTCTCGAAAGCGCTTCGCCTTTGCCCCGCCCACAGGGCCACGTGGCCTGCCAAGGATGCGTAGAGAAAAGAAAGGGTAGAGTAGCAACTCAGCTCTCAGGATAGACGAGGAAGGGGACGCCGGAGTCTTCGGTTAAATCTCCGACGTCTCTCGCTCCCTAGCCTGCAATCCGGGAGAGCCGCTTTGCTGCTAGACGGGCTCAGTATAAGGCAGCATCCTGCGCTGCTGTTTAAACCAGCCTTGTATCTAAAACACTGAGGACCAGATTCCTATTTCATTCCCCCCCCCCCCAACATGAAATGAGATTTTCGGGCAGCAGCACGTTCAGCTGGTTTAATTTTGAAAAGGTGGTCGCAAAGAGGGGAATTCCTGCTCTGTTTAGAGGGAGAATGAAGTAGGAATGGGAAAGAGAGGATTTAAATGCTGTTGCATCTGTTTCCCCTTCTAGCAGGGTGCATGCCCTCTCCTCAAGCCCTCCAACCATGGCAGCAAACAGGCCAGGCTGACTTGAGCCCATGTGCTGAAGGCCCAAGCAGCTGTAGAGCACCAAGTGAGAGCCCCCTCCTCCATGCATTTGCTTGAGCCTCTTTGAAAGCCATCCCCATTGCAGGCCCTCACTGCCTCTGGTGGGAGCGAGTTCCATAGTTTAACTACCGTATTTTTTGCTCTATAAGACTCACTTTTTCCCTCCTAAAAAGTAAGGGGAAATGTGTGTGCATCTTATGGAGTGAATGCAGGCTGTGCAGCTATCCCAGAAGCCAGAGCAGCAAGAGGGATCACTGCTTTCGCTGCACAGCGATCCCTCTTGCTGTTCTGGCTTCTGGGATTCAGAATATTTTTTTCTTGTTTTCCTCCTCCAAAAACTAGGTGCGTCTTGTGGTCTGGTGCATCTTATAGAGCGAAAAATACGGTATTTGGCGCAGCCGAAATGTAATTTTGGAAAACCTCAAGGGCTGATATTTTTACACAGAGATCAGAGCTAAAAAAGTTTTGCTCCTACTTTTTGCAGGGGAAGGGAGTGTGGTGGGGAGATACATGCTGCTACCATCTGAAGGCAGCCCTGTTTAGGAAACTTTTTAACGTTTGAAGTTTTATTCTGTTTAATATTCTGTTGGGAGCCGCCCAGAGTGGCTGGGTAAACCCAGCCATATGAGCAGGCTATAAATAAATAATTATTATTACCACATCCCACCCCCAGATGCCCCCACTGCTGTCACTAACCAAGAAAGAAACAACATGATGTCAGAAGGAGCTGACAAAATCTGGGCTGGAGGCAAAGCAATGGTCAGTCTGAGCTAAGACTTTGGGACATAAAGACATTGGGTCTGGAGCAACTCCCCATGCTGCATTCATGCACATGAAGGACCACACTGGAAAGGCTGGTCTACCTAGGGCAGGTCATTTTCAAGCTTTTCAGATCCAGGAATGTTTTAACTCAAATCATGCATTTAGAGACTAGTTTCTTTTATCTTTTGCCATATATCAACATGGCAATAGTGATCCTGTTGCAACCCACCAGTGGGCCTGGGGACCCCCCACGACACCAGGGCACACGGATTACTTCAACACTTTTTATTTTATAGCATCTTTTTGTTTTTTGTTTACAGTTATTTACATGACACGCCCAGCTCCTCTGCCAGAGTCTGGAAGCACTAATGAGGCTAAGGAGAGGATTGCCTCGTCTCTTTTAGACGTGGGTGGGGAAAGTCTGCAACAAACACAAGTCCCCTCAGCCCCAGGAGATCTGTGAGTGCCCTCAGCCTATAAATGTAAAACAAAACCCCTGACACTTGGCAGGGAGCCCCCTCACTTCATGGCACTGCTGGCTTCAACACCTCCCACAGCCAGGAGGGGGGCACTTCCCCAAAGGGACTGAGCTTTGCTCCAGTTCTGAGCCTCCGTGGGGTTTTGTTTTGAGGCTTAAATGAAGGTCAGCTGACAGGCAGAAAAAATTAAAGAGCAGCAGGATAGAAAGCAAGTGGGTGGTGTGGAGGTGGCTGGACTCCCCCATCCGCTTTGGCATTTACCACCAGCCCTCTGGTAGTTGGGAGAATGTTAATTGCGCCTGCAAAATATATAAAACCAGTTGAAGAAATGGGAGGAGAGTGGCAAGGACCAGGTGTGAAGGGAAGCTTGCCCAGCCCCAGGCCTGACCTGCCACCATCTAGTCTCCAACGCTTGCTTAATACAGCATGACTGCTTCTTATGTGTGTCTAACCTGCACAATTTCAACCATCCATGGCTGAAGGCAGGCTGGTTGCAATTGCACAACTGAAACCCAAGCAAGGCGGATAGCTTATAAGCTATTTAGGTGCCAGGTCTGCTTGGGGTTAGCTGGTGCCTAAAGAGCTTTTAAGGTTTCTGCTTTGCTTGGGGGACAAGGCTGGCTCAGTGTGTCAGCGCTGGGATGCTCTCGCAGGGCCAGCCAAGTTCCTGTGAGATCTTGCATGAGCATCTCTAGTTTCCCAGAGTTCGCTGGCTGAGTGGGCCTTGATCAGCAAGCAAAGAGTTTAAAAGCTCCTTTGGACCAGGTCCACTTGGCACAAAAGCCTTGTGAGGACTGGGGGTTCTCTCTTTTTCTCCCCACTCTCACCTGCTAGCTACAGGGCAAAACCAAGGGTTTGGGTTGATGCAATTTTCATGTAAACATGGAAATCCTGGAACTGAACTCCCATGTAAGGTGCAATCCTACGGTGCACTCTTCCAGAAACCAAAGAGGAGCTATAAAGCAGCTCTTGCTTTCACAGCTTAAAAAGCTTTGCCAACAGATGTTTGGGACTGAACCTCCTGTCAGTCTGTGCCCCAGGGTGGCTGAGAAACAATTAACCTTCCACAGGTGGCACTGTCCCTGCCACGGAAGGCAGCACCAGGAGTGCTGTAGCTACGCATCAGCAGAACGAGACGGGAGGGGACAACAACAGGTTGTGGCTCTAACAGGACAAGACGACGCAGCATCACCCAGACGGGCACTGCTGCAGCTCCCTGGCCTGGCTCTCATCTTTGGCCTTTGATTTGGAGCAGACCTCTTGCAATTTCTGTTCTGCTCCTAGCAGGGAGGGGACCAGAGCAGGCTGGATCCTGAGACGAGCATCCCTGAGGCTGCAAGCTGACCTGTGGCCCAAGCCCCTGGGGTTGGGAGCCCGCAACATAAATGGCTCTGGAGAAGGAGGTGAGGCCAGATGGAAATGGAATCTAGAGGAAGCAACACAGCTGGAGGAGGGGGCGGGGAGACAAAACATGTGATCTGCAACAGACACCATCACTTGAGGGCCAGAGGACAAGGACATGGAGCCTGTGGGGACCCTCTAGGCATTGCCAAACTTCAACTTCCATCAGTTCTGGTGAGAGAGGAGGATAGGGAATCATGACAACCAGAGGGCCATAAGCTCCTGGCAGAGGCTGCAGGACAGAGGCCTCCCCACACTCCCCTCCTGCTCTGGCCTTTGCCCAAAACGGAAGCAGGCTCACTGCTGGGAAGGGCCAGGCCTGGGATGGATGTAAATCAGGGCAAGAACGATGGCGGGCGGGATGGTGAGGATACAAAAGGAAGACTTGGGCAGTTCGCTGGGGAGGGCCTGTTTTATTCAGAGAAAAACACACACTACCTCACATTCCGGGGAGGGGGGAGGAGACGACTCCATGCGACACTCAGCAGAAACCCTCCCCGTGGGCTCCATCAACAGCAGGTTTGTCCCAGGTGGCCCAGTACTCTTGAGTCCCTGGGGCGGGGGGCTGATGGTGCCAAGCGGCCATGAAACAAGCCAGGTTTGAATTCCAAGCAAACTCTCCAGATTCCGGCCATTGTGAAAAAGAAACGGAGGGGGGGGGTGCGTTTCCAAGTTTTTGTGTTTTCTTAAAAGAAAAACCAGAACTAGCGTCAGCCCCTGAGAGAGGAAGAAAGGGGGCTGTTTGTTTGTGGGTAAGTTGGGGGAAAGCCAAGCTGTCCTGAGGGCTGCTCTACCAGTGGAGGCCAGAAGGGGGCGTCTTCTCGTCCTTATTGCTTTCCAGGGAAAAGGGTGGGATCCGGACGTCGAAGTGGGAGCCGTCGGGCCGCTCAAAGCGGAAAGTGCCCCTACGGAGCAAAAGCAGAGCTCAGAGTGAGGGGTGACCCAGAGCAGGTTAGAGGGCGGGCGGGGGGACACAACCAAGTCACTCTGTTCGGGGCCATTCCCGTTTATTATATCTTAAAACCTGTTAACTCAGGAGGACTGCACTGCCACAATAGGCAAGAGAAAATATATCTGTACCGCAATTTTAACTCCAGCTTCTTCTTTCAACAAGACCATAAAGAGAGCTCTGCTGGGTCAAGCCCAAAGGGGCCCATCTAGTCCAGCATCCTGTTCTCACAGTGGCCAACCAGATTCCCCAAAGGGAAACCCACAAGCCCTCTCCCCTCCTGGGGTTTCCAGCAACTGATCATTAAAAGCATTTCTGCCTCCCACCATGGCAGCAGAGAGTAGCCATCGTGGGTAGCAGCCATCGATAGTCCTCTCCTCCTTGTTATCTGTTAGCTAGTCTCCTTTCCCTGCTCCGATACTTTCCATCTTTCCTTCCTTTACGCTTCCCAACGAGTCTGGCAGCTGATGCTGCACATTCTTTTTAAAGCAGCTCATCAGAACCAGGGTGGGCTGGAGGAACTGGGATGCATCCAGCTGAATTTTACTCCTAGAGCGGAGTCAGTGAAATTAACAGACCTAATTTCAGCCAGTCTGCTCTGAGTAGGACAAACATCAGATAAAACCTATTATTGGCAGAGACATCTAACAGCAAAACTCTTCCGTTTATGAACACATTTCATAAACACACCAGGCAGGAAAAGGGAAGCCTCCAATTGTGTGGCAGTTAACGTAAGAATGTAAGTAGCGGCTGCTGGATCAGGCCAAAGGAGGCTCAAAACAGTCCAGGTTCCTGTTCTCACAGCATCCTACCAGATCTTCCCCCTCCTGTGGTTTCCAGCCACTGGCATTCAGAAGCATTGCTGCCTCCAACAGTGGAGACAGGGCAGAGCCATCGTGGCTGGTAAGAGGTGATACTGTGTTAAGATTTGATGATCAGAAGTGGCCAGGGCCAACCTGAGGGACCTATAAACACCAGCCCTCTGATTCAATACACTCCCAAGGCATGTTTCTCACCCCACCTGGCCAACCTGCCCGTTAGCCATCTGGCCGCTGCCACCTTGGGGAGGCTGCCCCCAGGGAAGCTGGCTTCCCACCCTCCTCTCTGGTCTTTCCTGCTGTGGCTCTGGAAGCCTCCGGTTCCTTACCACATGTGGCCGCTGGATGCTTGCAGGGAGACATGGCTGCTGTACTGGAAGGCTGGCTGTTCTTTGGACAGGACTGGCTCCTGGGGAGAGAAAACGAAGCATCACTGGAGAGCCGCCTCCCGCCTCACCTCCTGCTCTGCATAAGAACAACCTTCACCAACCATCTGGGGGCTGATGGGAGTTGTTCATGCTAAACTGCTTTGTTCTGTTTGAGACTTCTTCCAGGAAGAAGAACATAAGACCGGCTGTGAGACCTGGAAGACCTTGCAGGCCCTTTTCCACCTGGCCTGGGTGGGTGGGGACCTGGCTGACTCCAGCTACAAAAGCTGAGGCCAGAGACCACCTTGGCTGTCTTTCCGTGCAGACCCAGGTCTTCCAGCCTGAGCTTCCACAGCCGCTGCCCGCCATGAACCACCCCTGGCAGGACTGGCAGCAACAGCAGCAGACACATTCTATGCTTAAGACAATATTTCATTCTCTTGCCAATTATGCTGTTTTCAATGTGCATTTTATAGCTGACTTCCTTCAGTAATGGTTTCCTTTGATATGTTAAAGATTTTTTTTTGTTAACTTTGCTGCATTAAATGTGCATTCTGCAGCTGACCTCTTTTGCAATGTTTCATTTTGAAAGCTTTAAAGATAATATCTCAGCTTCCTGTATTATGTGGTTTTGAATGTAGACTTTATATTTGACTTTCTTCAGTAATGTTTTAATGTAGGGTTGCTAAACCACTTTGAGATTTTGTGTTCTATAAAAATATAGATACAGAAACGAAATGAATATTAACAATCATGGTAGGAGCCTGCGGCTGCATCAAACCAGTGGCCCATCCTGTTGTCACAGTAGCCCACCAGAAGCCCCAGTGAGTAGACCTTTAGCAAAACCCGAGCACAAGAGCCCCCCGCCCCCCCGCAGAGCCAGCCACTGGTACTCAGAGGCAAGAGATAAAAGGCCAGTTTTAAACCCCCTCCAGGGGGGGCACTTACTCTCCCCACGACCCCTCGGCCGCGCACTGTCTCCAGCGTGCCCGACAAGCTGAATATCCTCCAGTGCCGTTCCCGGAGCTGCACGACTTCGTTGTTGAGGTTCTCCAGGCGGATGCAGTAGCGCCACTTGAGGCGAGAAGGAGTGAGGAGTCACAGTCAGAGCAGGAGAGCCAACAGCAAAGGGCTTCCCAGCCAGAAAAGGGGGGGGGGCTGCCCACAGAGGCCTAGACACCCTTGCAAGGCCAGAGCCCTCTCCGCCACTCCACCCTTAGCATGCAAGCCCAGGGGAAAGAGCACTCACCCAGTAGACGTGGGAATTCTGGGCTTCCTGCAGGAGAGAAGAAGAGAAGGCGGCCTTTGTCATAAACAGTGCACTCCATGTCAGAAACCCATGGCTACCGGCCGCTCCCCACGGGATTTCCAAGCCCCACATCCTTGGGAGAGACAAGGAAGGGGTGGCCTACGATGGGCATTGCAAGCTTACTCGGCTACAAGTGATCGCCAAAGAGAAAGAAGACTGCCTTAGCGGCTTTTCAAGAAGTCTGGAGGGGTCTCACTCACAGCAGGTTTCTGTTTATTCATGGCAACTAATGGGAATCTCTGTCTAAAGCCCTGACAACTGATATTGAGAAGACCCCTTTTGGTGCCTGCTAAAAGCATTCCTGTTTAGACAAGCCATAGAGAACGGCCAGTGCCCTGAAGCCCAACTGACCCTTTTGCCTGACCTAGCACAACAGCCCTTTCTCCTTGCAACCCTGGGACAGTGTGGGAGAGAACCAGCCACACAGGATGATTTCCTAAAGATATGGACCCATTCGCTTTGCGACGCAAGATACAGGCCTGAGGATGGTGTATGAAACCTGCAGGGTCTGCGACACGTTCCCCTGGAAGGGCCACCCAACCAGCTGCTCCCGTTTCAAGGTCCCTGAGGCTTTGGCGGCACCACGACTTGTGTCAGAAACAACGGCTGCTGCTGACAGGCGTACCCACAGCGAGGCCTCCAAGGGGCACGGGGCCAGGCACCTACCCGCATGCCCATGTAGAAGGGGATCACTGTGACCCGAATGTTCTCTGTGGTTTCCCGGTGCACGTCGGACAGCTCCAGCCACGGGTGGTTCTTCTCCTGCCACGCACACAGTGTGTCCCTTGCCACAAAGGGTGGAACTGGAGGGGAGGGAGAGAGAGGAAAAGGTATTTCCAAGGGAAAGTAAGCACAGAAGGTGTTTACCCACAGAAAGTAACGTGGACAAGACTTTTGGGGAAGCAAGTTGAAGTGGGAATTACAGTATGCGCTTTGCTATATGCGCTTTACAGTATGCCGGAAACTACAACTAATCCAGAATGCGGCAGCTAGACTGGTGACTGGGAGCGGCTGCCGAGACCACATAACACCGGTCTTGAAAGACCTACACTGGCTCCCAGTACGTTTCCGAGCACAATTCAAAGTGTTGGTGCTGACCTTGAAAGCCCTAAATGGCCTCGGTCCAGTATATCTGAAGGAGCATCTCCACCCTCATCGTTCTACCCAGACACTGAGGTCCAGCTCTGAGGGCCTTCTGGTGGTTCCCTCACTGCAAGAAGCCAAGTTACAGGGAACCAGGCAGAGGGCCTTTTCGGTGGTGGCACCCACCCTGTGGAACGCCCTCCCACCAGATGTCAAAGAGAACAACAACTACCAGACTTCTAGAAGACATCTGAAGGCAGCCCTGTTTAGGAAAGCTTTTAATGTTTGGTGCATTACAGTATTTTAATATTTTGTTGGAAGCCACCCAGAGTGGCTGGGGAAGCCCAGCCAGATTAGCGGGGTATAAATAATAAATTATTATTATTGCTATATAAATTGTACGTGAACAGATGTGGAGGAAAAGAGTGTGTGAGTAATCTGTTTACTGAGGTTATATTAAGAAAGTATCAAGAATGTTTGCGCAGGAAGAACTCATCCTTGAGCTCACCCAATAAGGAGGGGAGGCACCCTGTTCCTCTCGATGAATCAGGCACCCAGCTCTGCTCATGCAGGAAGGCTTTTCCTCTCTCACAACATGACTTCATTCCTATGTGCTAAGCTAAGGCGAGGGAATGCCGTTTTTTAAAGCCTGCATGGTTTATAGGCCCAGGAACTCCTCATCTGGGGGTCCCCCAGCGGCCACTGTTGCTCTGACCAAGTACAGCTGTCTCAAACGTCACAATGGTGTGTCTGTTGAACAAAAATCTGCCACAAAAGGTTTTTAAAATGTAGCATTCACCTTGCATAAGAAGAAGGGGGAAATCAGAAAAAAGGCCACATTTATTGCGGCTTCTGGCTGAGCTGGCGCACCACTGAAAGCACTGAGCTGGGCTTCAGCCCATGTCTGCCTCTCTTAGAGGGGGAGAACATATTGGCCTTTGCAGCCTTTCCCCCCAAGTAAGAACTCACCTTTCGTCTGATCGTACAGGAGGAACCGTTCGAACAACTCGTGCTGGATGGGCACCTGGTCGGTGGAGGTATATGGAAGGATGTCTTCGTGGCTTACATAGTCAAGTCCTAGAAGGGGATCCCAGAGAAAAAACACACATCTAGGTATTTGCAGAGGCCAGGTAACAGCAGCCAAGTGCATCAGTTATTATCCTCAGCTTCAGAATCAGAACACAATCCTGTCCAGAAGCCCCAGCTGACACGCCCACAAAAGACAACAAATTATCCTACTCGGAGGAACATAGGAAGCTGCCTTTTGAAGTAGTGACTCTAAAGATTCTAGTCCTCATGGTTCCAAATATAGACCAGGTTTCAAATGTTACATAGGAAACTGCCTTATCCTGAGTCAGACCACTGGTCAATCTAGCTGAGTCCCGTCCACACTGACGGGCAGCAACTCTCAAGGGTTTCAGGCAGGAGCCCTTCCCAGCCCTGCCTGGGGACTGAACCCAGGACCTTCTACATGCAAAGCAGATGATCTGCCACCGAGCGACAGGCTGATCGCTGGTCTAGGTGCCTGATCAGATGGGGGCCTATTTGCCGAATTGAATGAGATTTTCATATGTTTATATTATATAGAACTGACCATAAGCACACAAGTCAGGTAAGCATGGAATAAGATTTAAAAAACTAGTCCACAAAAGGAAAAAGGCTAACCTATTCCTTTATATCGCCTAGTAGATATGTGTTGTTTTTTTTAAAAAAGAAGACCATCACTTGATTGTAAAAGAAAAAACCCCGCAACAGTTCACAAAGTAGACCCATTGAAATGAATGGCCACAATTCACATACTGTATTTTCTGGCGTATAAGACTACTTTTTAACCCAGGAAAATCTTCTCAAAAGTCGGGGGTCGTCTTATACGCCGGCTACAGCAGAAGCTCCTGCAGCAACTCCCCACCAAAGGATAAAACGACAGCAAATTAAATCAGAGGACACCAAGCTCTCTAGATGAAGCAGAAATACGCTTGAAAATTGGCCCCAGAGGCCCCCGGCCACTGGGAAGTGGAGCGGATTTCTGAACCGGACTGGAGACTGGTTTTTTAAATTTTTATTTGGTGTGCGTTGGAAGAGGGGTAGTCTTATACGGCGAGTATATCCCAAATTCTATATTTTAACTGGAAAAGTTGGGGGGTCATCTTATGCGCCCTGTCATCTTATACGCCGGAAAATACGGTAGATCCATTAATTTAAATGAGTCTACTCTGAGTGGAAGATGGTTGAATAAAACCCTAACAGAGCATGTTTTACCGCTTTGCTCTTTGCCCCACCCTGGAAGTGCAGGGAATAAATTTAATGAATAATAAAACCAGCTTCCCACTCCCCTGCATGAACACTTCAGGGATTTACACACAGAGCCTGGGGAAATGTTGGGCAGCCTCCTGGACCCTCCCCAGGCAGCCACAGGGACACCTTGCTCACCTGGGATTGCATAGAGGGCTCTGCTGTCATCATGGTTCGCTAAGAAAGTCACTGCTTCCGTCTGCGATCTCTGAGACTGAGGAAGAAATGGCAAAGACAGCACTTGAGAGCTTCTGCTATTTTGTGAATCACAGAATGGTTCACAGATTAAAAACACAAAAATACATACCACAATAACAAATCAAACAATAACACCCACCCAGTTTAAAAGGCCATGGATTTAATTAGCTAAAGGCGTGGAAGAAGAGGAATGCTTTTGCCTGCCATCTAAATACATGTAATGATGGCGCCTGACAAGCCTCGCCTACAAATGGAGAGCCACCACAGCAAAGGCCAGCTCTCATATTGCCACCATCCAGAACTGTTGTGGAGAGGAAGTACAAAGGAGGACACCGGATGAAGATTACATGGTCTGAGTCGGTTCATATGGAAAGGGGTGGTCCTGAACATAAGAAGAGCCCTTCTGGATCAGGCCAATGAATCATCTAGTCCAGCATCCTGCTCTCACTGTGGCCAACCAGATGACAATTATGGGAAACCCGCAAGCAGGATTTGACCACAAGAGCAGCACTCTTCCCTCCCGTGGTTTCCAGCAGCTGGCATTCAGAAACATTGCTGCCTCTGACCGGGGAATCAGAGCATAGTCTTCTTGGCTAGTAGCCAACAATAGCCCTCTCCTCCATGAATTGGCCTCACCCTCTTTTAAAGTCATTTAGGCTGGGGGCCGTCGCTGCCTCCTGTGGGAGGGAGTTCCACAGCTTAACTCTTTGGAGGAAGGGTAGGATACAAATTTAACCAACACAACAATTAATAACAAAGGCCATGTGTTAACCACCTCTGATGTAAGGCACCCTTAGATGGATCCTCCAACCGGCTCCCTCCCTGCTCTGTATGGCATCCTAGTCGTGCATGGAGGGGGGGGCAAGGGGAGGAAGGCTGAAGCACTTACTATATGTGGGCAGTCCCGAGCATCTATGAGAACCTGGTAGTACGTGTGCGTCTTGCCTTTCACTTCCTTGGATCCGTGCCCAGCTGCATTCTCACCCCTGAATCAAGACACACAGCGTGTTTTTAGAACCTCTTCTGTTAATATTTTTACAATTGTTATTGTTATTAAAATTTGTGTACTGTCCTTCATCCAAAGATCACAGGGTGGTTCACAACATAAAAATACAAAATGAGAACACAAAATACATAACAGAGCAAAAACCAAACCATTAACTCACACACCCGAAACACATTTAAAAGGCTACAGAAGGCTCGATCAGGCAAAGGCCTGGTTATATGCTAAATCCACAACAGATTTCACATTTCACAGAGCAAGTGTGGATGGGCCGTCTCTGACACAGGGCGGCAGCTCAGCCTCATTGGGGAAGAAAAAAGCCTCTTGTACGAGAAAGGAGAGGAATGTTACAAACCGGAAAATCTCAAAAGTCACATATATACAGTGGTACCTCGGGTTACAGATGCTTCAGGTTACAGACTCCGCTAACCCAGAAATAGTACCTCAGGTTAAGAACTTTGCTTCAGGATGAGAACAGAAATCGTGCTCTGGTGGCGCAGCGGCAGCAGGAGGCCCCATTAGCTAAAGTGGTGCTTCAGGTTAAGAACAGTTTCAGGTTAAGAACGGACCTCTGGAACGAATTAAGTACTTAACCCGAGGTACCACTGTATTCCACTACCTTGGTGTCTGAAGCTTTCTTAATGAATTTCCTTTATTTTAATTAGGTATGTTTTTACTGTGCTAATGAAATTATTTTATTGCTTATGTTAACTGTGTGTAAATATGTCATCATTGTTTTTATACTTTTAAACTGGTTAGAAGCTATTTTGGTGTAAATAAATGCAAAAAACCCCAGGGTCCTTCAATATGGAAGCAAATACAGTTAGGAACTTAGTTCTTGAACGTTTTGGCTCCCGAACTCCGCAAACCTGGAAGTGAGCGTTCTGGTTTGCGAATGTTCTTTGGAGCCCAAATGTCCGTTGGGGCTCCCGACTGAGTGCAGGAAGCTCCTGCAGCCAATCAGAAGCCGTGCCTTGGTTTTCGAACGTTTTCGGAAGTCAAACGGACTCCCGGAACAGATTCTGTTTGAGAACCAAGGTACAACTGTATTTTTCAATGACTTAAAAAAATTGTTTACTGTAAACCACTTGGAGTAAGCTGTATATAAATTACATTCAACAAAATGATTAAATAAAGCAGGGCAAGCTCTGCCCACTGCCCACTCTAAATACCAACCACAACAACTTAAAGCGCACTGAGCTTCTTAACATGCTCCTCTCCCTCCCCATTTCTGGCTGCCTGTGAGTGAAACACCAATCCTTCCTTACTTTTCAGGCACCGGGGAAGCCACGTCTCTGTCGTACAGCCTGGCTTGCCAAGGAAACAGGACTATCCCCCGGTATCCAAATACACTGTGGAGAAATAGCTGAAAGAAAAGAGCACAGGGGGCAGGACAAGAGAAAGCGTCAAGCGAGGCAGGCCAAGGCAGAAGAGAAAGCAGAATTTGCTCCAACCATCACGGTGAGAAATGGCAGCTCCAAGGAACCAGCTTCAGAAGGGAGGGAGGTGGGCAGCTTTAGGGCATCTACTGCTACCTAATCCAGAGTCCGGCGGGGGGGGTCGTCAAAACAAACGACAAAGGCTCCAGTAAAGGTCATGTGAAGGAAGCCAAAAATGCAGCTGTGGGCAGGACAAAAAAAATGCTACAGGTCCTGACAGTCTTCACACATCCATACTGTGTCACAGTGATGGCTTACAAGAGCCAACATTCTTTTCCACTGAGAAAAGCTTCTGTGCCTGGTTGCCTTGAAGCAAAAAAATCTGCGTGTTCCTGTGGCCAACCAGACAAGGGTCCCTTTATAAGGCTGGGCTTGCAGAATATGGTCGGGAGGTGTCCCTTTATAGTAGCACCAACTGCAAAAGAGATGGGGACACCAAAAAGAGAGGATCCCAAGCTGACCCAATCCATTGTAGAGCAACAGGCTTCCAATGCCTCTGATTCCACCCTGCCACACAAAAAACTGACCTGTGTCATATTTCCCACTTACCTGACCCGTGTCATATTTCCCATGCTGCTTTGGCACTTCAAATACACCCACCGTCTCCAGCACTTTGCCCTCAGGGCGATTCCTAGGGTGAGGACAGAGAGAAGGCTCGCCCAGAGTGTTGGTCACTGAGTTGCAAATCTGAACTGGCTTTGGACGTTGCCCCCCGCCCCCCTCCCAACCACAGCTCAGATTTCAGACTCCTATTCAGCTGGGAGCCCAGTGATGCTGATCTGCCCCACTCACAACAAATACAACAAGAAAGTAACAATGAATAAAGTAAAGCTACTTGTTTAAAGTTTAACTCCAGAGGTAACTACAGTCATGATGTCCAAGAGCTCAGATGACTTTTGAAAGGAACAGATAAACTCGCGAGGGAGGGAAGTCTATCGGTGGATGTTGGTCATGATGGTTAAAAAGAGCCTTGCACATCCCGAAGCAGCATAGCTCTGGGGATAAGAACACAGGGGACTGTGCCTGTGGGTCCTGTTTTGAGAGCTGAATTAGGTGCAAAGTGAAATCTCATTTTGCACTGGCAAAGTCAGGCAGGAGCAAGCAGGCGTCAAAGTGATTTGCGGGAGACCTGTAAGGGTTCCCGACTACAAATGCTTTAAACCAGACTTCTCCAACCTGGTGCCTGCCAAACGTTTCGGACTACAAGTCCCATCAGCCCCCAGCAACCTACAGCCATGCTGGATGAGAGTTGCGGTTCAAAACATCTGGAGGGCCCTTGGTTGGTGAAGGCCAGCTTAAACAATAGCAACAAGGTAGCGGCATCAATGACCAATGATAACTCACGTCATTCTAATAAGAATGGGAGAACTTCTCTCTCAAGGCACCTTTATACACTGGGCTCCACCCCCACAAGCCACTATTTTGCCCCTTGGTGTGGTTGGTAGGCCTTCAGGTTTTCTCTTTCTCTCTCGCCATAATATTGCACACACCCAGCGTTTGAAACTCCCATCGTTCTAGGCACATTTTGCGGCAGGGAATTTCATTAGCACGAGCAGTTTCTGAGCTCTGGGCGCAATACTGTGCCTAAGATTTCAGACTAAAAATGCCACTGCTGTTTTTCTTCCTCCCCATTTCCAGCCACTCTCTGAAGACTGGAGAAGAGACCCTCTTAAGAATATTATGGGGGTGGGCAGGGGAAGGACTAGACCATTTGAAAAATGAACAAAAGATTTTAGCTGCAGTTCATTCATTTTCAGCTTTGCATTCTTGTTATTAAAAAGTGTGCCTAGACATTCTGTTGTTGCGCCCATAACCCACGATTAAGGTGCCGTTTAGCTCCTAGCTTTCATATCTCTGTTTCTAAGACTCCACACCCCCCACAAAGCAGAACCTACAAGTATATTTATGAACTGTTAACCTCCAGGGACAGATTAATCTCTGCAAAACACCTGACCACACAACTCTGCTTGGGCCTCCTTTCTGTTGGCAATTGCCACCTAAGTTTGCTATTAGAGGGAGCAACGGGCACAAACACACTCAGCAGCTATTTAGGAAGTGACAAACAGAAGGAAGCCCTGGCTGTTGGGTCAGGCCAAAGGGGACTCACCTAGTCCAGCATCCTGCTTCCATAACGGAAGGGCCCCAGTGGGAAGCCCGCCAGCAGGACATGAATGAGGAAAGGGGGGGGGATGCAACATACCTATGAGAAGCTTAACGGGGTTTACCCAGTTGGCATGCAAGAATTTGGGGGGGATCCCGATCAGAGCCCTGGTGGAATGTCCTCGGCCTCAGTGGATTCCCTGACCTCCACTATGGATACAGCCAGAAATTGTTGGAATGTGGGGGAGGAGGTCGTCCTGAAAAGTAAGACCCCCCATCCCCCCACTGTACCCTCAAGCCCAGGCACCCCCAAACTCGGCCCTCCAGATGTTTGGGGACTACAACTCCCATCATCCCTGACCACTGGTCCTGTTTGCTAGGGATGATGGGAGTTGTAGTCCCAAAACAGCTGAAGGGCCGAGTTTGGGGCTGCCTGCTCAAGCCCCTCTTCCCAGCTGCGGCCCCCACCCCACACAAGCTCCCCCCTCCCTGAAGCCCCCCCCCGCCGTGGCTCCCCGTCCCTCTCCGCTCACCGTGAAGAAAGGGCCCTCCGGGGGACCAGGCCAGGCCACGCCCACAGGCCCGTCCCGCGCGCCGCCCCTCGCAGCGCCGCCGCCGCTCCGCAGGGCAGCCCGGAGCCGCACGAGGACGACGACGACGACGAGGAGGAGGCCCTGGCCCGGCTCAGCGCCACCGCCGCCCAGCACCGGCTTCGTGCCGCCGCCGCCGCCGCGCAGGCCGCTGCTGCCATCCCGCGGCCCTTGCGCAAGAGAGGCCTCAGCAGGCGCCCACAATGCACCGCGCGCCCGCGCCGCCGCTGCAGCCTCAGGCCTCGCTTCTTCGTCTGAGGGGCGGAGAGGACGGGGTCGCTCTGGCCCGCGCGTTGGCCATAGAGAGGGGAAGGCTTCCGGGTCACTCGCTCGGCGCCGCTTTCTTCCCCACAGAGATAAGAACCTGTAGAAGGAGCCCGAATAGGCAGTTTCCGGGGTTGTTCCTCACTCCCCCCCCACGCGGGTTTAAATGATTATAAACATTTGTGTTTTCGGGAAATAGACCAGAGTTTGCAGAAAGCTTTGGATGACGCAGGCCGCTTATTTATTCGGAGCGCTTCTTGCCCGCCTTTTTTGCGAGTGAACCCGGAATTTGCTTCTCAGGGCGACTCTTCCCTTTTGTTCCCTCTTTGTTCACCTCCCTCTTCGGGTTGCCGCGGTAACCCCAGTCAGATTCTTCCCCGCCCACTTCAGGCCCCGAGCGGTCATATGACCAGCGGCACTTCCAAGATGGCGTCCTCCCTGAAGGTGGGACCTGCGCTGCGGGGGCTCCTGCGGGGCTCCGAGGCACAGCGGCTGCCGGAGGAGCTGCGGGCCGAGCTGGAGGCGGCCCTGGCCGAAGAGGAGCCCCGCTTGTCCTTCCACTTCGTCCGAAAGCTCCACCGAGCGCTGCGGGAGGCGGGTGAGGAGAGCCCTCCCCCGGGGACTTGAGGCAGGGGTCGTGATCTTTGACCTTCGAGACGGAGGGGCAGTTCGCCTCCTCTAATCCCTGTCCGAAAGAGGCTGCCTTCTTTCCTCCACCCCCTGTGTGCTTCCTCTCCAGTAAACTAACTAACGCTTAGAAGGGGCACCTGCATATCGATCTACAGCGGTACCTCGGCTTACATACCCTTCAGGTTACATACACTTCAGGTTACAGACTCCGCTAATCCAGAAATAGTACCTCGGGTTAAGAACTTTGCTTCAGGATGAGAACAGAAATCGTGCTGCGACGGCAGCGGGAGGCCCCATTAGCTAAAGTGGTTAGCTTCAGGTTAAGAACAGTTTCAGGTTAAGAACGGACCTCCGGAACGAATTAAGTACTTAACCCAAGGTACCACTGTAATTGTATTCATGTCATGTGTTTCCATAAAGGAGCTCAAGATAACGTACATGGTTCTTCTCCCCACCCCACCCTGGTTATTTTATCTTCAGAACACTCCTGTGAGGTTGCTTAGACAGAGAGAGAGAGTGACTGACCCAGGGCCACCCAGTGAACTGACTCATGGCTGAGTCGGCATTCGAACCTTGATCTGCTTGGTTTCTCTGCCCAAGACTCTTAACCACTACACCACACTGACTCTACACTCAAAACACTACTACACCATACATAGCATAGGGTGCGCCATGGTATACACACTTATTGGGGAACAAAATACATTGAAATGGGGGTGAATAGTAAAGGGAAACAAAGCCCATGTGGTGCCCTAGTAGAGTGTTGGACTGGAGGGTGGGGGGTGAGAGAGGCAGGACCCTTTACCATACCTTACAGGCTTGTTAGGATACAAGTGTTCAAATTTCCAACCAGTTATGAAGGGCTTGCTTGGTGACCTTGGAGCCAGTCACTATCTCTCAGCCTATCCGACCTTACAGGTTTGTCATGAGGATGAAATGGTTTCCCTCCTGTGCACATGTGGAAGGGCAGGACTTCAATCCTAAATTCTCCAGTTAAAAGAATCAAGGTGAAAACCTTCTTCACACCTGAGACCCTGGAGTGCAGCTACCAGTCAAAGCAGACAGTACTGGCCTAAGTGGACAAAGAATCCGACCTAGGATAAGGCCATTTCCTATGTGCATAACATTATATCTTTCAAATTCCTTTGGCCCAGAATTCTTATTGGTGACACACCTTTTTTTTACTCCTAGGTTCTCAGGTATATCTTCATGAACTGCTGGAAGGCAGTGAGATCTTCCTTCCTGAAGAGAAAAAGCCTCCCAGGGTTTGTATGAAGCACTTACTTTTTTAATAAAAATAACTAGGTGGTTGGAATCTCTGTGGCTTCTGATGTATAAAAGGCTTTGATAAGGAGATAACTTTGCATCTCCAAACACACAGAAATTTCTAGTTACATGTATCTTAGGAAGCCTAAATCTCTCCACTCTCCCAACAAATATTTGTCATAAAACAGTGAAATTGCTGTTCCATTGCAAGTTTGTCTTCTGTTTCAGAATCCAGAATTAGTAGCCCGGTTAGAGAAGATCAAGGCCAAGCTAGCCAACGAGGAATACAAGAAGATAACAAGGAACATCAACTGCCAGGTGAGGGGAAAATAGAAACCTGAACTGTCCCACCCTTAGCAAAGATCAGCCTGATCTTACTTAAGCCATCTACGTGATACGGCTCTGCTTTGAGGAAGGGTTGGTGGATGTGGGTACAGACCCTCAGTGAAGGGCACAGGGGTTCTGGAACTAAGAATTTGTGTTAAGAATGCAAATGAACATAATAAAGATTAAGCTTCAGGGTGAGGCCCTTTCCTTTGGGGAGGGAACTGGAGCTCAGTGGTAGAGCCCCTGCTTTGCATGCAGAAGGTCCCAGGTACAACCCCCAATGGCTCTAGGTAGGGCTGGGAGGACTCCCTGCCTGAAACCCTGGAGAGCCTCTGCCAGCGTATGCAGTATTGAACTAGAGGGACACAGATCTGGGTCAGTATAAGGCAGCTTCCTATTTTCCTGTTCATAGAGTTGCTATATAGGCAGCTAATCTCTGGTTAGCATTAAGTATATGTGATGTGACTAGCGCAGTTACTGTAGTTTCTGCTGTGGGAGTTGGGTCACAGAGCTCCACATTTTATATCTGATGGCCTAGGTGACATTTTCACACCACACCTGGGAAGAAGGGAAGGCCTTTATTTGCCTTGGTCCTGAAGCTGCTTCGTTGCCAAGCAGAACAGAGGAAAGCCCTGTAAGAAGCTAACAAACTCTTCTCCCTCTTTCTTTTAGGAACTGAACCGATACGGCACTTTGGCTGACCTTGGAAGGCAAGGTGGGTTTCTGTGTTAAGAGCAGGTGGCATGTTGAGACAAGGAGAGGACAGATGGATGGGTGGTTGTGAGAGAGGGAAAGTAAGGTGGCAGAAAGGGTGGGGTGGGAACTGCAGGAAGGGGAGAGGAGACTCCCAATTTAACCTTAGTTAAATTGATAGCAGCTCCTATGCATGTCTTTTCAGAAGTAATGCCCATTCATTGGAATGGGACATATCTCAAGTAAGTATGCACGAGACAGCAACTTTAGTATTCCAGTCTTGATTTGAAATTTATTCCATAAAATTTATATACCATTTGATTGTGAAAAAAACCAAAACTTTAAAGCAGTTTACAAAAAAAGGAGAAAAGACAAAGAAAAAATAGCAATAAGCACATTTTGAAAGTTACATTAACAATAGGAACAGATGAAAACTCACATCAACTTTCTTAATGTCTGAGTAGAGTCGAATGAATTCTGCTTTTATTTAGTCGCTTAAGAAATAAAATAAAGTAAAAGTCTTTGCAAACTAAGAGGGAAAACAACCCTTTTCATTTTAGAACCACGAAAATATGTTACTTCAATGTGGGAGAATCTGAGGAGTTTCTTCAAGCTTCGGCTTCCAAAAAAGGGGAAATCAAGTGCAGCTGCCCCCTATGTTAGATTCTGAGGGGGATGAACTTTTCCCAGAAATCCTGCTCATTTTAATTTCAGGCAAGTTGACGTTGTGGGGGGCAGGAGTCACAGAGAGAAGGGAGTTGAAGAGGCAGGGAAGGCGGCACAAGATGGAAGAAAGAGCAGAGCAAAAAAGGAAAGGGAGAGGGAGACTGAGAGGTGATAGCAGCAGCAGCTGAAAGGAAAGCAGAAGATGCTGAGAGAGAGGGTAGAAATGTTTGAGGAGATGAAGAGAACCTAAGAAGAGCCTGCTGGATCAGGTCAATGCCCATCTAGTCCGGGATCCTATTCTCACAGTCACCAGCCAGATGCCTGTAGGAAACCAGTAAGCAGGATTCAAGCACAAGAGCAACTCTCCTCTCCTGTGGTTTCCAGCAACTGGTATTCAAAAGCATTGCTGCTTGTGACAGTGAAGGCAGATCATAGCCATCCTGGCTAATAGCCCTTTAGGAATTTGCTCAATTCTCTTTCAATGCCATCTTTTCAATGCCTTGTGGCAGGGAGTTCCATAGTTTAGCTGTGTGCTGCTTTAGGGGTTGGACTAGATGCCCCAGAGGTCCCTTCCAAGTCTCCAACTCCATGAGAAAGAAAGGAGGCAGTGAAGGTTATGGAAAGTGAGAGAGAAGCTTTTTGCTGTTGTTAAGGAAAGGCAGACATAATGGTGGTGATGACTTGTTCTCTTGCTCAGTATCAACCACGGGCATAGAGAAAAGGGTTTAGAAGTTTTGGCCAACTACAGTGGTACCTCGGGTTAAGTACTTAATTCGTTCCGGAGGTCCGTTCTTAACCTGAAACTGTTCTTAACCTGAAGCATCACTTTAGCTAATGGGGCCTCCTGCTGCCGCCGCACAGAGCACAATTTCTGTTCTCATTCTGAAGCAAAGTTCTTAACCCGAGGTACTATTTCTGGGTTAGCGGAATCTGTAACCTGAAGCGTATGTAACCTGAAGCGTATGTAACCCGAGGTACCACTGTATTAAATGAAAGATTGGTTAACTTGGTTCAAACTACTACATATAATATTGGAAAAAACAATAGCATGCCAGTACCTCAATATGTGTAATATGTGGTGAGACTCCAGTACTGTTAAGTTAAAACTGAAAGTCAGAATGGGTCCAGCGTTCCTGTTTGGGGGTCAGAGGTGGGTCTCGGGTCTGGATTGGTTAAAGACCAACAGGTGTAGACAATAAAAAGCTCTAGGGAACGCTGTTCCAACTTGTATTATGGCAGCTGCCTCTGTTCCTGTTGAAAGCCAGTTCCTTTGGTCAGAACCATGAGGGCTGTTAGGAAAAGGGCTGCATGTTCCTGGCAGAGACCCCACTTTCCATGCCTGTGGCCCCAGGCTGGGCTGGGAAAGAGCCCCTGCCTGAGACCCCAGAGAGCAACTTCTGCCGGTCAGGGCAGGCAGTCCTGAACTGGATGGCCCTATTTGCTTATTTCATAACGTTTACACGCTGCTTGATTGTAAAAGAAACCCCAAATCTGCAAGTTAAAACTTTCAAAAAGTTAAAATAACAATTGACTAAAAACTAGCGTAGGCTTGTCTAAAGAATGTTTTTAGCAGGCGCTGAAGAGAGTACGGGGAAGGCAAATGCTTGATATCAGCAGGCAGGGAGTTCCCAAGTTTTCAATGTTCTAACCCAGTATATAGCAGCTTCCTGTGAGGCGAGGAGGAGCACTGCAGTGGGGTAATGAGGTGGGGTGGGGGTGGGCAAAGCTCATTTAAGAGGGACAGGGGATTGCCTTTCCTTCTTAGGGTTTCAGTCATAGGGAATTTGGCCTGGGTCACACACTCTGCCTCTGCTTTTCCCAGTGAGGTCCACCAAAGCCTTGGTTGTCACCATCGTCAACTTCCTGGTCACTGTGGGAGCCACGTTTGCGTGCACCTACCTGGGCTCTCAGTACATCTTCGTGGAAATGGCACCGGTGAGTGGCAGCTGGGCCGGGGGGGACCATACAGGGGGCAGGGAGAGACCTAAGGAAAGCTCTGGATATTCCGTGGGTGGGGGGTGAAGGGCAGCTCTCTTGAACAACATATAGTTTAACCTTCCAAGGACATTGACAAGCTGGAACATGCGCAGTTTCGAATCCAAAAAAAACAAAGGTTCTGACTCTAATGCTAGACGCAACCCCCCCCAAAGGGTACAGATTAGCCCCGACCCCCCAAAAAGTCCAGAGCGGAAGCAAGGCAGGATGTCTCTCAACTGCAACTCACCTGGCGGAGGTGTCTGAGGCTGAGCTGACTTCCTTTCCCCCCTTCCTTCCAGCGTGTCCTGTCCGCCGTGGTTGTGGCCTCCGTCGTGGGCTTGGCTGAGCTCTACGTGATGGTTCGGAACCTGGAAGGAGAACTGGGGGAGCCGTAGCCAAGGAGCCCTTCCTGGCTGGCCTTTCTCTCGGCCTGCTCTCCATCCTTGCTGCTCCCCACTCGTGGCCGGGTAGGTGGGCTCGGCCCCCAGAGGCCACCTGCAAATCCCAGTACAAACTACCAAGGAGGAACAGGACATTCTCAATGCAGCTTCCTCTTGCAGCTACAGACAAGTCGGCTCCTTTTCCTTCCCCTGAGGCCTCTGTGCTTTTCCTTTCCCCAACAGGCCTCCCTTTTCTCTGGCACAAGTAATCTGGTGTGTTTTCAGTAGTGTGGGGGTTTTTCCCTGCAGGCCCTGAAGCTGCAAAGGGTCCAGGACTGGGGGATAGCAACTTCACAACAACAGGAGGAGATTTTCCCTCTTGTTTCTGTCACACCCGCAAGCTGGAAGGTTGCTGTTTCCAAAGCGTTGGCCACCTGAGCTGGCAGTGCTAGGGAGGGTGCCCATAGCGATTAGTTTTGTTGCCCTTTGGCAAACACAAAGGGACACACCATTTTGCTGTTACACCAAGCCCAGCAAGCAACCGTGAACGGCCGCGTCCTACCCCTTACAGTTTGGAGATGCTTCCCCCCCCTCCGCAAACCGCCATACCCCGGGTGTCGTCTTAATGTATAGAAATCAACCTTTGGTGTGTGCAATAAACGGATCGGAATCTGTTGAAGCTGCAACTCAGGCAGTTCTCTAGTAGCAGGTGTGGGGGGGTTCTGAGGGAGAGGAAGGCTACATACAGTGGTACCTCAGGTTAAGTACAGTGGTGCCCCGCAAGACGAATGCCTCGCAAGACGGAAAACCCGCTAGACGAAAGGGTTTTCCGTTTTGGAGGTGCTTGGCAAAACGAATTTCCTATGTGCTTGCTTCGCAAAACGAAAATGTCTTGCGAGTTCCGGGGTTTTTTTCCTTTCCCCCCCTTTTTCCCAAGCCGCTAAACCGCTTATCAGCGGATCGGCTAAGCCGCTTAACAGCTGATCGCTAAGCCGCTTATCAGCTGATCGTTAAGCCGCTTATCATCTGATCCTTAAGCCGCTTAACAGCTGATCGCTAAGCCGCTTATCAGCTGATCCGCTAAGCCCGCTAAGCCGCTAATACTGTACTGTAGCGCTAATCCGCTAAACCGCTAATGGGCTTGCTTCGCAAGACGAAAAAACCCGCAAGACGAAGAGACTCGCGGAACGGATTCTTTTCGTCTTGCGAGGCACCACTGTACTTAATTCATTCCGGAGGTCCGTACTTAACCTGAAACTGTTCTTAACCTGAAGCACCACTTTAGCTAATGGGGCCTCCTGCTGCTGCCGCACCGCCAGAGCACAATTTCTGTTCTCATCCTGAAGCAAAGTTTTTAACCCGAGGTACTATTTCTGGGTTAGCTGTAACCTGAAGCATCTGTAACCCGAGGTACCACTGTATTCTCATTGATGAAGGGATTTTAGATGGAGGTACTCCTTGTCTTCTATTTGCTGTGTAATGGTGACCAATATATATATATGGGATAACAAACTGTGTTTTGAGGCTTGAGGTATGAGCTTCGTCCCGTTTTAGATCCCTAGAAGCAAAATAATTGTATGCTTCACCTTCGTTGGAAGATTCAGGGCAGACAAAAGAAAGTCACGCAGCGCATTGTTGAAAGGATGGAACTTGCTCCTGCAGGAGGCAAAGATGCCCATCAACTTGGATGGCTTTCAGTGGGGATTAGGCAAATTCACAGGAGGCTCTCATGATGGCTGTGCTCTTCAGAGGCAGTAATGCTTCCGAACACCATCTTGCTTGAGGGCTTCACCTAATTGGCCACTGTGAAAACAAGATGCTGGACTAGATGGGTCCCCTTGGTCAGAACCAACAGACACTTCTTGTTTGTTTGTTTTTGTTAAATTTCTATATAGTTCTACCTCGGGTTAAGAACTTAATTCGTTCCGGAGGTCTGTTCTTAACCTGAAACTGTTCTTAACCTGAAGCACCACTTTAGCTAATGGGGCCTCCTGCTGCCGCTGCGCCGCCGGAGCACGAGTTCTGTTCTCATCGTGAAGCAAAGTTCTTAACCCGAGGTAATATTTCTGGGTTAGTGGAGTCTGTAACCTGAAGCGTCTGTAACCCGAGGTACCACTGTACTGCTCTTCATCCGAGGATCCCAAGGCGGTTTGCAATATAAAAACACAGAAATGCATAGCATAGTAACAAACCAAAACAGTAAACCTCCCACAGATGGTTTTATTAGCCAGAGGCCTGAGAGAAGTGGAACGTCTTCACCTGGCACCTAAAGGTGTACGATGAAGTTGCCAGGCAAGCCTTCCTGGGGAGAGAATTCCCCAAGTGGGGAGTCACTGCAGAAAAGGCCTGCTCTTGTGTTGCCACCCTCTGGACCTCCTGCAGAGGAGGCGCATGAAGAAAAGCCTTAGATGGCGAGTGCTTGGATCTCAGTGCTCCCATCTTAAGCATATCATCTCTGAAATAAATCTGTTTGATCATGACAGGGTTAGATTTCAAGTAAGCATGCTGAGATTTCCCCAGGGGTGCTGCAGTTGGGCGAGGGGGTTGTCAGGGATGAGGAGGTGATTAGCACGCCCTCTTGCCACCGGCTGGTTGCAGGCTCTGCGTGCAGAAGGTTCCAAGTTCAATCCCAGACAGCATTGCCAGGTACAGCCAGGTGAAATTTGAAATACTTTATTGTCACTTGTACACAAGCACCCCCCACTCAGCTCTCTTAGTCTTAATTCCCCTCGTTTACTGACGCACACCCACCAAACCCAAAAGTCAGTTGCCCTGTTGTTATCTTTTCATTTGGCAGCCTAACAGCCCCCTGATAGAAGCTGTTCTTTACCCTGTTGGTGCGACTAATCCTGCTTCTATATCTTCTGCCCGAGGGCAGGAGATCAAGAAAGTGCCGGCCAGGGTGTGAATCATCCCTGAGAATATATATTGAATATATATTGTAGAAATATCTACAACCCTATGATTACGGTACTTCCTTTCTCTACAAGCATCACTGTATGTGATTGCAACCGCTGAAGTCTACTCTCAAGCTCACAAGCCAGACTCTGTACCCCAAGGGCCTCCAAACAGGTAACAGGCTCAGTTTCAGTAACAGCTGCTATGGGGAAGAATAGAAGAATTCTGGGCACCACAATTTAAGAAGGATGTTTGACAAGCTGGAAGGTGTGCAGGGGAGGGTGACCAAGATGGTCCAGTGTCTGGAAACCAATCCTGAGGAGGAGCGGTTGAAGGAGTTGGGGATATTTAGCCTGGAGAAGACGAGACTGAGAGGAGATGGGAGAGCCAAATATCTCAAGAGCTGTCACATGGAGGATGGAGCAAGCTTGTTTTCTCCTTCTCTGGAGGGTAGGACTCAAACCCATGTCTTCAAGTTACAAGAAAGAGTCCAGCTAAGAATACAAAAAAACTTTCTGACAGAGCTGTTCAACAGGAGGTTGTGGACTCTCTTTCTGTGGAGGTTTTTAAACAGAGGTCGGAAGGCCTTCTGTCATCGGTGTGTTAGTTGAGATTTCTGCATTGCAGAGGGTTGGACTAGATGACCCTTGGGTTCCCCCCAACTCTACAGTTCTATGACAACGCCCGCCCTGGATAACAGTTGCTCAAAACTATTGTGTCCTTTATGCTCCTGGAGGCTTTAAGCAGCGGGTGCTGGGCAGAGGCCCCTCAGAAGCGTTGATTAATGTTCTGATGTCTGCTAAGCCCTCGCCAGAAACACACACTCCAATATTAATATTGCCGCTATGTGCCATTCCAGCTGGCTGGGCCCAGAAGGGGGCGGGGGGGGCGGCGCTAAGGGAACCTAGACCTTTTCCCTGGTCCATCACTGGGATTAGGTGATGTCGTTCAATCATCCACGGATCCCCCTGGAGATTAAGGTATTTCCCCCCCCCTGGGCAGATTAGGTGGCATTATCAAGCGATTGTGGGGTCTGAGCTCCCCCCGCTTCTGCATTTAAGGATATTGGATAGGCCTGCGGGGTAGAGAGCAACCCCCCCAACCGAAATCAGAAATGAAAGTGATCAGGCTAAGCTTGTGAGGACATGGCAAAACATCTCTTTTATTGGAGTTACAAGAGAGATTTGAGGGGAAGAGGAGAAAAGCCCGCAGATTAGTGCGGCCAGGTGCATTTTTAAACGGGGAGGGGGGTGCCCAGATACAATTGGACTCCCAACAGAGACAGCCCTCTCCCCTTCCCAGGAAGGGGCCTGTTACACAAAGGAAGGGTGGTGGACAGAGGAGGAGAAACGCGGCTCTAGCCTTCCCCTTTTGCCGCTTCCAGCTTCCAGCCTCCCAACATCTCTCACCCAGCGTCAGATCTTCCTCGACGGGGCGCCCACGCGGGCGTCTAGAGGTCCCCGAAGTTGGCCACCAGGGCGGCGCTGTAGATGAGGTCCGAGATGCTCCCCAGGGAGGTGCGAGGCGGAGGAAAGGCGTCCCAGCGGCCCGACAGGGCGGTCCACGCCGCGGCCTCTTCCTCTTCTCGGACGGAGCACCCCGGCCACCGAGGGTGCGCCGCCGCCTCCTCCCAGCCCAGGAAGACAGAGGCGCTGCCGGGCGGCGGCGTGGCGCTCAATCCCGGCTGCCCATCGGGCTTGCTGCCAGCCTGAGCCCGGCGGGGCGCGGCGCTGCTCTTGATCCTGCGGGCGCGGCGGTTCTGGAACCAGACCTGGGGGGAGAGGGAGCCGATGAGAGATGGGGAATTGAGAGGCAGGGGTCCTCCCGAGGCGGAGGAGCCGTCGGGGCTCACCTGGATCTTGGCCTCGGGCAGCTGCGTGAGCTCGGCCAGGCGCTCGCGCGTCCCGATGTCCGGGTAGGGCAGGGCGGCGAAGACGCGCTCCAGCTCGCTCAACTGGCCCCGACTGAAGGTGGTCCGCTTCCTCTTCCTGGGGCCGCCGCCGCCTCCCTCCGTCCGGGGACCTGGGGGTGCGAAAGAAGGCAGACGGGGCGGGCAGTGCTCGGGAGGGAGGAGGCGGCTTCTTCCTAGCCTCCCCCTCTCCAGGTCCCACCCCCGTCCCCCCAGCACCTAGCGCCCCGCAACCCACCTCCACCACCAGGCTGCTCCCCGCGCTCTCCGGCCGCCCCGTCGGGGAAGAGAAAGGGCGGCGGCACCCGGAGGACGCGCGCCCGCTCCCTGCTGCCCATCGTGGCGGCGGCGGCTCCTGCGGCTGCTCAGGCTGGTCGTCTAGCTTTTATCCCCTCGGAGACCGACCAGCGTCATTCCCCCCCCCCTCGGGCGGGCTCACATCTGGGACCAGCCCCCCCCCCCCGCCACCTAACGCAGTTCGGGCACCTGGAGACGGGAGGGGGAAGAGGAGGGAGCGCCCGTCGGGCGCGGGAGCTGTCCTTGGTCCTGAAGTGCCCGCCTCGGGCAGCGCCTCTAGGGACCAGCCTGGAGTCCAGCCGAAGAGGCGCGCTTTCGTGGAGTCCACCTTCTCGGGCACGCGCAGGAGGCCTGTCTTTAGAGAGGCAGTGTGGTGTAGTGGTTAGAACCAGGACCTGGGAAACCAGGTTCAAATCCGCAGTCTGCCATGAAGCTCACGTTTATGGAGACAGATGAAAGGATAGCTTCTCTGGTCAGAGGCTGTTTTTTGTTTTTTTCCCATGGTAAATCTTTATTGGTTTAAAATACAAACGTAAATGATCATTTACAACCAAGGCAAGTATAGAAAAATTCAATACAGAAGAAAAAACATCACGACATAGAAGTAAGAAAAAAGTTAAAAAGACGGAAAAGAAAGAAAAGACAAAGGAAAAAGAAAAAACCCCCCAAAATTTATACAAAATCATGTTCATCAAATAAAAATTTCTGCTTAAAACTTCCAATCGTTCTCATTATACTATTTCTATTATCATGGTTTTGTCGCACAGCTTTGCGTTATATCCTTTTTCATATATTCCACTAAGGCATTTGTTTCATTTATTTTTGTTCACAAGTATCATTCAAGTTCTGCTAAAATGGTATCACTTGTACAATATAATCTTATATATTCCTTAAGTATTTTCCATTCTCCATATGTTTTCTGATTTAAAGCTCCCCTGACTTTACCCGTCAGTTTTGCTAGTTGGAAATATTCTATCATTAGTGTCTGCCATTCTGTTATCGTTGGTGGTGTTTCGCTTTACCAGTTTCTCGCCACGAGTATTCTTGCTGCCATGATTGCATACATGAACAACGGTCTTATATTTTTAAAAAATTTCTATTGGCAATATTCCTAATAAAAAAATCTCTGGTCTTTTTTTGACGGTAAATTTGAATAGTTTCTTGAGTTTGTTGTAGATATTATTCCAGAAATCATATATGATTGCACAGGTCCACCACAGATAGTATGACCCTATCTCCTTCTTACATCTCCAACATGTTGGTGACCTGCCTTTATACATTTTAGCAAGTTTTGATGGGGTATGGTGCCATCTGTATAACCTCTGGTTAGAGGTTGTAGGTTCAATCCCCGTATGAGATGGCTGCATATTCCTACACTGCAGGGGGTTGGACTAGACGATCCTTCTAACTCTATGATTCTAAGTCCACACAGCACAGAGTTAAACAGTGGAACTCCCTGCCACTGGAAGCAGTGATGGGCACCAACTGGGATGTTTTTAAAATAGGATTGGGCAAATTCATGGAGGAGGAGAAGGTTAGTGATGACTACCAGCCAGGATGGTTATACTCTGTCTCCAGTGTCGGGTCCAGTGATGCTTCTGAATACCAGAGGGACCCTGTGCTCAGTTCCTGCCTGTGGGTTTTGCATTGGGTTGCCCACTGAGAGAAGTGGATGCTGGACTAAGTGGGCCAATGGCCTGATCCAGCAGGCTCTTCTGGTGTTATTATGAGGGCTTAACGTGCAGCTCTGCCCCCGATGCATTCAGTTACTCCGAGAGTTACTAGTTTGTGTGCATAGAATATGCCTGGCAGTGACCCCAGAAGCGTCTGCTTCAACAGCAAAGCCACGCTTACTTCCAAGGAAGTGTGCATAGGATTGCAGACTAAACCCTGTGTCATGTTCCCATTATATCTGATTGATCAGCCCCATAAAAAGCCCTTAATATTATGTACTATTAAAGTTGGAAGAGACACTTCAGAGGCCATAGAATCACAGTCAGGGTAGATTCAGGGTTCCCTACAAAGGGTCATTAATCGAGTCCAACCCCCTGCAAGGCAGGACTCTCAGCTAAAGCATCCATTGCAGAAGGCCACCCAACCTCTGCTAAAAATCATCCAAGGAAGGAGAGCCCACAACTTCCCGAGGGAGACCCTTCCACCGTCAAACAGCTCTTCCTGTCAGAAAGTTCCTCCTGATGTTTAGTTGTACTCTCCTTTCCTGCAACTTGAATCCATTGGCTCTGGTCCTCCCTTCCGGAACAGCAGATAACAAGCTTGTCCCCTCTTTCATGTGACGGCGCTTGAGATATTTGTTTTGTTTTTTTTTTAAATAATTTTTTATTAAGATTTTAAACAAAGAAAAAGAAAAACAACACAGACAAAGAAAAAAAACAATACAAAATTTAACAATAAAAAGACAAAACATAACAATTAAAAACAAACTTCTTCCACTCCCATTTTTATATTACTTATTTTCAGACTCTCATACCTCCCTTTTTGTATTCCAATCTACATTATTTGTCCAGCAGTTTCTTTTCCACTTTAAACCCACCTTTAATTTAATAAAATATTATAATATATAACTTCAACTTTTTTAAACATAACTTTATTCTAATGTCATATACCTTAAATTTTTCCCTTTATTATCAAATTTGTTTCTTTTTAAACATCCTTAATCTTGATCTTAATCTATCCTTAACTTTAACCTGTATAGTTTGGAAACCATTTATTTTCAATCCAACACGAATGTTTCTGAAGATAGTCTTTGAATTTCTTCCAATCTTCCCTCCATCTAACCCTTCTCTCCCTGGTCACGGACTGCCAGTCATTTCCGCCAATTCCATATAGTCCATAAGTTTCATCTGCCATTCCTCCAGTGGGAAGTTCTGTGTCTTCCAATACTTTTATGAAGGAAAGTATTCTTGCTGCTGTTGTTGCATATAAAGAAAGTTCTATCCTTTTTAACACCTTTTGGCCCACTATGCCCAAGAGACAAAAGGCCTCTGGTTTCTTGGGGGAAGTTATACTTGGTACTTTTTTTTAATTCATTATATATCATTTCCAGAAACATCTTGGGCACGCCCACTCCAAAGGTGAAAATGTACCTTCAGTTTTTGCTTCCAACATTTGTTAATGGGCAAGTGATTTTTGCAAGCTTGACTGGGGTTATGTACCACCCATATCATTTTCATAATATTTCTAAGGCATTACATGCCGCAAATTTCATACCAGTGGTCCACAATTCCCAGTCAGCAAACATAATGTTATATCCTACGTCCATGCCCATTTAATCATAGCCGATTTTACCGTTTCATCTTGAGTATTCCATTTCAGCAGCAAGTTATACATTCTGACAGATTCTTAGTATTGGGTTCTAAATAATTCTGTTTCTAATTTTGATTTTTCCACCTGGAAGCCAATTTTCCTGTCTAATTTAAATTATTTGATAATAATGAAGCCAGTCTCGCACTTTGTTTTTTAATTTTTCAAAACTCTGCAATTTCAGTCTATCTCCGTCTTGTTCCAAAATTTCCCAATATTTCGGCCATTTGACCTCCATATTGACCCTTTTCAAGGCTGGCGCTTGAGATATTTGAAGGTGGCTCTCAGCTCTCCTCTCAGCATGGGCGTAGCCAGGGAGGGGCAGCTGCCTCCCAAAATCAATAAAAATGCATAGCTAACTGAGGTTCTGCCCCCCCACAAAGGCCTGTCCCCCTAACAAAAATCCTGGCTACGCCCATGCCTCTCAGTCTCCTCTTGCCCAGGTGAAACATACTCAACTCCCTCCATTGTTCCTCACAGGGAACCATTCCTCATGATTCCAGTCCCATCTGCTGGAGTAACCGTGAAAGAGTCTGCCCCACTTCCTGCTCAACAATAGTATGGTGCAGTGATTAGAGTGCTGCCTAGGGTTGCACCATGCATTTAAAGCACACCCCCCGAATCTTGGGGACTGTAGATTAAGGGTGCTGGGAGTTGTAGCGCTGGGAGAGGGAAACTACAGTTCTCTGGATGGGGGGTTTGCTTTAAATGTACATCCCCAAGGACCAGAGAAAATTGGGCTCCAAATCCCCCAGTCAGTGGCTGGTTGGTGACCTGCAGCCGGTCTCCCTCTCTCAGCCTCACCTGCCTCACCTGGGTGATTGCATGGATAAAACAGAGAGGGAGAACCAGGCCTGCCACCTTGAGCTTGGAGGAAAAGTGTAGAAATCAATAAAACCCTCTCTTCGTCAGGACTTAAGGCTTTCCAGACACCCCCACGTTCCTAAATCATCATCATCTTGATCACCCTAACTCTACGAAAGGGCTTGGCTACCTCCTGGCCTGCTTCTTGATGACTGTGTGGGGCAGACAGAACATCCGCCCCTCCCCTCCACCAGCCTCAGGCTCCGGAGAGAGACTGGTTCCCCCCCTCCCCACCACTTGCTGGTCCCAAAGCTGACAAGGCATCCTTATTCCCAATTCCCCATGTCTGAAACAGAGTCATTTCAGATTTAGGTGCTGAGAAATATTTGCCCCCCTGGGCTCCAAAATTAGTGTTGGACCAACCCTGGGGAATATTTTCCAGTTTGAGGGCCAACCCTGGCCTTTAGACAGCCTTCCAAGGGCCATAGGCCAGGGGTGGGCGGAGCCAGAGGCAAAAGTAGGCGGGGTAATGGAGGACCCCACCCCTCTTTGAGCAGTAGTCTAGTTTCTACGCTGCTGACCCTTGATCCTCCATCCAGGCAAGCAAGAGGGGCGTGGCCAGCACTGAAGGGGCGTGGCCTTGGAGAGGGGGCGTGGCCTGGTGGTAATTTCAAGGGCTGGCTGGAAGGACCTGGAGGATTTGGGTTCCCTCACCTCATGCATCTCCAGGACCTGAGCAAAATGTTGCTTTTGCACAATGCAATTCCACACGTTACAACCCCAGATCCTGACCATGGAGTTTTAAATAAACATTGAGTGACTGCCAAATGACACGTGTCCCCTGTGAGGCGGTTTAGCATCACCGTTCTTTGTTTTGGTCCCCAAGCTACCAGGTGAAACAGGTTGTCCAAACTTGGGCTGCAAAGAACCCCCCTCCCCACAGGCCGCTAGTCCCAAAAAACAAGCAGGCGGGTACGGTCTTTGGAACTCAGGGCTTTATTTGGCCGCTGTCGACAGTGTGGAGGGCTTTCTGGCTGGGCTCAGGCAAGATCCTCATCGGACGGGCACCCCAGCCAGTACTTGGAGATGGGGCGCGGGTACCTGGGGTAGACGAAATCCACACGTCGAGTGTTCAGGTTCAGGCGGTAGTACTTGTCTGAGAGGGAGGGAAGGAGGGAGGTACAGAAAGGGAGGAAGAAATCATGTTAATTTGGCTTCTCACTCCTCCAGCCTTAAATCCAGCTCTCTGGATTTCTGCAGCAATTTGAGGTTTTTTAAAAATATCCTCATCAAAGTTCACTAGGCGCAGATCGCTTCTGTTTTGACCACATGTGCACCTTTTTTTCCTAACAGAAAGCATTTTTCGTTGGCGTTTTTTCCACTTACCTTTGAATAGTAATGCACACTGTCCTCTAATATATTCATTTCTGTACCCAACAGTCGGCTGGAGAACTGCAGCCCAAAATCTGGATGTCGGTGAATGCCGAAGGGCGGCTGCATTTCAATAGGCTTTATTATAATTTTTGAAATGCTAATCTGATAAATTTGAGATCGCCTTAGCCCAGCTATTCGATCAGTGGACCTGGCAGTGTTACAAGTGTCCCATAATCCTCGTCATCGCTACCTGGAGATGCCACTGAGGATTGAGGCTGGGACGTTCTGCATGCCAAGCAGATGCTCTGCCACTGAGCTACTGTGGGATAACCAGCATTCTTAAGCCTAATGAATGCATGACGGGGTTAAGACCATAGAGTAAGCTGTCCTGCCAGGCTTAGCTCACCTTGGGAGGGACTAGGTCATTAAACCTTTGTTCCCTTAGTCTACCAGAGAAGCTCAAGGTGTGAGGTCTGAGTTGCAAACCACATGACTCTTACAAGCCACTCTTGAGTTCCTATACCAATTCTAGAAACTTTTGCCACTTTGTACCTAAGCCAAATTTTACTGCCTGTGCATTTTTTTCCCTGCACACTAAATGGAAAAGCACATGAATTGGTTCAAAATTGGGAAAGGAGTACTACAAGGCTGTATATTGTCTCCCTGCTTATTTAACTTATATGCAGAATTCATCATGCGAAAGGCTGGACTGGATGAACCCCAAACCGGAATTAAGATTGCCGGAAGAAATATCAACAACCTCAGATATGAAGATGACACAACCTCGAAGGCAGAAAGTGAGGAGGAATTAAAGAACCTTTTAATGAGGGTGAAAGAGGAGAGTGCAAAATATGGTCTGAAGCTCAACATCAAAAAAACTAAGATCATGGCCACTGGGCCCATCACCTCCTGACAAATAGAAGGGGAAGAAATGGAGGCAGTGGGAGATTTTACTTTCTTGGGTTCCATGATGACTGCAGATGGTGACAGCAGTCACGAAATTAAAAGATGCCTACTTCTTGGGAGAAAAGCAATGACAAACCTAGACAGCATCTTAAAAAAGCAGAGACATCACCTTGCCGACAAAGGTCTGTATAGTTAAAGCTATGGTTTTCCCAGTAGTGATGTATGGAAGTGAGAGCTGGACCATAAAGAAGGCTGTTCGCCGAAGAATGGATGGCTTTTGAATTCTGGTGCTGGAGGAGACTCTTGAGAGTCCCACAAACTACAAGAAGATCAAACCTCTCTATTCTGAAGGAAATCAGCCCTGAGTGCTCACTGGAAGGACAGATCCTGAAGCTGAGGCTCCAATACTTTGGCCACCTCCTGAGAAGAGAAGACTCCTTGGAAAAGACCCTGATGTTGGGAAAGATGGAGGGCACAGGGAGAAGGGGACGACAGAGGACGAGATAGTGGGACAGTGTTCTCGAAGCTACCAGCATGAGTTTGACCAAACTGCGGGAGGCAGTGGAAGACAGAAGTGCCTGGCGTGCTCTGGTCCAGGGGGTCAGGAAGAGTCGGACACGACTAAACGACAACAACAAGTAAACCATTTTTAACTTGTGAACCCACAAGTTTTTAAAGTTCTAACTGCCTATGTTTCTAAGCTTTGCCTTGCTGCATATTCTGCAATTTCAAAACTGGACTGGGGTTCTCTCCCTAAAATGTGCTTGCCCCAAACCTGGATCTTGGCATCCAGGGAGTTCTCTTTTTGTGTCTATTTCCCCCCTCACCAGCAACAGCCACGCCCCTTCCTCCATGCCATGTACTTACTGCCAACGAAGAAGTAGACGCTCTGGAAGGGCTGGCACGGGGTGGTCCCGCCCAGCAGCCAGTCCAGGTCCGAGGACTCTGAGCTGGGTTCGCCTTGCCAGTCCCACGCATTCCAGCGTCCCCAGCGCTGGCGCTGGCGGTACTTCCTGCGGTGCCGGCGTGATGACTTCCTTGCTGGGCGGCGCTGGGCAGGGCTCTGTGCCACGTAGATCCGGCCGAGCATCACAGCGTCCAGGCCGCTGGGCACCCCTTTCCAGTCGCGGCTGATGAAACGGGCCCTGCTGGCCCCACCTGGAAATGGAGAGGGGGACGTCAGAAGAGCTGGGCAGCAGCAAGGCCAGGCTTTCCTCAGGCCATCCCCATAGCCTTGGGTCTCTGTACATGGGCAGAGGAGGGTGACCAAGTCAATTGTGGGACTGGCAACCAAGCCTTACGAGGAAGGGTTAAGGCAGCTGGATATGTTTGGCCTGGAAAAAGGGAGACTTGTTGCGGCAGCAAGTTCCCTAGCTTAACTGCACACTGAGCCAACAGCGTGTTGCAGCAGCAGAAAAGGCTCATGCAATCCTAGGCAGCATCTGCAGAAGTCTAGCGTCCAGATCAAGGGAAGTGAAATTACTGCTGTATTCTGCCTTGGTCAGATCCACCTGGACTCCCATGTCCAGCTCTGTACACCCCAGTTTAAGGAGGATATTGTCAAGCTGGAATGTGTGCAGAGGAAATGGGGGCTTCTTCTGACTTTTGACTGAGCTGAGCCCCTTCCCTTAAAAAATATAGTAAGATTCCAGTCCTCATGGGATGGCATCAACCACTGGTTAAAATTGGAAGGTGCCCTAGACCATCTTGCTCAGCGTTTTCAACACTGACTGGCAGCAGCTCTCTGGGGTTTCAGGCAAGGAGACCTTCTCAGCCCTACCTGGTGATGCTGGAACCTTCTGCATGCCAAGCAGGTGCTCTGCCACTGAGCCACATCCCTCCCCAAATCCCTCCCCAAATGTATGAGCAGGGCAGGAGTCCCATCCTCTCTTGCCCCCAGCGAGCACATCGGGCCAGCTCAGCAGGGTGCGGCCCAGCTGTGGGTCCCTGCGGAGAGAGGGGCTCAGCCCGGACACCCCACACCCTCCCGCTGTTGCCCTACTCACTGCGCCGCGAGCCCCCGAAAAGCGCTTGGAAGATATCCTCCCAGCTGTCTCCCTTGAGCACGGCGTAGTGGTCGAAGACCAGCGAGGGGGACGTGGCCTCACAGTCCTCCCGCGTCGGCTGCTTGGAGAAGTCGTAGGACCAGTACTTCCGCCCTGGGGAGGCAGACGGAGAAGGAGAACAGATTTCACAGAGGGCTGCGCCAGGATCCACAGGGATGGCAGATCCCACTGCCAACCTCCCTTGTTCCTGGTGCAAATCTTCCCAGAACTCTTCTTCAATGGCAGCGAGGGTCTTGCAATGGGGTCCCCAACTTCCCATCATGCCGTTGCAGGGGGGGTCGGTTCAAAACTTAAATTTATAAGGAACCAAGAAAAGGCTCTTCCGTTTAGAGAAGGTCAGGAAAAGATGACGCGTTAGGCCATGTCAGCCTGGAGAAAGGGGACGGAGAAAAGTTTTTCTCCCTGTCTCCTAACGCTAGAACTCGTGGGCGAAGCTGAATGTTAGAAGATTCAGGGCAGAGAAAATAAAGTCCTTCTTCATGCTGTGCAGTGTTAAACTCTGGAACTCCCTGCAACAGGAGCCAGTGATCACCACCATTGCGGATGGCTGTAGAGGAGTATTGAACAAATGGAGGGGAAAGCTACTGATGGCTCCTAGACACAGTAGTCCTACTTTGCCTCCTGGCTCAGAGGCAGCAATACTTGCTGGAAACAGAACTTATGCTCGAATCCTGCTTGTGGGTTAAACTGTGGAACTCCCTCCCACAGGAGATGGTGATGGCCAACTAGATGGCTTTGTAAGAGGAGTAGACCAATGCATGGAGGAGGAGAAGACAGGCAGTCAGGTTGTGCATCCACAGCAGTGACCAGAGGAGGAATGACCGCTGGGAGGAGCCCAGAGAGAAGAAACTCCTTGGTGCATCTGCAGCAGCACAACCGGATGCTTTCCTCTGCCCCAGCTGCAACAAAACACGTCTTTCCTGTATCAGTCTTTATAGTCACAGCAGGCACTGCAACTATCCAACCGCTTGACCTCGCCCCCAAAGACACACTCCTCCATTGTCTCCCGAGACAGACGGCTGTCAGTCATTATTAAGCAAATCCATGGAGGAGGAGAGGGCTTCCAGTGGCTCCTAGCCAGGATGGCTCTGCTCTGCCTCTGAGTTTGGATTTGATATCTCGCTTTATCACTCCCCTTCAGGAGTCTCAAAGCGGCTAACATTCTCCTTTTCCTTCCTCCCCCAACAACAAACACTCTGTGAGGTGAGTGGGGCTGAGAGACTTCAGAGAAGTGTGACTGGCCCAAGGTCACCCAGCAGCTGCATGTGGAGGAGCGGGGAATCGAACCCGGTTCACCAGATTATGAGTCCACCGCTCTTAACCACTACACTACACTGCCATTGGAGGCAGCCATGGTTCTGAACAGCAGTTGCTAGAAACCCCAGGAGGTGAGAGGGCTCTTGGGCTCGGATCCTGCTCGAGGGTTTGCCATGGGGTCACCTGGCTGGCCACTGTGAGAACAGGACGTTAGACTAGATAGCCAACTGGCTTGATCCAGCAGCCTCTTCTTATATTTCTTACTCTCGTTTGTTAAGGATTCTGGGAAATGTAGTTCTGTGTCACCTCTCAGTTGCCTTTCCTCTAAACTACACTTCCCAAGATTCTTTGGGGTTGGGGGAAATGCGTCTTAAGCTCGCTTCAAAGGCAGCATAAACTCCGTAGTGTTTAGGGACCGCACCCCCAGCCTCACCTTGGAAGAAGTAGACCCTCTCGCTGGAGAAGTAGCTCTGGGCAGGCAGGGCAAAGGCAGCGTCCAGGTCGTCGGGGATGCCCTTGAACCCGTCCGAGATGTTACGGGGGAAATCCGGCTCCAGGACTCCGTCAGCAAAGCGCCAATACAGGCTGCCCTGGAGGAGAGAGGAAGCCATGGGCAGGCGGGGGTCAGGGATGCACGTCAGCTGAGGTGGGGGGCTGCCTGAACCCAGGGCCATCTTAAGTATATCCGGCGCCATGGTGCAAAGATCCCTCTGGCACACACACACCCCGTTTCCCAGAGTTGCCAACCTTTTTACGGCACTGCCGGCAGCTTTGCAGGGCTGGAGGAGGCGGGCAGCGGCTGGAGGGCGGCTCCTCTGGTGGGGAGGAGGCAGAGGCCCTGGGCGCAGTGCTGCTTCAGTGAGGCAGGAAAGGGCGGCGAGCTGATGCCAGGAGGTGCCATGCTGTGCCCACCCCCGCCTCTTCCCTGGCGCTCTCCAGAACCTGGCGCCCTGGCACTCCACGCCACTTGCCTCTATGGGCAAGACGCCCCTGCCTGATCCACAACCAGGTTCAGAAAAATCAAGAGGTGCCGGAGCTGACAGCCCCCTTCTCTGAGCTGGGACCCTCCAGAGGCCTAAAAGCTGTCTGGGGTTATCCCTCGTTTAGAGCTGGATAGGAAAAGGGCTGAGGCCCCACTTACTTTCCAAGCTTACATTAAGTTCTCTGCATTTCCAAATCAGTTTTTTTTTTGGTGTGGTGGTGGGGAGAAATCATCATGAAAAGTCATCAGCGTTTAAGGGCGATTTTCTTCCACTCTACACCTTTCAACATGGAGTTTGGACTGAGAGGCCCATCTCTGCAAAGCCATTTCCCCCAAATATAACACATTTTTGTAAGTTCCCCACTACTGAGATATGAATTTTTGCGTACTGTGATGTTCACTTCTGCGCAATTATTAATGATTATGATTTAAATCTATATGCCACAGTTCTTCAGGAGACCACAGGGTGGTTTACAATATACAATTCTATTCTTTTTTATTTAACTTGCTCTAATAATCTCAATTCCTGCCAACCTAGCAGTTCAAAAGCACGTCACCCTTATGGTAAGGGAGGATGGTGGGAGTTGTAGTTTGAAACATCTGCAAGGCACCAGGTTTGGCAAAGGCTGGGCCAGGGGGCCAGGAGGGGAACTGGGGTGTGTGAGCCTCTCACCTGGAAGATGTAGGTCTTGCCCTCGCAGTTGACGCGGGTGAAGGCGGCATCGATGGGCCCCTCAATGCCCCACACTTCCTTGATGAGCTTGGGGTACCCCGGCCTCACGCTCTTCTCGTCCAGCTCGTAGAAATACTTTCCTGGATCAGGGAGGGAGAGGAAGAGACAGGCGGAGGAAGGTTAAAATTTGTTCCCAGAATCCCTAACTTTGGAACTCCCTCCCTGGAGAAGCCAGACGGGCTCCCTCCTTGCTGTTCTCCTACCGGCACATGGAGACCTCCTTGTTCCTACAGGCTTTGGAGAAGTCACTGTTTTTAAGGAAATGGATGGTGCTGTGATGTTTTAATGTAATGATCTGCATGTTTTAAAAGATCACACATGTACACATAATTTGGGGTCACCCAGCCAGATGGGTGGGGTATAAATAATCAAATTATTATTATTATTATTATTATTATTTGCTATCTAAAAAATAAATGGGCTTTTGAAATTTAAATAAAAAACCTCTCCTTTAAAGGTGTACCTTGTTCTGCACTTTGGAACTCAGTTTCCCCCGTGTTTTCCCTCTTTTATTGTGCGGCAATGATTTATGTGCCTGTGCATAATTGTTGTGCTCCTTGCAATAAAGTCGGCTAATTATAAAAATAAAAGATAAATGGCTGCCCCTCAGAGCCACGTCTGGATTGTGGGTGCTGGGGTCAGCTCCCCGCCCCCCTGACCCAGACTGTACCCCGGAAAGCGTAGATTGAGCCGTTCTTCAGGCTGGTGAAGGCGTCAAAAGGAGCCCCGTTGCAGGCCTCCTCCTCTTCCGGGGCGTCGGTCGGGGCCTCTGTCTCGGGCAAGGGGGCTTCTTTGGTGGGCTTGACCACACCCCAGTCCTCCACCCCCGTCCACACATCGGAGTACTCAAACCACGCGGTTGACTCGGGGGCTCCGGTGGTGGGCGTGGGCTCGGGGGTTGTGGCGTTGGGGAGGTCGTAGTAATCCTGGTAGTCGTCTTCCGGCTGCGTGAAAACGTCTCCGCGGGTCACTGAGGTCGGGGGAAAAGGAGAGACGCCAGGTGAACGTTGGCAAACGGATGGGGAGGGCACTCTCCATGACTTCCTCTCAGAAGATCCTGGGAACTATAGTTCACCCCTTGCAAAACATTTCCCAGCACCCTTCCCACAATCTCCTGTCTCCTGTGCAAATGTGCTTTTGTTACAAGGGGCGTTTGCTCATTTAAAGGGCACAGCTTCCCCTCAGGGAATCCTGGGAACTGTAGCTTATGCCTCGGGAAGCTACAATTCCCAGCAGTGGTTAACAAACAGCAGGGACAGAGGAATGCGTCTTATTCCAAGTCAGACTCGTGGTCCCTCTAGCTGAGTGTTGTCTCCACTGTTTGGCAGAAGCTCTCCAGGATTTTGGGAGAGATGCAGCCAGGGGCTGAATCTGGGGCCTTCTGCATGCAGAGCAGGTGTCCCGTGCCCCTGAGCTGCTGACGATACCTTTGTGGTTTTTTTAAAATAAATTTTTATTGTTTTCAACATGTAATTCTTTTTCCAACAATCCTTATTGTCACATTATAATCCCTTTGACTCTGCCGAATCCTGACTTCCCTCCCTCCCAACCGCTGGTTTATACATCACATACTTTTTGCATATATTATTGTCATAACTTTACTGTTTTACATTGGAGGTGTTATTCCAGTCCTGCTAGTGTCTTAATATTTTTGTTGTTCTCCTTTATATATTCAATAAATTTATTCCAATTGTTATTGTATCTCTGGTCCTCTTGGTCCCGGATCCTTCCTGTCAATTTGGCAAGTTCCGCAAAATCTATCATCTTCACCTGCCACCCCTTGGATGGTTGGCAAATCTTGTGCTTTCCATCTTTGGGCCAGTAAAGTTCTTGCGGCGGCTGTGGCATACATGAACAAGTTCTGATCTTTTATTTTAATTTCTTTTCCCACCAGACCTAGCAAAAGTGTCTCTGGTCTTTTAGGAAAAGTATACTTATGCTGACGATACCTTTGGATTTGCAGGCAGTCCAGTAGTCACTGCAGCAGCTCTGGTAGTACATGCAGAGATCGTCACACTGGCATTTCCTCTCCTTGTTGAAGCCATCATTGCAGCGCCCTTCGCAGGTCTCTGGCCAGGGGGAAAGAGAACCATCAACAAGGACGGAAGAAGGAGGAAACCCCGACAAAAGAACAGCGGCAAGAAAAATGGATGAACTACGCAGAACTGGCTAAACTGATATACAAATTGCGAGAGAAGGACAACTGTGACTTCAAAGAAGAATGGGAACTTTTGGCAGGTTTTGAATATACAAATTTATTGATTGTTAACATAGTAGATAGATAATATAAGGATTTATACAATTTTACAGTATGCAGAGAACAATATGAGTTGAGAAATCAGAGAGAGGAGCTGAGGGAAGTCTTGAGGGGGAGGGAGGGGGGTTTGATGGGGAGGTGGGGGGGAGGGAGGAAAATAATGAATATGAGATGTTCTGATATTTTGTTATGTTGAAATTGTTAATTTAAAAAAAATTAAAAAGAAAAGAAAGAAAGAAAACCAGCAAAACAGCAAGGAGTAATGGGAAGAGTTAAGAGTTAAACTATGGAACTCCCTCCCAGGTACATATTGATATAGGAATGTTTTAGATAAAATGTAAAGAAATACACAATAATAAGAGTACATTCATTTGTAAAAAAAGGAATATATAACGGGATAGACAGGAAGTCCAAAGTGTTGGTATATATATGATTTTGGAATAGTTTTTTGTCCTTTTGTTTTGTTTTCCTTTAAGTATATAAACTTTGTATACATGCTGAAAATTACAGTATAATAAGACTTGTGATGTAATATGATAATGTTTACCGATGTAACATAAGAACTTTAATAAACAAATAAAACTGGGGGGGGGGGACCTATGGAACTCCCTCCCACAGGAAGCAGTCAGTAATGGACACCAACCTGGATGGGTTTAAAGTGTCCTGACGGTAAGAGCCACTCGGCAGTGGGGCGGACTCCCTCTGAAGGTGGTGGACGCTCCTTCCTTGGAGGTTTTTAAGCAGAGTTTGGGTGGCCCTCTGTCAGGGATGCTTTAGCTGAGATTCCTGCATTGCAGGGGGTTGGACTAGATGACCCTATGGGGTCCCTTCTATCTCTACAATTCTCTGATTCTATGAAAAGAGGATTGGACACATTCCTGGAGAATGCTGTGGATGGCTCCAAGCTATGATGGTTTTGCTCTGCCTCCACAATTTCTGGAAACTGCAGGAGGGGAGAGCTGCTCTTGGGCTCGAATCCTGCTTCTGGGTTTCCTATGGGTTTCTTGGGTGGCCCCTGTGAGTACAGGATGCTGGATCCGGTGGCCCCCGGCCTGATCCTGCAGGCTTTTCCTAGGTTCTTACATTCCAAAGACCAAGGCAGGTGGTCCGTTTGTCCCCGGTCAGGGCTGGCACCAGGGGGCGCCACATAGCAACTCCACTGTGACTGCCATTTGCACAGGATAGGCACTGCGTGAATTAGGTAAAGGTAAAGGGACCCCTGACCATTAGGTCTAGTCGTGGACAACTCTGGGGTTGCGGTGTTCAGGAGCCGGCGTACAGCTTCCGGGTCATGTGGCCAGCATGACTAAGCTGCTTCAGGCAAACCAGAGCAGCACACGGGAACGCCGTTTACCTTCCTGCCGGAGTGGTACCTACTGTATTTTTCGCCCCATAGGACGCACCGCCCCATAGGACGCACCTAATTTTTTTTGGGGGGGGAAATAAAGAAAAAAACAATTTTCCCTCCCCAGGCACGGAGCAGGCGCGGGGGAAGCCCGAGCTTCCCCCGACCCCAGCCCCCAGAACAGCCTGCTATCCGCAAGCCTAGGGAACCAAGCCGGTCTCCCCAGGCTTGTGGAGAGGTGCGCGAAGCCCGGGCGCGCTCTTCAGCGCGCACCAGGCTTTGGAATGCAGGCAGCTCTGTGCTACTCTCCGGAGCCCCGCGCGGCTTCGTGCCGGGATCCGGAGGGTGGCACGGAGCTGCAGGAAGCCCTGGAGCGCAGGCAGCTCCACGCCACCCTCCGGAGCCATGCGCGGCTTCGCGCCGGGGTTCGGAGGGTGGCGCAGAGCTGCAGGAAGCCCGGGAAAGCCTGCATTCGCCCCATAGGACGCACACACATTTCCCCTTCATTTTTGGAGGGGAAAAAGTGCGTCCTATAGGGCGAAAAATACGGTATTTATTTACTTGCACTTTGACGTGCTTTCGAACTGCTAGGTTGGCAGGAGCAGGGACCGAGCAACGGGAGCTCACCCCGTCACGGGGATTCGAACAGCCGACCTTCTGATTGGCAAGTCCTAGGCTCTGTGGTTAATATGTGCCAATTCAGGCTCGCTCTGGGGAGAAGGGAGAGGGAACCAACTCCATCTCTTGCTTTCTGGGCCGGTTGGTGAGCTGCGTTTGGCTTGCAAGCCGTGGGTAAGAATTGCTGTAGATTAAAACCAAAGCAAGTTTCATCCGGTGGATGGAAGGGTTTGGAAGAGCCATCTGGTATTGAGTGAGAAAGTGACACCACGGAGGCCGCGGTATCAAGGATAGAATCACAGAATTGTAGAGCTGGGAGGTACACCCAGAGTCATCTAGTCCACCCCCCTGCAATGTAGACCCTCTCCCTTTCTCTATTCCTTTAATGGCAGAGAAGTGGGGCTGAAATCCACCATCCTTCCTGCGCTTCATTCTTCAAGGGGAAATTCTCCATTCACTTCTGGCAACAAACAGATGCCAATTGCAAGCAGATATCAAGCAATCTGAATGTCTGCTAAGCGCACGTGAAATAAAATTGCAAAATTAGATTGCTTCCTAGGGCAAGGACAGGGAGGAGAATCCCTTTCAGGCCTGAGGGCTGCAGTCCCTTCTACTTCACTTTCCAGGGGCCACGTGACGGTGGTGGGAGGGGTCCTCAGTGAAAGCGGGTGGTGCAAGACAGGCTCTGCGCTGTGGGCTGGTTTCTGCACAAACACCCCTCCTCCCTTATCCTCCATCCAGGGAAACTAAGAGGCAGGATCAGGGTTCAAGGACAGATTCCCAGCTGGGCAAAGACCCTCACGGGGGGGGGGCAGGGCCGGTGAGGGCTGTGGCGAGTCCCAGGGACCATATTCAGGAAACTTTTTGATGCAATTTTGACATTTCCCAATGCAATTCAACCTGCCCCTGCCCCCCCCCCCTGAAAACCACATTATTGCCTAACAGGAGGAATTTAATCAATCTTTCTGTTTTTTCTTTTGTCCTTTCTCATTCTGATTGTCCCCAGTATCATCCGTGTGTGTGTGCGCGCACACAAAATGTCCCTGAAACTCATGGGGGGGGGCACTCAAAGAAGTTTTATTCAGAGTAGAAACTCTGAACATTAAATGAACGTGACTCAGATAGGGCCACTGACCTCACCAACTCTGAGTAAAACTCTGTTGAAAGGCACCCCGCTTCCAAAGCTTCCCCAACAGATGGACTTGGCAGCCCCTTGCGGCGGGGAGTTCCAAAAGCTAACGCTCCCTCCCGCTCTGAACAGTTTTATCATGGAGACGCACCTAGGCTGGTTGCAAGTTCTCTTGCAGTCAAGAGCTCAAATGGGGGGGGGGAGGGAGTTATTGGGGGGGTCATGGTACTCACCCTCGGCAGCAAAGCTCCCCCACAGGCAGCCCAGCAGCAAGACCAGGCTGAGGAGCTTCATGGCGAGTGGCTGGGCAGGCGGGTGGCTGTCCTCCTCTGATGGGACCCCGGGGGTTGTGCCAGGGATCCTGTTTGCTCAGCCCAGCCTCCCTGCTTCAAAGGGAACACGCAAGGTCACTGGGGTCACCAGCCTCCTCCTCCTCCTCCTCCAACTATCTCTTTCTCTTTGTCACCAACTTTCCCTCCAAAGTCACGGGGGTCGGCGACTGGATGGCTCCACGGCTAAGCCTGCCCTCCTCCACCCTTTCAGCCTTCGAGGGCAAGACGTGCGAAGATGCACTCGGAGTATGGACACATGTTCACACCAGACATTTAAAGAGCTGCAGTACCCCTTTAAAGCAGCCATGGCTCTCCCCCCCCCCCCAGAATCCTGGGAGTTGTAGTTTGCACAGGGTGCTGAGAGATGTTAGGGGAGACCAGGGGTGCCAACTTGAATAAAACATTGTGGGAGCCCAGGTAAGCCCCACCCTGAATAACTGACCACATGACGCAGTGCACACACACCATTTGAATGGGAATGCCCATCAACTTTGAGGGGCCCCCGGACCCACAAATATTTTATTGTGGGGGCTAGGAGTTGGCTCCTATGGGGGCTATTCCTCTGCTGGAGCTACAATTCCCAGAGCAATCAATCAATCCCCCTTCACAAGGAAGTCTGGGAATCGTAGTTCTGTGAGGGGAAACGAGGTGTGTGTGTGTGTGTGTCCCAACCGCTCTTAGCACCCTTAACATACTACAGCTCCCAGAATTCTCTGGGGGAAGCCATGCCTGTATAAAATGGTATCATCACGCTTCAAATGTTCGGTTGTGCATGTGACTTTCTTTTGCTTTGACTGGAAACGAGTCAGCTTCCCAAATAACTGACGCAGTTTTACAGCCACTCTTTCCCCCGATGGAGTAGCCCTGGAAGGGCCTGTCAAAATGCAAGCAGCTTGGGGCAGAGCCCTACGAGGGCCACGCCAGACTCCCCCCAACCTGGTCCCGAATTTGGGGCTGACTCTAGAGCCTACGCCCCCCGCAAGAGCAACCCCACAACATGTCTAGCTTCTGGGAAGCCACCAACCCAATATCTGACCAGTGGTGTCTGATTGGCTGCCATTATTAGACACACAAGAAAGGCACTTGGCACATGCTCAGAGGCCCCTCCGGTATTCAACATGCTGCTGTGTGGTATAGTGGTTGGAGTGTTGGACTAGCACCTGGCAGAGACCAGGGTTCGAATCCACACACGCCCCACCTCAGTCATGAAAGTTACTGGGTGTGATCTTGGGGGTTCGTCAACACCTCCCTTGGCCTAACCTACCACACAGGGTTGTTGTGGGGGTTAAATGAGGAGGGGGAGAAGCATGCAGGCCACCTTGAGCTCCTTGGAGGAAAACGGTGGGATATAAATGCAACCAATGGATAATAAGAGCTGGAAGTCCTAACTGTGACACCAGGTCCCACCGCGGTCTGGATTCAAATCCAGCCCTTGGGTCTGTGCCATTCCTAAGGAGCCCAGTTGAGGTTGTGTGATAAAACTGGGGGGAACTCAGGGAAGTTCTTTCTCTGCAGTTATTTCTCCACATCCTGATCCCAGCCGTGAACGGAAGGTCCAGAGGATTTACTTTCCATGGAAAAACATCCCTTCCTGCTCTCTCCCACTCTGCAAACAAAACCCGGTGGAATTTGCTCTCTGATTCCGCCTGGTTACTAATTAATATGAACTCCATCCGGGAGGCTCCCCCCACCCCCTGATGTGACTCTGACTCACTTAGGGGGCAAAGGGGACCCAGAGAGGCTGGGGCCTCAGGACTCCGAGTCTGCGCCCCAGCTCAGCAAAAGATCCCCTCTCCCTGTGTCCATAGAATTGTAGAGTTGAAAGAGTCATCTAGTCCAGCCCCCTGAAATGCAGGAATCCCAGCGAAAGAATTCCTGGACGGAATCCCGGACAGGAAGAGCTGTTCCACAGAGGAGCAGACTTCCTCGGAAGGCAGTGGACTCTCCTTCCTTGGAGGTTTTGAAAGCAGAGGTTGGATTCTACGATTCTGTGATTCTATTCTATGTGAGCTGAGCTGGAAGCTGGAGACACAGAGAACTGCTTGCTCTGTGCTGAATCCAAAGCTGTGGCTGATGGAGACCTGTTGGTTGTTAATGCTGTGAGCGCCTCCATCCTATGCTCAGCTTGTGGGGTGTAGGGATTAGAGGGCTGGACCTTAGGAGACCAGGGTTTGAATCCTCTCCATTGGCCGTGAAGCTCGCTGGGTGACCTTCTGGGGCAGCCAGTGTTTGTTGTGGGGGAGGAAGGGAAAGGAGAATGTTAACTGCTTTGAGACTCCTTAAAGGTAAAGGTAAAGGGACCCCTGATCCTTAGGTCCAGTCGTGACCGACTCTGGGGCTGCGGCGCTTATCTCGTTTTATTGGCCGAGGGAGCCGGCGTACAGCTTCCGGGTCATGTGGCCAGCATGGCAAACCAGAGCAGTGCACGGAAATGCCGTTTACCTTCCCGCCGGAGTGGTACCTATTTATCTACTTGCACTTTGACGTGCTTTCGAACTGCTAGGTTGGCAGGAGCAGGGACCGAGCAACGGGAGCTCACCCCGTCACGGAGATTCGAACCACTGACCTTCTGATCAGTAGTGATAAAGCGGGATATCAAATCCAAACTCCTCTTGTTCTTCTCTCAGCCTAACCTACCTCACAGGGTTATTTTGAGGATTGATTGAGGAGTGGGGGAGAACCATGCATGCCACCTTGAGCTCCCTGAAGAGAAAGACGACGGGATATACAGTCATACCTCGGGTTACAGATGCTTCGGGTTGTGTGATTTCGGGTTGTGCACGGCGCCGAAACCAGAAGTACCAGAATTGGTTACTTCCGGGTTTCGGTGTTTGTGCATGCGCAGAAGCGCCGAATCGCGACCTGCACATGTGCAGAAGCGGCGCTGCGGGTTCCGAACGTGCTTCCCGCACGGATCACATTCGCAACCCGAGCATTGACTGTAAACACAATAAATGGGGGAAATAAACATATATGCATCAATAAAACCATATACCCTATGTAGCTCCGTCGGTTTAGACCACAGTGCTGATAACACCAAGGTGGCTGGTTCGATCCCCGTATGGGGCGGCTGCATATAATAATAATAATAATAATAATAATAATAATTTTTATTTATATCCCACCCTCCCCAGCCGAAGCCGGGCTCAGAGCGGCTAACAACAACCTGCATTGCAGGGGGCTGGACTACATGATCCTTCCAATTCTATGATTCCAAGACCACACAGCACAGAGTTAATCCGTGGAACTCCCTCCCACTGGAAGCAGTGATGGCCACCGACTGGGACGCTTTTAAAAGAGGCCTGGGCAAATTCAAGGAGGAGGAGGAGGAGGTTAGTGATGGCTACTAGCCAGGATCGTCTGCTCTGCTCAGGGTCCCTCCCAATGCGACAATTCTACGCCCGTTGACCATTGTCCCATGGGAGCCGACAGCCCCGCTCCCCTTGCAATGCGGACTGCCCACACCTGGTGGGGGTCCCATCTGGCATCAGCGAGGGAATTGAGCGAAGGGATTTACACACCACCCTGATTCTTTAATCGGCAGGTGCCAAAGCCGGCTTGCCTCGCCCTCCCCACCTCAGGCCTGGAATCCACTTAAAGGCTCTGCCTGAAAATCCTCTCTCCTGACACTCATCCTCCGTTCTGCCAAGGAAAGCCCCTGCCTCTGCCCCCCCCCGTACCTCCCACCTGGCGGCTTTGCTGCTACTGCAGAGAGAATTGGTGAGTAACTCCCCCCATTAAAAGACTCCGACTTGGGAAGGGGAGTTGGAAAATATTGAGTCAGACCATTGATCTATTTAGTTCAGTAATGTCTGCACTGGTTGGCAGCAGTGCCTCCCCAGGGCTTCAGGCACAGAGTCTCTTTCCCAGCCCTGCATGGAAATGTCAGGGACCAAGCCTTCTGCATGCAGAGCAGGTGCAAAGTAGGATTCTAGACCTCATGTGCCGGAAGAAAGGGTTGAAACTGGAACATGGGAAGTGGCATTGTCTCAGCAGGTCGGTCTCGCCTGGCACTGACTGGCAGCAATGGATTGCCAGGGTTTCGGGCGGAGAATTTCTTACTAGGGATCGAACCTTCGATCTTCTGCCCCTGAGCCAGAGTCCCTTCTGAAGCACTTCCCCCCCATGACAAAGACTCTCCTGCTCAGAGAGGTGGAGGGGCAGGGGCGGGAATCCCTGCAGGCATAAGGCCCCGCATCTCTTGCTTCAGAAACCCAGAGGAGCAGCCCCCAGAGACCTCCCTGCAAAGCCCCCCTCTGACTGCAGCAGACCCCACCCACAACCGATGGCCAGAGGCCAAACCTACCTGCTCAGGTGTGGCTTGGGGGACCTGCCGTGTCTCTGGGGTTCAGGCTGCCGCCTTCCGGGTCTCCGACCTTCCCTCCTTGCCACCTCTGGGATCTCTTTCTGCGCAGACGGGAAGAGGATTAGTGTCTCTGCAACGGCCCCCAAACACAGGCTTGGCTCTAAAGCTGCAGAGACAGGCAGGGAGATCTTGAATGGACAGAGATAAAAATAAGTTGTCGGTGTCTGAGAGAGAGAGAGAACGAGGCTGCATTACACATCGTACGTTGAAAGTGCATTATTTCCCCACTGGGAACTGTAGTTTCTGCTGGGAACTGCAGTGCTGTGAGGGGTGAACTACAGTTCCCAAGATTTTCTTGTGGGAAGTCATTTTATTTTTGTCTTGTTTTTTAAATTCATGTTGTGTATGCAGCCAGAGTCCTCAGAACAACAGGCCATTTTTATGTTGGCAACAGCTACAGAATAAGGCTGGGGAAATAATAATCTAACTACAGATACCTGAAGAGTTGTTTGCATGGAGCAAAATTGCTTCCTGTTGCTCCAGAGAGCAGGACCCGAACCAAGGGCTTCAAATCACAAGAAAGGAGATTCCCACTCAAGCTTAGGAAGAACGTCCTGACGGTGTGCGCTCTCCTTCAATGGAGGCTTTTAAGCAGAGGCCAGATGTCCACCTCTCAGAGATCCTTTAGCCGTGATTTCTGCCTTGCAGGGGGTCGGACTAAATGACCCTTGGGGGTCCCTTCCAACCCTACAATTTCATGATGGTGGGGCTGGGAAAGACCCCTCCCTGAACCCAGGACTTGCTGCTGAGGAGCGCATACTCGCTGAGGCTGATGGGAGTCGTAGAACTGAGTTGAGGAATGCTGATGACCTAACCACAAGTCAAACTCTCGTCCAATCGTCGCTCCCCGCCAACTTCCCAAGCGCTCCCTCCCCTCCCCAACCCCACACCTGAATCCCTTTCCATTCCCCTTAACTGCTCCATTATTACTGGGGCGGGGGCGTGCAATGTCATGTACCTAAAGCCCGGAGCTTCGCCGAGGACGCGACCACCATGCCTCGTCCTCTTTGTCTCACCAGGAGAAGAGGAGAGAGGGAAGGAAGGAGGAAGATGCAGTTGCCATGGCGACAGGCCCTCCTTTCAGGGGGAGGTGACTTCATTCCGGCGGGGAAGGCGAGGCATCGCCGGAGGGGATGGGCTTGGCCGCCTCTCTGCCGGCAGACAGCTCTGCATCCCACATCAGGAGGACGAACAGCTCAGCTGCCCGGCAAGTGGACCGCTGCCAGCTTACTGCTGGTACCCAAGAACGCGCCCGACTCCTTCCTCCAGCCCTGCATCTCTCCATCTCTCTCCATCACTTCTTCTGCCGCGCCCAGTCTCACCTTTGCCGCGCCTCGCTGTGCCAGCCTCCTGCCAGCCGGACCCCAGGCTCCCAAGCCCGCCCTGGGCACATCCCCAGGTCCGGGGATGCAGCTCTAAGGTGCCCCCATTCGCTGACGCCCACCCCCACCCCCACCCCCGATGGTGCTCCCTCTCCTCGTCTCCGCCTATAGACTGTGCCACTTAGCCATGTCCGACGCGGAGAGGCTGACGGTCTCCTGGTGGGGAGACAGCCCCCGGGCGCCCCAGGAGAGCTCGCCGGGGGCCAGCCCGGCCATCCAAGCGGCCCTGAACAGGATCCTGCCCGACCTGCACCAGGCCATCTCGGCCAGCAAGCAGGCGGCCGGCCCCGAGGACCTCCGCAGCGGCCTGGCCGAGATCCTGGCGCTGGTGGAGGAGGCCTGGCTGATGCCCACCGTGGGCAGGGAGGTCGCCAAGGGCCTGTGCGACGCGATTCGCCTGGAGGGGGGGCTGGACTTGCTGCTGTCCTTGCTCCAGACGGCCGACCACGAGACCAAGTGCCAGGCGGCCAAACTCCTGGAGCAGATCCTGGTGGCGGAGAACAGGTGAGCCAGGCAGGGGAACCGGGGAGGGAGGAACGGGCCGAGGCGTCTGCAGGGGGCCAGAGCTGGCGAACCTTTCCTTCCAGATCACGGGCCACATTCCCTTCCTTGCAAGCTTCCAGGAGCCGCATGCCAAGGTGGGCGGGTCCAGAGGCAAAAGGAGGCCAAGCAATGAATGCCAGGGGTGTTTTTTGTGGGGGGACGGGGGACGGACAATGAGCTAGTGATTCCTGCGTTGCAGAGGGATGGACTTAGATGATGCTTAAGGGGAAGGCACAGTCCCTACCAGAGAAGAATGGCAGATTAAGCTGATGCAGAAATGGCAAAAGTGACCCAAAGAATTAGGAATCGGGAAGACCAAAATTTCAATCAGGAATGGGGAAAATGCATAGTTTATTCTAAAAATCATTGTCAACAATTAAAATTATTAGTAGGACTGGAATAATGCTTGTAGTCAAAAGTTCAACTATGGTTTTATTGAAGATTTAGTAGAAGTGGATTAACAGAGAAGTTGCAGGAGAAAAAGTTAACAGAAGAACCCACGAAAGGGGAGGAGGGAAGTCAAAGGGACCTCATTGGAGGCTGTTAAGCAGACGTTGGACAGCTGTCTGTCAGAGATTATTTAGCTGTGATCCCTGGGGGGGGGGGGTCCCTCCCAGCTCTGCCTTTCTATGTTTTTATGAGACAGGAAAGGGGAAGGGGCATGTTTCCTGCCAGCAAATAAACTTCAGGGTGTGAAGCAAGGGCCAGACAGGTGTGTGGCCTAGGGAGAGGGAGTGTGGTTTTGGATGGGGGGGTCGCATTTGGCCCCTGGACCTCCGGTTCCCTGTCCTTGGCAATGGGGCAACATTTGTGTAGGGAAGAAGTGACACATTCACTGAAATTCCTCCTTCCTATACTCCCTTTCCCACAGCCTTTCTTTCCCAAAGTGATTTTCCCACCCACTTTTAAAAGGTTTGCTTTTTGAGTGTGCAGGAACCCGAAAAGGAGCCCACTCCTGTGGTTCTCTGGATGAGTCCCTGTTCTGGGCATGCACTTGCCTGAAGGTGGGCGATCGCTGTGTCCCTGCCTCCAGAGAGATCCCCACCACCACCCACACCTCTCAATGGCAGAGGGACAGCGGAGGCGGACTGAGAAGAAAGGCAGGGCAGGTTTTTGTGCAGAGACATAACAGTGGTTTTATAGTGGGGGCTCCCAGGGGCCTTCCCGCTCCTGTGAGGGCTGTCGGTGGCACTACAAATGAAGGCTTGCCAAGAGAGGCACCCATGCCTTCTGCCAATGGTGCACTTAGGCCATGCATAGTTAAACTATGGGACTCAGGAGGACTGGACAAATCCACAGAGAAGGAGAGGATTACCAGTGGCTCCTGGCCACAGTGGCTCAGCTCTGCCTCCACAGTCAGAGGCAGCAGTGCTTCTGAATCCCAGTTGCTGAAAACTGTAGGAGGGGAGAAAGGGCTCTTGTGTCCGGATCCTGCCTGCCAGTTCCCCTTTTTGAAATCTGTTTGGCCACTGTGAGAACAGGATGCTGGACTGGATGGGCCATTGGCAGGCTCTTTCTCAGGTTCTTAGGGAACCTGCCCTTGATGGTCTTTCAGGGGTGGCAACATGTAACGTGGGCACATTCAGTGCTTTGCTTTCCATGAAATGGGCCAAGCCAGGGCTGTTGCAAATCCTGCTCATGTTGTTGAATGAGACCCCGGATTTTGACCCTGTTTTGCCCAATGCAAAATGGTTCTTTTAAAATTTAGATTCAGAAGCAATACAAGCGCAATTGGGTGAGAAGATTAAAGATTTTATTCCAAACAGCAAGCAAAAATATATATTACCAAGCAAGCACTTCAATCAGCCATTGAGGAGCCCAGAAATGGCGAAGTGACTCCCAGGTAGCCGTCTTTTGCACAGCACTCTGGCCACGAGTTTGTGCTGAACTCCTACTTGGCATGCTCCAAAACTAGATATTTTATAGACCTGTGTCCTATTGGACTAACACCGTCTCAACCAGAGCTACTCTACATCAAAGGCTTTGCTAGACCAGTTTCATCAACACAACAAGGGCCTTTTCACAAAGGATATTGAAAGCAATAAAACACAGTAACCAGAGGCAGGAAGGAATAACCAGAGTTGGAAGAGCTGACCATGCCAGATCACTATCTCCTCGAATTATAATAATCTTCTGCGATAATTATCCCATACACCCCCCAAGTCCTGGCCTGACCGCGCTGCTGACTCCTGCCCGCCCCCAATTCTGGAGTCATATCAGCAGCCATATCTGCCCTGTGTCATACCAGGATGACAAACTATTCGTTGTTGATGTTCATTCAACTTGTTGTTGTTGTTGAGTCCTTTAGTCGTGTCCGCCTCTTCGTGACCCCCTGGACCAGAGCATGCCAGGCACTCCTGTCTTCCACTGCCTCCCGCAGTTTGGTCAAACTCATGCTGGTAGCTTTGAGAACACTGTCCCACCATCCCGTCCTCTGTCGTCCCCTTCTCCTTGTGCCCTCCATCTTTCCCAACATCAGGGTCTTTTCCAGGGAGTCTTCTCTTCTCATGAGGCGGCCAAAGTATTGGAGCCTCAGCTTCAGGATCTGTCCTTCCAGTGAGCACTCAGGGCTGATTTCCTTCAGAATGGAGAGGTTTGATCTTCTTGTTTCGTGGGACTCTCCAGAGTCTCCTCCAGCACCAGAATTCAAAAGCTTCCATTCTTTGGCAATCAGCCTTCTTTATGGTCCAGCTCTCACTTCCATACATCACTACTAGGAAAACCATAGCTATAACTATATGGACCTTTGTTGGCAAGGTGATGTCTCTGTTTTTTAAGATGCTGTCTAGGTTTGTCATTGCTTTCCTCCCAAGAAGCAGGCGTCTTTTAATTTTGTGACTGCTGTTTCATTCAACTAGCTAGGAGAAAAAGCCATCATAGCAGCTGCAGGTGTCTCTAGGCAGGGCTAGAGAATAAGACCCCCTTGCCTGGACTCCTGGGGAGCCGCTGCTGCCAGTCTGTGTGGGCAATACTGAGCTAGGTGGACCACTGGTCTGCACCATATAAGGAGGCTTTGTATGTTCCTATTTAAAGCACTGTTTATTTAAATTCGGAGCCATGAGGACTAGCATCTTGCTTTATTCCTAGGGAGAAGAAGCTGCTTTGGTAGAACAGACCTTTGGAGGCAGAAGGTCCCAGGTTCAACCCTGGAGGGATTAAATGAGGATTTGGACCTGGGAGAGACCAGGGTTCAAATCCCTACTCAGCCACCATGAAGCTCACTGGGTGTGACCTTGAAACCCAGTTGCTACCTCTCAGCCTAAACTCAATTACAGGGATGTTGTGGGGATTAAAGGAGGACTGCGACCTGGGAGATCTGGGTTCAAATCCCCACTTGGCTATGATGCTCATTATAAATGAAATACAAAATCAAAGTTTGCCAGGATCTGCTTGAGAACAAAACAACCTCGGAACCTGCCCTGGGGCACAATGTCCTTTCTGGAGCCCCACAGGAAGGGCCGAGGCAGCCTCTCCCCTCTGCCAGGTGGGCTTTTAAGGGCCCACCGGGGCAGCTAATTGGGAAAATGCATTAGCCGAGACCCAGAAAGACTTTGGATCCATCGGATGAGCTTCCTGGCAGGAGGGAGCGGCTCTTGGCCTTTGCATCTCTCTGGATAAACCACACACCTCTCCCCTTCCTACCGCCAGCCTGCCTCGCCAGGGTGGGGATCCAAGGCAGGGCAGGGGGTAGGCGGAAGCCGCCTTGTTCTGTTCCATGTGGCCAGGACAAGCTGTCCTGCTGCTGCTGCTGCGTGCTGATTGCTCGTCACCACTCTGGAGGATGAATCAGCTGGCCGCTGTGCCAAGATGAGGTGGTCTCCAGGGGCAGAGGGGCCCTGCCAGTGTGCCCCCCGATGGGAGCAGGGCAGAGAAGGAGGGAGCTGGAAGCCACAGGAGGGGAGAGTTGCTCTCCTGCTCAAGTCCTGCTTGCGGGCATCCCATAATAGGCATCTGGCCGGCCACTGTGTGAGAGAACAGGATGCCGGACTAGTTGGACCACTGGCTAGATTAACAGAGGCAATCAGAGATCACACTAGACAAGAATTTCAAAAAGCATGGGGGAAATGCAGAGAATACTTTGCAAAACGGTGCCCTAAAATACATACTTGGACTTGTTTTGATTAATGTCTGCAGGAGACTTTGTGGATATTTAAGTTATAATTAGAAAAATCTTAATAATTATTCATAAAGGAAACAGTTTATAAGAAGTAAATAAGGAGGCCAGGTACAGGATAAAGGAAGTCTTTTATTTGGTTCTTTGTATTGTTGTATGTTATGCTTATTGTATGTTATGTTCATACAATATGTTATGTTAATGAGGGTGGAATTCTGTATTGGGGTGGGGGTTTATGTTATATTGTAAATAAAATTTCCAATAAAAAATTTAAAAATTAAAAATAAATAAATAGATGGGCCGCTGGCCTGATCCAGCCGGCTCTTCTCATGTGTGTTTAGCCTGGAGAAGAGAAGACCGAGAAGTGATACAAGAGCCATCTTCAGATATCTCAAAGGGAAGAGGGAACAAGCTTCTTTTCTGTTGCTCCAGGACATGAACCAATGGCTTCAAGTTACAAAAAAAAGGAGATTCCAGCTAAAGATTAGGAAGAACTTTCTGAGTGTCAAAGCTGCTGGACAGTGGAACAAACTCTTTGGAAAGTGTCTCCTTCCTTGGAGGTTTTTAAAACTATCTATCCTCTGCTTAAAAAACTGATAATAATAATAATAATAATAATAATAATAATAATAATAATAATTTATTTATACCCCGCCCATCTGGCTGAGTTTCCCCACCTCCCAAGGAAGGTCAAATGGCTCTTGCCCTCAGAGGTGTCTTTCTAAGGTTTATTTGGGATTTTCTTCCTTGACACTTGAATCCCTTGGTTCTCTGGAGCAGCACAGAACCAGCTTGCTGCATCTTCCACGGCACAGCGATTCAGGTACCTGAAGATGCAGAATTTGGCAGGGCCAAGAACATAAGAAGAGGAGCCTGCTGGCCAATGGCCGGTCTAGTCCAGTCTCCTGCTCTCACAGGAGACTTCTGCATCAGCTTAGGAGTCAAGCGATAAAAGGAGGATGACGAAACTGGGATGAGATCGATCTGGCACCACTTCCTGCTGGGCTGCCTGCCTTCTGCCCCAACAGTCCTCTGTTGCCACCCCATTGCCCCACACTAATGGCCGTCCTTCAGAGATCCTGCAGCTCTCTGGATTCCCTGTACTGAACGAGGACCACGTGACCTCTAAGTCCCTCTCTAGCTCTTACGGTGACACTTCTATTATCTTATAATTTATCTGGGGGTGGCAGGTCCAGGCTCTCCACTTCCTTGAGATAGGCCCATCTGGCTGGGCCAGGCAGGTCCTGAGTGCAGGGCCCAGCCTCCTGCAGAGATGGCGTGGGAACCCTGCCAGGGCTGGCAGATGCAGCGGCTGCCAGATTTCGACGGAGGCCGACGTCAGTCGCTCACGGAGGGAGCACAAGTTTTCCCAGAACGGGGCGCTTCGCTCACTTCCTGGAACAAGCCAGCCTGGCAGAATCTGATGGGTGAGGGGGGTGCTGTTTAGCCTTGCAATGCAAAAGCCACCCCCCGCTGGCATTGATGCTCCCCATCCCGCCCCAGCTATGGGTCCAAGCCCCGGCTGGAGCAAAGTCCCTCCTTCCTTCCTCCACCCCCATAGATGCTGTCTTCTGTATGGCAGCCACACACACACAGTTAACATAGAATATTCTGCAGAGCCAGTGGTGTCAGCCCTGGAGTCTGAACATTTCTGCATTGCAGAGGGTTGGAATAGATGCCCCTTGCGATGCCCTCCAGCTCTGCAGTTCCACAATTCTGTGCTACCTGCCTTCCAGTCCAGCTGATTTGTGATTGTTCCACCCACTCAGGCGACGTGGGGTGTAACAAGGAAGGTACCTCTGAGTACTTTTTGAGTGCATTGAGTGCATAAGTCCTTTTTGCATTTTCCAGCAACTGGTATTCAGAAACATCAGTGCCTCTGACTGTGAAGGCAGAGGATGGCTAGGAGCCATTGATACTTCTCTCCTCCTTCCTGAATTTGTCTAATCCTCCTTGGCGCAGTGGGTTAAACCACAGAGCCTAGGACTTGCTGATCAGAAGGTCGGCGGTTCGAATCTTCATGACGGGGTGAGCTCCCGTTGCTCGGTCCCAGCTCCTGCCCACCTAGCAGTTTGAAAGCACGTCGAAGTGCAAGTAGATAAATAGGTACCGCTCCGGCGGGAAGGTAAACGGCGTTTCCGTGCACTGCTCTGGTTCGCCAGAAGCTGCTTAGTCATTCTGGCCACGTGACCTGGAAGCTGCACGCCGGCTCCCTCGGCCAGTAAAGTGAGATGAGCGCCGCAACCCCAGAGTCGCCCACGACTGGACCTGATGGTTAGGGGTCCCTTTACCTTTACCTTTTTAAGTTAGTGGCCATCCCTGCTTCCTGTGGCAGGGAGTTCCGCTGTTTAACTCTGGGCCATGTAATGAAGGGCCTTCTTTCCACTGCGTCCTCCCCCCCCCCAGGCTGCTTCCCTGACCCTGTTCTGCCTCCCTGCTCTCTGCCCCTAGGGACCGCGTGGCTCGCATCGGCCTGGGCGTGATCCTGAACCTGTCGAAGGACCGTGAGAGCCTCCCTCTGGCGCGCAGCACCTCGGGGATCCTGGAGCACATGCTCAAGCACTCCGAGGACACCTGCTCACAGCTGATCTCCGACGGCGGCCTGGACGCGCTCCTCTACTGGTGCCGCTGGAGCGACCCCGTGGTCCTGCACCACTGCGCTGCCGCCCTGGCCAACGCGGCCATGCATGGCGGGCCGGCCAACCAGCGGCTGATGGTGGAGAAGAAGGCGGCCGAGTGGCTCTTCCCGCTGGCCTTCTCCAAGGACGGCTTCCTGGTGCAGTTCCACGCCTGCCTGGCCGTGGCCGTCCTGGCCACCAACAAGGAGGTGGAGAAGGAGGTGGAGCACTCGGGGACCCTGGCGCTGGTGGAGCCCTTCGTGGCCACGCTGGACCCCGGGCACTTCACCCACAGCTTGCTGGGCAGCAGCGACAACAGCCAGGGCAGGACGGCAGAGGACCTGCAGCGCCTGGTGCCCCTCCTGGACAGCTCCCGACCAGAGGCCCAGTGCCTGGCTGCCTTCTACCTGTGCGCAGAGGCTGCCATTAAGGCTCAGCAGAAGAAGATGCAGGTAGATTATTTGCATGCAGAGCCATGAGGACTAGCACCTTACCTCCTCTCTTAGTTCAGCAGCAGAGCCCCTGCTCTGCATGCAGAAGGTCCTGGGTCCAATCCCTGACTAGAATCTGGGTTCAAACCCCCATTCCGCCATGAAGCTCACTGGCAAGCTGGTTGCTCCCTCGCCAAATGGGGAGGAACAGGAAGCCTAGAGGACAGGAAGCGGCACCAATGCACAAAGTGAATAAATGCTTTGCTCTGCTCAGATTTTCACAGAGATCGGGGCCATCCAGAGCTTGAAGAGGATCGTCTGCTACTCCCCGGACGGCACCACCTCCTCGCTTGCCAAGAGGGCGCTCTGCACGATGGGCGAGGAGGTGCCCCGGCGCCTGCTGCCCACGGTGCCCAACTGGAAACCCCTGGAGGTGCAGAAGTGGCTCCAGCAGATCGGCTTTGTCAAATACTGCCCCAATTTCCTGGTAGGGCTTGCAAGGGGGCAGTGGTTGTGCGGGGAGTGGGGATCAGGGCTCCTGGAGAGAGGAGAGGGCCCCTGAGGAGACTGCAGGTGTCTGTTGGGGGTTCACAGCTCACTCCCCACGCAGGCCTCCCCCAAAAGCTGCCTCCCTAGCCCACCCCTGGCTCTTGCAGATGCCTCATAAGAGCACAGAGCTCTTACTCACTTTTTCTACCAAACACCACAACCTTTTTTCATAGCAGAGTCCCTCCATCGTCTGGATCATGTTGCTTTCTCTCCCCTTGCTCTTTGGATGTGAAACTGACCCCATCCTTCCTCTCTCCCCAGGAACACCAGGTGGATGGCGACCTGCTGCTGAGGATGACGGAGGAGGATTTGCGGGTGGACCTCAAGATGACCTCCAGCATCACACGCAAGCGGTAAGGAGCGGGGTTGAGCTGGATGATCTCTGAGGGAACCCACCAGATCAAAAACGGCAGCTGTGCTATTGCTCCCTGAGTACAGCAGTTTGTACTCATGTTTGCCATTCCAACTTTTTTTAAAAGCCCACACCACGTTTGCAGGAAATTCAGCTATGCAAAAGGGTTTTGAGCACCTTGAGGGCCGGCCAGTTCCTCCTCCAAAAGTGGCTGCCTCTGCTCCAACCTGGCAGGAGGTGTCGTCCCCCCCCACCAGCCCTACTGAGCTGCCCCCTCCTTCCCCCAGGTTTTTCCGGGAGCTGACGGAGCTCAAGACCTACGCCAACTATTCCACATGCGACCGCAGCAACCTGGCCGACTGGCTGGGCTCCGTGGACCCCAAATTCCGCCAGTACACCTACAACCTGGTCACCAGCGGCATCGACCGCAACTTCCTCCACCGCGTGACGGAGCAGCAGCTGCAAGAGGACTGCCAAGTCCACATGGGCTTCCACCGCGTCCGCATCCTCTCGGCCGCCCGAGGTAACCTCTCCCCTTGCTCTGCAGACCCCCCAGCCCCCGGGAAGGACATCCTGAGGGTCAGAGCCATTTGGCAGTGGAACGGCCTCGCTCGCCAGGCGGCGGACTCTTCTTCACTGGAGATCTTAAAACGGGGTTGGGCTGGATGACCCTGGGTGCCCCTTCCAAGTGTACAGTATGATTCCATGAAACAATTTGCTGTTGGAAGGGAGGGAACAAATGGATCTAAGGTGGGGAACAGTGGCGGAGGAACCCTCTCCGGCACCCGGGGCGGTGCAGCCCATATGGCCACCCACCCCCTTTCTGTCTCCTCCCAGAGATGCTGCATTCGCCTCTGCCCTGCAGCAGCGGAAAGTCCACCTTGGAGGGGACGGACGTCTTCATCAGCTACCGGAGAGCCACTGGGGCGCAGCTGGCCAGGTGGGCAGGGGAACGCAGCGCGGACCATTCACACATGCGGGCGTGTCAAAGAGAAAAGCCTTCCTTTCTCCTTCTGTAAAGAGCCAACTGTGTGATGCAGCAGCAGAAAAGGTTAATGCGATTCTTGGCTGCATCAACAGAAGTCCCGTGTCCAGATCAAGGGAAATAGGAGGACCGCTCTATCCTGGCTTGGACAGATCACGCCTGGAATACTATTAGGAATAACATTCTGGCAATAAGAGCTATTTGATAGCGGAACAGACACCCTCAGAAGGTGGTGGACCTTCATTGGAGGTTTTTAAAGAGAGCTTGGGTGGCCATCTGAAGCGGGTTGGGCTGGATGATCCTTGGGGGTCCCTTCTGTCTCTATGATTCTATCAATTGCTTCTAATCTCTCAACCTCTCTGTGCAAGGAAACAGGGGTTGGCCCACGGCGGCTCTCCCCAACCCAATGTCATCCAGAGGGTGTTGGACTCCAACTCCCAGCAACCCAGGTTGGCCGATGTTCAGGGATGATGGGAGTTGTAGTCCACGTGACCTCTGAAAGGTTGATCCAAAAAGGCTGCTCTGTGGTTAAGGTGGTCAGCAGGATCTCTGACAAGCTGGGCTCAGAGCAAGGCTTGCAGCCTTGATTGGCCAGAAACATGTAAGGGCACCATGGGACGGTGTAGAATTAACCTGTGGAACTCACTGCAACTGCACTTTGCGCTACCGTTAGCAGCAATAGTAGATTTTTACGAGTTGCATTTCTACAGGAGACCTGCATTCTCTAGAGGGGACTGAATGATAATAAAACACACCCATTAAGACTTAAAAAGGAGACCGTGAAATGGATATAATTATCCTTAGCACTGATATTGTAACACTTTGGAGGCGTTCAGAGCGCTCGCTTATTAATTATGCATTTATTATTCTGCTTTCTGAACAATTGTAGTCTCCCAAAATGGCTCACGTTAATTAAAGAAGGGGAAGTGGGAGTGAGCGGAGGGCTGAGAAACCACAAGCACACACAAGGGGAGGGGGAGACGAGGGCCCACGTACATAATTTCCTTTACAACAGCCCTGTAAGGTAGGCCAGCAGCAGCTGTGGGAGGGTGCAGTTTGGACTGAGGTTGCAGCCGGAGGGGAAAGGGTGTTCTCTAACCCCTTCCCTTTATGCCATCGCCCCAAATCTCTCCGGAGACGCAGTCGGAGAGAACCCAATTATGGGTGCCTGGGTCAAACCACCCCTTCCTTTCACACGTACCCTGCCCTGTTTGCGCCTCTCCAGCCTCCTGAAGGTCCACCTGCAGCTGCACGGATTCAGCGTCTTCATCGACGTGGAGAAGCTGGAGGCCGGGAAGTTCGAGGACAAGCTGATTCAGAGCGTGATGAGCGCCCGGAACTTCGTGATGCTGCTTTCGCACAACGCCCTCGACAAGTGCGTGGGGGACACCGAATGCAAAGATTGGGTGCACAAGGTGAGAGGGCTTCCCCCTGCCAAGGATCGTAGTGTCTCTGTGTTTGGGGGGGATGGGGATGAAACTCAGAGAATCCTAGAAGAGTTGGGTGGGACCCCCCAAAGGACATCTAGCCCAACCCCCTGCAATGCAGGAGACGCAGCCCAGTTCATGACAAAGGGCTTCTCCTTGAGCTGAGCTGCCAGCCATCTGTCTCAGGAGACAACGGAGGAGTGTGCCTTGGGGAGGTGAAGTCAAAACGTTGGAGAGTCGCAGCGCCTGCTGTGGCTGCGGAGGCTGATACAGGAGAGACATGTTTTGTTGCAGCTGGGGCAGAGGAAGGCATCTGCTTGTTCTGCTGCAGATGCACCATGGCGTTTCTTCTCTCTGTGCTCCTCTAAGTGGTCATTGCTCCTCTGGTCACTGCTGTGGATGCATGACCAGTCTGCCTGTCTCCAGGCACTGCGGTCATCTGCAAGGGATTTCCGCAGGGCAGGGATCTCCTTGGGGATCCTGCCATCTTCCATCCTGTGGACATGACCAAACCAGCATAGATGTCACCAAGACAGGAGTGCAAACAGGCCGGGAACATTTGCTCACTGAGAGGGCACATCTTTTGGGGAGACTTTGTCCTGCCACGTGATGCCCAAAATCTTCCTGATATAATGTACGTGGAAGCCAGCAGGACAAGAGGAAGGGAAATCATATTGAACAAACTCACCCCTCCCTAAGCAAGATTTTCTTCTCTCTTTTTAAATGTATATCCTTCACAGGAAATTGTCACAGCCCTGAGTAGCGGGAAGAACATTGTCCCGATCACAGACCACTTCGAATGGCCGGATCCAAAGACCCTTCCTGAGGACATGAGAGCCATCCTGAAGTTCAACGGGATCAAGTGAGTGGGATCAAGGAGTGTCCCTGGGGATAAGGCGGGTGGGCGGGGGGGGGCAATTTCTGGAAGCTGGTGCAACACAGCCAGCTGCTTGTGTGTGTGGGGGGGTGAATCTGGGGAAACGCGGAGAGACGAGGCTGAATCTGAAAGGGTTTGAAACCAATTTAATGCTAATAGTTTCAGGTGCAAAGGACGCTTTGAAGCACCAGGCTTGAAGTTGCACCCTTTCCCCTGCCCCTTTCCAAACTGGTGCTCCAGTTCACGCAGGAAAAAAATTGGGAGCCCTACACAAGAGCTGTAGATTCCCCATGGCCCCTTCCACCCCACGGCTTGGGTCAGCTCAGGGGTCCTCAAACTTTTTCCGCGGCAAGGTTTACTGGACATGGGCCAAATTATTCCCACGGAGATCGTCCGTGGGCTGGACTGGCACAGTGCAATGCTGGAAATCTCGTCTGCGCATGTCTGCGGTGCCGGAAATCGCTTCTGCACATGCCCAGACACCGAAAACTGCGCAGAAGCAATTTCCAGCGTCTGGACATGAGCAGACGCAATTTCCGGTATCTGCGCATGTGCAGACGCGATTTCTGCCGCTGCTCTGTGAGTGCCCGCACCATGCTGCGCTGGTTTAGTGCTGCGCGGAGGAGGGACTCGCCGAGTGTGTGGCTCGGTTCGAGGGCTGCTCATGGGCCAGTAAAACGGTCTTCGTGGGCTGCATCCGCTGCATGGGCCGCACCTTGCCGACCCCTGCCTCAGACCTTGTTGGGGGCCGGACTATATTGTTTGGGGGAAATGAATGAGGGACGATGAGCGGCGTGCGAAAGGGCTCCAGAGAGGGGCTGCTTAAAATGGCGGCCGCTCGAGCACTGCTGCTGGCACCAACCAAGCCCAGCCCCCTGCCTCCTCTAGGCAGGGCAGGAAAAAGCCAGGAGGAGGGAGGGAGGAGGCGAAAGAACACGCACTGGCAATCCATGCAGCGATTCCTGGACCATCCGCAGGCCAGATTTAGAAGGCTATTGGGCCTGATCCGGCCCGCGGACCTGTTTGCCAACCTGTGATTCAGCTGTTTCATTTCCACTTCCCCTGCAGATGGTCCCACGAATACCAAGACGCCACCATTGAGAAGATCATCCGCTTCCTGCAAGGGCGCTCCTCCCGGGATTCCTCCGCTGGCTCGGAAAACAGCCTGGAGTGTGGGCCCCCTCAAAACTAGGGAACTGGAAGGTGCTCCCCCCAACGGAGCAGAGGAAGGGGGTGGTGGGTCGGAGTGGGAAGAAGAGGGTGACCCTTTGCTTCTGTCCCCAAGTCTGCACTGCCCTAGAGATGGGCCTCACCCCCTGCCCCCCCCAGCTTTTGCAGGCTCAGCCACCGCTGAGTCGGTGCCCCTGCTGGCTGCCTTTGGGATATGCCGATTAGGTTATGCAAAACTCCGGAAGAAAATGCTGCTTGCTGCCTGCCCTGCAAGGACAGTTGGAGCAGCAAACTTCCTCCCTCCCTAGTGGCCTTTCACCAGAGGCTCTTAACTCTTTGTGTGCCTGGGTAAGATTTTTGGTTTCTCAACCAATTAGGTTATAACTTCGCTGTTGGGAAGGTGGGCTTTGTAGTGTTTATCTTGTATTAAAGTATTTATCAGATTCTAGGCTCCAGAAGCTTCCTTAGGTGTCTGCTCATCTGTTCTTTAAGCTAAGCAAATAGTCAGAGGTTTAGGAAATAACTGCTTTTCAAACCCCTTCATAAACCATCTAGAGCTGGGAAGGAGCAGCAAAGTGGCCGAGTTTGCTGATGGCGCTGCTCAATTGTTCAGGGACGTTTAAACACAAAAGGGATTGCAAAGAGCTCCGAAAGGACCTCTCCAAATGGAGCGGATGGGTGGCAAAATGGCAAATGCAATTCAATGCAAACAAGAGTTAAAGGATGCATGTCGGGTCAAAAAAGTCTTAATTTCATGTACCTGCTCCTGGGGCCCTGAATTGCAGGTGGCAGACTTGAGGTCCCAAGAGACAGCTCAGTGAGGTTGACCGAGCGACAATGCGCATTCCATGCAAGGGATGGTTAGGAAAGGAACTGAAAACAAAAGGGCCAGGATCATGATGTCATTATAGAAATCTATGGTGCGGCCACATTTGAAGAACTGTGTACAGTACAGTCCTCAAAAAGGTGATGTTCAGAAAAGGGCAGGCAAAACACCCAAAGGGGTGGAACGACTCTCAACGTGAAAAAGGTTGCAGCATTGGGGATGTGAGAAAGAGGCGCCATGATAGTTCATAAGGTTATGCGTGGCATGGAGAAAGAGCAGGGCTGCTCACTAGCCCTGGAAGGGGCCCCCAAGGCTCATCTAGTCCACCCTCTTGCAATGCAGGAATCGCAGCTAAAGGATCCCTGACAGGCAGCCATCTGACCTGTTGGAGAAACCCCAGTGTGCCTTAGGAGTAGCAGCAGAACAAGCCAGGCTTTGCTGTGGCTGCACACAGCCCCTTCTTCTTTCTTGGTTTTTATATATCTTATCTTTTCGCTTTCCTGACTGGACTGCTCTCAGCCGCCATCCCAGCACCCAGCCTTTCCTCCCCGTGCCAGGCTTGTGGACTCTCCTCCGTGGTCCTGGAGCGGCGTGGAGTTTGTAGAGTCAGGCGGAAACGCGAGCAGGGTTGGAAGGGAGCGTCAATTACACAGGTGCCCAAGTGAGCCGTTCTCCTGAATTATGGGTGCCTTTCAGTTGGAGGGTTTGCGGGAAGGGGGGGACAAGGCAGCGCTTGGGTGGGAGATGGGTAACTGAGTGTCCAGGGAAGGTCCCCCCTTAGCCACCACCCAGTTCCCCCACTCAGGGCCTTGGTCTTGATGACCCGCAATAATTGCAGTTTGCACCCCTGCCAGTCAATTTTAAGGACCAGATTCATGGGTCACTTGGAAGGTGCCTCTGTACTGAGCCAGACCACTGGGTCTTCCCGCACTGACTGGCAGCAGCGGCTCTGCAAGGACATCCTTGAGAGCCAATGTGGTGTAGTGGTTAAGAGCGGTGGACTCGTAACCTGGGGAACCAGGTTCGCTTCCCCGCTCCTCCACCTGCAGCTGCTGGGTGACCTTGAGCAAGTCACACTTCTTTGAAGTCTCTCAGCCCCACTCACCTCAGAGTGTTTGTTGTGGGGAAGGAAGGGAAAGGAGATTGTTAGCCGCTTTGAGACTCCTTAAAAGGTAAAGGGACCCCTGACCATGAGGTCCAGTCATGACCGACTCTGGGGTTGCGGCGCTCATCTCACTTTATTGGCCGAGCTTCCGGGTCATGTGGCCAGCAGGACTAAGCCGCTTCTGGCGAACTAGAGCAGCACACAGAAACGCCGTTTACCTTCCTGCCGGAACGGTACCTATTTATCTACTTGCACTTTGACGTGCTTTCGAACTGCTAGGTTGGCAGGAGCTGGGACTGAGCAACGGGAGCTCACCCCGGCGCAGGATTCGAACCGTCTACCTTCTGATCAGCAAGTCCTAGGCTCTGTGGTTTAACCCACAGCGCCACCTGCATCCCTTGAGACTCCTTAGGGTAGTGATAAAGTGGGATATCAAATCCAAACTCTTCTTCATCATCATCCTGCATGCAAACAGGCTGGAAATCACAGGAGGGGAGAGGGCGCTTAGGTCCTGCTTGTGTATGTGTGTGGGGGGGTCCCCACTGGGGCATCTTGTTAGCCACTGTGAGAACAGGACGCTGGACTCGGTGGGCCCCTTTGGACCTGACGCAGCAGCCTTTTCTGATGTTCTCATGATGTTCCTGAAGTGCCAGCTCTTCCTTCTTATCTGTTCTCGGTGCAGAAGGACAGGGGAAGGAGTGGAAAAACACTTCCCCCCCCCAAGCTGAGATGCATCTCCAAGGCCGCTCTTTAGGGCCCCAGTTGGCACACCTCAGAGTGCCAACGTGCCGCAAAAGGGCAAAGAGAGAAGCGAGCATTTTATCAACACACACCTCCAACTTTATTGCCACACGTCCTTTGATGCACACCCAGGTGGGTCCGGGAGCAATTTGCCACCAGCAATTTCCCCTCCAAGTACGAATGGGGAAGCCAACTTGAGTGGGAGGGGGGCACCACCTCCCTTGGCACAGGAGGGCCAGCTGTCATCGAGAGACGGGCCGCCTCCCCCTTGGCACCCAAGTCCGTCCTAGGAGCCTGCTATCTTGGGATGAACTCGCTGTCTCTCCGTTTCCTGAAGACGGGAATCCTCTTGCGACAGACTGGGCTGGAAAGAGCAGCAGCTGCACCACTGGAAAAGGAAAATACTCCCCACTGCTGGGGTAGGTGATACCCCCAGAACGGGCAAGGAAGAGATTCGTGGGAGAGAAAAGGGGGCTTTCTTTGTGATCTCCCCTAAAAGCCATTGTGAATGGCACACACAAAGCCCACTAACACACTCTCACTCTCTCACTCCCCTGGCTAGGATTCCTCCTCCCAGCTCCACAGATCTGAAGAAAGGTTCTAGTCCTCATGACACACCCAATCCAGAAACACAGAGATCAAGGCATGTCTCACAGGAAAGTTAACCCCCCGCCCAAGTTACATTAAAAGGCCAAATGTGAAGAGCCAAGAGGAAATTGTTTTCAAGTCATTGGAGAGGCACGTGCAGAAATCAGCTGCTGGTTTCCGGAAGGGTGGCAACGCAGGTTCAGCTGGTCATTGTTCCGCCTCCTGCAGCGGACCAGGCATGTCGGCAAAGTGGCTGTAGTCGGGTTTTGAGTCCTGGATTTCGATCCACCTGGGGTAGGGAGGGGGGAGAGAGAGAGAAGGGGCAGAGTTAAGGACCTCCGAGGAATGGAGCCGATAGAGCCCAGGGTGTGCAGCAGCTGCGGAAAAGGCGACTGCCATGCCAGGCATCATTAGGAAAACAAAAATTAAAACGGCAGCTCTTATAATGCCACGATACAACTGCATTTGGAATACTGTGAACAGTTCTGGTTGCTCACCTCAAAAAGGACATTGCAGAGTTGGAAAATGTTTCTGAAAAGGGCAACCCAAATGGATCAAGAGGGGTGGAAGAAAAATTGCGGTGTTTGGGACTTTTTAGTTTAAATGGCGACATTACAGGAATTTATAGAACTCTGCATTGCGGGGTGAAAGTGAATAGAAATGACTGTCCCTCCCTCTCTCAGCACTGGAACTAGTGGAGATCCAATGAAACTGATGGATGGAAGATTTGAGACTTCTTCACACAGTGCAGAGTTACACTGTGGAACTCCCTCCCACATGAGACAGGGATGGCCAACAACTTGGATGGCTTTTAAAGAAGATTAGACAAATTAATGGAGGAAGAGAGGGTTCTGGAGGGTTCCTAGCTAGGAGGCTCTGCTTCGCTTCCATGGTTGGAGGCAGCTGGAATCCCAGCTTGCTGGAAACCGCAGGAGGGAGAGTTGCTCTTGTGCCCAGATCCTGCTTGTGGGTTTCCCACTGGGGCGTCTGGTTGGCCTCTGTGAGAATAGGAGGCTGCACTCGATGGGCCCCTTTGCCTGAACAAGCCAGGCTATCCTTATACACTTATCCCATTTCTTCCTATATAAATAACAACGGAAGGCTGTCGTCACGCTGCAGTTTGAGTAGCTGCCACTAGGGCTCCCTTTGGCCTGACTCAGCCACAGCCAGGCAGCTCTTATGGGGTTTGAGGTGACTGTGCGATGCAGGAAGCCAGGATGGTCAAGATGGAGAGAGGAGGACTTACCCGATGATGGCGGCTGGAACGAGGAGGATGACGGCCCCAAAGAGGAAGGGGAAGCCTTTCATGAAGGAGAGGCTGGCGGGGTAAAGGGAGTTGAAGACCCCTGTGGCCACCAGCGAGCAGAGACCTTCCACGCAGGCCACGGCAGCAAAGAGAGCGCCTGGAGGGGAGAGCAGAGAGCTGAAGCACTCATGGGCACCCAAGGGGCGTGCCCCCAACCCCAAACGGTGGGTGTTTTCATAAAATCATAGAGATGGAAGGTGTCCCCAAAGGTCCTCTAGTCCAACCCCATGCAATGCTGAAATTGCAGCTCAAGGATTCCTGACAGGTGGCCCACCTGACCTCTCCAGTCAAGGAGAGACCATCTTATGAAGGAGTCTGCTCTTCCCAGGGTGCTGGGAACTGTAGTTCTGTGATGTCCAGACCTTCACAGAGGGAGGTGTCAGCTGATTTGGGAGCCTACCCAGGAGGGGTGCTTGGGAGTGAGGTGAGGTCCTCAAGCCTGATGGGGAAGCGACTCCCACCAGCCACCCAAACAACGCCTGAAACTCACCTCGTGCTTCTCCAGTAAATGCACAACCGCTGATTCTTGCAGCTCGTTACCAGTGCAATTATTTAAGGATTTTGCTCATGGGAGAAGAACGAGGGATGTGGGGCAAGGGATCTCTGCCCTCTGCCACCTGAGCAGGCATGCTCCCGAGCGCCTCCTTGCACCCACAAGACAGGAGTGGAGACCCCCTGCCCCTTCCCAGACATTGCTGAACCGCAACGCCCACCATCCTCTCTGTCTTCTGGCCAGGCTTGCTGGGGCTGGTGGGAGCTGTAGTTCAGTAACAGCTGGAGGGCCAAAGCTTCCCACTCCTGCCACGAGGACTAGAAACTTCTGAGTTTGTTTTTCCTAAGTCTCTAGTCCTTATGGTAGCAGTGGGAAGCTTTGGCCCTCCAGATATTACTGAACTACAATTCCCGTCAGTCCTAGCCGTCGGCCATGTTTGCCCCAATGCATTGTGGGTCAGGTGATCTGGCTGTGGGTCACTGAACCCTTGCTCTGCTTACCTTGCTCCTTCTCGTCCACCAGCCTGGATAACTTGGAGCGGATCACAGGCGTGACAGTCATGGAGAGGAAAAGGAGGCCATATCCTGTCGGGGAAAGAAAATGAAGAGACCCACTGAAATGAACTAACATGCTGGACTTCGGTTTGGGGCAAACTTGGATGTCCCAGCAGCTGCCATCCAGATGCACTGATTGTCTCTGACGCTGGAGGGGGGACACAGTTAGTGCTCTCTAGGAATATAGATAGACTGCCTCTGGGCCTGGAGGTTCCACAACAGTGTCATAAGAGCCTGCTGGATCAGGCCCAATGGGCTCTGTTGGTAGGAGATGCTTAATCTCAGGGTCCTGGGTTCGAGTTCCACGTGGGGCCAAAAGATTCCTGCATTGCAGGGGGCTAGATGTTCCACTGCCTTGCCGTGGCGAAGGGGCTTGAATAACTCAGAGAAGCTATGAGCTATGCCGTGCAGGGCCACCCAAGATGGACAGGTCATAGTGGAGAGTTTTGACCAAACGTGATCCACCTGGAGCAGGAACCGGCAAGCCACTCCAGTATCCCTGCCAAGAAAACTCCATGGACAAAGACAACAGGCACCAAAAAGTTATGATGCTGGAAGGTGAGCCCCTCAGGTCGGAAGGCGTCCAACATGCTACTGAGGAAGAGCGGAGGACAAGTACAAGTAGATCCAGAGCTGATGAAGCGGCTGGGCCAAAGCCGAAAGGACGCTGAGTTGCGGATATGCCTGGAAGCGAAAGGAAAGTCCAATGCTGTAAAGAAAAAATATTGCATAGGAACCTGGAATGTAAGAACCATGAACCTTGGTAAGTTGGATGTGGTCAAAAATGAGATGGCAAGAATAAATATTGACATCCTGGGCATCAGTGAACTAAAATGGACGGGAATGGGCGAATTCAGTTCGGATGACCATCATATCTACTACTGTGGGCAAGAATCCTGTAAAAGAAATGGAGTGGCCCTCATAGTCAACAAAAGAGTGGCAAAGGCTGTACTGGGATGCAATCTCAAAAATGATAGAATGATCTCGATACGAATCCAAGGCAGACCTTTTAACATCACAGTAATCCAAGTTTATGCACCAACCACTGGTGCTGAAGAAACTGAAATTGACCAATTCTATGAATACTTACAACACCTTATAGAAATGACACCAAAGAAGGATGTTCTTCTCATTATAGGGGATTGGAATGCTAAAGTAGGGAGTCAAGAGATAAAAGGAACAACTGGCAAGTTTGGCCTTGGAGTTCAAAACGAAGCAGGGCAAAGGCTAATAGAGTTCTGCCAAGAGAACAAGCTGGTCATCACAAACACTCTTTTCCAACAACACAAGAGACGACTCTACACATGGACATCGCCAGATGGGCAGCATCGAAATCGGATTGATTATATTCTCTGCAGCCAAAGATGGAGAAGCTCTATACAGTCAGCAAAAACAAGACCTGGAGCTGACTGTGGCTCAGATCATCAGCTTCTTATAGCAAAATTCAAGCTTAAACTGAAGAAAGTAGGAAAAACCACTGAGCCGGTAAGATACAATCTAAGTCAAATCCCATATGAATATACAGCGGAAGTGAGGAACAGGTTTAAGGATTTAGATTTGGTGGACAGAGTGCCTGAAGAACTATGGATGGAGGCTCGTAACATTATACAGTAGGCAGCAACGAAAACCATCCCAATGAAAAGGAAATGCAAGAAAGCAAAGTGGCTGTCCAACGAGGCCTTACAAATAGCGGGGGAGAGAAGGCAAGCAAAATGCGAGGCAGATAGTGAAAGATACAGGAAATTGAATGCAGAATTCCAAAAAATAGCAAGGAGAGACAAGAAGGCCTTCTTAAACAAGCAATGCAAAGAAATAGAGGAAAACAATAGAATGGGAAAAACCAAAGATCTGTTCAAGAAAATTGGAGATATGAAAGGAACATTTCGTACAAAGATTACCATAATAAAAGACAAAAGTGAAAAGGACCTAACAGAAGCAGAAGACATCAAGAAGAGGTGGCAAGAATACACAGAGGAATTATACCAGAAAGAAATGGATGACTCGTACACCCCAGGTAGTGTGGTTGCTGACCTTGAGCCAGACATCCTGGAGAGTGAAGTTAAATGGGCCTTAGAAAGCACTGCTAATAACAAGGCCAGTGGAAGTGATGATATTCCAGCTGAACTATTTAAAATTTTAAAAGATGATGCCGTTAAGGTGCTACACTCAATATGCCAGCAAATTTGGAAAACTCAGCAGTGGCCAGAGGATTGGAGAAGATCAGTCTACATCCCAATCCCAAAGAAGGGCAGTGCCAAAGAATGCTCCAACTACCACACAATTGCACTCATTTCACACGCTAGCAAGGTTATGCTTAAAATTCTACAAGGAAGGCTCAAGCAGTATGTGGACCGAGAACTCCCAGAAGTGCAAGCTGGATTTAGAAGAGGCAGAGGAACCAGAGACCAAATTGCAAACATGCGCTGGATTATGGAGAAAGCTAGAGAGTTCCAGAAAGACATCTACTTCTGCTTCATTGACTATGCAAAGCCTTTGACTGTGTCGACCACAGCAAACTATGGCAAGTTCTTAAAGGAATGGGAGTGCCTGATCACCTCATCTGTCTCCTGAGAAATCTCTATGTGGGTCAAGAAGCTACAGTTAGAACTGGATATGGAACAACTGATTGGTTCAAAATTGGGAAAGGAGTATGGCAAGGCTGTATATTGTCTCCCTGCTTATTTAACTTATATGCAGAATTCATCATGTGAAAGGCTGGGCTGGATGAATCCCAAGCCGGAATTAAGTTCGCCGGAAGAAATATCAACAACCTCAGATATGCAGATGACACAACCTTGATGGCAGAAAGTGAGGAGGAATTAAAGAACCTTTTAATGAGAGTGAAAGAGGAGAGCACAAAATATGGTCTGAAGCTCAACATCAAAAAAACGAAGATCATGGCCACTGGTCCCATCACCTCCTGGCAAATAGAAGGGGAAGAAATGGAGGCAGTGAGAGATTTTACTTTCTTGGGCTCCATGATCACTGCAGATGGTGACAGCAGCCACGAAATTTAAAGATGCTTGCTCCTTGGGAGAAAGGCGATGGCAAACCTAGACAGCATCTTAAAAAACAGAGACATCACCTTGCCAACAAAGGTCTGTATAGTTAAAGCCATGGTTTTCCCAGTAGTGATGTATGGAAGTGAGAGCTGGACCATCAAGAAGGCTGATCGCCAAAGAATGGATGCTTTTGAATTCTGGTGCTGGAGGAGACTCTTGAGAGTCCCATGGACTGCAAGAAGATCAAACATATCCATTCTTAAGGAAATCAGCCCTGAGTGCTCACTGGAAGGACAGATCGTGAAGCTGAGGCTCCAATACTTTGGTCACCTCCTGAGAAGAGAAGACTCCCTGGAAAAGACCCTGATGTTGGGAAAGATGGAGGGCACAAGAAGAAGGGGACGATAGAGGATGAGATAGATGGACGGTGTTCTCGAAGCTACAAACATGAGTCTGACCAAACTGCGGGAGGGAGTGGAAGACAGGAGTGCCTGGCGTGCTCTGGTCCATGGGGTCACGAAGAGTCGGACACGACTAAACGACTAAACAACAACAAGATGTTCCTTGCATTCCCTCCAAACTCTACAATTCTGCGATTCTGGCACGGCTTCCTGTGCCAACCAGATACCCCAAAGGGAAAGCCGCAGTTGCACTCGTGTCCTGCTTGTGATCTCCTCGCTTGCATTTCCCACCCACCAGGGCTCATAGAATCTTCTAATCTCCCGAGGTGGAGGCACATCCAGGGGTCATCTAGTCCCACCCCCCGCAGTGCAGGAATTCAGAGGCACGTTGCCTCCCGTCACTAGGGCATGTAGCACAGAACAAAATGGATCAGGCCAGTGGCCCCTCTAGCCCAACCCCCTGTCCCCACAGTGGCCAACCAGGTGCCCCCACGGGAAGCCCACAAGCAGGAGCCGAGGGCAACGGTTCTTCAGTTCTGCACCTTCCTGCAAGGGCGCTCCTCCCGGGATTCCTCCGCTGGCTCGGAAAACAGCCTGGAGTGTGGGCCCCCTCAAAACTAGGGAACTGGAAGGTGCTCCCCCCAACGGAGCAGAGGAAGGGGGTGGTGGGTCGGAGTGGGAAGAAGAGGGTGACCCTTTGCTTCTGTCCCCAAGTCTGCACTGCCCTAGAGAGGGGCCTCACCCCCTGCCCCCCCCAGCTTTTGCAGGCTCAGCCACCGCTGAGTCGGTGCCCCCTGCTGGCTGCCTTTGGGATATGCCGATTAGGTTATGCAAAACTCCGGAAGAAAATGCTGCTTGCTGCCTGCCCTGCAAGGACAGTTGGAGCAGCAAACTTCCTCCCTCCCTAGTGGCCTTTCACCAAAGGCTCTTAACTCTTTGTGTGCCTGGGTAAGATTTTTGGTTTCTCAACCAATTAGGTTATAACTTCGCTGTTGGGAAGGTGGGCTTTGTAGTGTTTATCTTGTATTAAAGTATTTATCAGATTCTAGGCTCCAGAAGCTTCCTTAGGTGTCTGCTCATCTGTTCTTTAAGCTAAGCAAATAGTCAGAGGTTTAGGAAATAACTGCTTTTCAAACCCCTTCATAAACCATCTAGAGCTGGGAAGGAGCAGCAAAGTGGCTGCTCAATTGTTCAGGGACGTTTAAACACAAAAGGGATTGCAAAGAGCTCCGAAAGGACCTCTCCAAATGGAGCGGATGGGTGGCAAAATGGCAAATGCAATTCAATGCAAACAAGAGTTAAAGTCTTAATTTCATGTACCTGCTCCTGGGGCCCTGAATTGCAGGTGGCAGACTTGAGGTCCCAAGAGACAGCTCAGTGAGGTTGACCGAGCGACAATGCGCATTCCATGCAAGGGATGGTTAGGAAAGGAACTGAAAACAAAAGGGCCAGGATCATGATGTCATTATAGAAATCTATGGTGCGGCCACATTTGAAGAACTGTGTACAGTACAGTCCTCAAAAAGGTGATGTTCAGAAAAGGGCAGGCAAAACACCCAAAGGGGTGGAACGACTCTCAACGTGAAAAAGGTTGCAGCATTGGGGATGTGAGAAAGAGGCGCCATGATAGTTCATAAGGTTATGCGTGGCATGGAGAAAGAGCAGGGCTGCTCACTAGTCCTGGAAGGGGCCCCCAAGGCTCATCTAGTCCACCCTCTTGCAATGCAGGAATCGCAGCTAAAGGATCCCTGACAGGCAGCCATCTGACCTGTTGGAGAAACCCCAGTGTGCCTTAGGAGTAGCAGCAGAACAAGCCAGGCTTTGCTGTGGCTGCACACAGCCCCTTCTTCTTTCTTGGTTTTTATATATCTTATCTTTTCGCTTTCCTGACTGGACTGCTCTCAGCCGCCATCCCAGCACCCAGCCTTTCCTCCCCGTGCCAGGCTTGTGGACTCTCCTCCGTGGTCCTGGAGCGGCGTGGAGTTTGTAGAGTCAGGAGGAAACGCGAGCAGGGTTGGAAGGGAGCGTCAATTACACAGGTGCCCAAGTGAGCCGTTCTCCTGAATTATGGGTGCCTTTCAGTTGGAAGGTTTGCGGGAAGGGGGGGACAAGGCAGCGCTTGGGTGGGAGATGGGTAACTGAGTGTCCAGGGAAGGTCCCCCCTTAGCCACCACCCAGTTCCCCCACTCAGGGCCTTGGTCTTGATGACCCGCAATAATTGCAGTTTGCACCCCTGCCAGTCAATTTTAAGGACCAGATTCATGGGTCACTTGGAAGGTGCCTCTGTACTGAGCCAGACCACTGGGTCTTCCCGCACTGACTGGCAGCAGCGGCTCTGCAAGGACATCCTTGAGAGCCAGTGTGGTGTAGTGGTTAAGAGCGGTGGACTCGTAACCTGGGGAACCAGGTTCGCTTCCCCGCTCCTCCACCTGCAGCTGCTGGGTGACCTTGAGCAAGTCACACTTCTTTGAAGTCTCTCAGCCCCACTCACCTCAGAGTGTTTGTTGTGGGGAAGGAAGGGAAAGGAGATTGTTAGCCGCTTTGAGACTCCTTAAAAGGTAAAGGGACCCCTGACCATTAGGTCCAGTCGTGGCCGACTCTGGGGTTGCAGCGCTCATCTCACTTTATTGGCCGAGGGAGCTAGCGTACAGCTTCCGGGTCATGTGGCCAGCAGGACTAAGCCGCTTCTGGCGAACTAGAGCAGCACACGGAAACGCCGTTTACCTTCCTGCCGGAACGGTACCTATTTATCTACTTGCACTTTGACGTGCTTTCGAACTGCTAGGTTGGCAGGAGCTGGGACCGAGCAACGGGAGCTCACCCCGGCGCAGGATTCGAACCGTCTACCTTCTGATCAGCAAGTCCTAGGCTCTGTGGTTTAACCCACAGCGCCACCTGCATCCCTTGAGACTCCTTAGGGTAGTGATAAAGTGGGATATCAAATCCAAACTCTTCTTCATCATCATCCTGCATGCAAACAGGCTGGAAATCACAGGAGGGGAGAGGGCGCTTAGGTCCTGCTTGTGTATGTGTGTGGGGGGGTCCCCACTGGGGCATCTTGTTAGCCACTGTGAGAACAGGACGCTGGACTCGGTGGGCCCCTTTGGACCTGACGCAGCAGCCTTTTCTGATGTTCTCATGATGTTCCTGAAGTGCCAGCTCTTCCTTCTTATCTGTTCTCGGTGCAGAAGGACAGGGGAAGGAGTGGAAAAACACTCCCTCCTCCCCCCCAAGCTGAGATGCATCTCCAAGGCCGCTCTTTAGGGCCCCAATGGGCACACCTCAGAGTGCCAACGTGCCGCAAAAGGGCAAAGAGAGAAGCGAGCATTTTATCAACACACACCTCCAACTTTATTGCCACACGTCCTTTGATGCACACCCAGGTGGGTCCGGGAGCAATTTGCCACCAGCAATTTCCCCTCCAAGTACGAATGGGGAAGCCAACTTGAGTGGGAGGGGGACACCCCCTCCCTTGGCACAGGAGGGCCAGCTGTCATCGAGAGACGGGCCGCCTCCCCCTTGGCACCCAAGTCCGTCCTAGGAGCCTGCTATCTTGGGATGAACTCGCTGTCTCTCCGTTTCCTGAAGACGGGAATCCTCTTGCGACAGACTGGGCTGGAAAGAGCAGCAGCTGCACCACTGGAAAAGGAAAATACTCCCCACTGCTGGGGTAGGTGATACCCCAGAACGGGCAAGGAAGAGATTCGTGGGAGAGAAAAGGGGGCTTTCTTTGTGATCTCCCCTAAAAGCCATTGTGAATGGCACACACAAAGCCCACTAACACACTCTCACTCTCTCACTCCCCTGGCTAGGATTCCTCCTCCCAGCTCCACAGATCTGAAGAAAGGTTCTAGTCCTCATGACACACCCAATCCAGAAACACAGAGATCAAGGCATGTCTCACAGGAAAGTTAACCCCCCGCCCAAGTTACATTAAAAGGCCAAATGTGAAGAGCCAAGAGGAAATTGTTTTCAAGTCATTGGAGAGGCACGTGCAGAAATCAGCTGCTGGTTTCCGGAAGGGTGGCAACGCAGGTTCAGCTGGTCATTGTTCCGCCTCCTGCAGCGGACCAGGCATGTCGGCAAAGTGGCTGTAGTCGGGTTTTGAGTCCTGGATTTCGATCCACCTGGGGTAGGGAGGGGGGAGAGAGAGAGAAGGGGCAGAGTTAAGGACCTCCGAGGAATGGAGCCGATAGAGCCCAGGGTGTGCAGCAGCTGCGGAAAAGGCGACTGCCATGCCAGGCATCATTAGGAAAACAAAAATTAAAACGGCAGCTCTTATAATGCCACGATACAACTGCATTTGGAATACTGTGAACAGTTCTGGTTGCTCACCTCAAAAAGGACATTGCAGAGTTGGAAAATGTTTCTGAAAATGGATCAAGAGGGGTGGAAGAAAAATTGCGGTATTTGGGACTTTTTAGTTTAAATGGCGACATTACAGGAATTTATAGAATTCTGCATTGCAGGGTGAAAGTGAATAGAAAAGACTGTCCCTCCCTCTCTCAGCACTGGAACTAGTGGAGATCCAATGAAACTGATGGATGGAAGATTTGAGACTTCTTCACACAGTGCAGAGTTACACTGTGGAACTCCCTCCCACATGAGACAGGGATGGCCAACAACTTGGATGGCTTTTAAAGAAGATTAGACAAATTAATGGAGGAAGAGAGGGTTCTGGAGGGTTCCTAGCTAGGAGGCTCTGCTTCGCTTCCATGGTTGGAGGCAGCTGGAATCCCAGCTTGCTGGAAACCGCAGGAGGGGAGAGTTGCTCTTGTGCCCAGATCCTGCTTGTGGGTTTCCCACTGGGGCGTCTGGTTGGCCTCTGTGAGAATAGGAGGCTGCACTCGATGGGCCCCTTTGCCTGAACAAGCCAGGCTATCCTTATACACTTATCCCATTTCTTCCTATATAAATAACAACGGAAGGCTGTCGTCACGCTGCAGTTTGAGTAGCTGCCACTAGGGCTCCCTTTGGCCTGACTCACAGCCAGGCAGCTCTTATGGGGTTTTGAGGTGACTGTGTGATGCAGGAAGCCAGGATGGTCAAGATGGAGAGAGGAGGACTTACCCGATGATGGCGGCTGGAACGAGGAGGATGACGGCCCCAAAGAGGAAGGGGAAGCCTTTCATGAAGGAGAGGCTGGCGGGGTAAAGGGAGTTGAAGACCCCTGTGGCCACCAGCGAGCAGAGACCTTCCACGCAGGCCACGGCAGCAAAGAGAGCGCCTGGAGGGGAGAGCAGAGAGCTGAAGCACTCATGGGCACCCAAGGGGCATGCCCCAACCCCAAACGGTGGGTGTTTTCATAAAATCATAGAGATGGAAGGGGTCCACAAAGGTCCTCTAGTCCAACCCCATGCAATGCTGAAATTGCAGCTCAAGGATTCCTGACAGGTGGCCCACCTGACCTCTCCAGTCAAGGAGAGACCATCTTATGAAGGAGTCTGCTCTTCCCAGGGTGCTGGGAACTGTAGTTCTGTGATGTCCAGACCTTCACAGAGGGAGGTGTCAGCTGATTTGGGAGCCTACCCAGGAGGGGTGCTTGGGAGTGAGGTGAGGTCCTCAAGCCTGATGGGGAAGCGACTCCCACCAGCCACCCAAACAACGCCTGAAACTCATCTCGTGCTTCTCCAGTAAATGCACAACCGTTGATTCTTGCAGCTCGTTACCAGTGCAATTATTTAAGTATTTTGCTCATGGGAGAAGAACGAGAGATGTGGGGCAAGGGATCTCTGCCCTCTGCCACCTGAGCAGGCATGCTCCCGAGCGCCTCCTTGCACCCACAAGACAGGAGTGGGGACCCCCTGCCCCTTCCCAGACATTGCTGAACCGCAACGCCCGCCATCCTCTCTGTCTTCTGGCCAGGCTTGCTGGGGCTGGTGGGAGCTGTAGTTCAGTAACAGCTGGAGGGCCAAAGCTTCCCACTCCTGCCACGAGGACTAGAAACTTCTGAGTTTGTTTTTCCTAAGTCTCTAGTCCTTATGGTAGCAGTGGGAAGCTTTGGCCCTCCAGATATTCCTGAACTACAATTCCCATCAGTCCTAGCCGTCGGCCATGTTTGCCCCAATGCATTGTGGGTCAGGTGATCTGGCTGTGGGTCACTGAACCTTTGCTCTGCTTACCTTGCTCCTTCTCGTCCACCAGCCTGGATAACTTGGAGCGGATCACAGGCGTGACAGTCATGGAGAGGAAGAGGAGGCCGTATCCTGTCAGGGAAAGGAGGAGAAAGAAAATGAAGAGACCCACTGAAATGAACTAACATGGCGGACTTCGGTTTGGGGCAAACTTAAGTGTTCTTGGATGTCCCAGCAACTGCCATCCAGACGCACTGATTGTCTCTGATGCTGGAGGGGGAACACAGTTAGTGCTCTCTAGGAATCTAGATAGACTGCCTCTGGGCCTGGAGGTACCACAAGAGCATCATAAGAGCCTGCTGGATCAGGCCCAAGGGGCTCTGTTGGTAGGAGATGCTTAATCCCAGGGTCCTGGGTTCGAGTTCCACATGGGGCCAAAAGATTCCTGCATTGCAGGGGGCTAGATGATCCTTGCGTTCCCTCCAAACTCTACAATTCTGCGATTCTAGCACGGCACCCTGTGCCAACCAGATATCCCAAAGGGAAAGCCGCAGTTGCACTCGGGTCCTGCTTGTGATCTCCTCGCTTGCGCTTCCCACCCATCTTCTAATCTCCCGAGGTGGAGGCACATCCAGGGGTCATCTAGTCCCACCCCCCGCAGTGCAGGAATTCAGAATTCTGCATTGAGGGCACGTAGCACAGAACGAAATGGATCAGGCCAGTGGCCCCTCTAGCCCAACCCCCTGTCCCCACAGTGGCCAACCAGGTGCCCCACGGGAAGCCCACAAGCAGGAGCCGAGGGCAACGGTTCTTCAGTTCTGCACCGTCAGGTCTTCAGGGGTAGGCTGCCCCCGAGCATGGAGGTTCTGCTCCCACAGTAGGCCTCCATGCGGAGAGCCCGGCAGCAGGATCAGGCCAGGAACCCATCTGGTCCAGCTTCCCAATCTACACAGGTGCTTGGGAGATGGACTCCCATTCCCTGAACGTTTTTAAGCAGAGGCCGGGTGTCCATCTGCCAGGGACTCTTTAGCTGCGACCCCTGCGCGGCCAGTGGGTTGGGCTAGATGACAGCCGGGTGTCCTCATTCTCCAACCCTCCAGCAACGCCTCCTCTCCCACCTGTGAACATCAGGGGCGTGGTGCTCGCCAGCGCGATCGTCCCCAGGCCCAGGACGTTGGAGAGCAGGCCGGCTTCGGCCACCCAGCCGTCCTCGAGGCAGGTCTGCAGCAGGCGCAGCCCCAGCAAGCTGGATAGGTAGGCCAGGTAGTGAGCAGCCGAGCCGTAGCCGATGAGCTGCGAGCCCCAGCAGAGCGGGGTGCTCAGCTCGTACAGCACCAGCAGGTCTGAGGCCCCGAAATGCACGCTGACCACCAGGAAGAAGGCAAGGGAGTAGAGGAGCAGCTTGCGCCACTCCCAGCCCCGGGCGCCGGGCGCATAGAGGTGCAGGACGGAGGCGTAATGTCGGAGGGTGAGGAGCCTGGCAGGCCGCCTGGGTGCCACCGATTCCCGCAGGCAGACGGCGGCGTAGAGAGCAGCGGCGAGGCTAGCGGAGAGGGCCAGCCAGAAGGGAGCCGCGTAGCCTTGGGCATGGCGCCACTGCCCGCCCAGGAGGCTGGCGCCCATCCCCGCCAGGCCGAGGCAGGCCTCCAGGATGGCCACGCGGAAAGTGCGCCCTCGCCGGTCGCTAACGTCGGCCGCGTAGGCGAAGGAGGCGGCCAGGATGAGGTTGTAGTCGCCCGAGAGGCCAGACAGGATGCGGCCCAGCAGCAGCCAGGCCACGGGGAGCCGGAGGGACATCACCGCCAGGAAGATGGCCGCCTGCAGAGCCATGCCCAGAGAGGCGAGGACGAGGGCCGGGCGGCGCCCCGCGGAGTCGCTCCAGGGGCCGAGCAGCGTGACGGAGAAGAGGCCCACCAGGAAGCCGGCCAGGTTGAGGTAGAGGTTCCAGTGGGCCACCAGGGTCTCCAGCTCCTGAGAGAGAGAGGAAGGCGGAGGGCTGTGAGGCAGGAGGAGGGAGCTGGACTACTGCAAGGCGCTCTTCGTGGGGCTGCCCTTGGGCCTGGTTCGGAAGCTACAGCTGGCGCGGCTAGATTGCTGGCGGGAGCTGCTGGCCAGGAACAAAGGATGCCCACCTGCTGCCGAGCTGCGTTTGAGGGTCTTGCGTTAATGTACAAAGCCCTGAGCGACTTGTGTCTACAATCCCTAAGGGGTCGCCTGAACCCTTCTATCCCAGCTTGCTCACTGAGATCACCCGTGGTGCGGCTCACTTGACAACAATGAAAAACCAAGCCTCTAGGGTCATGGACCCAGTCCTGTGGAACTCCCTGCCACTGGAGATGCAGCGGGCACCTACTAAAAACTTTTCTATTCCGCCTGGTCAAGGCAGGCCATGAAGAATACAAGGGTTGGCTGGTGTTTGCTTTAATTCTTTGTTTGCTTTTAACTCAGTTTCATTTTTTTACTATTTTATTGTACGGTTTTATGTTTTTACATTGTTGCAAACCGCTGTGATATATTTTTACGATACAGCAGTATATAAATATCTATCATAAATAAATAACTTAGAACTGGGAATGTCCCCTGTCTGAAACCCCGCAGAGCTGCTGCCAGTCAGTGTAGGCAATACTGAGCTGGGAGTCCAGAGGTCTGACTTGGTCTATACGTCTGCAGTCTCTTAGGTATGCCATAAAGGCTGATGCTGCTATTATTGTTGTTGTTGTTTTTAAAATTTGTATACCGCTCTTCATTCATAGATCTCAGGTTGGTTCCCAGCATTAAAATCCAAGATAAAAACATGAAATACATAATAAAAGTAAGAACAAAAAAAGCCACAGACCCCCTATTATCTTTTATACACACAAACATTCTTCTTCATTTTCTTTTAAATATGTGGTTTCTATTCAATTCCTATTTAAAAACTTTTTAATGGCTTTTCCCTATTTTATCTGTGTTTCTGCGTTTGTTTTTCTCTGTAGTCCCACCTCGAGTCCCAACCTGGAGCAAAAGGTGGGAGAGAAATAAACGCAGCAGCAGCAACAACAGGACCCCCAGCCTGAAACCCAGAGGAGAGCTGCTGCCAGTCTGTGCAAGCAGTCCTGATCCTGATGGAGCAAGAAGGTGCCTGGCTCTAAGGCACCTTCCCGGCTGCAGAGAGCCTGCCTGTCCGGTGAGCTTCCCCGTTCAGGCGCGGTCTACCCCGGCCAAGCCCCAGCTCCCGGGAAGAGGCTGCCCGTTGCCGCCGGGCACCCACCGGGGTCCCTGGCCCTGAAGGGGCCCGGAGAGCCCCCCGGGGCCCGGCCTGCGCCTGGAAGGGCGACGCACCTCCTCCTGCTTGGCGGAGCCGCTCCCGTTGGCGCATCCTCCTCCCTGCCGGGCGGCGCTGCCATTCCCGGCGCCGAGGCGCTCCCACAGGTACTGGGTGCAAAGCGGACCCTGTAAGCCCATGGCCAGCGTGGCCAGCAGCAGCACCGGCTCCACGGCCCGCGGGCGCGCGCAGCCGGCCCGCCGCGCCCCCTCCTCCGGCTCCGACTCGTCCCCGGGCGGCTCCGCCGGGGTCCCGCCGCCTGCTCAGCCATGGCGGCGGCGGTAGCAGCGACCAAGGGGCGGAGCGGCCACCAGCTCCGCCCGGCCCGACGCGAGGGCGAAGGGCGGGCCATGGCCAGGTCGGCAGGAGGGAAGGAGGCGGCCGGGGCGCGGAAGGCGGAGGAAGGGGCTGCCGCCGCCGCCGCCGGCGCCGCCGCCGGAAAGGGAAGCGCCGCGGCTCTCGCGGACCTGCCGTGACGCCACGGCAAGACGACGGCGTCCAGAGAGCCTGGGGAACTGGGAAGAATCCTGCCTGCGTGCTTGGCTTCCTCTCTCCTCGATTAATAGGGACTAGACACTTGGCTACATTGTTGTTGTTGTTGAGTCGTTTAGTCGTGTCCGACTCTTCGTGGCCCCCTGGACCAGAGCACGCCAGGCACTCCTGTCTTCCACTGCCTCCCGCAGTTTGGTCAAACTCATGTTCGTAGCTTCGAGAACACTGTCCAACCATCTCGTCCTCTGTCGTCTCGTCCCCTTCTCCTTGGGCCCTCCATCTTTCCAACATCAGGGTCTTTTCCAGGGAGTCTTCTCTTCTCATGAGATGGCCAAAGTCTTGGAGCCTGAGCTTCAGGATCTGTCCTTCCAGTGAGCACTCAGGGCTGATTTCCTTCAGAATGGATACGTTTGATCTTCTTGCAGTCCATGGGACTCTCAAGAGTCTCCTCCAGCACCAGAATTCAAAAGCATCAATTCTTCAGCGATCAGCCTTCTTGATGGTCCAGCTCTCACTTCCATACATCACTACCGTGCTAGGAAAACCATAGCTTTAACTATACAGTGGTACCTCGGGTTAAGTACTTAATTCGTTCCGGAGGTCCGTTCTTAACTTGAAACAGTTCTTAACCTGAAGCACCACTTTAGCTAATGGGGCCTCCTGCTGCTGCCACGCCGCTGGAGCATGAGTTCTGTTCTCATCCTGAAGCAAAGTTCTTAACTCGCGGTACAATTCATGGGTTAGCGGAGTCTGTAACCTGAAGCATATGTAACATGAAGCGTATGTAACCCGAGGTACCATTGTATGGACCTTTGTTGGCAAGGTGATGTCTCTGCTTTTTAAGATGCTGTCTAGGCTTGTCATTGCTTTCCTTAAAAAGAATGAAAGCTGAACATTTAATGGAGATGGGCCAACAACATATGCCCACTGGATCAGGTCCCAGCGGGCTCCTCTAGGGCAGCCTCCTGTTCTCACAGTGGCCAGTGGGAAACGCTGCGAGCAGGATCCCAGCGCAACAGCCCTCTCCTCTGATGCGCCTTCCAGCGCCTGCTCTTCAGAAGGGTTAATGCTTCAGCAGGTGGAGACTGAGCATAGAAATAATGGCCAATAGCCCTTGATTGCCAAGATCAACATCCCAAAATGGTTTTCGACCACAGTGATTTTCACCGCTCGACAGCTTCAAGAAAAACACAGAGAGCAAAACCAACCCCTTGATAACGAAAAAATCCTGGGGTGCGGATTTACTCCCCTGCCCAGCACATCGGGGTGCCACTTCCCGTGGGTCTCTCTGGGTCAGCAAAGAAGGAGTCTCCAGCCAAGTTAAAGAAGCAAATAGTGGTCAGTAGACCTGGTTTTTATTTGTCGCAACAAGGTTCTGATACGGAAGGGGGGGGCATGTCTTCTTCACCTCCTTCTTCGCTACAATATATCCATTTATTTCCAATTGTCAATGTCAAAAGGGACTAAAATCTATAAAATTCATAGAAAACCAACGTGCCAATTTGCTCAATTTCTCTAGGACTCCATGACACCTCCCCTGTCCTCCATAATCCCTCAAGCAAGGTGTCAAGACCCTAATCCTGTCAAATCACTCTGCCAAGCCTTTCCTCCGGGCAATGCCAGGTGGCAGACCATGCATACATGGACCATTGTCTTCTCATCAGGTACTCAGGATGTGCTTATCTGCGCATATCTCCAGCTCTGCATATTCCCCCCTCCCTCCTCCATATGTTAATCCTGTGTGACCCAACCTCTTCTTAATGTATTCATGATGTAATCTGTGTAACCCAACCTCTTCTTAATGTATTCATGATGTAACTGGGATGTATTTTGCACTGTATTCTGGGACATGGAGGGAAATTTCAAAAGTTCATGTCACCCCTTTCTCGCGGTTCAATCTCGCCTTGAACCTGTTGCGCAATAAACTTGGATCTCCTGCAGTTTGCTCCTGTCCAGCTGAGCTCATTTTCTTCCGCAGGGACCCGCGGACCTAGTCCGACGAGCTGGGTGGCAGAGTAACCCCACACCCAGATTTTACCGTAACAGTTGGCGCCCCACGTGGGGCTTGCAGTTCTCCCGAGCTGCTGACCGGGGCCCCCGAAATCTTCAGCCGGCTCTGGGCCATTTTGCCTGGGAAGATCCTTTTGGATCCCCGGCCATCTTCCGGGCGGTAATCGAAAGCCCCAGGAGTTCAGCCGGGGAGCAAAGAGGGATCCAGCCGGCTTATTCATCGATCCCGGGATCATCGTAGAAGACACGTGAGTATAAGGAAAAGAAAATCCAGTGCACTGGTGGGAAGGGGGTGGAAGTCTCCTGGCAACTGAATTCTCTGCCCTCCTCTCTATCGCTCCTTCTTACCTTTCTCTTGGTCCGGTTAGTGAGAGAGACCGTGGACCGCCGCTCGACCCGAAAGGGGGGTTCTGAGCTCTATCTCTTTCTCTTAAAAAAAACCCTCCAGCCAGCCGCACCAATTGGGAGTCCGAAAGTAAGACGGAGAGAGCCGACTTGAAAAATAGCCGACTCTCCGCAACGGGCATCCCAGTTGAAAGCAAGGGGTTGGAGCTCTCTTTCCGAACTTCCCTAGCGCCCGGCAAGGGGGCAGGAAGGGGTCTGGCTTTCTATCATCAATCCCAGCCGCACTGGTCGGTGCCACGTAATACGTGTATCGTGCGTGAGCCCGCTTCCAAAAGCAAGGGGGATTTTCGGTTCGAAACTCTATCCAGGGATCACCCGATCTGGCACCGCACGGCGCGGGCGTTCAGTAGGGCCCCTTTTCCTGAGATTGTGACGATAGGTAGGAGGTTGCCAGGAGGGATAGCCCAGGAGGAATTGGGCGGGATTTGGCAGAGTGGAAAGGAACCCCAAGATTTGGAATAGGAAATAAGGAAAGGAATAAAGGGAAACCGGATAGTTAGAGCTCACTAAAACCACTAGGAAGTTGCCAAGCAACAAGAGATAGAAAAACCCTAAATAGCCCCCTGTACAAGTTACCCAAATCCTAATCAACCCCTCTCTTTCTCCCTTCTCTATCCCAGACACCCCCCCAAAAAAGAAAAAACAACAAAAAGCAACAACAGCAACGCATACATATATAAAAGGGTACCCAGTCAACCAAGCGTTGTGAGCCCTGCCAGTTTGATTAACTGGTGGTGTGTTTGAAGAGGCAAGGAGGCTCATAAAACCATGTGGGACCTTCCTACTAATTTCACTTAATGAAGCCAAAGGTAGCGGCCCAACTCCTTGCAATAACCAACTAAAGGATGAGAATATATATGTTTACATGTTGTCTGTTATGTGTGTTGTCTATTAATACATATATGAGAATATGTATGTTTACATGTTGTCTGTTATGTGTGTTGTCTGTTCCTTTTGTCTCTGACAGACTGCCTTTCTTAAGTGCGCATAGTTTAAACTACGAGCTTGTTTCAAAATTTTAAATCTAAGGAAGCCAGGCTGGACCTTATCAGTCCTAAATAAGACAAAAATGAGAATGAAGTGTGCAAATGTTTACCCCACCTCTTGCTTTGCCGCAACTTTTGAGATTGTGAGTCTACAGCCTATTTTGGAATGTGAAGTTAACCTAATGTTTCTGCTGCAAAAGCGTAGTTGAGCACAACTGCTCTCTCAAGCTAAAATGCAGTGTCTGTATTTCATTAAGCACATGCCTATGAAAATAGGTGTTCCTTCTAAGAAAATTGTTAATAAAAGGTAGAAGCTTCGATAGACAACAATTGTCTATCTATAGAGTCCAGTCCTGATATCAGTCTCTAAGATCAGCCAGGGTTTCCTGGCTTCTTATTGGAAAATGCCTCCCCCACTTGTTTAAGTCTCTTTCAGGTCCTCCCCCCCTTTTTCTTACTTCCCTGCAGAGTGAATTTACTCCCGAGTAAGCTTCCTTCAACAAGGGAGGGGGGCACATTCTTTGCTAAAAGTACCCGTCATCTCACTTTCCTATGTATCGTTATTTAAAAAAATCTTAATTAGGCGTACTATTCCTATGCAAGTTCAGAAACATTATTAACTTTTGTATCCCTTTTAAATCAAATCCAGGACTGTTTTTATTATTTGTGAGTGGTTATATCAACTGAAATAACCCTATGCTTATAGATTCTCTTCCTATCTTATCTTAGGAAAACTGTTCTTCCTTTAAGATCATTTCTCTAGGAACTTGCACTCTTTAGTCTAAGGAAGTAAACTCTCACTCAAACTAGCTTCAAGATCTGCTAAAAGTGTTCTGTATAAAGTTGGGTACTTTTATTTTCCTCTTTCTTAGTACATGATAGGAGCATTGATTGTGGTCTCTTCCCCGGTTGTGCCTGTGTACATAACTATGTGTGTGTCTCTCTGGTAGTACAAATCTTGCTATGAACCCTGCCTTTTAGGGTTGGACTAGATGACCCCAGGGTCCCCTTCAACTCTCCCAATTTGTGGCTGTGTGAAGGGCCATGTGTCTGCAAGCATGTGATGAGTTGAAATTCAGCCCAGCTTTGCTCTTTGTTTTAATGCAACATTTCAATAGTATAAAAGGTTTTGCTGAGACATGAACTCTGCACATGCACAGAGGCTAGATCAGCTAAGAGCGAGAGAGAGAGAGAGAGAGAGAAAGGGGGGGGGAGAGGAGGTTTGGAGAGCATGGGCTGCAGGGAGAAACCTATCCAAATTTCCTTATGTAAACTTGGAACCATTGAGGGAAATCACCCTTAATTTGTCCTTTGCTCCAGGGGCTATGTAAGACAAAAGGGTTAAGTACTGGACCATCAAAAGTCAAGAGGTTTCCAAGTTTCAAATCTTAACATGCCAAATTCTTTTCACAGGTAAATATCAAAGCACTCCCACTGTGAGTTCTTCTCTTGAGTAGTTCCCCAATCTAACATGCAAAATTCTTTCACAGTTTTCCCACTGAGCTTGTCTTTTATCTGGTTTGGTTTTGTGAGTACTATATACCTATGCATTATAGGAACAGCATTCCTGACAGAGATTTTCACAGGAAATAAAAATTTCCCTTTCAAACAGGATACGTGAAGAGAATTCGGACCCACATAAGCAAAATGTTTAATAACTTGCCAATTGTGTTCAAATTAACAAAGGTTTTGTCCCTTCATTTCTTCCACAGCCAAACTAAGTGAAGGAAATTAAATGTAAATGATTATAATATTTAAATGGATAAAATGCTTAACTATGAGTTTGTATTTACAGCCTCCCAAGAAGAAAATTTTAGAATATTCTCTCCTTTCTTGACTATTATCTTCCTCCTTAAAAAAAAAGAAAGAAAAAACAACAACAACAACTAATTATGTCTTCAGATCCCAACCCCCCCTGCAGGCCTATTTCCAAAGGATGCTTTGCGGGAGACCAAAATATTAAGACCATCTCCTCATCAGCTAAGCAGCCTGCCAATGCATCACAGTGGCCACAACAATTTCTTCCCATAAAAGACTTGAGAAACTGACTAATTGAATTTTGAAGGAAATGCCCTTGTGCCCAAGTTTGGAAATACATGTAAAAGCAGCAAGAATTGTCTCAAGATCACATTATTGCCTCAAGATATGGTGTAGAATTAATAATTTGTATGTTTTGTGTATTATGTGTTATTATGTAGGAATGCTGAAATGTGTCTGATAGTGTGTTATCTCCACAAAGAGGGGGCAAAAATTTCTGTGTGTAATTGTTTCTGTATAATGTAGGATACATAACTATGAACAACAGAAGGATATGGCTTACACCCCAAGGTTTTTTTTTCCATGGAGGATTCTCATATATTACATGCTTTCCGATAGAGCAGGCTATATTTAGATTAAGTCAACTGATGATCATATTTCCTTGTCCCACCTGGCACTCTGCAGAGTGCCAACCTTCCCTACCCATTTATTTATGTATTTAATGTTTTTCTATACATGAAGTTCCCAGACTTTTTACTATTTCTTTCTTTCTGTTCCAGAAAACTATTTCAAATCTCTTCTATGACTTCTCTGTATCACTTGCAGATTCAGTACTGTCTTTAAGTAGCAATTGTTCTGTATTTATTTATTTATTAATCTTGGTTTTCCCGTATAGCTGTGAAATTAATCTAACCACAACCAAGTATTATTATTGGAACCATATTTACAGGTAGCTTTGAAGCAACGCTCTTTATTATTATTTGAGATGTTTTGATTAAAATGCCAAATGAAAATGGGTGTAGATCATGTCCCAAATTTTATTTATTTATTTGAGGACACGACTACCATATGTAGAATAAGGTTCCTTCACTTTCCTTACATCTCCAACATATTATTATTATTATTGATAACAAGAAACGTGTATATGCCTTGATGTAGCAGGAATGGTCCCTTATACAGTTAAATTGACTCCTTTGGACAAGTGCCCCTTTTAAGAATGGTTTTGTTTTAACATATTGGTTTTGAAAAGTTGAGAACCATGGGGCAAGATAAATTCAAATTGGACTCTGCTGGAATTGGGCACGTGTATCCAGGCTGCAACTAGCTTTTGGTCCTTTAAGAGCAAGTGAGCAACTTTCCATGAGTGCAAGACCAGAGCCTGCAATAATAAAACCCCATAGAAAGGCCAAGGCAAAGGCATATCTCTCATGATATGTCCAAACCTGTGCCAGCTATGGTGAGTGCCAGGCGACATGGTTAAATGAAAGCCCTGAGGGGATTCAACAGGATGTGTTACTGTACCACTATGCTGGTGTGAGACCACAGAAAAGCTAGCTTGGCACCTGAGAACACAAAACGGTGGGGCTAAAAAGCAAACTGCATTTTTTTTCAGTCAGTAGTGGACCTTCCTGTTAAATGTAAAGCATACACCACTATTGAAAATGTTTCTCCCAAGAGCTAGAATGCCACAAGTAATTTAGTAACAAAATACAACAGGTGTTCTTTTATGTAATATCCTATATCCAGCTATCTGCACTGCTATACTTGCAAATGACCGTAAGAGGCATGGCTTGCAAGTCCCTTTCAGGTTTGCATAAACCCACACATCTGGTACGGTAGATACCAAGTTATTATTTAGCGCATATCTATATAACACACGCGTACATTGTATTTGTCCGTGTTGCTCCCTCTTTTGCTGCCCTGCTCAACCCACCTCCTTTTCCATTAGAGCCTATTCCCACTCACAGGGCACCCCTACATTCACCGAGATTTAGGGTGCGGAGAAAAGATTTGCAAGTTCTTACAGAACTTTAATGCAAATCTATCTCCGAATGGGGGACTGATACGGAAGGGGGGGGGCATGTCTTCTTCACCTTCTTCTTCGCTACAATATATCCATTTATTTCCAATTGTCAATGTCAAAAGGGACTAAAATCTATAAAATTCATAGAAAACCAACGTGCCAATTTGCTCAATTTCTCTAGGACTCCATGACACCTCCCCTGTCCTCCATAATCCCTCAAGCAAGGTGTCAAGACCCTAATCCTGTCAAATCACTCTGCCAAGCCTTTCCTCCGGGCAATGCCAGGTGGCAGACCATGCATACATGGACCATTGTCTTCTCATCAGGTACTCAGGATGTGCTTATCTGCGCATATCTCCAGCTCTGCATATTCCCCCCTCCCTCCTCCATATGTTAATCCTGTGTGACCCAACCTCTTCTTAATGTATTCATGATGTAACTGGGATGTATTTTGCACTGTATTCTGGGACATGGAGGGAAATTTCAAAAGTTCATGTCACCCCTTTCTCGCTGTTCAATCTCGCCTTGAACCTGTTGCGCAATAAACTTGGATCTTCTGCAGTTTGCTCCTGTCTCCGGCTGAGCTCATTTTCTTCCGCAGGGACCCGCGGACTTAGTCCGACGAGCTGGGTGGCAGAGTAGCTCCGCACCCAGATTTTACTGTAACAGTTCAAACACACAAACCCCTGAGTTGCATGAACTTCTAAGACCTCTCCCATAATACATTTTTCAACAGCATCATCGAGACATCACAAATATGTCACAAAGTAGTAGTGTTTGGCACGTAGAAACATGAGCCCATCACCCAACCCTGTCAATCACCCCAGTTCTTCCCAACACCTTTTAACCACATTCTTCCCCAAAGAACGATAAAAGTGTTTACACATTCCCCTAGTAGCTGCGAGGCTTTCCTGCGCTTCTCCTTTGAACGTATCAGGATTCAATCAACCATCCCGATGGATTTCTTGCTTAAATATCAGGTGTGAGGAGGTGCCTCCGTGTGGCTTTGGAGCCTGTTCTTTGCCCTCTGAGGAGATGCAGGTGTGCTGGGGGCAGAGCCCAGTGGTCGTGCCCTTCTTGTTCCTTGGGGCTGTGAACCCAGCTGAGGCTGCAAGCAGGGCCAGGGTGCAGAAAGCCCCTCCCCGGCCTCAGCCAGTGAACCCGACCAGGCTTTTATGACCCGTAATTGCAGATTGCAGGGCCTGACTTTTGCCAGGGACTCTATGTGCTCCTCTCAGCGCTTCCGAAGAGACAGGAGGTTGAGAAACAGGGAAGCAACTGTTCCTTTCTCTCGGGACAGCTAAAGATTAAAAGGGGTCAGGCAGATCCGGCTGTGGAAAATAAGGCTCTGTTCTCCAGGCTCTGTTCTCTGAGTCGGTAAATGCTGGAATCTCAAGTGGAGAGAGTTTCTGCTGTTGGGCTCAGGTTTTGGGCATCTGGTTTGGTCTGATCCACGTGCAGGGCTCTCCATATGGAGGTTTACGGTGGCAGCAGAACTTCCACACCCAGGGACAGTCTACCTCTGAATTGCTGGTGTGATAGGAATTTTGAGGTCTTAAAGGTAAAGGGACCCCTGACCGTTAGGTCCAGTCATGGCCGATTCCGGGGTTGCAGTGCTCATCTCGCTTTACTGGCCGAGGGAGCCAGCGTACAGCTTCCGGGTCATGTGGCCAGCATGACTAAGCCACTTCTGGCGAACCAGAGCAGCGCACGGAAACGCCGTTTACCTTCCCGCCAGAGCGGTACCTATTTATCTACTTGCACTTTGACGTGCTTTCACACTGCTAGGTTGGCAGGAGCAGGGACCAAACAACAGGAGCTCACCCCGTCACGGGGATTCGAACCCCCGACCTTCCAATCGGCAAGCCCAAGGCTCAGTCTTAAAGGTAAAGGGACCCCTGACCTTAGGTCCAGTTGTGGCCGACTCTGGGGTTGCGGTGCTTATCTCGCTTTATTGGCCGAGGGAGCCGGCGTACAGCTTCCGGGTCATGTGGCCAGCATGACTAAGCCACTTCTGGCGAACCAGACCAGCGCATGGAAACGCCGTTGTTACCGGAAAAATCCGAGGGCTCCCTTGGACAAAATAAAGACACCAACCAGGATAACTTGGAGCAAAACAGCAGCCTGTAGGCTTGGCCTTTATTGAACTGTTGCAACAGGGTGTTCCCCTCACTTGCGAGAGAGAGGAAAGACCCAGAAAGATGGTGTGCAAGACCTTATAAAAACTTTTGAAATTCCCATCCTCTAGGTCAAGCCCACCCCCAGAAACATCATGCATACATTACAGAAAGGAGGGGTTGAGGGAGGAGTTGTGGGGGTAACCTGAGTGTCCTGTCACCTGGCTGGTTCCTCCTTTCCCCCTCCCCATGAGTCACTTCCAGGAGACAAAGGGGAGTTGGCAGTTTCCTCCCCCAGAGGGAAGATCTGATCATTGTCCTTTGTTTCAGTCCATGCTGAATCCACTCCCATATGCAAGTTCTTTGTGATCTTGATGGTCTTCTGTCTAGGACCATCAGGGTTGGCATAGCAACTGGGCAGGGCTCCTGTGGATGTGCTGGGATGGTGAAGGGATTATGGCTGACCAGAACCAAGCCACCCCCCTTTGATAGTCCTTGTCATATGGAGTAAAATAAAAATGGAACAGTGCAAATCCGATGTATGGTTGATTTTTCTATGAATTTATAACAGAAGTGTGGCATATGTAGTGTGTGAGTGTGAGTGTGTGAAGTTTGTACAAACTGAATGATTGGGGTGGGGGGTTCCTGCTACACCGTTTACCTTCCTGCCGGAGCGATACCTATTTATCTACTTGCACTTTGATGTGCTTTCGAACTGCTAGGTTGGCAGGAGCAGGGACCGAGCAACGGGAGCTCACCCCGTCGTGGGGATTCGAACTGCCGACCTTCTGATCGGCAAGACCTAGGCTCTGTGGTTTAACCCACAGCGCCACCCGCGTCCCTCTAGGCTCAGTCTTAGTTATATGTTAATAAGTGTACCAACCAAGCACATACATAGATCAGCACAGGAAGATCAACCTGGAACCATTTTTTATTCCCAAACTGTCCCAAACTGACCAAATGTTTTCTCTGCAAGGTCAAAGGAAAATGGAAAAGCCTCCCTGTTGTCTTTTCCTTCACAAATCCTGTCTTAAGGGTATGTCTGTGTCTGAATGGGGTGTGAGCCTGTGACCTGGCCCAGGAACTAAGTATTTATCACTACAAAAGAATGGCCAGGCTCCCCAGGCAATTCAATCAAGTTACCTGCCAGACAGGAGATAAACGACAAGAGAAAAACAACATTCAAATTTCTGTTTTAGACCGCCTTTTCTGTGATGTAGGTGTGATGTATCTGAGGGGTGGTCTTAGGTTACACCCCTTCTGTGATGTATGTATGATGTTTCTGGGGGTGGTCTTGATCTACAGGGTGGCAATTTCAAAAGTCTTTATAAGGCCTTGCACGCCATTGTTCTGGGTTCCTCCTCCCTCCTTCGTGTGGTGAGTGAGGACCCTGTTGCAACAGATCAATAAAGATCAGGCTTACTAGCTGCTTTGCTTCTCAATAGTCTCTGGTTGGCCTCTGTTATTTTCTCCTACCAATAGGGAACTACGTAAGGGCTCTATATGGGCTCTTGGATACCCCTAAGGGAAAAAGGGCAGATTTTGTTTACAACACTGGGAATCACAAGTGGAGAAAGTTGCTGCTGTTGAGCTCAGGTCCTCCTTGCTTGTGCGCTTCCCACTGGGGCAACACTCCAACCTCCGCTTGTCAATGGGGCCATTTGGCCTTTGGCCTGATCATAGCTGTCAACCATCCCGTATTTGGCGGGGAAGTCCCTTATCCCAGCGCTGTGTCCCGCTGCTGTCCCTTATTGATGATGTCCCTTAAATTTCCCGGGTTTCAAAGGAAGCAGCTCCTCTCCCTCCCTCCCTCCCTCCCTGCTGGCCAGGGAGGAGGGAGGCTCCAACTATGTTACTTGGCTGCGTTGCTCACCCAATAAGGAGTCTAAGAACGACTGGGGGGGGTGGAGCTTGCATGCCTTGTGCCAATCAAATGGGCCGCGTTGCCTGGGGACTCGCCTTTGCTCAGCGCTTCCCAGCGGAGCGGTGACGGTGGTTTTCCTTGCTGCATCCCCTTTGCCGGGTTGCTGCGCTGTGGGAACCACCGCTTGAGGCTTCGTTTAGCTGCTGGCTGGGCTTTCTGCCTTTGGCTCGGAGGGGCTCAGAAGTTGAACATACCTGTGTTTGGAAAATCCCTTATTTTGGCTGCTGATACCTTATTTTCGAGGCTGCTGGTCCCTTATTTTCAAATCTGTAAGTTGACAACTATGGGCCTGATCCAGCCAGGCTCTTCTTCCAGAGGTCTGCTGTGATAGCAGAACCTCCATGCCCATGGGCAGTCTACCTCTGAATGCCAGTTGACAGGGAACACTTGCTGCTGTTGCCCTCAGGCCTTGCTTGTGGGCTTCTTCCCTCTGGGACATCTGGTGAGTCACAGGGAGAATGTTGGGTGAGACCCTTTGGCCTTATCCAGCCTCTTCTGGAATTCTTAGAGCCCACCTAGCCCAGCGCCCTGTCCTCACAGTGGCCAAGCAAGTGTTAGGGGAAATCAGCCTCTGACCATGGAGCAGAACACAGCCATTCTGGCTAGCAGCTCTCAGTTGCCCTCTCCTCCTCTGTGAATGAGTCCAATCCTCTTTTTGTTTTATTTTATTTTGATTCTTAGAAATATTTTAATGGGGAAGCACACACAGGTTTTACACTTTTCTATGCCAAGATCACATCTTTTCATTTTAAGGTTTTAAAGTTTATATTAGAATTGTCATTTTTTAAAAATTTAATTGACCCATATGTATTCAGAATGCTTAATCCTGCATAAGTTTATCTTTTTCTTTCTGAAGGTTCATTCCATCATCTTTTATTAATTTTATTTCACAAAATTTATGCACTGCTTGTTTGTAAAGGACACCTCAAAGCGGTTTACTTATTTCAATTCCATTTCCAAGATATTGTTGGAAAAAGCAGGGCCGGCCTTGTCCTCTTCTTCCTGATAAGATAACTGAGTCCAGTAGTTGCAAAATCTTATATAATCTTTAATAAGGAATCTGTCTCCCCATTGATCGCCAGGGTTGATTCGGCTGATCTGGCTGGCTAGGCGGGTGTCCCCTTCCTTCCTCACCACTCCATGTGCGTCCCTCCCGAAGCTGCGCGCTTGGTGGAAGAGGACGACCATCCCAGATAGAAGGAGTGTACCGTTCTTTGGTCAAGGGTATACGATAGCTGCGCTCCCCTGCTAGAACCTCCAAACAAGCTCAAGGCCCAATCCTCTTTTTAAAGCCTTCTCAGTGGTGGCACCCACCCTGTAGAACAGCCTCCCATCAGATGTCAAAGAAATCAACAACTACCTGACTTTTAGAAGACATCTGAAGGCAGCCCTGATTAGGGAAGTTTTTAATGTTTGATGTTTTATTGTGCTTTTGGTGTTCTGTTGGGAGCCACCCAGAGTGGCTGGGTAAACCAGATGGGTGGGGTATAAATAATAAATTATTATTATTATTATTATTATTATTATTATTATTCAGGTTGGTGGCCATCACTGCCTCCTGTGGCAGGGAGTTCCACAGTTTAACTCTTTGCTGCACAGTTGGGGACTTAAATCTGGAGAGCCTCTTATGATCTGGATGAAACGCGGGGAATGGCCCTGCTGGACCTTCCAGATGTTCTTGGGCTGCAGCTCCATTGTCCCTGACCACTGGCCATGCTGGCCACTGAGGAAAACTGGAGTTGGGGCCCAGAAACATCAATGAGGCTACAGGGGTGTGCTGAGTCAAGACATTTCTGGTGGCCATGGAGCTTCTTCACCTGGTACAAGATCCCCTTACCCCACAATGAGATCTACGAGATGGCCTTACCCCACAAACACCCACTTTGATCAGTGCAATCAGCTCTACTGCAAATAATCTCTGCTCTACATTTGTAAAAACAGCACCTACCCTTTGGAACTCCCTGCCTATTGATATCAAGCAGGCCCCTGCATTTTTTTCAGTCCCTGCTTAAAACATTCTTGCTTAGACAAGCCTCGCCAGGCACTTAGAAAGCCGCTACAAGTTTCGTTCTTAGTATTTTAACTTTTCTGGTGTTTTAAAGTATTGCTGTGATTTTTCCTTGGTTTTATTGTTTAATCTTCTCGTAAATCACTTCGACGACTTTAAAAAGCAAAACACGTGGCATATAGGTTTTACGAAATAAATAAATACTCCCGGACTTTGCTCCTTGGGCTTGCTCCCAGCTGCAAAAGATAAATGATCCCTTTTCAAGGTTTGACGGCTTTTATTATTCCCAGAAGTAATTTATGAGGCTGATTTATGATGAGGTTTCTTGGCTTCTGGAGAAGGGGCAGAGCAACGCTCTTGCGACTGGCATTGTCGTTCGGAGAGCGCAATGTTCGCCTTGTTCAGAGGGGAACAGGACTGCGATAATTGCTATAGCAGCAGAAAAGGGCTTCCTCCTGAGCAGCTCTGAAGGCGCAGAGTTCATTTGGAGGAAATGAAAACCATCACAACCACCCCATTACCGGCTAGGATGGGCTGGAGACGGATGTTTGTGCTTGTGACGCCCTCAAGAGTGGAGGGCGCGAGCTCTGGGATCCTTTGCACAATGACTGGCCTTGTGCACGCCCCACGTGGAGGGCCCATGTGGGGCAACGGCTCTGAGGCTGAGCCCTAGCTTTGCAGGTCAAAGGTCCCAGGATCCTTTTCCTGGCAGCATCTCTGGTGACAAAAGGTGCTGGAAAGGAGAAAACATAAGGAGGTTGTGAACTCTCCTGCTCTAAATAAATAAATAAATAAATAAACATTTGTTTATATCCCGCCCTTCCCGGTTCAAAAACCTGGCTCAGGGCGGCTAACAACAAATTTAAAACACTTAATTATAAAAGCAGCATAAAATACAGTGTAAAAACATGAATAACAATAAAATTCAAAAATCAGTTTAGGGGAAATAAGCATTAGGGACATGTGTGGCACTGTAGGTTAAACCACAGAGCCTAGGAGTTGCCGATCAAAAGGTCGGCAGTTCAAATCCCCGCAACGGGGTGAGCTCGGGCTGCTTGGTCCCTGCTCCTGCCAACCTAGCAGTTCGAAAGCACCTCAAAGTGCAAGTAGAGAGGTACTGCTCTGGTGGGAAGGTAAACAGCATTTCCGTGTGCTGCTCTGGTTTGCCAGAAGCGACTTAGTCCTGCTGGCCACATGACCCAGAAGCTGTACGCCGGCTCCCTCAGCCAATAAAGCGAGATGAGCGCCGCAACCCCAGTCTGCCATGACTGGATCTAATGGTCAGGGGTCCCTTTACCTTTACCTTTAAGCATTAGATAATCCCCAGAGCTAGCTGGCTGAATTGGTCCTACTTGGGCCAGCGAGGAGGCCAGGGAAGAATTAGCTGTGGGGTCTCAGAGCGGGTGATCTTCATAAAAGGGGAGGGGGAAGGTAAGAGAAGGGAAATAAAAGATCAGGTTGAAATCAAATTAAAGGCCAGGCGGAACAGCTTTGTTTTACAGGCCCAATGGAAGGAGGATTAAATCCTGCAGGTCCCTGGTCTCATGAGACAGAGCATTCCACCAGGTCGGAGCCATCACTGAGAAGGCCCTGGCCCTGGTGGAGGATAGTCTGACTTCCTTAGGGCCCGGGACCTCTAAACTATGGTTGTTCATGGACCTTAAGGTCCTCTGCGGGGCAGACCAGGAGATTTGGAGATTTGCTAGCCCTGATCTAGTTGCCATTGCCACCCTGGAGCACCAGGGGTCAGGTGGCAGCCAGTAATGCCAGCAGGCAGTGGGGGGCAGTGGTGGGGGGCAGATGCCGGGCACCCACAAAAAATGGTGGGTGCCCAGACCCCCAGAGCCACCTGGCTTTGGCATCACTACCACACATTAATTATTAATTATTTCTTTGTTCAGTAATCGCGCTGCAGAGGCCTCTGTGGTTTCCAAGGTGTGGCTGCAGAGGAGCGGGCGAGGGGGAGCGAAAGCAAAAAGCCACCCCCCCTCCCCAGACAATCCATGACCTTGGACACGATCCAGCTTCCTGCTCACCCTCGGGATGGCAGGTTTTGTTTCCCTCCCTCTTCCCTCCGTTTGCTTCTTGAAAGATCTCTTTGGAACCTGAACCTCAGCCAAGCAGAGCAAAGGGATGCGATCTCTCTTTCTCTTTCACACACTCACAAGTTTGATGGTTTAATTATTACAGGGATATTTTTAATGGATTTATGATCTTACATAATGTGCTGACTTTGCACCATAATGTTGCAAAAGGCGTCAGATAAGGAAATTATCAGATCAGAGAGAGAGAAAGAAAGAAAGAGAGCACGAGAAAGCGCTCTTGCGATGGGAAGCCTCAGTCCTGGAAGTCAAATCTGGCCCCCCAGGCCCTTCAATCTGGACCTCAGCACTCTCCCTAAGCCACACCCCTTCTCTCCAGGCCACACCCCCGGTCGCCCCTGCTCTGCACCCTTTTTGAATGTTTTTGCTGGATGGAATGCGGCCTTGAGCTGTGATCCTGCCTCTTGCGTTCCTGGAGATGTGCCTCTCCAACTTTCCTGCGGCTGGAAATATAATCTAACGTACAAAGGTTAGAGTCACATCCGTTCCTCTGCTGCTTTTGCCTCTGGCCCCACCCACTTTGGCCCCCAGCCCATTCATGTCTGACCCCTGGCCCCCAAAACATTTCCCGTGAGACAATGTGGCTCCCGGGCTTAAAAACAGAGCCATTGGGGTGTAATGGTTGGACTCCTGGACTAGGGACCCGGGAGAGAGCAGGGTTCAAATTCCTGCTCAGCCACAAAACTCACACACGCTCCAACTTTTCCTAACTAAATTTGGGACACCCCCTGCCCATTCTTGCCACTTGCCCTCCCCACCCTCACCCCCTGCTCGCCCGCTCTCGCCTGGCGCTCTGGCAAATATCCGCAGAGTCGTGCCACAGCTCTGGACGGGAAAGGGCTTTGATGCGACGCTGCTGACGACCATCCGATGGAGCGTCTCTTGGTCCAGGACTTGCACCAGAGCCCTGGACCCAAAAACGGGACATTCTGGGATCAAAACAGAAGCCGGGGTTGCCTTCTGTGATCCAGGAAGACCCGGTAAAGCCAGGACAGTTGGTGGGTCTGAGCAGGGGCGAAGGGAGGCGTCGTGACGCCCGGGAGGATGCTTCGTTCGCAGAGGATCCCGGCGCCGCCGGCAAACCTCTATACAGTTTGCTACAGTTCCTGGGATTATTTGAGCGTGGCTTGAACGCGCTTTAGGTGCCGAGCGGGGCGATGCCGTGAGAGGGGAGGCTGCCTCTGGGTACTCAGTTTCACCCCTTACAGAGAAAGCGTGCAGGTGTGTCTCACTTCCTTGTCCTTCTCCCAGGAGTTGGCACACAGGGCCTTGCGACACCCGCCCCACTCTGCACGTGCACCCACACCTCGAGGATCAAGTGTTGGGGAAGGGTGTGTCTTTCTCCGGGGATTAACCCCCTCCTCAACCTTCCTTGGCTGCAGCAGGAGCACAAGGGAAGGGAATCCCCAATTTGGACCTCCTCCCACCACGAGCAGATAGAGTCACTGGGAGGCCAGATGAGAAGGGCAAGCTCTGAGTACATTGGGAGCTCTTCCTCCCCAAAACACGAACTACAGGGTGCTGGGAATTGTAGCACAGTGCAGAGTAAACGATAGTTCCCAGAATGGGTGTTTTTTTTGGGGGGGATGATAAGATATGGTGTGTATGCAGCCCTTCAGAAGTAGAGCCAGGAAGCTCCACCTTTAACCCCAGCCTGCAACATGGGACCCTTTTAGCCCAGATTCCTGCATTGTAGGGGGTTGAACTAGATGACCCTTGGGGTCCCTTCAAACCCTACAGTTCTATGATTCTATTATTTTAAATTTAGTCTTGGGGGTGGAGGTGCTTCCAGAAGGGGAGTTAAAATAACAGAGTCATTCAGAAATTGCAAAGCAGATGCGGTTTGAAATTTTAAAATTTTATGGTCAATGGTTTCTAGCCACGAGGGCTCTGCTCTGCCTTCGTAAGAGGGGGTTCTTGTGCTTGGCTCCTGCTTGAAGGTTTCCCATAATAGGCATCTGGTCGCCTGCTGTGAGCGCAGAAGAATGGGCTGGAGGAGCCACAGGCTAGATCCCGCAAGACTCTTCTGGTGTTTTCCTGAGTTTGCAATCTTTGCTATTTTATCTCATTTTATCTCACTGTGCCCTGCTTCGATAACTTGGTCATGAAGCAGATAATTAATAATAATAATAATAAACATTGTATTTTTCCTCGAAAGGTTAATTTTAGGTTAAATTGGTGGGTAGGTGAAGGGGAGAATGCAGGTCGCCATTCTATGCCAACCGGGGTGTGCAGATGCTGTGATAATATTTTCTGCATGATCACCCATCCCATAATAAACACAGCCCTCTCCCTCCCCTACCTATATTACAGACATCTTGGTTTAACCCATTCCCAGAAACCTGGGAACTGTAGCTTTGTGGGAGATGGGGGACCGGACCAATTCCAGTTCCAGAGTTTTGTGGTTGAGGCCGAAAGTTAGACTGGCGCAGAACCAATACAAATGCGTAATGTTGGCAGAGGTTGGACCAGATTCCTGTATCTAAACTTTGCCTACCTCTCAGGGTTGTTGTCAAACAGGGAGGGGACTTTGGAGAAAGAGCAAGGGGCTCTGCAAATATTACTGGCATTGTCGCTCCTCTAATCTGGGGGGGAAGTGGCAGCTGATTCCCTCCAGTGAATGAAAGCATGCAAAAAGGAGGAAAACAGATCCCCCTAAAAATAATAATACAGAAAGCCTCTTGCAGCCCATTTTTATTTTTAATTTCAAATTACACGTGCATCTGGAAAGCATTCAGGAGTTCACGATGGAACTGAACGTGTGAAAATGCAATGTATTACCCCCGCATTCACTGCCTCCAACAGTGGAAGGAGCATAGCCATTGTGGCTAATAGTAGCCACTGATGGCCTTCTCCTTCCGCACGAATCTGCCCAATCCTCTTTCAAAGTTCTCCAAGTTGGTGGCCATCGCTGCCTCTTGTGGCAGTGAGTTCCACGGTTTCAGGCCAAGGCGCTGTGTGTGTGTGTGTGTGTGTTTGTGTGTTGGGGCTGCAACTCGGCTTACAGGCGCATCCTCCCCATCGAGCCTGCCCCCAGCCTGGTGGTGCGCCTCCCGATATCTTTGGGAACACCTCCCATGCGTCTCGGGGAGCATCTGCAGCCCCAAACTTCTGGAGGGCGGCACTTTTGGGGGGCGGCAAGTCTGGCCTAGAAATTGCTGCCAGCAGACGCCCACAAACTGAAGCGGCCCCGCCGCCGCCTCGCGAGGCTCTTGCCGGCTGCCGCGCGTGGGAACTTGGAGGCGGGTTTCGCCAGCCCGACCTGGAGAACGAGATCCGCGCACCTGAGTCACAGGTGTGCGCCGGAGAGCGTTGAACTGGGAGGCTGCCAAAGAGTTAACTTGGTGAGCGCGCAGGAGTTTCTCCCTGGGAAGATTTCGAGCAGCTCCTGATTCTTCTTCCTTGGCAGGAGGGCGCTCAGGTGCCAAGGTCGGCTGCCAGGTGCCCCGGAGCCTTTATAAAGCCTCGGAGGCGAGATCGAGAGTTCCTTTCGGCCCCAGGCAGGCAGCGTCCCCCATCATCATGTGGAGGGAGATTCTGGCGCACAGGAACTACCTGATCGTCCTGCTGACCCCCTTTCTCTTTCTCCCCCTGCCCCTGGTCCTACCTTACAAGGTAAGTTGCTCTCTGGGTCCTGTGCCCCTCGCCATGGAAAAGGAGAGTTGTCGGGGATTCACAGAATCCTAGAATTGTAGAGCTGGGTGGGTCCCCGAGGGTCATCTATCCCAACCCCCAGCAATGCAGGAATCTCAAGCATCCATGACAGAGGGCCACCTGTCACCCAAGAAAGGAGATTCCCTTGCCCTGTCCCAGCGGCTGCAGGATCCAAGCAATGAAGCCATCAGGACACAATTTTCTTTTATGGGCAGTGCTTAGGGTGAAGGATCAGCTGTTGAGCTGCATAGGGTTTCACTCCCAGAGGAAAAGTGGGGGGCAGAGGTTGTGACACCACAGTCCCTTTGCAGAGGGAACCCCCCCCCATCTTCCAGGCGGTCCCCAAAGACGGCAATAACAATAGAGAGAGAACACCATGTCCCAAAGAAGCAATGTTTCCTTTGCCATTTCTGGAACACGCTGAAGAGGCGAGCCACCTCAAATTGTGGCACCTGAAAAGCAGCTTGCCTCTTCAGCAGGAGGAGCGACTGCTGGGGACGCTGCCGATAAGCCCCTGTTGGTGTTGCGCTATACAGAGGGCAGATGCGACAGGTAATTTAACGTAATAACAGGAATTGGAGGCCCTCCAAGCATCTTCTAACCCAGGGGTCAGCAACCTTTTTCAGCCATGGGCCGGTCCACCGTCCCTCAGACCTTGTGGTGGGCCGGACTATTTTTTTGGGGGGGGGGGAATGAACCAATTCCTATGCCCCACAAATAACCCAGAGATGCATTTTAAATAAAAGCACACATTCTACTCATGTATAAACACCCGGACTGTCTGTGGGCCGGATTGAGAAGGCGATTGGGCCGCATCCAGCCCACGGGCCTTAGGTTGCCTACCCCTGTTCTAACCTGACGGCCACAGCGTGGGGGGCCGGGAATCTAAATGAAATGGGAACCAACAAGGTGGAAGAGCCCTGCAGGTGGAGCAAAGTGTCTTTAGTTGTGATTCTTACATTGCAGAGGGTTGGACTAGGTGAACTTTGGGGTCCCTTCCACCTCTATTATGAGTCTATATGAAGTGGGAGAAATGGAAGCACTAGCTTTCTCTTCCTCCGTGGATTTGCCCAGTGCTCTTTTAAAGCCATCCAAGTTGGTGGACATCCCTGCCTCTTGTGGCAGGGAGTTCCGCAGTTTAAGGTCAAGCCTGGGTTTCTGTGTGCCTTGGAGTGCAACTCGGAGGGTTTGCATGCAGTGGCCTTCATATTGCAAGCTCCAAGGAGGATCCAGGGAGAAGGTTTGGCAGCTGCAGGAGCCTTTCAAATTGCACCCCCCCGGCATCCGTGGAACCGTCTCCCATAACCTGCTCCAGTCCAAAGCGCCTCCTTGAGGGAAGGGCTGTGTTGATGAGTGGTGCTGAGCACCTGTCTGGCATGAAGGAGGATGTCCCAGGTACAATCCCCAATGGCAGTGCTGCTAACAAGGCCAGGTATTCTCCCCAAAGAGTCACTGCCTCATTCCCGGGCAGGCAGCTTCCTATGCTGGAACCTTCAGAGAGAAGTAGAGAAAAGTTAAGAGGCTTTTGGTGAGGAAAGAAAAGGAAAAATAGCTTGATGCCTGGAAAAGCAGGTAAAACCCAGCTGTTTTGGAGAAGATAAACTACACCATTCATTGGTAGCAGATGATTGGTAGCACCATCATTGGTAGCCTCTCATTAAGGAATCCTGGGAACTGTAGTATGTTAAGAATCATAGAATGGTAGAGTTGGGACCCGAGGGTCATCTAGTCCAACCCCCAAAGCACACACAAATCAGACATTTGTTCCCCACCCAGTGGTGCTTGCACTGGCTGGCAGCAGCTCTCCAGGTGGCAGCAGCTTTCCCCAGGCACTCCCTGCCACCAGCGACTGACCCTGGGACCCTCTGCAGGCGAAGCAGGTGCTTTGTCACGGAGCTGTGGTCCTTTCCTTTGAAACCCCACCTCTTGCAAGAGTCTAGTCCTCAGGGATCTGGAGCAGAGAGGCGCAATTTGGGCACAGGACGGCATTTTTAGCAGGACCACCTCCTTCCGTCGAACTCTGCTGTTGCTGCCTTCATGCCCGTTTCCCAGTTACGTAAGCAGCCTGGCCCCAGAGCCAAACGGCAGCCAGCTCCCATTCTGGACGCTGAGTTTCCTGCTTGGACCCCTTCCAGCTCACTCCCCGTCTTGCCCTCCAGGTGTGAAGGGACTCCAGCCGCAGGGAAGGTGTCAAAAGAAATGAATGCTGGGCAAATAGACCAGAGAGAGGGCTCCCTGGGCCAGATGGGCCAAGCCTTGATTTGGAGGACACTCCCACCCCCGACCCACTGCAAAATCCTGACCTTTGGATAGGAAGGTCCCAGGAGCGGAGATTGGGGACTCTGGTCTCCCAGGTCTCAGTTTGATGCCCCTAACCACTAGACCACACTCCTTGCATGGCAGAAGCTGTGGCTTCTTCCTCACCCTCTGAGATGGTCACCTGAATCTTTCTGAAAGCACGACACCCCCACTTTGGGAAGCTTCTTCAGTGCTGAGCTACAGAGCAGAGATGCTCACTTTTCCCACCTCCCCAAATTGGCCCCCAGGAATACTGGAATCTGCCTCACACAGAGTCTGATCAGGGGTCAGCAAACCTTTTCAGCAGAGGACCGGTCCACTGTCCCACAGACCTTGTGGAGGGCCGGACTATATTTTGGAGGGAAAAAATGAATGAATTTCTATGCCCCACAAATAACCCAGAGTTGCATTTTAAATAAAAGGACACATTCTACTCATGTAAAAACACGCTGCTTCCCGGACTGTCCGTGGGCCGGATTTAGAAGGTGATTGGGCCGGATCCAGCCCCCAGGCCTTAGTTTGCCTACCCATGATCTAGATTATAGATTTGGGGAATGTTAAAGGAAGGTGCGTCGTTCACACGGAGCATCGCTGAACTGTGGAACTCCCTGCCACAGGAGGCAGTGATGGCCATCAGCTTGGATGGCTTTAAAAGAGGATTGGACAAATTCATAGAAGAGGAGAGGGCTGTTGAGGATTGCTAGCCAGGGTGGCTCAGTTCTGCCTCCTGAATACCAGTTGCTGGAAACTGCAGGAGCAGAGAGTGGCCTGGGGGTCTCCTATTGGGGTATCTGGTTGGCCACTGTGAGGACAGGAGGCTGGACTAGATGGGCCACTGCCCTGATCCAGCAGGCTCTGCTTATGTTCTTAGGTACCAGTATTGTCTGCACAGGCGGGCAGCAGCTCCCCAGGATTTCAGCCAGGGGTCTCTCCCAGCCCTACCTGGAGATGCCATCAGGGACTGAACCTGGAGCCTCTGTGAATGCTCTAGCACAGATGTCTGGTTCATCCCACTAGAAACACAGTAAGATTCTAGTCCTCATGGTTCTGGATAAATGGATGGTTTCAATAGGAACATAGGAAACTGCTTAAGGCCAAATCTGGCCATTGGTCCATCTACCTCAGCATTGCCTACACTGACCGGCAGCGACTCCCTAGGCTTTCAGATGAGAGATTTCAGTAGTCCTGCTTGGAGATGCTGTTGAGAGTTGAACCTGGGGCCTTCTGCATGCCAGACAGGTGCTCTAGCATAAAACTCTTATTTACCCTCCTAAAGCTTTAAACAAGTCAGCCTGGATAGCTCAGTTGGTTAGAGCGTGCTGCTGAATAATGCCAAGGTTGCAGGTTCGATCCCCATAAAGGACAGCTGCATATTCCTGCATTGCAGGGGGTTGGACTAGATGATCCTTGGGATCCCTTCCAACTCTAAGATTCTTTGATTCTAAGTTTCTGGTCCTCATATTTCTGGTTTAAACAGGAATCTGCTTTATCCCGAGTCAGAGCCACTGTTCTGTCTTGCTCAGTACTGTCTGAACTGAATCTCCAGGGCAGGCATAGGCAAACTCGACCCTCTGTTTTGGGACTACAACTCCCACCATCCCTGACCACTAGTCCTGTTAGCTAGGGATGATATGATGGGAGTTGTAGTCCCAAAACATCTGGAGGGCCGAGTTTGCCTATGCCTGCTCCAGGGTTTCACACGAGCGCTCTCCCCAGTCCTACCTGGGGAGGCCATCAGGGGTCGAACCTTCTGCATGCAAGGCAGGTGTTCTGCAACTGGGCGATGGGCCTCCTTAAATCAAAGTCCTGCACGGTCTCTTTCAACCCACAAAGAAGGTGACGAGGGAGCGTGGGAGAGCTGTCTATCAATTTTTAAGCCTGAGATGCTTTGACCCCTGACAGCTCTGCCGGGGTCAAGAGGGCAGTGGCAGAGGCTGAGCAGACAGAAGTTACACTTTAAGGGACCAGAGTTCACCTCTTTGCTCCGAGGAGACCAGAAGAGTCCGTGACTATTTCCCCGCCAGCAGTGCCAGCAATTGGCCCAGAACTTTCGTCCTTTATTACCTTTATTATCCGCCCCATCCCAACTCCAGTCCAGATTCTGGTCCTTATGGTTCTCAGTTAAGGTCTGATTCAAATAGGGACTGAGGAAGTGGCCTTATTCCAAGCCAGACCCTTGGTCCACTCAGCTCAGTATTGCAGACTCTGGCTGGCAGCAGCTCCCCAGGCTTTCAGGGAGAGAGTCTTTCTTCGCTGGCCCTACTTGGAGATGCCACCGGGGACTGAACTTGGGACCTTCCGTACGCAAAGTTGGAGCTCTGCCACTGAGCAGTGGGCCTTTTCCTAGAACTAAAGTAAGATTCTAGTCCTCATGAGTTCAGATAAAGGGCTGGTTTCAAGAGGAAGTACCTGGGGGTATTGAAGGACCTTAGCTCGGTGTTAGAGCCCCTTGCATACAGAAGAGCGAAGGTGAAATATCCTCAACATGTCTAGTTTTTTTTAAAAATAATAACCCAAAGAGATGGCTTCTGACTGAGACCCCAGAGATGTGCTGCTAGCCCTAAATTGTTGATGAGCTGCAATTTAGAAAAAGACAATTAAAAAGGGAGCCATGGTACAGGTTTACTTTACAAGATGAGGTTCTTCCTGTGGCAGGGAGTTCCAAAGTTTAACGCCATGCTGTGTGAAAAGAGTCCTTTCTTTTGTCGGTCCTGGATCTCCCAGCAAGGGAGGTTTTCTTCTGCCTCTTGTCATAGAGAAAAGAGAGACAGATAAAACTTTATTCGCGTTAGCCAATGGCCATAGCAACCGTAAAACATTACAGTATACGCAGAAAAGGAAATTTGATATAAAAGCACAATTTAAAGTCCTGAATCAGCAGTCAGTTAGTGGCCCTTATTCTGATTGCCCCTGTCATAGCGAAAAGCAAGTTTTGCGCAAGGCAGAGTAAACAGTCCCGTTTTAAAAGCAAACCCAGAACTGCTCATTACTCATCCACCACAGGCTGCATCTGCCAAGGTGATAAAGCAGCCATAAAGCGGTGATGGACCATAAATGAGGGTGTGTAAATCAGCGAAAGTTGTTTCTGCCTTGAGCCAATTAAACTCGCCAAACAAGAAGGCAAAAACAGCCAGGCAGTGCCTCCTAAACCACGTCCACGAGACACAATTAAAATCCACTTGCAAGCCTGCTTAAATATCACGGCCCTCAGCCAAGGAACGCCTCCGACCTTCTTTCCTAGAGGCAAAGTGGCCCCTCTCAGGATAGGACCACCCACAATATCCTTTGGAGGGAGGGGGGAAATCCAATTCCGTTTCCATTTACTGTATCTGTGGCTGTTGCATTTCAGGGGTTGGACTAGATGACCGTTGGGGTCCCTCCCAACCCTACAAGTCTATGATTGTGTGATTATTGATTGCATTTATATCACAGCTTTTTCTCCAGGGAGCTTTAAGGTGACATACACGGTACTTCCCCTCCTAATAATAATAATAATAATAATATATTATCTGTACCCCACCCATCTGGCTAGGCTTCCCCAGACACTCTGGGCAGCTTCCAACAGATTAAAAACACGATAAAACGTCAAACATTAAAAACGTCCCTGAACAGAGCTGCCTTCAGATGTCTTCTAAATGTCAGATAGTTGTTGTTCTCTTTGACATCTGGTGGGAGGGCATTCCATAGGGCGGGAGCCACCACCGAGAAGGCCCTCTGCCTGGTTCCCTGTAGCTTTGCTTCTTGCAGTGAGGGAACCGCCAGAAGGCCCTCGGAGCTGGCCCTCTGTGTCCGGGCAGAACGATGGGCATGGAGACGCTCCTTCAGGGATACTGGGCCGTTTAGGGCCTTGTTTAATCCTCACAACAGCCCTGTGAGGTAGGCTAGGCTGAAAGGCAGCGACTGAGCCCCAAGGCCCACCCAACATGACAGAGCGGGAGGATTTGAACCCTGGTCTCTCCCAGCTCCTATTCCAACACTCTAACCACTGCACTACACTGCCTCTGGCTCCAGTGGAGTCAAATTGCAAAAAAAATGAACTTTCTAATGGTGAGAGCTTTTCAGCAGTGAAACGGACTCCCTTGGAAAGTGGGGGTCTTGCTTTCCTTGGACAATTTTTAACTGAGGACGACCATCTGTCAAAGATTCCTTAGCTGCAATTTCTGCATTTCAGCAGGTTAGACACTTCCAGACCTGCAATTCTATGATTCTGTGGCTGTTTAGCCTCGACGGCATTAGGCATCGGCCAGCCCTCAGGGTTTTCTTCCAGCAAGAGACCCATCTCGGGTGGCAACAGGGGAGGAGAAACACCAACCCTGCGGGACAGGCAGTGAACTCTTCTGCCCTTGGCAGCACGCTCATGCCGCAGAATGGGCAATAAAACAGAGCATTGTGCTGAAGTCAGCTGAGGAGGAGGAAAACAGAGATTAATGGGGATGATGTGGCTGATAAGAGGCTGTTGGTTTCAGGAAGTTCTTCACCTGTCTCTCGCTCTGTTGCTACGCAGGAAGCAGGATCCCGAGCCAAGGCAGAGAGCACAACAATTTAGAGAAACAAAAGAGGCTTCATGGTCCACAGCCCAAAGAAAGGGCTGGATCTGTCTTGTTCCAGAGGTTTCAGAATACCAGTTCCTAGAAACCGCAAGAGAGGAGAATGTTGCTCTTGTGCTTGTGGATTTCCCTTGGGGGCACCCGGTTGGCCACTGTAGGAACAGGAGGCTGGACTAGGTGGACCACTGACCTGATCCATCTAGGTTCTTCTTAAGGAGGTCCATTGTGATAGCAGAACCTCCATGTCCAGTGGCAGTCTACCTCTGAATACAAGATAGTAACATCTTGGAGGTCCTGGGCCTCAAGGAAATTAGACTGGCCTCCAATAGGATCAAGGCCTTTTTGGCTGTGGCCCCGGCCTGGTGGAACACTTTGTCACAAGAGAGCAGGGCCCTGTGGGATTTGGCATCTTTCCGCAGGGCCTGCAAGATGGAGCTATTCCACCAGGCCTTTGGCCGGAGTCCAGTCTGACTCCCCCTCTCTCCTTATAAGAACTTGGCATGAAAGTGGCCCCCCAACCTTTCTCACAGGCTCATATGAGATCAGTATAAACATTTAGGCCTGGTGAGCATTTAAGGTCCTCATTCCTATTTTGCGGGTTGCCATCTGATTGGATTTCACTTTGATTCTGACTTGATTTTAAGATGTGTTTTAACTGATGGCTTGATTTTATGGTAATGTGTCGTATATTTGATGTTAGCTGCTCTGAGCCCGGTTTTGGCTGGGAGGGCGTGGTATCAATAAAATTTATTATTATTATTATTATTATTATTATTATTATGAACAACAACTGGAGCATACTGTTGCACTCGGATGCTGCTTGTGGGCTTATCTTTGGGGCACCTGATTGGCCACTGTGAGAGCAGTGCTCTTATTACATTCTGATGGAACCTCCAGGTCCAGAGATAGTCTATCTGGATTATTTGGAGGTATTTGGCCACTGTGAGAACACGGTGCTGGGTTAGATGGGCCCACCACCCTGATCATGATGCTCATAGAGACGAGAGGCCCATCCTTCCTCGTCAAAAGAAACCAGAACATGACCTGCAACAACAGGCAAGCAGCCTCGCCCACCTTTCCTCTCTACCGGGGTGGTGAATCTCAGCCACGTGTGGGTAGCTGGCCATTGGGGCTCACCCTAAGCCACCCCCCTTGCAAACAGGAACATCAGAAGAACCAAGGAATCGTAGGTGGAAGAGACCACGAGGGTCATCTAGTCCAACCTCCTGAAATGCAGGAATCTTTGCCCAACGTGGTCGAACCCATGACCCTAAGATTAGGTGCCTCATGCTCCACCCTCCAGGAACAGGCCAATGGGAACTTAACCAGTCCAGCATCCCGTCCTCACAGTGGCCACCTAAGTGCCCACAAGCAGGATATCCGGGCGCAAGAGCAACTCTCTCCTCCTGCAGTTTCCAGCAACTCGTGCTCAGAAGTGCTGCTGCCTCTGACCACCCAGGCCCCCCCACAGCCCCCTCCTGCCTGAAGGGCTCCAATCTTCTTTCCAAGCCCCGCAATCCTGCTCTACGCTCTCCCCGAGTGCTCCCCCTGCTTGCAATGGTGAATTCTTGAGCTTCTGTAATAATAACCTGGGTGGAGAAACAGAGGGATGGGTTGTATTGTTAAAGGAGAAATCTGAGGACTCCCTTGGGCAAAAAACAAGGACACCAGCCAGGAATACCAGAGCAAAACAGCAGCCAGTAGGCTTGGTCATGATTGAAGACTGTCGCGACAGGACTCCCACCTGCCACCAGGTGGAACAAGATGGAAGCCCCCAACAAAAGAGCCCCCAAACTTGTATTAGCTGCTAATCCCCATGTTAAAAGGGACTCCTGACCATTAGGTCCAGTCGTGGCTGACTCTGGGGTTGCGGCGCTCATCTCGCTTTACTGGCCGAGGGAGCCGGCGTACAGCTTCCGGGTCATGTGGGCAGCATGACTAAGCCACTTCTGGCAAACCAGAGCAGCCAAGTCCTACTAGGCTCTGTGGTTTAACCCACAGCACCACCCGCGTTCCTGATCCCCATGTTACACCCCCCCCCCAAACTACATCACTCATACATCATGGTTACATCATGAAAGGGGAGGTCTGGTGGCAGTACTCTGAGCATCCTGGACCCTGCCCCATGCTTTCCCTTGTCCTCCACCAAACACCCATCAAGTGTAACAAAAGAGATATTTACATTTCTCTGTTTCCCAGCCAAGTTCATCACGCCCTTTTGTCTTCATCTGGGTTTGTTATTTCTGGATTGGCTACCTGTCTGGCACTCAGGTATCAGGAGGTCAGGGTTTATCACTCAGGCAGAGGGGCTGCTGAGTAGCTGAGCTCACCTGTCTATATGAATTTCCGAAGTTTTCCCAGTGAGCCAGTACATAGATGCATTTATCAGTGAATTCTTACATTTGGTATCGTGCTGCAAAGGCCCTCTGAATAGATAGGAAGGAACTGTGATGAAGTGTTTTGTGGGGAAAAATCACAAAAGTCACAAAAGTGATTGTGCTGGTTTTGGTAGTGGGCTGCATGTACGTGATATCTGCTGGAGGGGCAACCCCCCCCCCCAACCTGTACATAAATTCCTGCAATAGTATGTATAGAGACCTTGGACTTTTGCGTGGCTTGAATGAGGGCAGGGAATGCAGGAACGAGTCAGGCCATCCATTACTGTACCTGTGCTTGTCTGCAGCCCTACCCACCCCTGGCATGCGGCCCCCGGAAAATTCCCTGGGAAGGAAAGTGGACCTTGAGGCAAAAGTTTTCTTCCTCATGCTCTGCGTTGTTGACACAATCTCCAGCTACAAACCTTAAAAACAAATTATGCAGTGAAGCCTTTCGGGGGTGGGGGAGTGGAATCTGAGGCACAGCTGAAAACAGAGACAGCTGGCGACTTCCTTCTCTCCGCCCACCCCCCTTCAAGCAGAGCATGACATCCTCAGGAAAGCCACACCCTCTCATTTGCCAAGAAGGGGACTCACTCTACCTCGCAGGGTTGTTGTGAATGTGGCACCCAAGATAGAAAGGAAGTGTAATAAACAAAAATCTGCCCTTATTCCCTTATGGGGGACACAAGAGCCCTTAGAGAGTCCTTTGTAAGTTCTCCATCGGTCGGAGAAAATAAGAAGCCAACCAGAGAATATTGAGAAGCAAAGCAGCTCGTAAGCCTGATCTTTATTGATCTGTTGCAACAGGGTGCTCCCCCCACACACAGGAAAGGAGGAGGACCCAGAACAAAGGTGTGCCTGCCCTTATATAGATATTTTAAATTCCCTGCCCTGGAGCTCAAGACCACCCCTCCATACATCATGCATACATCACAGAAGGGGTATAACCCAAGACCACTCCCCAGATACATCATACCTAAATCACAGAAAAGGTGGTCTACAACAGAAATCTGAGTGCACTGTTTATCTCCTGTCTGGCAGAAAGAAAACCCTTCTCTTTAACCTTTCTCTTCTTTAACCCTTCTCTTTCTGTCTGGCAGAAAGAAAACCCTTCTCTTTAACCCCCACCCCCAATTTCTGGGCCATTTCAGGGACTCCCCAGTTATTTATTTTAACCAAAGCAGAGTTAGGTGCAGCAAGATCACCATCTGCAGGCCAAATTGGCCACACACATTTATAATCAGGGGGAATAGCCAAGAAGCCCAGCTCTACACATTTCAAGCATTTGTATTCGTATTCAACTCCTCCCACAAGAATCCTGGGAACTTTCACCCCCAAAGGTACTGGGAATGGTAGCTCTGTGAGAGGTAAACTATAGTTCCCAGGTTCCTTTGGGGGAAGTCTTAAATAGAGTGTGCATTGGTCACGCCCAGTGAGAGCTTCGCGGCTGAGTGGGGGATTTGAACCCTGATCTCCCAGGCCCTAGGCCAACACTCTAACCACTGTGCCATCCTGGCTCTGCAAAGTATCTTACTGTGCAAAAGCTCCTGCTCCTTCTTCTCTCCCAGACACGGATACAGACATTTGCAAAACTCCCTTCCCCTCCCCACTTTTTTTGGTAAATCTTTTTTTTTTAAAGTTCATTTTATATTGTATATAAAACAGAGAGAACGGTTATGTCAACAGGTGAAAAGTAAAGGATGAAAAACAAAAAGATAAAACAGGGACATAAAATGAGCACAGTTGCACGCGGGTTAGAATAACAAAGTCCAAGTAAAGAATATCAGTGTTATCTGATTATCGAGTCAAGTTCCAGATTTGCCAGGCTTGTGCCAACAGTTATCTTGAAAAAGATGGTCCCCTTGTGCATGTCACAAAGAAATGTCCTCACTGAAATTGCAGTCTTTGCGTGATTTTCTGCATTATCACTCTGTAATGACCAGATCCAGGTGCTGTTGGCAGAAATTGATTTTCTAGATCAGTTTCAGTTGGGGTTTCAGCCTGGCTTTGGCAAAGGAACTGCCCGGGTCACCTTATATAATGACCTCTGTCAGGACAATCTTTGGCTAAAGGGTGATATATAAATCAGATAAATAATAATAAATAGAGTCATAGAATTGTAGTGGTGGAAATAAGAACAACAATATTCCCAAGTGAGTGCTACCAAATGGTCAGTGTAATATTTTGGGCTGTTTTCCATTGAGTTGCGATGACGATTTGTGCTGCCAAGATCATATATGAGACCAATTCTTTTGACCGGTGCTTTTTTTCCTGGGGGGTACACAGTGGTATGCATACCCCTAAACATTTTGTGAATCTAAGTTTGGCCTCATTGAGGGCCAGAATTTCAATATGAGTAGGAAAATGAGAGTACCGCTAAACATTTTTCTTTTTTTAGAAAAAAAGCACTGCTTTTGACAATGTGCCCCCAAAATATCCAGTAACATTAATTTTGGACCTTGGTTCCTTTGGTAACATTTCTCATTTCTGTCAAGATTAAATTCTGAGAATCTTGCAGCAGCTTACATCCCCGCCCCCTATAGATGGCATGTACTGAGTTTATTAGGGATGCGGGTGGCGCTGTGGGTTAAACCACAGAGCCTAGGACTTGCCGATCAGAAGGTCGGAGGTTCAAATCCCCACGACGGGGTGAGCTCCCGTTGCTCGGTCCCTGCTCCTGCCAACGTAGCAGTTCGAAAGCACATCAAAGGGCAAGTAGATAAATAGGTACTGCTCCAGCAGGAAGGTGAACGGTGTTTCCGTGCGCTGCTCTGGTTCGCCAGAAGCGGCTTCGTCATGCTGGCCACATGACCTGGAAGCTGTACGCCGGCTCCTTCGGCCAGTAAAGCGAGATGAGCGCCGCAACCACAGAGTCGTCCGCGACTGGACCTAACAGTCAGGGGTCCCTTTACCTTTACCTTTTTACTGAGTTTATTGCAAACCCCTCCAGCAATGAGCTCATGCAAAATGGCCCTTCTCATTTCTTCTGCCTCTCCCTTGCAGGAAGCGCAATGTGGCTACACCATCATCCTGATGGCGCTCTTCTGGTGCACAGAGGCTCTGCCGCTGGCCGTCACCGCTCTGCTGCCCGTCATCCTCTTCCCGCTCATGGGCATCATGGACTCCACCACGGTAAGGAGACGGCCGGACCAAAGAGGCTCTCGGTTTTGCAACTGGCCAGCCATGCAGGGTTGACATGACCTGGCGCCCTCTGTTTGCACCCGGACCACAACTCCCTTCAGTCCCAGCCCGGGGAGAACAAAGCATGGCCCTCAATAACCCCTCAGGGGCTGCAGCTTAGTGGGAGAGCGTCTGCTTGGCATGTAGAGGGCCCGGGTTCAAGCCCTAATGGTGTCCCCAGCTGAGACTGGGAGGGACCCCTGCCTAAAACCCCTGCCAGTCAGTGGACACAAAACTGAGCCAAGATGAACCAATGTTCTGACTCAGTCAGCTTCAAGTGTTTCTATTTTAATTAGGCCTTCAAGAGGACTAGAATCTTAATTTGTTTTCAGAATAGCTGTAGCTCTGTGTCAGGACAACGGCTTTGCATGCATAACGCACGATCCCTAGCGTCTCCAGAGGGGCTGGGAAGACCTCTTCCGAGCAACCCTGGAGAGCTGCTGCCAGTCCGAGTGGACAATACTGAGCTAGATGGACCACCGCAGTGATTAAGCGTAAAGGCGGCTTCCTCTGTTCCTCTTTAAATCAAACCTTCAGTTTAGAAAGCTGGTGTGACTTTTAATCTGTTTTTAGTTTGCTGTTCTTTCACTTTTTGAAAGTGTTAAATTATTGTTGTTACTTCTTCTTATTGTCTTATTGTTTTTTGTAAACCATTTTGAGATTAGTTTGGTTTTCTTCATTATCAAGTGGCATCTAAATTTCAGTATTTTTATTAATCAGTAAGTGGCCTGGAAACTCTGGTTCAGTGCTAAGAGGGCGAGAGAGAGGCTTATAGCAGTGGACAGCAAACTTTTTCATCAGGGGCCCGGCCCACTGTCCTTCAGACCTGGGGGGGGGGGACTATATTTTTTTGTGGGGGGGAATGAATGAATCCCTATGCCCCACAAATAACCCAGAGATGCATTTTAAATAAAAAGACACATTCTACTCATGTAAAAACACACTGATTCCCAGACTGTCTGCAGGCCAGATTTAGAAGGCGATTGGGCCAGATCGGGCCCCCGGGCCTTAGTTTGCCTACCCATGGCTTATAGCCTCTCCTGGCTGTCAATGCCCCTACCCCCCCCCCCACTGCAAATTGAATCCCTGATCTGGACCTTGTGCAGAGTAGAAATGAGTGCTCTCCACCACAAGAAAAAGTTCCAAAAAGTTTTACTGCAAAACAGTCTTAAACTAGTTACAAAACAGAAAGTTGCAAAACGCAAAGTAACACATTGCTCTAAACAAACTAGCAATGGGGTCAGTCTTCTTTAATTCAGTCCAGGATCTATCCTCTCTCTGGTCTCAGAGGGAGCTCCTAAACAACTTCCTTGTTCAACACTGCCGCTGCTGCTGGTGGTTCCATCTCTTGCTGTGACGCCACTACTCAGCATGCTCACCGAGCCTCTCCTTGCCGCATTTACCTAGAGTGTAACCTCCTGCCTGATGCAAAGCTCTCTGCAGAGCATGTTAAATACAACGCATTCAAACATAGGCTTTATTAAACTTGTATATTTAACATCCCCCTCCTTCAACCAGGTGTGCATGGAGTACCTGAAGGACACCAACATGCTCTTCATTGGGGGGCTGCTGGTGGCCATCGCGGTGGAGCACTGGAACCTGCACAAGCGCATTGCCCTCCGCGTCCTCCTGCTCATCGGGGTCCGGCCAGGCCTGTGAGTCATGCTGCCTGATGAAGTGTTTTGTGGGGACAAATCACAAAAGTCACAAAAGTGATTGTGCTGATTTTGGTAGCGGGCTGCATGTGCATGATATCTGCTGGAGGGGCAACCCCCCCCCAACCTATACATAAATTCCTGCAACAGACTCTAATGGCTTTGTTCTGCTGATGCACGGCCAAAGCTGGGGAGGGAGCCATTTCTCCACAGCCCGACACTTAAGGGCCATGGCAGGCGGCCCCTTGGCCTCCACCCTCCGGCATCCCCAAGTAGGGCTGAGCTGCCCTGCCCTGGTGGCGAGAGGAGCTGAGTGCCAGCCTCCTGCCCACCCCGTCTCAGGCGCGGTCTCCATCCATGGCAAATGTTGTTGTCAGGGCTGCCTCAAGTCTCAGCTCACAAAAGACCAACGCCTATGTCTTCTTATATACAAAAGTGTTTATTGCAGTTCATTGTTTGCTTGACATCCTAGGCGCGCAGCCCTACGTCTGCTACGCTTAGACCGCTGAAGTCCCCTCTGAATCCGTCCCTCCCCTGCACCAGTTTAAGAGGCTTGCGCTGCTCCACCTCTTTCTCTCTTTCCTTTTCCGCAGGGTCCTTCTGCCCGCTGGGGTTTCGCCCCTCCTGGATTCCTCTGACGCGGAATCAGACTGCTCTTCCCCCCTCCTGCAGGCTTTGGGACCTGGCCCCTCCTCCGGGCTCCCTGTACTTCCGCGCGCCTCTACATTTGAACTTGGGGCGCGCGCCCAACCTCTAACCTTCCTTTCAACAGCTACACTACTCCCTTCACTACTCCCCTCCCCTTCCGGGAGGATGGCTTGCTCCGACCTCCCTCCTTTCTCTGCTGCCGGAGCCGCTTCCCCTGATACACTGAAACCTCCACCCCCTTCGCTGCACTCTGGCGGGGAGGCTGGTCCTGACACCCAGCTGCCACTTTGGGATGCCCCGCTGCCCCCCTGCTCCTGACACGTCCCTCCTGGGGCTCCCCTGGGCTTGACCACCGGCGCGCGCTTCTGGGAATCCTCTGATTCGCTGGAAAGACTCATGGAATCTCTTGAGTCATTGTCATCCTCTTCCTCGCTGTCCTGGGATTCATCCCCATCGCTCTCCATCTCCTGCCTACCCTGTGCCTCTCTCCCTGAACCCCTGACAGTTGTAAACAAAAATTGCCCTTTTCCCTTATGGGGTATCCAAGAGCCCATATAGAGTCCTTACGTAGGTTCCCTATTGGTAGGAGAAAATAACAGAGGCCAACCAGAGAATATTGAGAAGCAAAGCAGCTAGTGAGCCTGATCTTTATGAATCTGTTGCAACAGGGTGCTCCCCTCTCCCGCAGGAGAGAGGAGGAACCCAGAACAATGGTGCGCAAGGCCTTATATAGACATTTTAAATTGCCCGCCCTGGAGCTCAAGACCACCCCTCCATACATCATACCTACATCACAGAAAGGGGTGTACCTCAAGACCACCCCCCAGATACATCACAGAAAGGGTGGTCTACAACAGAAATCTGAGTGCATTGTTTATCTCCTGTCTGGCAGACCACCTGTTAATGGCCACATGATTGGATACCCTGGGGAGCCTGGCCAGTCTTTTGTAATGATAAATACTTAGTTCATGGGCCAGGTCACAGGCTCGCCCTATTCAAACACAGACATACCCTTAAGACAGGATTTGTGAAGGAAAAGACAGTGGGGAGGCTTTTCCATTTTCCTTTGACCTTGCAGAGAAAACATTTGGTCAGTTTGGGACAGTTTGGGAATAAAAAATGGTTCCAGGTCGGTCTTCCTGTGCTGATCTATGTATGTGCTTGGTTGGTACACTTATGAACATTTAACATCTATCTAAGACCTCAAAATTCCTATCACACAGGCTCCTGATGGGCTTCATGGGCGTCACCGCCTTCCTCTCCATGTGGATCAGCAACACGGCCACCACCGCCATGATGGTGCCCATCGCCCAGGCTGTCCTGGAGCAGCTCCACAGATCCGAGCTGGAGCGGCTGCAGGCCAAGGAGGCCGTGGCCAAGAAGGGGACCGTCAACGGAGGCTTTGAGCTGCAGGAGACCGTCCACCAGCAAGGTAGGTTCGGGTTCAGGACAGTCACTCAGCCCTCCTTCCTCTGAAGCCACCGGAAGAACGTCAGAGGAGCCCCGGAGAAGGATCAGGCCAAAGGGGGAACATCTAGGCCAGCATCTGGCGCTCCCCATTGTCTGGTATTCAGCGGTAGACTGTTCCTGGGCATGGAGGCTCTGCTATTGCAATGGAGATCTGTAAGAAGAGCTGGATTGGGCCATAGGGGGCCTGTTTAGTCCAGCCTCCTCTTCTCACAGGGACCAACCAAAAGAGAAGCCCCAAGCAGAATCTGAGCCCAAGACCCCCTCCTCACCTGTGGTTTCCAGCAATTCGCATCCGGAAGCATTGATGTTTAGGGAAGCTTTTAATGTTTCATAGACTATTGTACAGTGGTCCCTCAGGTTACATACGCTTCAGGTTACAGACTCCGCTAACCCAGAAATAGTGCTTCAGGTTAAGAACTTCGCTTCAGGATGAGAACAGAAATCGTGCTCCAGTGGCGCGGCAGCAGCAGGAGGCCCCATTAGCTAAAGTGGTGCTTCTGGTTAAGAACAGTTTCAGGTTAAGTACGGACCTCCGGAATGAATTAAGTACTTAACCCGAGGTACCACTGTATTTTAATATTCTGTTGGGAGCTGCCCAGAGTGGCTGGGGAAACCCAGCCGGATGGGTGGGGTATAAATAAATTATTATTATTATTATTATTATTATTATTATTATTATTATATACCCTGCCCGTCTGGCTGGGTTGCTCCAGCCACTCTGGGTGGCTTCCAACACACACACACACACACACACACACACACACAAAATCAAACATTAAGAGTAACAATCAGATCCTATATAAAAAGTCACGATAACTTTAAAATAAACAACTTATACCAAATAAAGCAATATGCATTAGAATCCCATACTAAACACTAAAATTAAACATCAGTAAGTAATAATTGCACCGTTTACACTTACCAATTACAGTAAAAAATTACTCATCTATCATCGATAAAAATAGCACAAAATCTCAATACATAAAATACCACAAATCATACAAAACGATGTAAAAGGGTTACCGGTAAATGAAGAAACAAGGTCCTCACCCAGTGCTCCAACCACTAGGCTACCGCTGCCTCTCCCCCAACCTTGCTTGGGCCAGCCTTACTGCCCCTCACCAACCCCTCTCTCGCCTCCCGCAGTGAACGGACACGTCGTGACTGTGGAGAAGGAGAACGTGTCCCACGAGCAGCAGCAGCTGGAGAAGAAGCACCTGACCTTGTGCAAAGGAATGAGCCTTGCGGTGTGTTACGCAGCCAGCATTGGGGGAATCGCCACCCTGACGGGGACCACGCCCAACCTGGTGATGAAGGGGCAGATGGACGAGTGAGTACCGAGTCAGGCTCTGGCCTTGGCCCTGGCCGAGGATAGTCTGGCTTCCTTAGGGCCCGGGACCTATAAACTATGTTTGTTCATGGACCTTAAGGTCCTCTGCGGGGCAGACCAGAACATAGCTGTCAACCGTCCCTTATTTGGCGGGGAAGTCCCTTATCCCAGCGCTGTGTCCCGCTGCTGTCCCTTATTGATGATGTCGCTTAAATTTCCCGGGTTTCAAAGGAAGCAGCTCCTCTCCCTCCCTCCCTCCCTGCCGGCCAGCAAGGAGGGAGGCTCCAACTGTGTTGCTTGGATGCGTTGCTCACCCAATGAGGAGTCTAAGAACGACTGGGGGGTGGAGCTTGCATGCCTTGTGCCAATCAAATCAGCCGCGTTGCCTGGGGACTCACCTTTGCTCAGCGCTTCCCAGCGGAGAGGTGCCGGTGGTTTCCCTTGCTGCATCCCCTTTGCCGGGATGCTGCGCTGTGGGAATCACCGCTTGAGGCTTCGTTTGGCTGCTGGCTGGGCTTTCTGCCTTTGGCTCGGAGGGGCTCAGATGTTGAACATACCTGTGTTCAGAAAATCCCTTATTTTGGCTGCTGGTCCCTTATTTTTGAGGCTGCTGGTCCCTTATTTTCAAATCTGTAAGTTGACAGCTATGGACCAGGAGAGGCGGTCCTGCAGATACGAGGGCCCTAAGCCACAAAGGGCTTTAAAGGTCAAGACCAGCACCTCTTGTGGTGAGGGGGTTCCTTCCGATTCTATGACCCCCATTTGTTCTCTGCTTGAGCTACAACCATAAGGAGAAGGAGAAGTCCCTGACTCAGAACCAGGGATGGATGAGAATCTGTCCATTTCAGCTTCTCGTTCTTCTTCACATGGTTGTATTGGTTTGGTTAAAGAGAGGTTGGATAATCGCCTGTCAGGGAATCTTTAGCTGCGATTCTTTCCATGTATAGAATTGTTTTCTACACTGCCCCATCACGAAGTACCAAAGCAGCGTGCAGTTTTATTAACTGCGATTCCTGCATTGCAGGGATTGGGCGAGATCACCCATGGGACTGTTCTATTATTCCTCCATATTTTGCGACGCGATTCGGCAACCGAACAAAATGCACCCACTGCGGGGAGGGGGGAAGTGTGCAATAATTAAAATGCATGGGCTTAACGACATGCCTTGCAGACCCGCCTCCAAGCCAACGCCGCTCGCATTTCACGGCTCCCCTTTCTCTTCGCCAGCCTCTTCCCCCACAACGGCAATGTGGTCAACTTTGCCTCGTGGTTCAGCTTCGCCTTCCCCACCATGGTGCTCCTGCTGATCCTCTCCTGGGTCTGGCTGCTGCTGCTGTTCCTGGGCGTGGAGTAAGTTGAGACCCACGGGTGATAATGCGGTGGGAAGGTGGGTGGGAGACTCGTGCAGGTGTTAATGGAGAAATCTGAGGGCTCCCTTGGACAAAAAACAAGGACACCAGCCAGGAATACCAGAGCAAAACAGCAGCCAGTAGGCTTGGTCTTGATTGAAGACTGTCGCGACAGGACTCCCACCTGCCACCAGGTGGAACAAGCCCCAAACCGAAGAGCCCCCAAACTTTATTAGCTGCTAATCCACCCCCCCAAACTACATCACGGTTACATCATGAAAGGGGAGGTTTGGTGGCAGGAATCTGAGCATCCTGGACCCTGCCCCATGGTTCCCCTTGCCCTCCACCAAACACCCATCAAGTGTAACAAAAGAGATCTTTACATTTCCCTGTTTCCCAGCCAAATTAATCCCATCCTTTTGTCTTCATCTGGGTTTGTTATTTCTGGAATGGCTACCTGTCTGGCACTCAGATATCAGGATGCCAGGGATTATCACTCAGGCAGAGGGGCTGCTGAGTAGCTGAGCTCACAGGTCTATATGAATTTATGAAGTTTTCACAGTGAGCCGGTACATAGATACATTTATCAGTGAATTCTTACATTTGGTATCGTGCCGCAAAGGCCCTTTGAATAGAAAGGAAGGAACTGCGATGAAGTGTTTTGTGGGGACAAATCACAAAAGTCACAAAAGTGATTGTGCTGATTTTGGTAGTGGGCTGCATGTGCATGATATCTGCTGGAGGGGCAACCCCCCCCCCCAACCTATACATAAATTCCTGCAACACAGGAGAGACCCACATGGAAGAGGGTCACTCCTGTCTCTCCACCCAAGACCAGTATGTAAAAAAGAAGGCAAAGTTCTAGTCCTTATGCCTTATGCAGAGTCAGACCATGGGCCCATTGACCTCAGGGCTGCCTGCACTGACTGGCAGCCGTGGCTTGCCAGGGTTTCAGGCTAGGGAGTCTCTCCCAGCCCTACGCAGAGATGATGTTGGGGGTTGAGCCTTCTGCATGCAATACAGGGGCTCTGTCCCTCAGCTACGGACTTTTGCAGTGCAGCTGGTGTAAGGCAATTTCCTGTGATCCTAAGTCGGGTTGGGGTAGGGGGTGAGTCCGAGGCCCCCAAGGAGCTGCTGCCAGCCAGAGCAGACAATGCAAAGCTAAGTGAGCAAAGAGTCTGAGTGGGTCTAAGGGCCATATGTTTGGCCCAGTGACACCCACTCTGCCCAGCTGGCTAGGTCTTCTTTTAGGGACTAGTCACAAGGCATTATGCAATCGATACTCAATGTTGGAGAGACATTAAGCTCTGACAGCCATACACCAGCTCATGGCTATCTATCTATCTCTATCTATCTATCTATCTATCTATCTATCTATCTATCTATCATCTGTCATCTATCTATCATCTCAGTGCTCTCATAAAATTTATACTCTGCTTGATACCAAAAGAAAACCTCAAGATTAACCTAAAACTTTCAATAAGTGACTAAAAGCAGATTAAAACTTGCATCGGATTTCTAAGCATCTGGACAGGCTTCTAAATGAAATTGTCTTGAACAGGAACCGAGAATGTACAGTGAAGACGTCTGCTGGATATCAATAGGCAGGGAGTTCCAAAGTGCAGCCACACTAAAAGGGCAATTTATTTCAAATGCGGAACAGGGAATTATGTGGCCCGAATCACAACGCAGATCAAAGCGGCCAAACGGGTGTACATGGGTTCAGGTCAACTGGCAGGTCAACTGGCCCCAAGTTGTGAAAGGGGTTTGCACCCAAATAGGAACACCTTGAACTTGGTCCGTGATGAGCAGCCTGTGCAGATCTCAAATCTCACTGCCATCAGCAATTATGCTGCAGCATCCAGCACTAATTGCAGCTTCCGGATCGAGCTCGAGGAGAGTCCCACATGGAGCACATTGCAGCAATCCAATGACTGTGGCAATTTTTTTGTGGCCGGAGCTGCGCTTGGTCAAAGGCACTTCTGGCCGCAGAGGCTCCCCAAGTCTCTAGGGACGGAGCTGGACCCAGAAGCAGGGAACGGCCCCTCTTAAATGGGTTTTGTCCCCCAGGGGAACCACAGCCTGCCCCCATCTTATTTCTCTCTGCGATTCCAGCTTCCGGAAGAACTTTGGGTGCGGCACCAACGATTCAGAGAAGGCAGGCTCTCAGATGGCTTACCGCATCATCAAGAACCAGCACCAGGCGCTGGGGCCCATGAAGTTCTCCGAAATCACCGTCCTGGTCCTCTTCATCATCCTGGTGCTGCTCTGGTTCACCCGGGAGCCGGGTTTCATGCCGGGATGGGCGAGTGCCGCCTTCACCTGGGATGGGAAGAGGTGAGAGAGGGGCACACCTTCCCTGCTCCTTCCTGCCCTGGCCTAGAAAGGTCCTGCCTGCTTGTGGGTTTCCCCTGGGGGCACCTGGTTGGCCACAGTGAGAGCAGGAAAGTGGGCTAGAGGGGGTCGTTTTGCAGCTAGGCTCTTTTTATAGAACCTCCAGCTCCAGAGGCAGTCTATCTGGTCCCCCAGGTTCTATGGGGCATTTGACCGCTGTGAGAGTAGAAGGCTGGGCTAGATGGGCTCCCTCTGGCCCGACTCGGCCTCAGCCAGACTCGTCTTCTGATCCTCGCCTGCGATGCCCATCCTTTCCCTGCAGCTATGCCACCGATGCCACGGTCGTCATCTTCATTTCGATGCTGCTGTTCCTCATCCCCTCGGAGGTGCCCAGATGCGGCTTCCGGGGCCGCACCCCACCAGGAGGTGAGCAATGCTGCCCCCATGCTGCCCCCCTAACCTGCAAGTGGTTCACAGAATTGCAGAGGTGGGAGGTACCCCCCCAAAGGCCATCTAGTCCAGTCCCAGGGGCTCACAGACCCTTTGCATTGCAGGGCAGATCCGGGTGACCCCGGCCCTCCTGGACTGGCCAACCGTTAATCAGAAGATGCCCTGGAACATCGTCATCCTCTTGGGAGGAGGCTTTGCCTTGGCCAAAGGCAGTGAGGTGATCCCCCTTGGGCTGCTGCTATTATTGTTGTTGTTGTTTAGTCGGTTAGTCGTGTCCGCCTCTTCCTGACCCCCTGGACCAGAGCACGCCAGGCCCTCCTGTCTTCCACTGCCTCCCGCAGTTTGGTCAGACTCATGCTGGTAGCTTTGAGAACACTGTCCCACCATCTCGTCCTCCGTCGTCCCCTTCTCCTTGCGCCCTCCATCTTTCCCAACATCAGGGTCTTTTCCAGTGAGTCTTCTCTTCTCATGAGGTGGCCAAAGTCTTGGAGCCTCAGCTTCACAATCTGTTGTTGTTGTTGTGGTGGTTGTTGTTGCTTTTTTCTGGGGAGACGCAGGGGTACACATACCCCTAAACATTTTGTCCGTTTATTGTACAGTGATACCTTGGTTTACAACCATAATCTGTTCCGGAGGTCCAGTTGTAAACCAAAACAGGTTGTAACCCAAGGCTTGCTTTCGCCAATAGGGCCTCCCAAAAAATTTGTTGTAATAATAATTTTAAAAAGTTGCAATAATAAAAAAGGGACACACACTTCAGGGTTTGACGTGGTTGTAATCCAAAATGGTTGCAAACCAAGGTACCACTGTATTTATTTTTCCCGATTTGAACTATAAAATGGTGATTTTCTTGAGTCAAAATGAGAGTACCCCTAAACATTTTTAAAGAGAAAAAGCACTGATGATGGTAGTGGTTTTTTCTCCTCCCCCCTCACTTAATCTCCTGAACACCCAGTGAGGCAGGTTAGGCTGAGCGGGAGAGGGACTCAGTGAGCTTTATATCCAAGTGGGGGATTTGCACCCTGATCTCTCCCTGGTTTCTAGTCTGATGCTCTAACCACTACACCGCCACCGCCTCTCACTTTCCCACGAGGTCCCACCGAGATGGGTGAGTGACCTGACTCAGATCAACATCAGCAATGACTCATCCAAAGCACTAGGGGGCGCCCAAGCAGCGCTGAACTGGCACAAGCTGCCATTCAAGGGATGAATGACGTGGCTGCTCTATTATCCCCTGGGAAGCTCAGCTGCAACAATATTATTTGAGGAGCCCACCCTGTACTTGGGGCTGCAGGTTGCTCTGAAGTCTTTTTCATGCTGCGGGTTTTTTTAATTACTGCAAGACACTGCAGAACCTTATCGTGATGGGTGGTTAAGAAATAAGAATAAGAAATAAAAATCATAGAACAGGAGAGTTGGAAGGGATCTCCAGGGTCTTCTTGTTGTTTAGTTGTTTAGTCGTGTGCGCCTCTTCATGACCCCCTGGACCAGAGCATGCCAGGCACTCCTGTCTTCCACTGCCTCCCTCATGCTGGTAGCTTCGAGAACACTGTCCCACCATCTCGTCCTCTGTCGCCGCCTTCTCCTTGCACCCTCCATCTTTCCCAACATCAGGGTCTTTTCCAGGGAGTCTTCTCTTCTCATGAGGTGGCCAAAGTCTTGGAGCCTCAGCTTCAGGATCTGTCCTTCCAGTGAGCACTCAGGGCTGATTTCCTTCAGAATGGAGAGGTTGGATCTTCTTGCCGTCCATGGGACTCTCCAGAGTCTCCTCCAGCACCAGAATTCAAAGGCATCAATTTTTTGGCAACCAGCCTTTTTTATGGTCCAGCTCTCACTTCCATACATCACTACTGGGTCTAGTCCTCCAGGGTCTAGTCCTGCCCATACAGGAATCTCAGCTGAAGTCGGGGAGCCGCGCTTGTGTGAGAAGCCAGGATCTGTGCCCCTCTGTCTGGTCCTCCATCAATGACCCCCCCTTGTCCTTTTCCCTTCCAGGCGTCTGGTCTGTCCAAATGGCTGGGGAGCAAGCTGACCCCCCTGGAGACCATCCCTCACCCGGCCATCGCCTTTGTGCTCTGTCTGCTGGTTGCCCTCTTCACCGAGTGCACCAGCAACGTGGCCACCACCACGCTCTTCTTGCCCATCCTGGCTTCCATGGTAAGCGTGGCAAAAAGGAAGGGCTCATTTGCGCAGCAAAAAGGGGTTAACCTGCGGAACTCCCTCCCACTTGGAGGGGTTCCAAAGAGGGTTGGAGACATTCGCAGAGGAGGAGAGAACTATGGGTGGCCACAGGGGCTGCGCTGTCCCTCAATGCTTCTGAATGCCAGTGGCTAGAGACCACAAGAGGGAAGAATTGCTCGGATCCTGCTTGTGGGTTTCCCATTGGGGCATCTGCTCGGCCCCTGTGAGGACAGGAGGCTGGACTAGATGGGTCCTTTAGGGCCTGATCCAGTCCTTCTTACGGAAGTCTCTTGTGATAGCAGAACCTCCATGCCCAGGGACAGTCTACCTCTGAATCTCAGACAATGGGGAATGACAGCTGGAGAGTTCCTGCTGCTTGTGGGCTTCTTGGGCCCCCTTTGGCCTGATCCATGCCCCCCATCTCCTCCTGCCTTTTGTTGCCCCCAGGCTCAGGCCATCTGCCTCAACCCCCTCTACGTGATGTTGCCTTGCACCCTCTCCGCCTCGCTGGCCTTCATGCTCCCGGTGGCCACCCCTCCCAACGCCATCGTCTTCTCCTACGGGCAGCTGCACGTCATCGACATGGTGAGTGAGTGTCACGCCGTTGTAATAGTAATAATAATAATAATAAATTATTTATACCCCGCCCTCCCCAGCCAAGACTGGGCTCAGGGCAGCTAACACCAGATATAAAACAAATTGATTGAAATACAACTTAAAAACGAGATTAAAAGACAACATTCAAACATTAAAATGCAGCCTCATTTCAGTAGAAACTCAAATCAAAAACTTTTTGGGGGATTAAAAACGTCATGTCTTCACCAAGGCTAACTATCCAGACTGGTCCTACATGGACCAGAAAAAGCCAGGGAAGTCCCCAAATAGGAGTTCCATCACAGAAGGAGAAAGGGGAAGAGGATCAAGTTGATTCCAAGCCAAAGGCCAGGCGGAACAACTCTGTCTTACAGGCCTGCGGAAAGAAATCAGATCCCGCAGGGCCCTGGTCTCATGAGACAGAGCGTTCCACCAGGCCGGAGCCAGTGTTGAAAAGGCCCTGGCTCTGGTTGAGGCTAATCTGACTTCCTTAGGGCGCGGGACCTCTAGGGTGTTGCTATTTATGGACCTTAAGGTCCTCCGCGGGGCAGACCCGGGAGAGGCAGTCCCATAGGTATGAGGGTCCTAGGCCGTGTAGGGTTGGAAGGGACCCTCTGGGGTCATCTAGTCCAGCCCCCGCAAAGCCAGTGTCGTCACCTTGGGCTCTGCTTCCCTGGGCAGGGGATGGCAGAGAGAGATGGGTGGCTGTCAAGTCCAGCACCCCCCAGTGGTCCCTCCTGCAGTGGCCCCCGATTGCCTATTCGGACTGGTGGGGAGGACGGCAGAGGCCAACAGTGGGCGGAGCCAAGGCCAACGAGAGGCGGAGCCAACTCATTCCAGCTTTGCCCCCCATCCTCCTGCAAAGAGGAAGGTGGAGGAAGTACAGTGATATCTCAAGGCACATCTAGGATGGCTGCTCTTTCTTGGGGCAAGGGGGATAGAGCCCCTGCTTGGCATGCAGAAGGTCCGTGCTTCAGGAGCAGGTTCAGAAGGCCCCTTTCCTGAAACCCTGACGAGCTGCTGCCAGTCAGTGCAGGCAGAACTGAGCTGGAATCTGCCTGCCTCGCTCCACGGCCTCTTCTGGTATCCTGATCTCCTTTCTTTGCGTCCTCAGGTCAAAGCCGGCTGCATGCTGAACTTACTGGGGGTCTTGACCATCACCCTGGCCATCAACACCTGGGGCTTCCCCATCTTTGACCTCCACAATTTCCCAAGCTGGGCAAACGGCACCGCAGGTCAATGCTGAGCCCGCGGGAGCGACTCTCTCGCAAACGCGCTTCGGATCCTCGAGCGGCAACTCCTACGCTCCGCCGAGGGGCCGGCTTGCTTGGGGGGCCGTGGAGGCGCAAACGCAGCCTTCCCAAGCTGGTAGCGGCTGTGGACGGGGCTCCCCTCCCTCCCTCGCTGGGATTTCTTCTGCCCCGGTTTTAGCACCCATGTGGAGCTTAGCAGTGGGGCACCTCACCTCACAGACCCAGCGTTGTGGGGCAGGAAAGAAATGGCCCCCTCCCAGATCTCCACCCAGCACCATCTTCCCTGGGCAACACACCACAGGATCATAAAGTTAGGAGGGGTACATCCAGAGGCCATCTAGTCCAGCCCCCTGCAATGCAGGAATCGCTCCTCAAGAATCCCTGGCAGGCGCCCGTCCAACTTCTGTTTAAAAGCCTCCAGAGAAGGAGAGTCTGCTCCCTCCTGAGGTCATGGAATTGTTGAGGAGGGAGGTCCCCCCAAAGGTCATTTAGTCCAACCCCTGCGATGCAGGATCGTTTCATCAGACGCAGAGCGCCGGCGTGTTTTTCTGCCGCTGGTCTTTTTTACAGGTTGCTGCTGAGTAGTTCTGTGTGAGCCACAACAGCGGGCAGGCAGAGCCAAGACCCCCCCACCTCCTTGTGACCCCCACCAGCCGCTGGGCACTGTGGGCACCGTACCCCCTTGGTGCCTCCCATCTTCCAAGGAGGTGGGGGCTTCCAGGCCCCCAGGAAACACACAACAGCTCTTTTGTGCAATAAAGAAAGTGTGGGCCAAAACTGTATTGTGGTTGTTTTCATGAGTTTAAGGGGATCTGTGGATCACACACAGTCACACACATACACAGAGTCTATTTAAAGCGCCTTTATCTCACAACAGGCCAAAAAATAATAATCCAAATATCAGTGATAACAGAGTCGCCGAGCTCAAGTTTTAGAGACCCAGCACGGAAGGAAAGAGCGTCCGGAGGGAAGAGGAAAAAAGCAAGCTCTGGCACTAGGTCTTATCTATGGTTATCAGGGCCGGATTTAGGTTTGACGAAGCCCCAAGTTACTGAAGGTAATGGGGCCCTTTATATGTCCAGCTGTCCTTTGTCAACAACAAATTGTCACTGTTTTTTGTGTTGAATATATGCTATATGATAATTAGTGGACCTAATAGGTATCTAAAACCATTTGCACATGTTGTTGCCATGCAAGCAGTCCATGCAGAATGTCGGCACCCTATATATAGAAATGAGCAAACCAGGGGTATTTTAAGGAGCAGGCTAGCAGACGGGGCCCATGACTTACATCACAGGAGCCTACACAAAACAAAACACTGTTGCTGTATGTAGGTTTTATTTTATTTGTTTTTTATTTTGGAAATGAACATCCAGTGGGTTTTTCCTTTAATTTTTTTTTGGGGGGGGGCAAGAGAGTGGGGCCTTAAGCTATAGTGTGTTTAGCATATACGTAAATCTGGCACTGATGGTTATGCATTTCATTACATTCATAGCCCATCTTTCCTCCACGGAGCTCAGGGTGGCATATGTGATTTGCCTCCTCCCACAACAACCCTGCGAGGGAGATGATGATAATTAATAATAATAATAATAATAATAATAATAATAATAATTTTATTTATACCCCGCCCTCCCCTGCCAGAGCCAGGCTCAAGGCAGCTAACACCAATAAAATCACAGCAAAAACATAATAGGGGGGAAAGAGAGGGTGGGGGGAAACAAATTTAATTATGCTGAGAAAGCAAGAGGCTGTGAATGGCCCACGGTCCTCCAGCGGAAGCCACATGGCCGAGTGGGGATTTGAACCCAGATCTTTCAGGTACTAGTCTGGCCCTCTAACCACTACACCACTGCTGCATGGACCTCGCTCGCCCAGGAGGCAGTGACAGTCAACAACTTGAATGGCTTTAAAAGAGGATGGGACAAATTGATGGATGGAGAGGGCTTACCTTGCCGACAAAGGTCCATATAGTAAAAGCTCTGGTTTTCCCAGTAGTGATGTATGGAAGTGAGAGCTGGACCATAAAGAAGGCTGATCGCCGAAGAATGGATGCTTTTGAATTCTGGTGCTGGAGGAGACTCTTGAGAGTCCCATGGACTGCAAGAAGATCAAACCTCTCCATTCTGAAGGAAATCAGCCCTGAGTGCTCACTGGGAGGACAGATCGTGAAGCTGAGGCTCCAAGACTTTGGCCACCTCATGAGAAGAGAAGACTCCCTGGAAAAGACCCTGATGTTGGGAAAGATGGAGGGCACAAGGAGAAGGGGACGCCAGAGGATGAGATGGTGGGACAGTGTTCTCAAAGCTACCAGCATGAGTTTGACCAAACTGCGGGAGGCAGTGGAAGACAGGAGTGCCTGGCGTGCTCTGGTCCAGGGGGTCACGAAGAGGCGGACACGACTAAAGGACTAAACAACGACAACAGCCAGAATGGCTCTGCTGTGACTCCACAGCTGGAGGCAGCAATGCTTCTGAATCCCAGCTGCTGGAAGCCAAAGGAGAGGTGATGGCTCTTGGGTTCGAATCCTGCTTGCCTGTTTCCCATGCGGACGACCATTATACTCCAACAAATCCAAACCCTGGTTCTGTCGGAATGCCTCGCTGTGAAGCGCTCTTTGTTGGGAAAATACAGGAACTCTAAGTCTGCCAATCTACTCCCTGCAGAGTGGTTTGAAGCTGAACGAAATTATAAAGCTTTGATCAAAAAGAAAAAGCTTAAGGCCCAACAGGAAGAGTGGCAAGAGGAGAGACGCAGTCACCTTTGGAAAATAGTTGCAAAAGGTTGGCAAGATTCCCCCTCCGAAGGGGAATATACCATCTCTGTTGGGGTTTGGGAGTCATACTTCCAATCCTTATACACAACTAACCAACATCTTCAGGCTCTGTCCCGACCTCCAAGTGATCCTGGTCTGAGTGGCCCCCGGTGTCAGCTGAAGAAGCTTGCAGGCCCATTCAGTCTCTTAAACCTGGCAAAGCTCCTGGTGCAGACAATATTTCACCCGAGCTTCTTAAGGCCGATGTAGGCTGGTGGGCCCCAGTGCTTGCTGCCTTGTTCACCAGCTTGTGGGCTCCTGCTGGCCCTGTGAAGACAGGAGGCTGGACCAGGTGGGCCTTGGGCCTGATCCAGCGGGCTCTTAGGTTCTTAACTCCATGACACTATCCTCTGCTTGTGCTCCGTTTCTGAGTTGACCATCCTTAAAGTTCAGTTCTCACCCCTTTTCTTTATTAGTTTGCAATATTTTAAATCGAGTTTGCATGAAAATTCGCACAAACTTTTGTATGCCTCTCTTCTGATCTAGGCAGGTTTGTTCAATATATTCAGACCCCCCCAAAAGTCATCCTCCCTAATTTAATGTGTGTTTGTACATTGTTTCCCTTAAATGCATGCACTTTTATACAGGTTTTTTAAAAAATCAAAAGCTACTTTGCAAAATTCAGAAAAGATGGGCCATTTTTTGATGTTCTCATATTTTACATATTTTTTCACTGTTCTGCCCAGTGCTTTAAAAAAAAAAAAGTTTAGGGGTACTCTCATTTTGACTTAAAAAAATTAAATCATTTTGTAGTTCAAATCGGGAAAAATAAATACAGTAAAGGGACAAAAGTACAATGATTCACAAAGTGTTTAGGGGCATGTAGACCCCTGCATCCCCCCAGGAAAAAAACCACTGGTTCTGCCTATATTTTAAATTTAAAACAAACGCAGCTGCCCATTTTGCGGCTGCCTTCGGTCTCAGGCTTATGACTCCCCCCGCGGAGGATTTGCATGGGGAACCCGCCTCGTTCGGGAACTGCAGCTCTGAGCATCTCGGGGAACGGCCTGGGCACACGCCCTTTCTCTCCCTCCGCTCCAGGCCTGATCCTTATCGTGCGGCTGGTAAAACAAGTACCAATTTGGCAAGGTGCAGAGCATGGCAAGCGGGGAAGAGAGGCAGGTGCTTCCTCGGAGGAAACCCCAGGCAAGGCTCTAGGGATCCCCCTGCCCGTTAGGATCCCAGCCGCTTCACCCCACTAGCTGGGGGGAGGATCATGGAATTGTCGAGTTGGAAGGGGGCCCCCCAAAGGTCATCCAGCCCAACCCCCCTGCAATGCAGGAATCTCAACTAAAGCATCCATGGCAGGTGGCCATAACTCACCTCTGTCATCTCTAAGCTACGGTGCAATGGTGGGGAACACCTGCCTTGAGTGCAGAAGGCCCAGGATTCAACCTCCAGGCAGGGCTAGGAAAGCCCCCACGGGCACCTCCCAGGTCCTAGTCCAACCCTCTTGCCCAGCCACTGCCCCCTTGTTTCTGAAAACTCACCCCCTGCCCTGTGAAAAGCGTTATTCAGAACAGCAATTAGCACGACCCGCTAAAGAAGGTAACAACACGGTAAAATTCGAAACAGGAACCCTCTATCACCCATTGATTCCAAATCCAGTTGAAAGCTATTTAGTTCAGTTAAGTCAACCCAACTGCTGAAGGTGATCCAGTGGACTACTGCAATGCGCTCTACGTGGGCTACCTTTGAAGGTGACCCGGAAACTACAACTAATCCAGAATGCGGCAGCTAGACTGGTAACTGGGAGCAGCCGCCGAGACCACATAACACTGGTCCTGAGAGATCTGCATTGGCTCCCAGTACGTTTCCAAGCACAATTCAAAGTGTTGGTGCTGACCTTGAAAGCCCTAAACGGCCTCAAAGGCCCAGTAGACCTGAAGGAGCGTCTCCATCCCCATTGTTCTACCAAGACACTGAGGTCCAGCTCCAAAGGCCTTCTGGCGGTTCCCTCCCTGCGAGAGGTGAGGTTACAGGGAACCAGGCAGAGGGCCTTCTCGGTAATGGCACCCGCCCTGTGGAATGCCCTCCCATAAGATGTCAAAGAGAACAACAACTACCAGACTTTTAGAAGACATCTGAAGTCAGCCCTGTTTAGGGAAGCTTTTAATGTTTGCTGTATTACGGTATTTTAATATTTAATAAAAGTGCATTATACAAATTTGAGACTAGATGGCGATGGTGGGCGATGGCAAATTTAATATATTTTTCAAAAAGCTTTTTTAAAAAAGCATTTTCACAGCGTTTTTTAAATATGTGTCTAGATTCCACCTTTGTTTAGCACCATGAGGACTAGAATCTTGCTTTGTTTTTAGGGGAGGGCTGCAGCTTAGGGGTGAAGCACCTGCTTTGCATGCAAAGGGGCCCACATTCAACCCTCAATGGCCTTTCCAGGCAGGGCTGTGAAGGATCCCTTACCCGGAGAGCTGCTGCCAGTCCGTGCAGGCCGTGCTGAGCTTGATGGATCAACAGCCTTTGTGTCCGCAACACAACCACAGACACAGCAGAAACACCACAAGTGTAAAAAAAAACCCCAAACCCCTGTCTTTCTTTCACACACTCAGGCCCATCCCAGCACCCTACAAACTGATCCTCTGTTCCGACGGGGCACCCATAAAAACTGCTTGCAGGCTGACTCACGCCGCTTTACAATGGGAGTCAGCCAAGGCTCAGGTGCCCAAACCAGCACCCAGGTGCCTGGCATGCACTGATCAGGTGCCAGGAGCCCAAAATAACCCCCGTTTATTGGGTGTTAATCACCACTGCCAGCGCTGCCAGCCCCTGTTAAACACAGGCTTAGAGGGCGGATATTTTAGTCCTTTCCTCACACATCCAGCCCAGCATCCTGTCCTCACAGGGGCCGACCAGATGCCTCAATGGGAAGCCTGCAAGCAGGATTTGAACACAAGATCCCTCTCCCCTCCTGGGGTTTCCAGCGACTGGGATTTCAGAACCATGGCTGCCTCCAACCAGGGTGGCAGAGTGTAGTGGTTAGTAGCCATCGATAGTCCTTTCTTCAATCTAATCGTCTTTTAAAGCGATCCAAGTTGGCTGCCATCACTGCCTCAGGGAGTTCCATAGTTTAACTCTGCACTGCATGAAGAAGGACTTCCTTTTACCTCTCCTGAATCTCCCAGCAGTTCCAGGGTTAGGAGAGAGGAAGAAAAGCATTTCTCTATCTGCTTTCTTCATGCCAGGCATGAATTTATAAACGTCTATCAGTTCACCTCTTCCTTGCCTTTCCTTCATCCTAAAGAGTCCCAAACGCTCTAACCTTTCCTCAAAGGAGAGGTTGCTCCATACGTGGCAGGGGACCTTTTTTCTAACCTCACCTGAGGTCCAGGACACCCAGAGAAAGATTCCAGCAAATCCCACACGTTCCTTACAAACAAAGAATTGTAGACGGGGCACCAAGGGTCATCTAGTCCAACCCTCTGCAAATCAGGAATCCCACCTTGAGAATCCATCTTAACCTCAGAAAGTTATTCCTAGTGTTCTGCAGGAAGAGAATTGCCAGACCCTGGGGCCTCAAGTTTCAGCAGCACCCCTGGGCGACAAAGAAATTTGTCTCTGCTTTCAGTACAGTGGCACCTCAGGTTAAGAACTTAATTCGTTCTGGAGGTCTGTTCTTAACCTGAAACTGTTCTTAACCTGAGGTACCAATTTAGCTAATGGGGCCTGCCCCTGCCGCCACAAGATTTCTGTTCTCATCCTGAAGCAAATTTCTTAACCCGAGGTACTATTTCTGGGTTAGCAGAGTTTGTAACCTGAAGCGCCTGTAACCCGAGGTACCTCTGTACAACCAAAGCAGTCCTGCTCCTCTAAATCTGCCCCAGAGGAGAGTACAGTTGTACCTCAGGTTACAGACACTTCAGGTTACAGACTCCACTAACCCAGAAATAGTACCTCGGGTTAAGAACTTTGCTTCAGGATGAGAACAGAAATCTTGTGGCGGCAGGGGGAGGCCCCATTAGCTAAATTGGTACCTCAGGTTAAGAACAGTTTCAGGTTAAGAACAGACCTCCAGAACGAATTAAGTTCTTAACCTGAGGTGCCACTGTAAAGAGGTTTGATCTGGCAGAGGACCCTCTCTCCAATTCCGCCTGCGTTTAAAAACAAATCTACGAAATGCACACATTCCAAGATTTGTGGGGTGCAAGGCACCCTAAATTCCTGGGTCCAGCAAATGTCAGAATTAATCAAGGTCTGGGGAAAGTCAGGCTGGCTGGTGATCTCTTGCGGAGTCCGGGGTTGTGTGGGAGTCGGTGTCGTGAGATTCCTGCATCGCAGAGGGTTAAAAAAAAAAGAATTGTAGGGTTGGAAGGGACTGTGAGGATCATCCAGCCTGACCCCCTGCAATGCAGGAATCTTTCACTCAACGTGGGGCTCAGACCCACAACCCTGAGATCAAGAGTCCCATGCTCTATCCCCAAATGATCAATTCTACCTTTCTGTGATTCCCTGATTCATTTGTACCCTGCTTCAAGACAGGGTGCCGGACTAGATGGGCCGTTGGCCTAATCCCAAGAAAAAAGCACACCAAGAACTCAGGCCAGTGTTAGTTTCCGTAGTGGGAGTGGTCCCTACTTGCAAATCAATAGCCAATTGTAACAAAAACGAATCCATTCAAAAGTATGTATTCTGACAGGGATTACAGCCTCAAATAGAGATTACAAACTCAAACTCATAAGGATATGTATATGCAATTATGGATCAGAGACCAGTAAGTTCATGTTAGTGCATACACACACACACACACACACACACACACATATATATATATACACACACACACATATATATATATATATATGTGTATATATATATATATATATATACACATATATATACGACCCTTTAAAAATTAGCTGATGAAGATGAATACATTGAAACAGGGCTCTGTCCTGGTTTCTGATCCATATTGACTCCTGACTTCTGCTCAATGATTGAAACTAAGAGTCGAATCGGACTATGGACTAACATGAACTTACTGGTCTGTGATCCAATCCTGCTTGGGGCCTCTGACTGACCCTGGTGAGGGCAGGAGGCTGTGAGTTCCACAGGTGTCCTAGTGAGTCCCATGACCGAGGACCCCACCACGATGTCACCTTCTGAACGGACAGCCTTATAGAGACCCCAATTTGGGACTGGATCCTGCCTGGGCAGAGTAAGAAAGAAACAGCGCAGGTCCGTCCTCCCCCCAACTCTGCTCCACCAGCCCCCGCTTCGCTACAGGCCTGTCCTGATGAGACTTGCAAGGGAATTCAAAAGGATCCCCCCCCCCCGCCATTGCCGCTGCGAAGGTGCCGTGTCCCCCAGAGCAAAGTCGGCTCTCTCTTCCTGATGTTTCATTCCTGCCATGGGAAACACTCATAAATCACTTGTCTTGTTGGGGAATGGCGGCTCAGCCCCCCCTCCTGTCACCGTCCCCCTCCAGCCCCTGCTCACACCTGGGACCCCCCCCTTTCCTGATCCACCCTCCAATGGAGGCCATGTGGGCTCAAAACATCAGAGCAGCCCAGCAGAATCAGGCCAATGGTCCGTCTGGTTCAGCGTTCTGCTCTCACAGCGTCCAAATGCCCCTGAGAACCTAGGGATCGCGATAGACTGCCCTTGCACTTGGAGGTTCCATAAGGATGTCAGAAGAGCCTGGTTGCTGGATCAGGCCCAAGGGGGCCTGCCTAGGCCAGCATCCTTTCCTCACAGGGGCCAAGCAGATGTGTTACAGCAGGCAGAGGCAAACTCGGCCCTCCAGGTGTTTTTGAGACTACAATTCCCATCGTCCCTGACCACTGGTCCTGTTAGCTAGGGATGATGGGAGTTGTAGTCCCAGAACATCTGGAGGACCAAGGTTGCCTATGCCTATGTTATGGGAAACATTCAAGCGAGGCCTGAGCACAAAGAACCCCTCCTGCGCTTGCCAGAAACATTGCTGTCTCTGACTGCGAAGGCCCAGCCCAGCCCTCTCCTCCTCCATGGATTTTTCTCATCCTCTTTTTAATCCATCTAGGTTGGTGGCCATCACTGCCTCCAGTGGCAGGGAGTCCCATGGGCTCATTCAAACTTCCTTTCATGCTGGATTTCTAGGCACAGGTCTGTGCTTTCAAGTGCTGTCTCTGAGCACCTTCCTTTGGTCACAGCAATCCGTGGATCACCCGTGCTGCTGTTTGTTGTGATTCAGCATTAAAGACTGGGTTTTCGCAGGGAAAGAGCCCAGGCAAAAACAAAAAGCACTCTGGCATGGTGCTTTAAAGTGCTAGAAGGAATCATAGAGTTGGAATGATCCCCAAGGGTCATCTAGTCTTCAATGCAGGACAAAGGGTAAGTGACCCTGTATGTTCCATGAAGAAGGACTTTCTCTTATCCATTCTGAATCTTCCAGTACAGTGGTACCTTGGCTCTCAAACTTAATCCGTTCCAGAAGTCCGTTCCAAAACCAAAGCGTTCCAAAACCAAGGCACGCTTTCCCATAGAAAGTAATGCAAAACGAATTAATCCGTTCCAGACTTTTAAAAACAACCCCTAAAACAGCAATTTAACATGAATTTTACTATCTAATGAGACCACTGATCCATAAAACGAAAGCAATAAACAATGTACTGCAGACACGCAATCGATCATCTGAAGGCAGCCCTGTTTAGGGAAGCTTTTAATGTTGACTAGATTATTGTATTTTAATATTTTGTTGGAAGCCGCCCAGAGTGGCTGGGGAAACCCAGCCAGATGAGAGGGGTATAAATAATAAATTATATTATTATTATTATTATTATTATTATTATTAATCAATCAGTAGCTGAACTGGGTTCCACACAGTTACAAAAACAAAACAAAAATTGCAGCAAAAACAAAAACGCAAAATAAAGAGCAAAAACAGACAGACCTCAGCGTAACACTCAAAACGGAAGCGTGGCACTCAAAATGGAGCACGTTCGGCTTCAGAAAAATGTTTGCAAACCGGAACGCTTACTTCCGGGTTTGCAGTGTTTGGGTTCCAAGTTGTTTGAGTACCAAGGCGTTTGAGAACCGAGGTGCCACCATATTCAGCTTCATGGGATTCCCGGGAGTTTTCATGTTATGAGAGAAGCCAAAAGTTTTTCTCTCTCCACTTTTTTCATGCTGGGCATAATTTTAGAAACCTGTCATGTTGCCTCTTCCTCCCCTAAAAAGTCCCAAACCACTTTTCTTCATAAGCAAGCCCCTCCATTCATTCCCTGAAACATTTTGGTTCCCCTTTCCTGATCTTTTCTCTGCAATCTCCTTCTTGAGGCGCCTGGAACCGCACACAGTACTCCAAATGCCACAAATTTGTATAACAGCTTCATGATAGTTCACACACACACACAATGCGTAAGCTTTTGAGTTTCACTGAACTGTTCAGCCTGCGGAATCTCTGGTATAAGCAACGTAGGGGGTGTCGCACCTGGCAGCCCGAGACTTTTTGAGGTGACGTTGCAAACGTCAGTCAATTCCACTTTCTCGACCCCCTCGCCGTAATCTTAAATCCAGTCATTCACATTTCCACACCTGCTTGTGAATTATTATTTTTAATGCCTCACGAAAACTCACCCATGTTTCCATGTGAATTTATCACAGTATACAAAAAAAGCACATAGATTTATGACCGCGGACATAAAAAATGTTTTATATTATGGAGAATGGCAAATATACATATTTGTACCGCAGCCAAAATCGCATGCAAAACTTCTTTGTCCTGTGTCTGGAGAAGAAATCAACCCACGAATTGTTTCCAGTCTGCCTATGATACAGAAAATCCGTGCTAGAAAGAGACGGAGGTTTTTCACGAGGACTTTTTAAAATTGCAAAATGATGCAGGAAGGTAGAGGTTAGGTTAGAGAAGTCAGATAAGCCAGATATGTAAATTAGATAAATAAAGTAGTGGAAGCAAATAAAGTACAGTGAGCAGAAACTGCAAGTGTGCTTGCGGAAAGACTTGTGAGAGCTATGTGATGTCGCCACAGCAGAAAAGCAAGACGAAAAACGTCGCTTTTAGGGAAGACATGAACTGTGGCAGAAGGGAAGCAGCCCTGCTGGGTGGAAAGGAAAACTGTGGCCCCACAGTGCAGCCTGGTTCTCCCCTTGAGATCTCGGAGCTGCTGCCAGCCAGAGCGCGCAAGGTGACGGGCAACAGATCCGAGCAGAGGCAGCCATTTCAGACGCTCTGAAGGCTTTCAGGGTGCTGCTGTGGGCAGGAGGGCATGCCAGGATCTGGGAGAAAGCAGGAGGGCAGTGGAATGGCGGGGGGGAAGACCCAGAAAGCAACCCACCCTTTGTTGTGGCAGGGATCTCACTTGCCACACCAGAAAAAGCAGCCTGGCACCGCCTGGCAGGCGCTTAATCACAGTAATTACAAAGGCAATAAACTGTTTACTGAGAAAGCAACAAATTGCTGAACCTTTGAACGCCACTCGGGCCCCGGGCAGGACACACCACAACTGCTGCTTCCCAAGGGAGGCGCCAGGACATAGGTAAACTGTGGAACTCCCTCCCACTGGAGGCCACCAACTCGGACAGCTTTAGAAGAGCATTGGGGCAGGTTTGTGGAGGGTAAGGCTTATCGGTGGCTACTGGGAACCCTGGCTCTGCTCTGCCTCCACAGTCCGAAGGGGCAATGCTTCCAAAGACCAGTGGCGGGAAACCGCAGGAAGGCACAGGGCTCTTGGGTTTGGATCCTGTTTGTGGGCATCTCATTGGCATCTGGTTGGGCTCTGTGAGAGCAGAATGCCAGGCTAGATGAACCGTTGGCCTGATTGTGCAAGCTCTTCTTAAGTTTGAAGCAAGCCAATTTCTTTGCATAGCACATCAGCCAAGGCTCTCCATGCCCCCAAAGACCTGCACCATTGCTCTCAAGTAAGGTGCTGCTTAAAGGACGTGGGTGGCGCTGTGGGTTAAACCACAGAGCCTAGGACTTGCCGATCAGAAGGTCGGCGGTTCGAATCCCCGTGACGGGGTGAGCTCCCGTTGCTCGGTCGCTGCTCCTGCCAACCTAGCAGTTCGAAAGCACATCAAAGTGCAAGTAGATAAATAGGTACCGCTCCGGCGGGAAGGTAAACGGCGTTTCTGTGCACTGCTCTGGTTCGCCAGAAGTGGATTAGTCATGCTGGCCACATGACCCGGAAGCTGGACGCCGGCTCCTGAGTGCTGCAACCCCAGAGTCGTCCGTGACTGGACCTAATGGTCAGGGGTCCCTTTACCTTTACACATTCATTCATTCCATAAAATGTATATTCCGCTTGCTCGTTAAAAAACCAACAAACCATAAAACAGCAAAGGTTTATGAAAAGGATTTAGAAACAAAAACATTACCCAAAAAGAAGAATTAACAAGTATCATGTAAGACCTCCAGCAGCTAAATTAGCAACCGGCTGAAAGCAGAGCAAAACTTGCACCAGCTCTCTAAACATCTGGACAGGATAAAATGTTCTTGGTGACCAGCGAAGAGAGTTCAGGGAAGGTGACCACCTGCTGTCAAGTGGCGGGGAGTTCCAAAGTATAGGCATTGCCATCTGTTGATGGACTGCAGCTGCCACGCTGGGTGATGGGGTGTGTAGTCAGCAACAACTGGAAGGGCACCAGCTTTCCCAGCCTGCCCCAAAATGGCAGGTCAGGAGGCTTCAGTTTTTGCTTACGGATTCAACACACAAAGCAGCACGCCCCGTCAGAAGCAGAATCACTAAATGCACCATTAAGAGAAAACCATCTGATTCCAGCTTAGCTTTGGAGTCGCCTGCGTTTCCGGTCCTCCGGGTGCCTTCCTTCACCCTCTCCTCTTCCTCGGGCAAATCATCTGAGGAATTAATTTCGATTCATTAAGACAGGCAGGAG